ATAATAGATAAGGTAACTATACCGAGTAGCGTATAGAGACTACCGCCGTTTTAAAGGGGGGGGTAGTATTACGAGACGCCTCCGGAGGCCTCTAGAGTAACGTCTAACCCTATACGACGGGAGTAGTCCGACCCCGCTACCCTATATTACCCTATATACTAAGTTAGCAACTTTTAGAACTATTTAGACGCGAGTCCTCGCTCTCTCTTAGATACTCCGTCGAGTGATTTAATATTAAAACGTTAATACGCTTTCGTCCGTTCTTAACCGTAACATTAGCTCGCCTAACCCTACCTCGGTAAGGGCTAAGTCCGGGCTATTACTAAGCTAATTTAGGCTTAAGTTAGTAGCGTCTAGGTCCTATTATAACGCCGCTACGTAGAGCTACTCCTAAAGGCGAGGTAATACTTCTCGGAGCTCTCCTTCTTTCGTCGACTCTTTAAAGCTATTAAAGTAGTTAGGTCGTCGCGAGAGGCCGTTAGAAGGGTTAGCGCTTCCCTTCTTCTATTCGATTAAGAAGTCGTATGCCGCTAGTCTCTTCGCGATACGCGCTTACCTTCCCGTAAGGGTAGTAGTATATATAAAGTACTTTAGGTTATAGTAGTCGGTTTAGACCCGAATTAGGTACGAAGTACCCTCGAGGTAGTACTACTATACCTTAAAGTATTCTAATATCGCTATTAGTTCCTTATCTAGCGTGCTATATTAGATCTCGGCGCTAACGAAGCTTTTAGAGTAATAGGTAACGGAGTGCTAGTATCGCTATCCTTTACTTTCCTTAAAAGGTTATAAAAGGATGCCTATATATACCGCGTCTAAGGCGTCGGTAATTACTAGGATAGGGAGGTCTAGGTCGAAGTATCGGAGTAATAGGGCGCTAGTAAAGGCCTGTTTTAGGGCTAAGAAAGACTCTTCCGCCTTAGCCGTCTACTCGAAAGGGCCTCTTATAACCTTATTCTTCTTTTTCCCCGGGACTACCTCCCCTCTAGCGAGTAACTCGTTTAGCCCTCTTACTATGTTAGAGTAGTTCTAAATAAACCTTCTATAGAAGTTAGCGAACCCGAGGAATACCTATATATCCCGGTAGCTTTTAGGCCTCGGCTAGTCTAATACTGCCCTAATTCGGCCCTTATCTATCTTAACGCCTTCTAAGGTAACGATAAACCCTAGGAATTCGACCTACCTCGTATAGAACTTATACTTCGAAGGCTTTGCGTATAGCTTCTAATCTCGTAGCCGCTCGAGTACCTTTTTTACGTACTCGATATATTCCTCTTTATTCTAAGAGTAGATAAGGATATCGTCTAAGTATACTACGTAGATAGTATTAATTAGCCTTAAAAGAGCCCTATTAATATACGACTAAAATGTAGTAGGGGTATTTACTAGTCCGAAAGGTATAACTATATACTCGAATAGCCCGTACCTCGTCTTAAACGCCGTCTTCTACTTATCTCCTTCCTTAATACGGAGGCGGTAGTACGCATCTCGTAGGTTAAGTTTAGTATAGATCTTTACGTAGCTTAGGCGGTCTAGCATCTTACTAATAAGTAGTAGTAGGTAGCGGTTCTTAATAGTAATCTTATTTAAGCCTCTATAATCTACGTAGAGTCGTATACGTCTATCTTTCTTAGGGACGAATAGGATTAGTACCCCGTACGGGCTCTTATTAGGTCTAATCTAGCCCTTTTTTAGGGCTATCTCTAAGTACTCGCGTAGAATGCGGAGTTCCTCCTAAGATAGGTTATAGATTAGTAACTAGGGTAGCGTAGTACCTTCCTCTAGGTCGATCGCGTAGTCGTATTAGAAGTATTAAGTAATAATCCCTACTAGTTCTTCTAAGAAGAAGTCCTCGAACTCCTTATACTAGGGCGGAATCTGCTCTATTTCCGCCCTATTAACGGTAGCGACTATAAGCATTATCTAGTATACTTACGCGGGGAGGTCCTTTAGATCCTCGTACGGCGTATAGGCATTCTTATATCGTTAGTAGTAAGTAAGAGCTACGACCTAAAGGGTATCGCTCTTAGGCCTAATATAAGTCGGATCCTCGTCTCGCCCCTCTCCGAATCCCCCTATTATCTCGCCGATAGCGCTATCTTAGAGGTAGATTAGGGCTAGTTCGGCCTTTAGGTCTAGTCCCTTTAATACTTCGTTTCTTACTAAGTATTATCCTCTAGACCCGAGGAAGGCTATTATTCCTTCGTATATTCCTTATAGGATTTCCTTTACCTTCCTTAGTACCTTTACGGCTTCCTATTTTTCGGGCCTAATTCCGCCCTTTTCTACTCCTTCCTTAGGGTCTCCCTAAGAGAAAGTACCCTTTCTAAAGGAGATAAGAGAGTTAGTTTATTCTAGCTACCTATACCTAAGGATTATATTATACCTAGTAAAGCGAGCTACCTAGAAGAGCTATTTCGCTCCTCTTTCGGTACCGTTTCGGTCCTAAGTCGTAACTTTAATCTTATGTCCCTTAAAGATTATTAACTAGTTATTATCTAAGAATAATACCTTCGGGGCTAGGATAGAGGCTATAGGGAACCTAATACGCGCCGCGTAGTAGGTAGAGATAAAGTTAATCTATACCCTCGTATCTATTAGAGCTCGTAGCTATTCCTCCCCTCTATTAGGCCTCTTTACCGTAACGGTAACTACGATACGGAGTTCCTTTCCTTTCGTCTTAGGCCCTAGGCGTAGTTAGGAAAGGTCTACGACTAGGGCCTCCTATTCCCCGAGTTAGGATCGGCGTCGGTCTAATTAATACTAGTCGTAAGGACGCTTCTAGCCTAACTCGGGCTTATAGGTAGTTATTTACCGTAATTTGCTCGCTAGACGTTCCCTCTTCCTTTATACCCTTCGCTACGGGAGTTACCCGAGTTAGTAGGAGTAGACGAAGTAGCTAAGGCGGTCGGAGCGCTAGGTATCGCCGTCGTACCTCGCCGCTCTAACTTACGGCTATACTAGTAAAGCCTTCCTTTATAGACGATTCTAGCCTTTATTAGCTTTAAAGCGTTAGTAGCCGTCTTTAGCTAGTTTATCTTAATTAGCTCGTCCTATATATCGGACTAAAGCCTTATAAAGTAGAATAGCTTCTTCCCTAAGGTTCCCTCCGCGTCTTATCCGAAGGTTATAAGTATTATAGCCTCGAGCCCTTAAATATACGTATAGAAAGTAAGAACGCTTTAGTCTGCTTTCTACGTTACGCTAAAGTATTTCTTTATAAGCTCCGTAGTACGTATAGCTTTTAGAGTAACCGTATCCTTTAGTACCTCTTTTAAGGTATCCTACTCTAGAATCTCCCCTATTTCGGGGCTATCTAGGTAGTCCCTTCGATACGTCTCGATCGCTTATCGTAGGTCTCGATAGATAATATAGCTATATACCTAGTCGGTCCTACGCGATCGGTCGTACGTATTTAGAACGTCGTCCGTAGCTTTTACTATACGGAAGCGTACTTCGTAGTTCGCGACGAACGTACGGTATACCTTTAGACTACTAGAGTCGAGGGTTAGTCCTCCTAAGGTCTTAAGTAAGATCTATAGCAGGTCTAATTTAGGCCTAATACGCTACGCTATAGCGACGTTATTATCCGCGTATGTCGTGTCTACCCTTCTCCTCTTTCTAATAATCTCTAGTTCCTATAGGTATAGGCCGTTAACGTCTTGTCTTTCTTTAATAACTTTTAACCGCTCTTTCTCTAATATAGAGCCGAGTAGTTTCTTTATTAAGTCGTATTAGTATTTCCGCATATCTTCCGATACTAAGAGGTATTCTAGGTCTAAATCGGGGTCGATCTAGGCCTTTAGGGTTTCTAAGGGGGTAGCGGTCTCGCTAGCCTCGGTTAAGGATTATAGATCGGCTATATTATAAGTATAATTCGGGCCTATTTCTTAGGTTAGGCTAGTTAGTAGGTCGTACGTACTACGGCTATCTCCTAGTAGGGTTATAAAGTAATATACTATAAGGGAGTTATAGATAGGGATAGATATATATACTAAATAGTAAGTTTACGGAGTTAATATTACTTAGAGAGCGGAGAGCTCTCGAGGTAGAGCTCTATATAGGGCCTTCTAGCCTAATTCGGGCCTATATAGGCTTAGCGTCTTAGCCGAGCCCTTAAGTCTACGAATCGGCGGTATAGGTTCCCTAATACTAATCCTCGAGTAAGAGAGGAGAAAGTAGAGGGAAAGAAGTAGGGATCTACTAGAAAAAGGCCCTATAGACCTTATACTAAATTCTAACTAAAAGTTCTAGAATGCTTTATTTCTCTTATAAGAATATTATAGCCTCTTCCTTAAGTAATACCTAAAGGTTACCTAGGTATCCTACCTCTCCTTTTTAGTAGTATCGGAGAAAGGAGAATAAAGGAAAGTAAAGGGGATTAAAGGAAAAAGGTAAGAATTATTTAGTATTTAATCGTACTTAGTATTTCTTTATACTATTATATACCCTACGCTAACCCGGCTATTCTAACCTTTCTTAGACGTATATTATAGATACGGTCCGACCGCTAGGCTTTACTATAATCGCCCCGAATATATAGCTAGCTATTCGTTATCTACGTACTATACGCTATAAAATCGGAGAGCTAGTAGATATAACTATAGAAGATATCGGCGTAGCTACTAATACTCTAGCCGACCTTATAGAAGACACGCGCATAAATCTATAATTTAGTACGGAAAGTATACGATATAATATTAACGTTATATCTATAATATATAAATAATAGTAGGGATTATTAAATAGTATATAAGACCTAGAAAATAGATTCGTTCCGTTTACGATAAAACATTTCTACTTAAATAATACAAAGATTTCGACTCCCTTCTTCTAACCCTTAGGGTTAAGTTATACGTAAAAACAAACATTCCGACTCGAAATGTTTGTCTTCTATATTTAGCGCAATTCAGCTTTCCCAAGGGTCTGTATAGAGGTAGGACGGGACAGCGAAGAAGTATGTTAATGGCCGAACGTAATAGCATTGAACATGAAACAGACTACTCATGAATGAGATCCCAAGTTCCAGGTACGTATCCCCAATTTACTACGCTTTCAGCGACAACTTGTAAGACGTTTGCCACGTTTGGTCCGTTGTATCGTACTGCACTGACTCTTCTCTGGTGTTTTGGGCCCTTTTCGGTGATCTTCAGGCTGTTTCTGTCCTGTTCCACTACGCTCTCTTTGCTAATCCGGAATTTCACCGATGGCGTCTCGCGGCTTGCTGTTCTAAGAAGACTCAGGTTGAAAGAGGACAAGCTGCCGCAATCTTGGGCAATCTGCGACAAAAGCGAACACCAAGATGTGCTGTCTGTGAGGGTGACCATATGGAATGTTATGCTCTTTAAGCATGTCTGCGAGTTTGCGATCAAACGAACGACAGCCTTCGAAGAGACTCCCTGGCGGACCAAATTCAAGGAGGCAAGCTTTGGCGCTGACATGCCAGCAACAAAGGGCGCGTCCGCATCTGGCGACGGTTTTGCATGTGCAATGGTGAGGTCGATCGGGTTTGCAGCGCGAAGTATTCGCTCTTGCCAGTATGATTTGACATTCCGCGTCAGAATGAATTGCGCAGACTGCAACCTCGCTAATCCAACGTCCCGGCCTTGGTCCTCTGGGTAGAACGTGAACAGTATCTCTAAGGCGCCATAAGAGTTGGTGTCCCTCTTGAACTCAAATGACTTCACAGCCATTCCAGCACCATCGAGAAGATCTTTTACCAGCGTAGCGCATGGCCCTGGATCGCATGCGATGTTCCCGCCGTGGAAATCACGTATTTTGATGATCTCAGGCCGAAATTTACGGTTTATCAACATGTCTCTAAGTTCTGCGATGCCAATGTCTCCAGATTTCACATTTCTCTCCTCATCGCGAGGCCAGATGTGTATGGCGCCTGCTGGCGGACCGGCATCTGGCCCGGCAACCATTGGTCCGGGATCGTTCACTTCCCAATCGTCTTGAATATGGATCGTTGTGACGAACTTGGAGAGTTCTTGGTGTTGTGAGAGGTCTCTTAATGACTGTAAGTCAGAACCTAAGAGGCTGGTCTTCCAGGTTGAGAAGAATCCTCGAACGAGAGCGTCATGTGTTTCCTCATCACCATTTTCGCTAGCAGATTGCAGAGCTGTAATGTCCGCGTGAGGGAAGTGCTGAGCCAGCAACGCAGTGAGTGCGATCATCGTGGGACTGCTATCCAAGAGGTTAAAACACTGCTGTTTGGATAATTATTGTAGTCCGCGTGAATTCAGGTAATGCGGCTCCAAATGCAAAGACGCCTAAACATATGAACTTATGCTATAAGAAGTTTTGCAGATACTCGTTAATAAATGATCGACCGGCCTAACTGTTATCTAGACATTAATTAGAACGGCGGAAGTAATACCTTCCCTACTTAGCTAGAAAAATTAGCTAGGTAACTTAAGGGCTCTACTACTAATATYAGTACTATAGCGCCCTCTATACTACCGAAGTTCCGAACCGAAAGCCCCTGTCCTGATTAAGGATAAGGTAGGCCTGGGCTTATGTGATTGGCCTCAAGAAGACAATAGAAAGGTTATATTGTTTGTCAGCACTCTTCTGTCACGTTCGACCATAGATGCATGAAAGCAAGCCATCCCGTCCGCTCTGGCCTATTGAACCATGTAATCGTTTGATCAGTACTCAGGTGGGTGACCACTGGGGAATCCCAAATGTTGAACGTCATTTTTTTTGTTTTGTTGAGGTCTGGTGATGGAAAGGGAGGTTTGGAAAAGAATTCGAAATTTCGCTCCATTTCTTGGCAAAATATAGCGCATCCCAACTCTGCTTTGGCCTCGTTGGATTCGTCTTGACTTTGCAGGGCAATTGTTATTTTGCATCCAGAGACACGGTGATCGTCGTGTTGAAATATCTGGCCTCATTCACTTCGGGCTGCGGGAAAGAGTTTCTCCGAAACGTGGCTAAGGTGGAGGATCATACTATTCAAAGCAATCCGGCCTCGATACCAGAAGTAATCTTCTTGCCTTAGGTCGAACGAGCCGATCGGTTCATCCGCAATAAGCACCAGTCGCTCTGATCGATAGACACCGCCAGCAGATGAAGTACTTACTGCGATACGAACGTCATGGGCTGGTGTGTGAAGTGCTCAAAATTGCGGTTGAGTCGGAGCGGCTGGCATATGTCGAGCGTCATTGTGTTTATGTCTTCCCCTTTTCAAAGCTGGTCGTGGAGAAGWAAGACGAATGTCTTCTGCAGATCTTGGCATGCGACTCTATACACACCACCCGCAACACTCTTGTTATAAGACTTCGCGAACAAATAGTACATGCGTCGTCATCGCTCAATACAAAGTTCTTTGCCGTTGTTTTGGCTGCCCACTACTTGCATCGCCCATAAAACTCTCGACATATCTTCTCTGACCGCCCCGGCTCCATCTCATAGCTAACATGACATCTACCTCTTCACCCCAGCTTCTCCCACGACTTGGCGTTTTGAAGCCTGGTATCGACGCTCATACCAATAGGCTCCCCAGGCGAATACGGTGGCGGACAGAAAGAACCACACTGTGAGAGCCGTTGCGTTCGGGAGCAAAGCAGCAACGGTTGGTATGAATTGTGTCATCCCAAGCCACCAGMAGACACAGCTGAACGGGAAGTTGAACCAAATGACTAGTCGAGCGGGTGGTGACTCGAGACACGTTATGAAGTGGAAAGGACCCTCTTGCTGGCTAGTCGACATGGTGGTTTGGAGTAATGGACGGAATATCGGCCGGAGGACTTGGAAACATCGATTGTGAAGGAGAGGAACTTTTGGTGAATTCGGTCTGGTCCAGCTGCGATTCGATCAGCCACACGTGCATTGCCCAAGTATGCCACTTCGTTCCGATGCTTCTTATGTTTCGGCCAGCCCAAGTAGTAGAAGCTCGATGAGGTGTGGGCTTKAAAGCCAACAAAGTGTTCACCGTTCCTGCAAGCCCATGCATACTCAACCAACAGAAGGATGCAGGCGTAGGAGGCAGCCTGGACCTAGATTGGGTTCAGAGTGGCATCAAAAAGACTCCGCGGCCCCGCTAGTTGTCCGCCATGAGGCATTTCGCTGCAATTAGAAAGCATAATGCAACGCCCCGCGGCGAATGCTACTAGCAGCCCTCGTGTGGTCCAATGGTAGTCCCTCCAGCGTGTGCGAGCTTATCTGAATAAGACTGTTCTTTTCCAAGGGCTAGGCTATACACTTCGAGGCTTGTCGAAGCTTATACCATTCGAGATGATAATGATGTGAATGATGTCATACCCACGACGTGCCCTAACAATAAGGTAGGATTCATTTACCACGAGGCTTGTCGAAGCTTATCACTATCATCGTGGAGCTTATTCAGACTTCGTGCACAGGTCGACGGCAGAGGATATGTAGAAACGCGAGAGACACGTGGCAATTATGAGATGGCGCTTCTGTCCATTTCTGACGAAATATGGCAACTTTACAAGATCAAGTAAGGAAGTGCGAGATCGATGCGAGACAAGACGGCACGGGAAGCATTGAAGCAAAGCCAACATGGCTTGGTTGGCTAACTCCCTCCTTCGTTCTGCCGCCCCTTCCGAAGTGCATTCCTTCGTGCTCAATTTCAGTGGGCCAACCTCACTAGATCAAGGTGAAGCTACAATCCAACTCAGCTTCAAGCCGACGGGATGGACAGATGATCCCGGTGCCGCTCCTCGCCTGGTCTAGATTGAGCTGCAACTCGACTAAGCTTCAAGGCGAAGGCTCTAGTCTTCCCATGTTTTCTCAGCGGAGCACCAATAACAACAGTGGCATGCAAAGCCATGCCGCGGAATGGGATCGTATGACTTTGGTGGTCCACAGCTCTTCGCAAAATGGATGCCTGTCGAAGGATCAGATCAACCCCTGCTTTGAACATTGCGGTGTTGACCAACGTYGATGATGATGAATGGTGGACGATAATCTTCAATCCTTCTTCGTGTGATGAGGACACAGAGGAGCGCTTTGCCGCTCCTTCCGACGAAGTAGGATCGGGGGACATATATAAGGGCGTCGCTGTACCGCAAATCCAGAAGAGTACAGCAAGCCTTTCAGCTTTTCCAAATACAAAGACCCACCAGCCCCGATCGACATGAGGTTCGCTACTTCGATGGCCAGTGTGGCCTTGCTATCTCCTCTCGTCCAGGAAGCCCTGGCCGTCAACACGTGGGAGATCGCTTTCTGGCAAGGCATTCAATGTACTGGAGAAGGCACTGGCGATCGAACAGGACCCCCGAGACCCAGAAGCGGCAGCGTCTGTGGGAATGTCCCGGATGTCGGCTTTACCACCACTGGTAATTTCTTGATCGGTCAAGGCCAAGGCTACAGCTACTATCTCCAGCTCTTCTCCGACGACAACTGCCGAGGCAGTAACCTCGGACAGTACGACGGTAGGTATATCTCTTGAGAAATCAAAAACGAAGTGTGCGAAATGCTGATCGAACGCCCCAGGCAATCCTGGTGGCAACATTTGTTTCGAGACCAATGCCGCGAGATCGTACAAGATCGTTACCAAAAGGGGCGTCAAGCGGTCCGAAGAAGTCGAAATCCCTCCGCAGTCCTCCAAAGTGACTGACTTGGAGGTTTTCCCCATTGAAGGACGAGGCATTACCTCCGCCCTGGACACCGTCGAGAAGCGCGCCCGTTACACCCTTGGTCTTATCCAATTCGGCGTTTCCTCCACTGGAGCATGGATTTACATGGCAGCCGGCAAGTGCCCGGCTACTGCCAAGGAAGAAGACGTCAACAAAACGCAATGCGGCCTCGCAGCGACCTTTGCAGTATTGTCGGCCTTCTTCTCCATCTATCAGGCACAGGGACTTTACCGCCATGGTGCACCAGCTGAACGTCGTATCAAGGGCCGTAGCTTGGCCAGCATTGATGAGATCCTTGGCCTGCCGAAGATGAATACGACTGTCCTGCCCGGCATGAGCATCTCTATGCACACTATGGAGCCACACTACGATGGTGTCGGTGAAGCCTGGCACCAGTACGGTTGGGGTGGTGTTGATGAGAACACTGGAGATGCTTTCCATGCTGTCATCAGACTTCACCCGGATGGAAGATCTCAGGCCATGTCTGAAGCTCCTCAGGAGAACAGCGGGCTGGGCAAGCGCGACAGCCCGAATGCGTACTATTCTTGGGTAGGTGATGCACTAAGAATGAATGTAGATAGCGAACGCAAGCTAATTTTTAACGGCAGACTGGCAACAATAAGAGCAACTTCAACTCCGCCGACCACAGCAAGTCCGTCGTCAAGGGAACCGCTGCTAGCGTGTGGAACTATGGAAAGAGCCACAATGTTGCGGAGCACTGCGTTGATTTCACCGACTATGGTCAGAAGCCGACCAGATACATCGACTATGGCTCCTTTGCCCTYGTCAACGGCGAGTACGTCGATCAATCCGGAACTTGCCGGCAGTGAACGTGGCCCGTAAGAATATTATAACTGGATCGTTCAGTTGCGAGGCTGGRGCTGGAGTTGGAGTGCGATCTGGCAAAAGGGGTTGGACAAGCTTCTGTATCGATGTTGAGGGGTCAATTCGATTCACTCAATAGGGGTCCAGTTGATACACGTGTGCGTCATCTGTATGCCTCTTCGTCTTAGCTAGCAGTGTCTCCTTCGATGTAGTAACAACAATTCAACATTGTCTGTTCCTTACGTCAACCTCTATAGACTTTCCGCTGCAAGAAGTAACACTTTCGTGCATGACCGTGCATGTAGCTAGCAGCTCATGGATGTAGATGTCGATTTCCCTGGTGAGAGACCGTAATCATCGTCGCACGAAAAAACCAGAAAGTTCCACTAGAACAGATGTCCACTCTGGAGCATCTCTACCATTTCATTAACAAACTTGGTTCGAGTCCTCTTATAATGCGTCGCGACACTACCTCCTTCTCAGAACCTTGGATGGCCGCCTTCGCTTATTACGGTAAGATTTTTCCTTGGCTTGCCTAAGGGTCTGAGGACAAGCCGGGGTAATCGGGCGTTTTCGCGCTATCGAGCTGATTTACCCTCCCCCCTAGCTATAATCTACCTATTACTAAGATATATAGTTTTAAGAGATGGAGGTTAGAGAGTACATTAAGGAGACGAATCGCATATAATTTGCTATAACTTTTATTATAGTATTAAAAATTAATAGGGGGGGTAGGGGAGGCAGAATAGATAGTGTACGGCTAGAATCGACTTCATTTTCGACAAGTTGATTATTACTAGGTTTAGTTCTTACTCGATTTCCGTATAGACGGTATCGTCTAGTTCGTTATGTAATTGCGCAAAATACGAAATTTCAGATTTTGGATAACTAGCTTAATTATTACATAGCTATCTACCGAAGTAGTGACCTTATATAGGCGTAACGCTCCAGATGTCCTTTCGGCCCTACTTGTCCTTAGACGCTTCACAGAGCTTTAATCGTACCTACTCTATATAAATAGGGTAGGTACACTAGCTACGGAAGTCACACCTACGGATAGAAGGAACATAACACGGAAGCGGCTGAAAGGAGATAGTCGCGACATATAGACTCTCAAATCCCGATGGCAGTTTTCATGCGCAATTGAATCGCATGGTGCGAGGACTACGCTCCAGCTGCTTTTCGCTTTCCGTTCGAGCTTGGAGAAACATTCACGTACCGTGAGGAAGACTCTGTCCAGACCATCGAAGAGCTGGCGAATAGTTTACGGTATGTGAATGTGGTGCAGATGGGCCCTGGAATGATATGTCACCACGCGGATCATATTGAGCCAGAAGTAAGAAAGCGAACTGAGCCATTCAATTTCACAAAGCATTGAACTCTCTCTATTAGAAATAATGCGGATGCATGCACTTTACCGCCCGACGGCACAAGTTCTAGAGGACGTCGTCTGGAAAGACTTGATCAAGCTCATGCCGCGAGCACAGTAGACTCCGTCGCATGGCCTCGGCCTTTTTGCTGAAACAGACAGGACTTGCAAGCCTATATGTGATGCTGCAATGACCTACACCATGTACAGCATGTAAGCTTTAAGCAGTCAGTTCTACCTCACAGCTTTCGTACTCGTTCCTATGCCAAACCACAGACTGTAACAGGGGCTTCTTGCTGACCATATATGCAAAGTTGTACTCCCTGAAGCGATCTAGGAATTCATTAGCATACGCCAAACATGACGAAACGTATACGTCCAGCGATTCATTGCCCCGAATCTTGAAGCGATAATCCGCAATTTCTGAACTCCCCTCGAAGCCACTCAGCATTACTCCTACTCTCTGTATAACTGACTCCGATCATCCTTGCCCCTTGGTGGGCTTCTCTCGCGTAGACAGGAGAATTCCTGTAAGGAACCGCTCTTTGAAAGCATTCAGTGTTTTTTTTAAAAAAGAAAAAAAAAGGGCTCATTCCTTCACGGCCCTCAGCTAACCAGATTCACCGGGGACTAAGAATTGCCTTGAAAAGTTAAGCTTTCTTCAACACGAACTCGAAGCTTGTTCATATATCAACACAAGGTCGTCTCAGAGAAATGGAACCCCTGACAACAAGCCTCAGGCCTCAACTTTTACCTAATCAATGAAATAAAAATTCCCCTCCCAATGTTCACAACACGTCGTCCTGTTCTACTACTCCATCACCACACTCCAGGTTACCATCAGGATACAAGCTACGAAGCCCTTTGCAAATTTCTCTAACATTTCCATCTTGTGCCGGGATGAGGCGCTCGAAGTCTTGGAAGCTTTGGCAACAAAGCGGATCAAATATCTATCTCTTCTTTGTGGTCTCCAAAGCGAACACAACCAGCGATTCAAAACAAAGATATTGGCGTCCGGATTTGGATGATTTCCYGTGTGGAGATTTCTGTTGGTATTGACCTGTTCCCTGTCGTCGGTTTTTTTTTTCTTTTGTCCTCCCTTTTTTCTGCTATTGTCGAATTGATTTTCTCACGGACGAGTTGGCAAGAACTGCAGCTAACACACACTCACACTCGGATATTCTACTCAATTCGCCTTCGCTACAAAGTCTACCAGCACCTTTTTGACTCACCGCAGCTCATCGTTGATCGATCAGGCTTGAAACATTCCAGGCCTAGCGCAACATCACGCACCGCAAGCATGGCACCAAAAAGGCCCACCAGAGTCGACTCGGGAAGTATGACGCTCAGCGAGTACTTCAAACTATCTCATCAAGAGCGAATGAGGATGAAAGAGAGGTTTCCACGCCGACCAAAATCACCCTCGCCTGGATCGAAGCCAACAGGAGTGTCAAAATCGGCCAAGTCGCACTTTGCGARAGCGGAAGATCATCTCAACGCTGCACAGAAAATTATAGACGTTCTCAGGGAAGAATCCCAGCGAGTCAATAACGAAACATCTTCTGGAAGTGACAGCAACGAAGATGGTTCAAATGAGGGTGATTCAACGAAAGACAGATCTTCTCAGAATGGATCTTCTCAGAACGGATATTCTCAGAACGGATCTTCCAAGGCTGCATCTTCCAAGGCTTCATCTTCCAAGGCTTCATCTTCCAAGGCTTCATCTTCCAAGGCTTCATCTTCCAAGGCTTCATCTTNCATCTTCCAAGGCTTCATCTTCCAAGGCTTCATCTTCCAAGGCTTCATCTTCCAAAGCTTCATCTTCCAAGGCTTCATCTTCCAAGGCTTCATCTTCCAAAGCTGCATCTTCCAAGGTCGCATCGTCCAGGGATGCAGCCATCAAGGCTGCATCTTCTCAGAAAGCATATGGCAAGGCTGAAAAGGAGCGCATGGCTAGAAAGGCTGGAGAGGCTGCACCTTCCAAGGCTGGTTCCAGAAAAAAGAGATCCAAAGTGGACAAATCGAAGGATGCTGAATCCTCCGAATACGATTCCTTATTCGATGAAGAATCACCTGTGACATTGCTGAAGGAGAATGGTATCTGCCTAGAAAATGAACTTCCAATCAACCCCCAAGGCGTCGAGAACGCGCTTGGTAAGGAGTTCCCTCGGACCAAAAACATCTCCCCACGCGGCCTAATCAGCCCGGGACCTCGCTGCTATAGGAATGCTGCACTACAGTGTCTGTTCCACGTCCCAGAGTTCTACAATCTCTTGGGCGCTGTACACAAAGACTGCGTCCGGATGGCCGAAGATTGCATCACCTGCGCTCTGCAACAAATGATGGACGCTTACTGGAACGGAGAGCGGGACACGCCCGGTCTGAACCATTACGGCCCTCTGCTCGACAACGCCTTGGAAACTATCATTACTTGGGATGAGGATTACCAACGACATGTCCAATCCGATCCGTATAGTTTCATGCAATACCTTCTTCGCTTCATCGAGTGGGACAGTTACGGCGTGGACCCAGATATCAAAAAATTGGACGAGGCCAACGAGGAAAGTCCATCTATCGGGAAGACTTTCAAGGTTGAGTATGTGACCCGCTGGACATGCAAGGAGTGCGGCAAGGAACACCTTCCTCCCACAGCCCCTGAGCTGGGCCTTGACGTAGCCGTATGGAGCAATCTCAAGGACGGTGCCTCTTTAGAAGAATACATCGAGGACCCCTCCTCTGAGCTGTTCGTTGACGTAAAACAGGTCATATGCGACAGCGAGATTTGCCAAGAACTGCAGCAGACCCCTGGATATGTATACCCAGACCAGATCAGAAACAGGACAATCGTTCATGGTCCAGAAATACTCATTGTACGTCTAAGACGCTTCACTGGCACTCCTTATCCGGCCATTTTCTCGAAGAGAGGAAAGCTTTTAAAAGAATCATACACGGATAGTACCAAGATCACAAAGGCTATCGCATTCAAGACAGAGCTCGATCTGACCGAGCACTCCGAGTACGAGAATGACAATCTCATCTATGATTTGAGAGGAGTGGTGGCACATAGCGGACCATCCACTGATAGGGGACACTACACGGCTGGAGTGTGTCGGCGAAGTCCTGAGGATACTTATTCTTGCGTTGACGACACAAAGGTGAGGGTGTCGACGCGAAAGCCGACGCCTCTGGTGCGTCCACCTACAGGGACGCCGTATATTCTTATCTATAGTAGAAGATCGACGCAACCGGAGGAGGATGAGGACGGAGGGGAGGAGGACGGATCCGAGGAGGATGGATCGGAGGAGGAGGAATCGGAGGTGGACGAGGACGAGGAAGAATCGGAGGTGGACGAGGACGAGGAGGTTTCAGAGGAGGAATAGTCTGATTAGATGAATTGCCAAGTACAGTTAAATATCGAATGACATTTGTGTTTTCCACAAGGTCTCTCCACAATTCATCATGACGCTCTGCTAGCGGGGAGGATTGCAGCGGAATTAGCAGTGATGGTGGTTCGGAGAGTGCGATCTCGTCGACAGTGCCTCATATCGGCGTCCATGGCTCAAGCACTTTGCGAGATTGCAATCCTTCCAACACCGGATGGATAGATGAATTTGCGAGCAGACGTTCAATGGAATGAGATTTTCCACCCGATGAAGTAAAACCTCACTTCGAAAGCATAGGCGCGAAGTCCCCAGCTCTCCATTCTGTAAGGTAAGCAAAGATCCAAGGGGAAGGAGCAGAAGTATATTATTACGTATCAAAAGGGAGAAGAACACCCTTAAGAGACATAGTAGATCATCGTACGAGACTGTGGGTATGTATGCAGCTTACTTTACCTTGTGTGCTTAAGACCTCGGAGTTGAGATGGCGGTCAGTTCGGCGTTGAAATTGTGGTGGTGATGGCTCGGAGTATGAACGCGTGGATTGCTGTTGCCTTCGGAGCTCGTTTTGGGGGRAATATTTAAATCTCTCGGGGACCTCTTGTCTACCTACCTAGTAATCTCACCTTTCCTGAGAACTTTCATTCTCTTCCTGTTAATCACGAATCGATTCGGTACTTGGAAAGGACATCCACCCATCATGAGACCATGACAAGAGTCTACTACTTCTCCCCCTCATCGACCCACAGATTAATCACTTGGATCTGGGACAACAACATAGCACAAGGCTTTCTTTCATATTAACAAATACATCTTCAATTCGTTCAAATCGTTATAGTATTACGAACAACAACTCYAACACGACATCGCGGGACACGCGATCGATGTACCGTACGGATCGGGTCCGCTGATGCCAGCAATCTGGAAGACTGCATTGATGACTCCTCCAATACCCTCTCCGGCAATGAGACCGGCCGCAATGGCGTAGCCGTAGACATCAAAGGATTTCGGGTTGCGCTTGGCCCAGAAGTAACATGGAACGGCACCGATGATCATGGCGAGACCGTAGTATGTCTGTGGCAGGACAAAGGCGAGACCAATGCACATCATCTGTTTCGGAATGTCAGCAGGGAATAATGTTGGGGTCATGAAAGTGGGAGGGAACTTAYGTTGGGGTGGTAGACGCGGTACTTCTCCCAGGTACCCTTGTATGCGTAGTGACGGACCATGACCATGAAAGCACCGAAAGCGGAGAATACAATGGCAAAGATACCACTGCTGGTAGGGACTGGGAAAGTTGGGTCGGTCATGGCGACGGCAACCGCACGCCATGCGGAGACCGAGGGAGCAGAGAAGGGGCAGGTATCAGGATCCGACTCCAAGATACATGGGTATGCCTTGGCGAAGAGGATGAATAGAGCAGGTGCCAAGAAAACAGCCACAATCGTTCCAAGACCTTGTGCCAACCACTGCTGCTTGGGAGAGGTCTTCAGGAGGAAACCGACACGGAAGTCACCGACCAAGTCACTGGCCTGGTTGGCTCCAATGGACGCGAGAGAACCACCGAGCAAGTTGAGCTTCTGGGCACGCTCTGGAGACCAGCCTTCGCCCTTGGTAGCTCCGCCGAGAATGATCTGGGAAGCCTTGGAGGCGGCAGTGAGAGGAGTGATGTCGGTGACACCAGCGCACTGCACTGCCAGGATGGAGAAGAAGAAAGCCAGGAAAATGGAGAGGAGTGACTCGCCGACAGGCATGTCGAACTGGAGAGCCATGACCACGCAAGCCATGATGATGATGAAGATGAGGAGAGGGAACCACATCCACCACTTGACGAGCTGGTCGTCGGACGCAAAGTCCTCGACGAGATCCTCAGACTGCTGCTGCGACTTTGCCTCCATGGCAGGTTGGGGCTTGCCCATGGCCTTGAGACCCTTTGCAATACCGGCGCAGCTTCCACGGTAGATGGCCTTGCCAACGTGTGCGAAGATCTTGTACTGGAGGCCGAGCTCGACGAAAGAAACCACAATCATCATCAGAACACCAGGCCACAGCATCCAGTAACGTGGACTGGGCATGTCCTTGTTCGATGCAGCAGCTCCGAGAGACGCAAAGTTGGTGAGAGGTGCCCACTTCTCCATTCCAGGTGGGACCTCGGTGAGGCCTGCAAGAGCCTGGGCCGAGTTCGGGTTGTACGGCTGGGTACCAAAAGCAGCGTGGTAGTGCACGAGCGTTGGTCCGATAATACCCCAAGCAATGATGGATCCAGCGTAAAAGGAGATGGCAGTGTTGAGACCGACAAGCATACCGGCACCAATGAAAGCAGGCGTCCACTCGATCATCCAGCCCCAGCTCTCAGCCTGCAAAGCGCCACCGCTGTAGCCTGACCAGATGTAGAACCAAGTGAAGATGTGCCAATCCCAAAGAATTCCCGTGGCATACTGCGAAACGACACGGAGGACGATGGCAATGGAGAAAGCCCATCCAAGAGCCCACATCTTCATCTGTGCGAGCTTCTCACCAGTAGCTGCCACGTGCATGGAGCGGATGGTCATGGCAGTGGCAGATGGGGTAGGGAAGATAAGCTTCAACTCTCTCGCAAGGTAGATGATGAAGAACTTGCGGACTGCATTCTGTTAGCGTGACGGTAAGCAAGTGGAGAGGAAATTTATACTCACGAGGCGTGGAGGCGGCGAAACCGAAGTAGCCACCAACGATGGTCAAAGTGATCAGACGCGAGAAATCCTTCTCGGGGGTCGAGAGCAGACCGAGCTGGTAAAGGGCCGGAATACCAGAAACAAAGACACTGCTGAGACCTCCCGCGGCGGTGGCCGCAGTCTGGACGATGTTGTTCTCGCGAGGTCCAAACTCACCACCAAAGATGGGGAATCTCTCTGGAAGCTTGCGACCCAAAGGCTTGAGGACAGCGAAACCGATAATGGCACCGAAGAGGTTGGCACCAAAGGTCCATCCGGTCTTCAGTCCCAAGTAGACGTTTGAAGCGTTGACAAGGGCACCGCAAATGCAACCCACGAGCATAGCACGGATGGTCACAATCACCTTGCGCTCTTCTGGAATGTCATCAAAGGGCACGTATGGATCGGCAATGGTCTCTTCGTCGCGCATCTCGCTCTCCTCTAGCTCGCCAACGTACACGGACTTCTCATTCTCGAACTCCTTCTCGGAKCCCGAAGAGCGGTCGCCACTGTCGTTTGGGGCGGTGCTGGTGTTGAAGACATTCTTCTTCTCCGTCAAGGGAGCCACCTGGGAGTCTGTTAGCTGGGGAAATTGGCATATCGATGGCTCGTCTGGGACATACCGATGGGTTGATGTGGCCCATGGGGTCGATCTGACGATCGATGACCTCGTTGACGTTGGCCATGGTTCAGGGTGATGCCTCGAACCTTTTTCACCTGAACAATGCAAGGTGCGACGGATCACGACGAGACGATGTTGCGCAAGAAACGGGGGGGTATGGTCTACTTATGCCAGTCGAGGCGCGCACCAATCTCCGGACCCTGGTCTGCCATGTTGCATCGTGGCTCGAATATCTGGCGGCACGGCTAGCTCGAGGCCAACCATTCACAAGCGGACGGGCGCTCGGCTATAGAGATAGAAGCACGATGGAAAGCTCTTGACTCCTTCCGCATGGGGTTAGAAGGGGTCAGCCAACGGTTCACGCTGGAATCATCGCACAGGGTTTCATACGATCGGCCGGCCATGCGACGTTGGAGAGGCAAAACAGCGAGCCGAGACGGCACCATGTCCAGCTTGGCCTGCCGCGGCTAAGTTATCGTGTGGTCAAGCATCTGTCTGCAGGCTCCGAGTAGTCTCGCACGTATAAGTTAGATATGGCGCCGTCGGTGGACGCTGCGATCAAGTCGGAAATACATCCCAAAGTGATAAGGTCCAGCAGTGCGGCCAATGGGAAGGAGCGAGGCGATAGCAGCAACACCAAAGCTGGGAGGTGGCGGGTTGCATCCGACACTTGTGGCATTTAGTCGACACACGACCTCGACAAGCAACAGCGAAAGCTCCATGATAATCAGATCCTTCGTTCGCTGCTCGCCGGAGGTCTTTGGCGAGGCGCCATACAAACTTACAGTATGGAGCAGCCAGCTCCGAGACGCAAGGCAAGACAAGTCCTCTCATGCATCCTAACCACGTCTTGGCCGCGCTATGAAGCTTATCGGCTCCCGATGCGCGCGTGACAACAAGCAGCAGGTAACGACGCTGCCGGCCGCCCAGCATGTCTTCACACTACCTTAGTTACTCTCATCGAACATGATCCATTGCCCCTCCCAGGCATATGCCGAGACTCCGAGAAAGAAAGGTTGAGGCAGAAATCCCCGATATGCTTGACCGCCGTAATTACTCACCACGTCGCCAGTGTGCGCGAGGGCATGCGAAATTCCCAAGTAGGTGGACTCGGGACGGCCAGGTTCCCAGAAGGGAAGCATGCCCGTATCCTCACACCCAACGGAGTCGAATCGTCTCATCATCACACATAGCGCGCTGTTGGTGCAAAATCGTATCCGGCACAGGGTTGGCTGGTAATCAGCAGAAAAGCCTCGACCCTATTTCCCCGCAAGGGCTTGGAGTGCTTGGACGGAAGGTTTTTCCGCCGCTCAAAGTCTGATGTGCTTGCAAGCAATGCCAAAAGCCTTGTGTCGGGACTCGTGGCCAGGCTCAGCACTGTGCCTCTTGGGTGTTCTCTCTGCCYTGGTAGACGGCCACTCTCGGAATAATGGAACGAACGCATCGGGGATAATGCGTCGTTACTCGCGGTCCTCTGCCCGCTTGTAGCGAAATAACATCAATTCCTTCCTATCTCTGCGGCACACGGCAGCCGAATAGACTTCGACCTGCAGTGGGGAAGTGTCAACTCTCGTGCATTGGCACGTGCATGCTCGCGTGCGCGCTGTGTGTCAAAACGGCGCGTGGATTTAGACGCACCGCACGTCTCGATGAGGAAGCCGAGATGAACTCGATCCTCCCACCTACTCGGCTCTAGGCACCTCCGCCGATGCAAAGCGCTCTCATCTCTGGACCCATTCTGCTTCCGGGTATCTTCTGCCTGTACACATGAGGTCGGCGCAGGACACCGCTGCCGAGCTGATGGTTCAACGAGCTCAACTTCGTGCGCTGAGGGAGCTGTGTGGTTTCAAGGCAGTCAAGCCGCAAGTCAATCCAACTCCAAGTGTCACCTGTTGGGTATGAGCAAGCCATCATCAGCCATCAGTTACGGGCCGGCCAAGACGCYGGCCCACGAGCCGTGGGCTTCGCTGAGGCGTCCTCACACTACAACGTATTAGGCAGTTGCTATGCAGGTCTGACGGGTTCGCATGTGCCTCTGGTAACTTAGCTATCAGTTGTCCAGTACTTCGGGAACCACAGAGACAGGTCCTCTCCATTTACACAGCTTCATGCTTATCGAGAAATATTAGATTCAAAGCTGGCCTTGTATCCTTCAATACATGACAGGCTTCTCATTACTCGCTTTCTTTATACGGGTGAGCTATCACTTTCTTAACGTCTGCATTTGTTCAATTCTGCCAACAAACTGGACTTACTCACGCTGATGCGTCAGTAACAACGTAAAAGCGATATCAAAGTCGAGCGAAATGGCCGAGAAAAAGAAACATGTGCGTATCTACACTCGCTCGAGGCAGGGCGTCTATTACCGACTCACTTGGAACCACTACATGTTTCTTCAGCTCAGACGATAGTTACGTGTTATCCACCAATTGTTCCCAAATTCCCGACTCCATTTCGCATGTGAATCAAAAAAACGACCCTCTTATCAATCAGGGGACGGAAAACTACCACGCGAGGAGGATTTTCGAGGTTCGGTTGCGATACTGCCTGCTATCGCCACCGAGGTGAGTGAGTTCGGTCATTCACTCGAGGATGAACAGTTCTCTCTGCATGTTATTTGTTCTTCTGTTGGTTTGTTTCTCGTATCTATCTCCTTCCTGAGGCTGGCCATGCATGACAGAAAGGTCTGTTCTCTTATAATAAAATCGTGGATCCCCATTAGTTTTGCAGTGTTTCTTGTGAGCACAACTTGCCTCTTTGAGATTCCAACACTCAGGTTATACCTTATATGCTTGAACTTTTGACGTTGCTAATCGTCGTGCTCCTCCGAGGGACTGTTGTTTAGTTGACATTTGGACTGGCTCCTGTGGATACCCTCTTGGAACAGCTACGACCAGACATCCCAATATACAGCACAATAGGCCCTAATAACTTCACTCACCTTGCTGGACCATCTAATCGAGCTGTGGACGTAGATGGCTCGACAATATACTACCCCAACCCTAACCCTTTGTTTTCCACCCAATGCCGCACACACAGCACATCTTCAATGAAATACCCGCTCGTCTGAATGAGAACCGCCCCATACGTGGGCTCGCATTTTACGTTCGGAATACATCATTAAGCGTACAGTCGACATCGCCACCTCATCACCCTATCCGAACTTCTGCTTCCCCTCCTGTGTGGGCGTACATCCCTCCAACTCCACGACAAGCCCACCATCCTTCTCACCACTCTTCCCCTCCTTCATCACCGTCTCTTTTACCYTATTCTGCCCATCAAGTTCATACTTCGCCGTGGAATCCTTTCCAGCATCCATCTCCCGCAGGTCATCCTCATGCAACTCCGACAACAACGTCTTCTCACTCCCAAGGTCACTTGGTGCCGCGTTCAAGGTATCGAAGTTCTTTTTGATGGTCCCATTGTTTCTCGCCGCCGCCGCCGCTTTTCTACGCCTGAGATACCACCATGTCGCTAGTCCTCCAAATACGACTACTGCGAAGAGGACTCCAATGACAACTGCAGCTATGGCTCCACCGCTCAGTCCACGGTTCCCACCGCTGATTGGCGTGACAGCAGCATATGATGAGTCCACGGAGGTGGGCAATGCCGCTGCTGCTGATGATGAAGAAGACGAAGAAGGCTTCAGGGGATCGGGGAGTCCCTCTTCTTTGTCCTTTTTCTTGCCATCCTTTTCGACTAAAAATGGCATGATGAATGCTCTCGCTGACCGATGCTTGTAGTGGTGATGCGACCGACACCGGCTATTGGCGTCCGGTCAGCCGATGTTGCTCCGTGATACAGGCGGTCCGGTATTGTCGTGGTCTTGCGTTGTAAAGCTGAAGGCAGGCTGAACAGTCACTCGGTTTAGATGTTCATCAATCCGGAGTTAGCTTCCGAGTAAGATATCGCATGTATAGAGCTCTTTGTTCGCTCGATGGACCGTTGCAGTGTGCCACAGCCCATGCCTCCCATGTCTCTACCGAAACTTCACCGGGATTTGACTGTCTTAAACCAATTGGCATGGATCAGGCTGGTACCGTCGAGCACGTTCATCCTGCATGGGYTGGTGATCGTAAGCTCCGCGGTATGTGGTCGATAAATAGATTGTGGGCTTAGCTTGAGAAGATGAGATTACGCAGCGCATTGGCAATCGCAACAGGCAAAATGGCAGTCGCGTGGTAGTTGCCTTGCCACCTCATCCTACAATTTCGACCCTCGGCTTTCAAGAGAAGTGCCGTCGCAGCGAGAAGGCGCAGTACTTTGCCGCGGAGTGGCGGAAGGACGAGGATGTCGAAGTGTAATCAGGTACTCCGCAAGCGAGACGAGCGATGATGTGATGCAGGCCAGATACGATGTCCATCTCTCATGCGGTGCATGGATGTTGCGCAGTCGAGCCCAGCCAAGATTGCAAACCATCCGCTGTGCAGATTCTGCGAAGCCACTGGACATTGCGTTATCAAACATGGCGGAAACCTCCAAAGCAAGGAAATGTTGCGTGATGGTTCGTCCCGTGGCGATACTGGACTTTCGATGCGATCAGCTTCCAGCTTCCAGCTTCCAAGCGGAGTATGAATGGTGGCATCTTCGAGTTAGTGGGAAAGGCAAACATTCGCTCCGCCACAACCAGCGGCGAACTGCAAGACATCAGCGACGAGTTGAGCGGCTTGCAAAGGAATACACGGGTAAAGCCCTCGTATCACTGTACATTATGCGATCCTTCTCGGTTTAAATAACCATCGCTAGCAACTCATGTCCCTCCTCAACGATCACAAAGCCTCAAATCAACCGACATTCCATCACAGTCTCCGCCTCTTCAGCTGTTCTGTGCTCCGTCTTCCTCAACATCGCATTCTCAAAAGTCTTTGTTGGCAAATCGCATCGACATCGACAGTATCCGTGGCTCTTTATAACTCTCGTAAAGAGGTATCGATTACTTCAGGGTCAGTGGGGTATATTTCTCTCATCGCTCCTCTCGATTATTAACAAGATATCAAACTCAGCCGGTCACGGTCTCTCCCTCACACATGGCTCACATGACGCTGCACTTGGGACTTCCGCTGGACTTGTCGCCCTTGACGTTCTTGACCTGTAATGCCACACGTGCAGCCTCCGTAAACGCCTCGTTGACACCGCGGTTCTTCATTGCGGAGCATTCTACGTCTTGTCAGTACCGTCCATCGCTCCGTTCAGTAACAACATGACTCACCAAGATACCGTAGGGCCTTGATCTTCTCCGCGACTGCCAGTCCTTGCTTGTAATCGATCATTGGTTTCTTAGGCTCAGCAGGACCATCCTCGTCGTCATCCTTGCCCTGCTCCCGCAAGTCACACTTCAATGCGACGAGTACAAGTCGTACATCCGGGCAATTCTCCGCAATCTCGCCAACCCATTTACTTTCCACGTTCTCGAGGGAGTCCGGCGAGTCGACGCTAAAGCACAGCATGATCGCATGCGTGTCATCGTAGGAGAGAGAGCGCAGGCGATCGAATTCTTCTTGTCCAGCCGTGTCCCATAGTGAAAGCTCGACGTGAACGTTGTCGATGAAGATGTCGTGGACGTAGTTTTCGAAAACGGTGGGCTCACTGTATCATTCGATCAACATTGACCCTTTATCTGATCGGAGTACTGTGGGTAGCTCACTATACGGTGGGGAAATAGCCACGCGTAAAGACGTTTAGCAGTGAAGTCTTTCCACACGCTCCGTCACCTCTACATGGTCGTCCAACGTCAGTTATCCGATCTGAAACGAATCGAGCCCCGCGGCACATCCCGCCGGTGGGCCATATGGAGAGTCGGATGTTCCACGTACAGTAGCACGAGCTTGCGCTGAACCGTCTTGCTTCCTCCACAGAGCGCCGGCATCTTTCGGAATCGCGGAATTCGATGTGCTGTAGGCGCGGTGCTCGTCTCCGACACCAACTTCGACGGCGCGACAGTGAAACCTCCGCGCGGCCGACTGGATGAGGGATGTCGAGTAGTGAGTCGGATGAGATACCGCCGGGTCGCAGGCTATTTTGTCTTTCGCGGCGGGGCGGGGCGTCGCGAGTATAGTGTGGTGTGGAGGAGGAGTGCGAACGAAGAGACGGGAGTAGTGTTGTCAGTTTAGATTGCGTTAGGTTGCCAGCGAGACAAAAACGTCGAGACCCGCCTCAGATCCCGCCTCAGATCTCAATCTTGCGGACTAGACCCGTGAGACTACCGTACGCTTCACCGGGAGTTGCACGCACACTGGGTGAGGTTGAGGTTGGATCACAAACGACGAGGAGGTGGACGGTTGAGCAGTGACAGAACCCATCAAAGGCTGTGCACCCTGAGAACAACTGAATCGTGACCATCAGAGCATGCTCGCCACTTCTTCTCATCTAGTTAGGCATCTTTATGCAGGGTAGCGCCGGGACATGCTCGAATCCTGGAAGATGGCGCTCGTGCCAATGCGAGTCTAATCGCATCGCTTGGCCAATCAGATTGTGCACATCACAGATGGTAAGGCTCTCACACAATACTACATGCCGGGAGCCATTGTGATGCTTTGGATTTGCTCGAAGAGGCCATTTATCGGTAATCAATACTAGGTAGTCGTGACGTCGAATAAGCAAAAGGACATGCCTGGTCGTATGGTTGTATAGCAACCAAGTTTCTCACCATCTTCGAGATGCCCTGAGATGTCCCTAATCGATTTGACTCGCAGAGCGGTACCCATTGGCTATTGGTCGAAATATTGCTCTTTGCTAGAGTATCATAACTTGACGCAGGTGTCGGAGTTTACATGATCCTGTGTCGGGGAGTGCGCTCGCAGCTGTGGTGCCATGCTGCACAATATCAATATCGATCGAACTCCCGGCTGCTTCGCTTCTTAATCTATGCAGCTTCGAATTCAACGGAATTGCCCAAGAAAGCTCATCAATCGTCATTTATTACTTCCGACCCGCCCTTCAGTCTCCGACCGATATCGACACCTTCAGCCTCGCGCCGCACATCACCGATGAATTTTGCCTGACCGGACCGCTTTCGATCATCTTCCTCTCGTTGCTTCGCCTCTCGCGCTTCAAGCTCTGCTAAACGTGTCTTGCGGTCAGACTCCAGACTGTCTGCATTGGACTGCATCGCAGCAAGTTTCCTGGCTCGCTCAGCTTCCTCATCCGCATCAGCCTTGGCTTGATCTCTGCCTTCTGGAGGGGGGCGGTAAGTTTTATCGGTTCTTCTGTGAGAATAAGGTGGCGGGGATATCCTTCCGTCATTCCAGCGATGACGAGAGCCATCATTTGAGGCGCGATGAGGTGAGCGAGAGTGCGAATTTGAAGATCCAGAGCGTTTGGGGCTGGGATATGATCGTCTGCGATCTCTACGTTCGTCTCCGTCACGTCGTCTGATTGGCGAGCGAGATCTAGACGCACTGTAGTCTCGCCGCCTGCGCGATTTGGAGCGTCCACCAGCTCTGTCTCTGCCCGTATCATCACGTCGTCGAGGTGGCGATCTAGAATGAGTTCGAGATCGAGAACGGCTGCGCGACGGAGACTTGTCTCGATGCTTGTGTGAGCTGTGTCGATGCGATCGTCTGTCTCCATCCCGCTCGTTGCTGTACCTTCTGCGCCGGTGGCCGTCATGATCTCGACGACTGCGGTGTCCGTCTCCATCCCGGTGTCGATGGCGGTGGCTGTGGCTCCTGTGTCGCTTCTCCTTCGTTGTTTCCACATCCTCAGAAACCTCTTTCCCGGCAGCTACCATCAGCTGTTTCCTCCGTACTGGATCATTCATCATGGCCTCGTATGCTGCCTGCTCCTGCTTCTTAATTGCCAGCATGGGATCGCTCGCAACCTTGGACGCCGTATCCCGCGAGGAATTGGCATTCTGGTTGAGCGCCATAAACCCCTCTTCTCCCGCATCCTTCTTCAACACCTCAGCCTCACTGCGCTTTACCAAGCCGTCTAGCCTACGCTTTCCCAGCAGGTAGCCCTCCATCTCCTCCGTCACACCACCTGCTCCGAGTCCGCCGGACCCCGGACCATTGTACATCCAGTCCACACGATCCACTCGCTTTCTGCCACCGGCGGCCTCCTGTAGGCGTTCAAGTTCCTGGATTTGGCGCTCTTCCGCTCGCTCCTTGAGCACCTGATCTGTTTTTTTGCGCTCCTCCAAGGCCTTTAATTCCTCGTTGTACACCCGTCGCTGGTTGGTCATCAGCGCCGGATGCCATGATTTCTTCAAATTAAGATCTCCACCCATGACTGCGGTTGGAGGCAAAGTGAGGTTGGAAAGGTGTTGTGGTCGTGTTGAAGAGAGAACTAGGGCCGGAGCAAAAGAGATGYCAAACCGAAGTAACTAAGGTAAGCTTATTTATTGTACCCCACACTTGGGCAGGCGCCACCACAGCTTGGAAGCTCGCGTTCACCATTCAAACAACCACTTCATCCTTCAACACTATTCTCCCTTCACGTTCCAGCGCATTGCCTGCCGGGCCGTTACTGCCTTCACGACAAAAAGCAGTTTCCTCTTTGATCGCAAGAACGGTAGCGTCGCCAACATGTCCGACGACGATGACTTTATGCAAGCATCAGACGAAGAGAAGTACATTCGACGCCTCATTCACATGTTAAGCCACCGCCAGAAGGCTTACATATCCTCAGCTACGACTTCGAATACGAGGACGATGACGATGCAGAGCAAGGCGGAGACGTCGATGTTGAGAACAAGTACTACAATGCAAAGCAGATGAAGGCGGACAACCCCGAGGAGGCCGTCGAGGAGTTTCTGGGTGTGCCGGCATTGGAGGAAGAAAAAGGCGATTGGGGTTTCAAGGGTTTGAAGCAGGCCATCAAGTTGGAATTCAAACTCGGACGATATGAAAAGGTTGGTCGGCCATAAAGATTCTAGGAAATGGGATGCAGGGCGTACTGACCATGTTCGCAGGCCGTCGAACACTACTCCGAACTCCTCACCTATGTCAAGTCTGCGGTCACGCGCAACTACTCTGAAAAGTCGATCAACAACATGCTGGACTTCATCGAGAAGAACGCAGAAGACGATACCGCAAATCAATGCATGGAGCAGTTCTATTCCAAAACACTCGATTCCTTCCAGGCCACCAACAATGAGCGATTATGGCTGTCTACCAACACCAAGCTGGCTCGACTTTGGCTGGCACAAAAGGACTATGTGAGGTTGACGGGCAAAGTGCGTGAGCTGCACAAGGCGTGCCAGCGTGAGGACGGCAGTGATGACCCAAGCAAAGGCACGTACTCGATGGAGGCGTATGCCCTTGAGATTCAGATGTATGCGGAAACGCGAAACAACAAGCGTCTCAAGGTAAGAACCACCCCGTCGGGTTCTTACATGGATGGGATGAAGCTCATTGCAATCTAGGGACTGTACCAGCGGGCGCTCAAAGTGCGATCAGCCGTGCCTCATCCAAAGATCATGGGCATCATTCGCGAGTGTGGAGGCAAGATGCATATGAGTGAAGGTGAGACCACGAGGAAGACAGGGTATCCCGGCAGGCGTTCATGTGAGCTGATGAGTGTGCCAGAGAATTGGAAGAGTGCCCAGAGTGACTTCTTTGAATCCTTCCGGAACTATGACGAGGCGGGCTCGCTTCAGCGCATCCAAGTGCTCAAGTACCTTGTCCTCACGACCATGTTGATGGGATCAGACATCAATCCTTTTGATTCCCAAGAGACGAAGCCTTACAAGAATGACCCACGCATCGCCGCCATGACGGAACTGGTCGATGCATACCAGCGAGACGACATCCATCAATATGAGACTGTCCTACAGAAGAACAAGGACCTGCTTGCGGACCCCTTCATCGCCGAGAACATTGATGAGGTGACGCGCAACATGCGTACCAAGGCCGTGGTCAAGCTTGTTGCACCGTACACACGCTTCCGGCTCGACTTCATTGCGAAGCGGCTGAACATTTCCATCCCCGAGGTCCAAGACATTGTTGGATTCCTGATCATGGACAACAAGCTACGCGGCAAGATCAACCAAGACGCCGGGACCGTTGAGATTGAGAACGGAGCCGATCTGGATAGGATGCACGCCGTGGCGGAGTGGACTGTGGCGATTCGTTCGCTAGCATCCTTTGTGCTCAACGAGAGTGATGGTTTCAAGTCTGACGAGGGCGCTTCAGGCGGCCCGGCTGACATTCTCCCCAGATCGGACTACCTCGACGCGCCGATGCCGTCGCGCGGCTCGTTAGGAGGTAGGCGGAAGCCGGGCAACCGAGGCGCGGGGRAGTGAGCCGCAGGATTGGAAGATCAAGTCTCTACATCACCGACAAGCATTACCTTTGTCGTTGCCGCGATCGCGGTCGATGGGAAGGACGGCAACATCTCAAAAGTGGTCTGTGCTGGCTGCATATGAACGACGTCGCGACTCGAGAGCACGGCTCGCTAGGGACCAAGCATTTCTGCCCCCCAGAGCCCTTGCGTGCGCGCGCAAAGATGTTTCCGTGATCCATAGTCGGACATCTTCGGCTTGGCTCCACCCCCATGTCCCGTCGCACACGGGCTCGTCCAGCGAGCGCACTGGCCACAGTCGCACCGTCCAGCTCCCCTGTTCAATGTTGATCGCATGTGTAGCGTAGATAGCGTGGGGAATGGTGAACAGGATCACGACCATTTTATAGGATCGCTTCGTTACCAGTGGCGATTGGAATAAACGCCCCGTCGGCACCCCGGCTCCCCATCCCTGCCCTTGCGCGCAATCTTGCCTGCGCTTTGTGGATACTGGCATCCACAAGGGACCGCCCAGTCGGTGGTGTCTTCATTATGCATCCGTCGATGTGACTGATCGATTTATTGCTGCATCTACTCTTTACAGTTTAGTTCTCGTCACTTTCGATGATGCACGCGACAAAGACCCGCTTCGCCATCTATCCCCGGCGGCGCAACAGTGTGTCGGGTCACAATCAGGCATTGGCGAGYCCGCGCGTTCGTCTCTCTTCACAACGAGGCGCTTCTTGCGCAACGCAGTGGCACTCAATGAATTTCCTCGGCAACCACTCGCACATATCGCACACCTGACGAGTTGCTGGCAGTGCCCCTGGTGCATCCCTCGGCGTAGCGTCGTGTTGCGTGAGGCTGACCTGGATCGTCCCTATTGCAGGAGACGAGCTTTCGACACTTACGCTTTGCAGGTAGCCCATCGGGAGCACGACTGGCGCTGCTCTGCTCTCGACAAAGCGGTCTCCAGTACGCAGGGGCGTGATGGGCCCTGCACCCGAATACCAGCTCCCCGAAGCTTGACGTGGGTACTCACAGGTTGCTAGTCTGGGTGACGGGTCCCGATCAATGCCAATGCTACAGCCACCATACATTATTGGACAGTGTTCAGCTAGCTAAAGGTGAGGCGTGCGTGCTAGTGCACAACGACCGTCAGCAAAGCATCGCTGGGTCGTTGGTACGTCTGTTGCGATTACGCTTTTGGGACGGTAGTCAAGATGGGAAGATTGAAGACGACGTGCTGTTACTCTCTGCACAGAGCGTGACCAGACCGTGCCGAACAGCTGTCCGGTGCCAACAGTGGCAGCCTCCGCGGCCGGGAAGGGCAGACGCTTCTGGTACCTGGCATGATCCATTGCACCTGTGTCCCGTGGCGGTTCGTGAAGGAGTGAGATGTGGGTGGGTGGGTGGATCTGGGATCTGGCAGACGACGCGAGACGCGATCTGCTGGAAGCGCCCGGCGAGAGGGTATCTCTCAGTGGGCTTGCACACATCACCGTGCGTTACTCGTCTGGCCCCACACCCTGGTCGCTTTGATGGTTACTCTACAGCAAGGAAGAAGTGCAGCACCCTTTGTTTCGTGTCCAGCGCAGCGCAGTCCGGTCCTCCGAGCAAGGCGAGCCAGCGTGTCGGGCACCTACTTGGGGCGCACGTCTTCCGCCCGTGATGGTGCTCTCGTCACTCCTTGTTCCAGTCGCTGCTCCGTTGCTTGTTACTCATCTACTGCACACTCGCCTGCCTTGTCTGTGGCCGCGCTGCTGTTCTGCTCTGCTGCTTTGCCCTGTTCTGCCGCAGCCCATCAATCAATTCGATCTCCTCGCCGCCGGACCAGTGCATGCATGTGTGCGTCCCGTCGACGGCCAGAGTTCTTCCTGATTGCAATCTCCAGTCGCAGTCTCCGTTGCAGTCCCACCACAACCGACCAAGTCTCGTCCATTCCGACATTCCTCGCCATACCATACCACACCATAGCATACTGGCACTCAACACAGCCTCGCACTCTCTCCTAGATCAGCAGCGCTTGACAACACATCAACAAGCGGACCGTCTTAGCAATCGCGACGGTACGTTGACAGGTCGCATTCGATTTGCAGAGAGACAGGCCCCGCCCCGCTTCACTGCTTTAGCTCGCCAAAGCTTGCCGGCACGCGAGAATCACGATGAATCGGCAACCCGTCGCTACTGCGTCGAATTATTATCATTCTCACGCGACCGACTTCCAACCGCACCCGCAACACTACCATGATCCCGCTGGATCGCTGGGCTATCGTTCCTTGCAATTGCCATTGCAGAACCTCCACGACGCCGGAAGTGCTGATCAGCAGACACAACTCTCGCTAGCGGCCTATCAGCAACACCAACAGCAACAGCAACGCCAGCAGCAGCAGGTTCAGCAGGTCCAGCTGCAGCAATCCAACTTCGCCTTTCGCCATCAGCAGGGCCAAGTCTGCCCTCAACACCAGTCCGACGCCGGTCAACATCGCGCACCCGCCGTCAGCCGTCAGCATTCCGGAGCCATGGCTTACGAGGAAGAATTGGCCGCGATGCAGAAAGCAAGCGCTGAATTCGAACCCGAGGTGACGGTACGTTGAACCGAACCCAACCCGCACACGCACACGCAAAACGTCGTCCCTCAGCCGATGTGAGGTGCCTCACCATCAGTTTACGTCACTTAGAGTTGCGGTGCGGGTCGATGGCGGAGGAAAAAGTATCCGAGCGCTGACGTTGATCTCCCACAGGGACCGCTTGTTGGACAACGCCAGCCGAGCACGGCTATAACGACCGAATACGCATCTGCAGACCCGGTTTACCAGGCGAAGACTGCTGTGAGTAGGTCGAGAATGAACAAGAGGACCCGGTGCTGACCATTCTAGGCCCTCCCGCAAAAGTACTCACACTACCGGACAGTACGGGGCGATGGAAAATGTGGTTGGAGAGGTACGATCTGCTTTCTACCAGTGAAATGACTGCAAACGCTGACACTATCTTCACAGCCGTGGCCTTTGGCTACTTCGAGGCTCTCATCCACCTGGGTGATGTCAACAAGCTCGGAATGGAGCAGGCACGCCTCCGCTCACTCAACAACGTCATGAGTCAGGCAGGTTATAGTGCGATGTTGGTCGAAGACTTTGCGGATGAAACGCTCGAACTTCTCCGCGACATTACCTCTGCAATCAGCCAGGGACGTGATGCTTCTACCATTCTGCTGGAGAAGTTCAACGACGACATGGTTCAGAACTACATCATCACCCACCTTCGCGTAAGTGGAAATCATATCAAAAGACTGACCCCCTCGGTGATACTGACATCCTCCAGACCTTGACTGCCTCCTGGATGAAGACTCGTGAGGCCGACTACGCTCCATGGCTGATTGGTACTACCATCGATCAATATTGCGAGTCGCAAATCACTCCTGTTGGTGCCGAAATAGACCATGTCGGGCTATCTGCTCTCAAGGACGCCCTGCTGTCACCCGCTGGAATGGCTCTGGAGGTGCTCTATCTCGATCGTAGCGAAGGCAGCGAAGTCACGATGCACCGTTTCGATCCGAATGGTTACGCCATCGGCAGTGTGAGGCTGCTTTACCGACCGTGAGTACTTCGTCCGGGTACGCCAAGTAAATACTGACACGGTGCAGCGGTCACTACGACATACTCTACAAATTGGAGGATCTGCCGGTACCCGTCCAACAGATTGCTGTCCCCACGTACTTGCAGTTTGCCAGCCAGCCCAACGAGCCAGTGTACGACCTTGGCGTCTCGGACTTCATGACCATGATGCCAGGCATGTCTTACGCCAACTCGGCTCACTGGGGCATGTCGTCCAGCTATGGGGGAACGCAGGATTTCTTTCACACACCTCCGCAAGCGTGTGCGCAGCCCATTCCGACGCCGTCGGTACCAACTCCGCAAACTCACGTTCACTCCCAGCCTGCGTACGCCGCTGCTACATCCCCTACTCATTTGGTACCACCTCCAACGCAGATGACCCATGAAATGCCAATCCGCAACATATCTCACATCTCGCATGTCTCCCAGACCTCGCTGGCGCATTCGGACTTTCAACATCAGCTCAGTGGCGGGCCATTCAGACCCTCTGCTTGGCAGCTGGAACCCGATTTCATGCACGCCGCCACGCATCTGCCGTTGAAAACTGCCATCTTCAAGAAGTAAGTCTTCCCTCAACGAGTGGACATTCYCCTGCTGACCCCTTGCGAAGCTCTCACTTCAACCCGGCTCACTTCCTCAACCCGGATTTCCAGCCCGAGCAGTGGGACCCCGATGGAGAGTACCTGACGGCAAGCAACAGCAGCAAGAGTTTGYGACACAGGAACAGCGGATGACCCTCCGTGACCTTCCACAAGAAAAAGATCCAAATGACCGACTTCTCGAAAATAGATGTCGTTAACCGTCTCTCGTGGAAGTCTACCAGGATCTAGCCCTATCACAGGCGTCGCACCATGTGTGCGGCACTGTGCATTGGGTATTCCCTCATCACATCTTTTCGATATCCTCAACCAATCATCAGGCAGCAGGAGCACTCCGGTCCGCCCGACGCTCTTTTTTCTCCACCTCTTTCTGCTTTGCAAGCTTAACTGGGTGGCACTGTTGAGCAATCGACAGTCCCACTCCGATAACGACGACTTTAACGACCAAGACTTATTCACCTCAGGGTACCCTAGCGACAACATTACTATCAAAGCAGTATACCATTTCCTTTCCGTATTGAGTACTCTTGAAATCTAATGGTCGGTGTGCGGTGTGCGGTGTGGAAAGTTATGGAGGGATAGTGTAGCATTTGTAGGCGCGAGGACGGGGCCTTTGGGATGGCCACGGAAATGGGACGGAGAGGGCAGGGGGAGTATCGGAGTGGAGGGGAGAGAAAAGGGATCTCGAAAGTCTATCGGAACATCTTACTTGAAATTATCTCCTCTTGAGTGATGGAGAAAAGGAACTTGATGGTATAGCTAGAGTTGCATCGGATATCTAAGACACTCCTTTGCTTCCAGTTAAGTCTTGTCATCGAGTGCACTGTTTTCGAGTATGGATTGCGCACGATAGAAGTCATGTACCTGTCCGAGGCTCTTGATGCATTCATGACTCTCAAGACGGTCAAGCAGTGGGCTGGCTCAAAGCAAATGCCGGCACCTGTGAGGGTGGCGAGATGTAAATCTCATGAGTGACGAATTCACATGCATTTCGGTAGATGTTGATGGTGTGAGGAGTGTTCCAAGCGAAGTCGATGCTGTCTCAGAGTACAGCACATCAGGTGGAAGGGGAAGAGTGAGGTCTTGGCATTGATGCATTAGAACTAGCGCCACTTCGCAAGTCGGCACACACCAGCGCACGAAATTCCGAGCGACTTCGACCAAGCACGAGTTTGCCCACATCTGTGAGTGTTCCCGCCGCTGCCACATCACACCACGGAAACGGCAATTAACACACCGCAGAAACCAACCCTCCCGTCAATACCGTCACAATGGGTGTATGTATCCCTCGAACTCTGCCACGCGCGAGTCGCAACTGACAATGGAACGCAGCACGCCGCAGGTCTCCGCGCTGGCACTCGCTATGGTCAGTCATTCATCCCCGAGAGAAAAGAGCCAGAGAATTGCAGGAAAGGGCATGAGGATTTGGAGTGGGATGGCAGATGGACATTTGAAAATTGGAGAGGGACACGGCAATGTATGAGGACAAGCGAACTGACAGTGGATTGCAGCCTTCTCTCGCGACTTCAAGAAGAAGGGTATGATCGCTCTGTCGACCTACCTCAAGCAGTACAAGGTCGGCGACATCGTCGATGTGGTTGCCAACGGAGCCGTCCAGAAGGGCATGGTATGTGAATGGGATCATCTCCAGCGCAGCATGGACACCCGACTAACACCTCTCCTCAATAAAGCCCTACAAGGTCTACCACGGTAAGACCGGAGTTGTCTACAACGTCACCAAGTCCGCCGTCGGTGTCATCCTCTACAGACAAGTCGGAAACCGCTACATGGAGAAGCGCATCAACGTCCGCGTCGAGCACGTCCGTCACTCCCGCTCCCGGGACGAGTTCTTGGCCCGTGTTAAGAGCAACGCCGCCAAGAAGCGCCAGGCAAAGGAGACTGGCGAGCACCTCCACCTCAAGAGACAGCCCGCTCAGCCCAGAGAGGCGCGGACCGTCAGCGCCAAGGACAACAAGCCAGAGAATGTTGTCGCGATAGCATACGAGACCACGATCTAAGGGACCATACCAGCGTTGTTTTGTTACTTCGTGGATGTTCATGGTGACCTGGCGCAAAATGTGTGGGTGGTGGATATCGGGCTGTGAAAACGGGGCATTGGAATGATGAGCGGCGCCTTGCAGAGCGCAACACACGAGGAATGCTGCGACTACTGCACGCTTTCTGATCGCCGCCATCATCTTCTCCGTAGCATGCGAATCGATCAAGCAAGCTTGAGGAACCAAAAAGACTTCCAAAAACATTGCAGTCTACTTCTTTTGTTTCGTAACGCTGAATCTTTCGTAGTTTGCGCTGGGCTCGACACGCCATCAAACGTGCCGCTGAACGTAGTATGAGCGAGCTTGACTCGAGTTGGAAGAGAACTACTCAAGGCTTCCCAGTTTGGTATGGACAAACTGCTCCAAGCAGCTTTCTTCACGACTCTCGCGCCAAGCACTTGCATCTCTCCACCTTCAAGCTTGAACCTCGACTAAACCTTTATCATCGACAACAATCGAACGTGATAATTTCCAACTTAACATGTCTCCTTCCTCATCCACCCTCCCAAACCCAGGCAAATCACTACCATCCCGCCAAAACTCAATCAAGAAACACGCAGCAGAAGACTCGCTCTCAGCTCCCGCAAACAAGCCCGTTCCTACTCCACGCACTCATTCTCCAGTAACTGAATCTCATAACCCAGCTTACACAGTTTTCATTCGCCTCCCTTTCAACAGAAATGGTTTCGAAGACCCCCCACCGGTGCACTGGGATGCTTCAAAGGATCGACAATTATGGAGACTCATCTCCAAATCCAATTCTGGTAACTTGGACTGGGAGGCGCTGAGCGTACAGCTGGAGGTGGAGTTGAGCTTTCTGCTCATGCAGGCTGCCTGGCTATACGAACGGCATACGGAGAGGATGAGGAAGTTGGTGGTGAAGATTGGCGGTGAAGGCAGTGGGAGTGGAAGCGGGGTCGGAGGAGCAGGTATTTATCCTCAAGTCTATCGCATCTGGTGAAGACAATCTCTGACTCGTAGCTACGCAGATTCGAAGCTGCCGGCACAGGACATCGGATCTGGAACTGCGGAGACGATAAGGGGCGGTACTGCTGTTACACCCACGGCTGGCCTTTCGAGGACGGCTTCTGCGGCAACCGTGACGATGAGTAAAGACGGGACGACGAACGTGCAACACAGACCCTTTCGTGCTGGAAGTACTTCCGGAGGACGTCGACCMGCTACCATAGCGCGTGGTCCGCGAGACGAGTACTACGAAGATGCGATTGAGCACGAAGGTGTTGAAGACGCATCCGATTCCGAGGATGGCCTTCCTACTTTCGGGAGAAGCCAAGCTGCCCGGCGCGTAAAGAAGACTGCTATCAAACGCTCCGTACATCTCAGCTCGGACGGCGACGACGATGAGTACTCCTCGGGTGGAGGCTATCTCCCATTCGCCACAGCATCCGCTATCAAAGCCGATCCCAAGAGAAGTGCGGATCAGGCTGTGACAATGACCAGGCGGAACCCTCTTGCTCAACCTCAACAGAAGGAAACCCCACGAAAGGAATCCTCCACGTCTTCGGCGGAGCGTCAGGACCTCTCGAGCTCCGGGATTGGAACTGCAGCTGCTATTAGTCCTAGACATCGTGCGCAGCTAGTAGGACTGTCCCCTCGAGGCAGCGAGGGCAGTCCGAGCATGGGTAGTAGCTTTAGTGATCTGGATGATGCGAGCGTTACGCAGTCTGCGTTGGAGGATGCTCTGTTGAGTAACATGAGGCAGCAGGGCGGCGGTGGGAGTTCCATGGCGAGTCGGATTGGGAGCATCAGGGATGTGCTTGGGAGGAGGGGTCTGTAGAGTCTTTGTCGCCATCCCTTCAGCCAATGCATATGCGCACTGCATGCCGTCTGTTGATGATCTAGATCCATCATCATCTCATGTCATGTTCAATATTCGGCTCCAAGGTGCAGCTCCTGACCTCTCAATGCAACCACATGTGTCGTCGTGGACCGACCTCGGCGGAACTAGCTGCCGTGACGATCGATGGACTTCGCGCCTTTCGTTCCCTCCTACGCATCGTCGCTCCACCATTCACCCACCTGTTATGCCTGCACGACCCTYCCCCTTCGCCCTGCGCGTTGGCACCGACATAGTCAACGTAAACCGTATTAGCAAAATCATTGCTCAACATCGAGTTGACAGGGCAGCACCGCAATTGCAACCCTTCCTCAACAAAGTCTTCACCTTTCGGGAGCAACGGGACTTCCGCGCCCGGTTTCCAAACTTCCACGTAACCGATACCGAGCGCCTACCACAAGTAGCAGCGCATCTAGCCGGTCGATATGCAGCAAAAGAAGCTGCGATCAAAGCTGTAAAGCCCCGCAAACTCGTCTACCTGGACGTTGAAGTACYGCGGTCCGGGGCTACAGGCGAACTGTTTGGCTTGATCCGGGACAAGACTTTCGAACACAAAATCGGCGTCAAACGCTTGGAGCTCGACAAGGGCACGTCGAGTACGGCTATAGGAGAGGAACCTTCAGCTGCGGAGGCTGCAACGGAGAGTCCGTTTGCCTACCGCGGGAGCATTGGAGAGGATGAATCCGATCCTCCAGGGCAGGTTGTTGCGATGAGTCTTAGTCATGAGAGGAACTATGCTACGGCGGTTTGTATAGCGCCGCTGGAGGCTATACCTGGTGATGTGGGCGGCGAGGCGGCGGCGAGGATGTATGACGCTCCTCGGGGTGATGCCGATTCCTCGAAAAAGTCAAGTGAGAACTTCTTCAAGGACTCCGAGACCTTTCACTGGTAGTCGGTAGGAGTCTCTACTGGATGACTCGCTATGCGCACATGGCCCGGTGTTGTAGGTGCTCGCGTTCAGGGGCAAGCCATGGATGGCACATCACGTCCTTCAACCAAAAAAGCGAGCTTCGACATTCTCTACTGCATGGACATCAACTCCGCTTTGCCATGGCATGCTTCACTCCGCGTTTTGCTGCTGTGCCAAAAATGTTGGCCAATACCATCATGGCTCTGCGCAACCACTCTGTCAATGCGCGTCGCTTCGCCATTGATCTGGACCACGCTCGCGATCCAGCCAGTCATTCTGAGGACGAACGCTGTAGCTAGAGCCTCGTTCCACTGAAACGAAGTCAAGTTACATGTCGACCCAAATCCGGTATTACGTAGATGGCTTCCTCGGTGCTGAAATTTGCCTCATTGCCATTACACGGTCTGCCATTGATCTCACGGTCAGTTACAAAGGTCTAGCTAAAGTCTTCATCCTCAACTCATTCATGCTGCGTCGTACATTTTGCACGTCAGTATGTGTGTGACGTCAAGCTCCACACGATCCACTTACCTGCTACCCATGTAACAGACTTAGTCCATATAGCTTTCATGTCATCGTGATCGTCTTGACACGGGCAACGCTGAACTTGATCAATCACACCCGATACCATCGCAATGTCCGTCAAAGCAATTCACTTCAAAGAGCCAGGTCCGCCCTCCAAGCTCGAGCTAACTTCCATTCCCAAGCCGAAGCCACAATCCAATGATCTCCTCATCAAGATCAAAGCTTGTGCAGTCAACCCAATTGATACCAAGGTCAGACAAGGCGCCTTTCCAGCTTCCGACATCACCGGATATGACGGAGCAGGAATCGTGGAAGACGTCGGCTCTGCCGTCAAGGGGTTCAAACCCGGCGACGAGGTCTATTACTCCGGCATCCTAGGTCAACCTGGAACCACCGCTCAATACAACCTGGTAGATTACCGCGTCGCCGCTCTCAAGCCGAAGAGGCTAGACTTTGTGGCCGCAGCCACGGCTCCGCTGGTGACGATTACAGCCTGGGAACTCCTCGAGGAGCATTTCAACCTCCAACAAAACGATGCTCTTGGGAAGCAAAAAGACAAGAGCATCCTAATCATCAACGGTGCGGGCGGCGTGGGTTCCATCGCCACACAGCTCGCAAGAAACGTGTTCAAGCTTGGGAAAGTCATTGTTACTGCCAGCCGGCCGGAGACGATCAAGCACGCTCAAAAGCTTGGTGCGACGCATGTCATCAACCACCACAAGGACCTGAAAGAACAGCTGAAATCTGAAGTCGGCATTGAAGGTGTGGATTACGTCTTCATCTGCTATGATACAAATGCATACATGCCTATCGCGGTCGACCTTGCCAATCCAAAGGCCAAGATCGGAAGTATTGTTGAGATTTCTGAGCCGCTAAAGGGGTTTGAGAAGCCAGATGCCTTTATGAAGGCGTTGTCGTTTCATTGGGAGTTGATGTTGAGTAAAGGTGTGCATGGGTATGAGCTGGAAAGCCAGGGCGAGATTTTGAAGAGAGCGGCGAAGTTGTTTGACAGTGGGGAGTTGGTCAGTATCGAGACGGAGAGGTGTACGTTGAGTGTCGAGAATCTGAGAAAGGCGCACGAGAAACTCGAAAATGGGAAGATGGTCGGCAAGGCTGGACTTGAGGTTGGTGAGGACATTCAATAGATAAATCATATGTTGGATCTGCTTTTCCTCGCGATATTTGTCCTTACAACTGGGTTTCTCACGCCACTTGTTTGTGACCAGAACGGTAGGATATACGGCGTTGTTGTGATGTCGACCTTGGGGGAAGAAGCCGCCTTCAATAATACGTAGCACCACCAAACCGTCGGAATCCTAGCAAAGATCGGGGTAGAGGTTGACGGAGGTCGACGGAGTGAATCAATGCTACCCCAACCCTAACCCTGTGTTAATCTCAAATTGCCCAAGCGAAACCGCCAGCCGCCTTCCCCGTCCTCCCGTCCTCTGCGTCCCACCTCAGCCGACATTTCCACCTCAGACAATGCTCCGCGGAGTAGCCAGAAAAATCTAGGCCGAGCTCGCCAACTCAGAAGATTCGACTGGTGAAAGACAATGCTCGGAAAAGATCCACAGGATGAGCCGTTCTCAATTACAACGATGCGAACTCCTTTTCTACCGACGGAGAGCGCCTGCATTGTTCTCATACTACCCATGCACTCATGAAATCATTTCTCGTCAAAGCAGCTGACCGATACAGTATCAAAGCCTCACAAGTGTACTGCAGTGTGCTCATCGATATACTTATCAACACCCCACAGCAAAACGCACGAGATGCTCGCGATAGCTCCCCATGCAATGGAGATCAGATAAAGCAGAGGGAAAGCCCTGCTGTACAATTCCTTGCCACCTGCAACCAGAGTCGCAACGGCTTCTGAAGATGTGATTTCTGGAAACAAGCCTCGGTCGACGTAGAATTGCAGACTACAAGCGTGTTAGCCTACTGGAAACCGTACTGGAGAGATTGTTGCTTACGGTCCGGCAGTCAGCTGGTTCACCAACACGCGGATGCGTTCGGCGTTTTGAAACCCTGCTTCAAGCGCCGGGATCGCAATGATGTCCAGATTGTCAGGGTTGCTGGCCAGAGCAGTGACCTCTGACCGAAAAATGTTGTAAAACATACTCTTGCCAATTACCTTCWACAAGTTAGCGAGCTATCCTCCGAAAATCCTGCGTGACTGCATGTCTTGATCTCATCATACTCACCTGGCCAATCATTCGAACCACCACCGAGAGCGCCACGCTGGTGCCGATCAGATCATCTGGACAGATGACTGCAGACATTAGCACCGACAGAAGAGAAAGCATAAGGTTATGCTCACCTGAGAAGACAACCTGAGATGGCAACAGCACTCCGCCAACTCCGATCAACCCGATGACCATTGGCGCCCACACCGTGTTGATGTTGTCTTTGTCAAACAACGCCATGCAGCCGATACCTGTTGTCTGTGATACGCAGAACAGCAGCAGGACCCACTGTACATGCCTTCGAAAGACAGAGATCATGATGGCACTCATGATAGAGCCGCCGACAATGCAGAGTCCGAGAGGCAGCAGGAAAACCCCAGCTTGTTGAAAACTTGCCTCATATACCGTGTAAACTTGGATGGTCCAGAACACGGTTCTGCACCTCTGGTCAGTCAAAGCTTCGGGATAGATGCACGGGATATTTCTCACAGAGGAACGTAATTCACTCCGGAAACCAGGCAGAGCACGGAAACAGCGAAGAAGTGTCGCTTCGACTGGATCAGGCGCATCGGGAACATCGGATACTTGACCACGTATCGCTCGTAAAGGACGAAGACAACCATGATGAGCACACCAAGGATCAAAAAGCTGATGACACGCGCGGAGCCCCATGCGTAGTCACCCCCTCCCCAGTTAATACCGATGAGAAACATCACGACTCCTAGAATGCTCAGGACGCAGCCTCCATAGTCGATTCGCTTCAAAATCTCCATCTTGGTCATTCCAGCCGCAAGGGGACGAGGTGGAGGGCGGTAGAATATGAAGAGGACGATGAATGCCAGTACTGAGACGATCGCGAGGAGCAGGTAGATATAGCGCCAGCTATGCTCGGCAATCAACTGGCCATAGAGGGAACCTGGAGCGAAAGGAATAATGGCCACTAAGAAGAAAAAGGGCAAGATGGTCAGTGATATCTCACAAGAAAAGCGAAGCACAAAAAATGGAAGCGCTCCCTGCGAAACTGGCTTCTCATCGCTTAGAAGCCTCCATTTTGGTCTACCACCTCATGAAAGGAGGCTTGGAAGTCGCTTCAGGACATATCTTGCTCGAGGCTTTACTCACTTGCTAGATATCCAATAGTGGCTCCTGAAGAACGTTTAGCAGGCCGAACTTTGTGCTGAAAGCAGACACTACAAACCTCGCTTATGCATAGGAACAAGCTCCGAAGCTGCTGCTATGACGGACATGATCTGGATACCAATCGCAGCTCCGGCTATCACACCTCCGGCCAAGTAGCAAGCGAAGTTGGGCGCCGCCGCCTGGAGGATGAACGCGACGACCACCAGGACCAGACTAAGCAGGATGATTCCCCTTCGGCCCATCACATCCGACAGGTTCCCCACGAATGGCGCAATGGCTCCAGTAGCAATGTAGGGAGCCACAAGGATCCAAATGACTTGATCGAGCGCGTCTAGATCGGCTGCAATGATGGTGAAACAAGTAACCAGGAACAGAGGCGTGACTTCTGCTACGATAAAGGCCAGAGCTAAGCCCACCATGGTCATGAAAAACGAAAAGTTGATCTATGTGAGAATGTTAGCTACGTTTCTCTCGCCTGATTACAGATAGTCCACGCCAGCAGACCTTGTTCTCTCCCTGATCGGCGCCATCATAGGAACTCTTGCTGCCGTCATTGAGGGAGACGTGCTCCAGGTGAGAGGCATCATGTTCTTTCTTCTCTTGCAATGTGTAAGAAGACATGGCCGCAGAGAGAGCTAGCCAGCGTGAATGGAAATCGTCCGGTCCGAGAGGGGGAGAGCAATCCCCTGCCATCTTGTAGGTGCAAAAAGCGACCAAACAACGCCAAGACCATCAGGGATTCTTTCCGCATATGAATGCAGCCAAGCAAAATATACATCGCGCGGCCAAGACGGCCCCGCAAACGCCACCATGCGACTCGTCCATCTACACCCTTCATCAGCAGGTTCGATCTTTGGGCTTGGGTGAGGGGTCGAGTATTGGCCAATTCCAGTCAGTCCGCGGAATGTACGGGAAAAACGTGTGGCAAACATTCTTCTCTGCTTTCCTTACAAGTTGTAGATGGTCGAAAGTGACTATTCACATGAACATACCCGTCTAACTTCAACTCTGGCGGGATAGGAAGGCAAGAGTGTTGAACTATCACCAACTGATTCCATGGAACTGAGTGCATAGATACCCCGAATGTGCCACATGGCTAAACGACCGGCCAAATCTCGTGGGACAGCGGCAGCAGATCATGGACGTGCTGGGCGCGCTTGGAGTGGCATGAAGCATTGGCTCGTATCATTCGTACGGCCTAGTTGCTCTTGGATCATATGTGTCTTGCATGTCTTTCTCATGTCCATTCGCAGCACTTGCCTCGGTGTACTGTCGTACTCTGCCTCGCGTGTGTGGTCTGCTTCAACGCACCAAGCAGAGGCGATTGCTCGACGCGTTGCAGCCAAATCTCTCCTTTGCCTCCCCCGGCTTGGTCCGCAAGCGCAGGTATCACAGCTCCAGTCGATAGACTGCCTGCAAGCCAGAAACACAAAGTCATACTCTTCGCACGTTCCAATACCTTAGCATGTCCCGTCTATTCGTCACTCCTGCAAGCTCCTGTTCGTGTCTGATCATTCCATCATCTCATGTCTCATTTTACCGTTTGCCGTTTTATCTCTGATTCACCCACCGTGTGTGCGTACCATTCTCGACGCGCAGGAGGGCCTCTCCCGTGGCACGGCTGAGCATGCCTTTCAACTTCTTGGACTGCGTTTGCCACTCAATCTGCTCTTCAACCGTCTGTTCTGGCTCGCCTTCTTCACCGTAGTATTTGACGAAATCAAAGAAATCCGTCTCGGGAAGCGGATCAGAGTCCACGGCTTCAAACGGATCAACTCCCAGTCCGTACTCCATCTCGGGCCCTGCTAGCCAAACTCGCTGGATACGAGCAAGCTCGCCGTCTTCAGGATACGTATTCGGGAACGTGGTCCCGAGATAAGTCACGTGCGGAAAGTATTCTGATTGTGGTAGAGACAGGGTCGAGAGCCAGTTGCCGTCCCATTCAACAATACGGTGAAACTTTGCGGCTTCAGAGTTTTCAACATGTGCAGAATGGTTCAGTTGAGTTCGCTTTTGTTGGTAAATGTCAATTGGCAGATCGTGGCGACGGAAGCCTTGAGGTAGCTGTGCATCGTGGATGGCAGGCGTAGAGCGGTGCATCTTGGGTACAGTCTGAGAGGTGAGCATCTGGGAGGGATGCAATGGTGTGGAGAGCCGCGAGGTGGCCGGTATGGAGCGCTCCGGTGTTGTTGGGGCTCGTGGTGTGGTCTCGGGGGATCGCGTTGAGCTGTTGAACGACGTTAGCAAAATTGCAGCATATCGAGGCCTTGCCATACTATACCTTCCAGCTATCTCAACTCCTGAATCCTCTCGACTTCGCATGGCCGCGAACGTAGCCATCTGTTCAAAGAAGCTGATATCCATTGGGACTGGCCAAACAATTGTTGTTGATGTATGCGATGGCAACCGACGTCATGCGTTGTTAAGGAGAGCAGAATGAAGCCAAACGCCGAAAGTCGAGAAAATCCGAGAGTGACCACAGCAGTCTTGCAGCAACACTTTCTGGAGATTGGAATGCGCAGTGGCAGCTGCCACGAGAACATTCATTCTCCGTCGTCGTCTTCCCGGCGTGAAAAGGAACCACCGAGATGCGACCAATCTTTGCACTTGTTGAGTGGCTGTATTCGGAGCAGAGGCTCGACGAGCATGGAGGGATTTGTGTGAAAGCTGCATATTCTGGTGAAGTCGCAATTCACAGCGTTTGAGGTGAGGTTTTTCGGATACAGACCAGGACCGCCGAGAGTGAATGATTGCGCACAAAGATCCCGGGTATCCCGTCGGTGTCTTGCCACGAAGCAGGCCAGGTGACATCGGGACTACTTCTTGATGGTTCCATTGCATTCACATGTTGGCTTTTAAAGTAATCTCTATTCGGGGCGGGGAGAACATGTCCGCATTCTCAATAGGAGGGCTGATCTGACGACAGGTGTCGCCAGGATATCAAGCGCATGCATCTTATGCTCACCTTGTGAGTCGTGTCATGTGCGTAGTACATTGAGTCTACGAATCCGTCATACTTCACATCACCTGATTGAGTGCGAGGCATCGGAAGTGAATGTGGAGGCCCCAGGAGTGACATGTGCACATTGCAGAAGCAGACTGGCGACATGTTACTGGGGCCCGCCACACTCTTCACCTCCCCACGACAGAGGCGGCAGTTTTCATACTCCAGATCTTGTTCTATGTTGCGTCGAGCCCATGGCAGCGATGGTCGATAAGACCCTCAGACGCCATAGGCATCGGCCTGATCTGTAGACCTTTATCAAGGGCAAACTGGGCATCATAATAGCTCTTCAACTTCAACTCACATCAAGCCTTGAACTCGATGGCCAACTTCAGATACATAGAGGTCATATCCCGCATCGCCGGTTTTGCCTTGAGCGCCGTCCTGACGCTCCCCGAGCAAATGACGTCGCAAGATTCACCCAGGTACTGTCACGTACCTTTTCGCGTGCAAGGAAGCACACCCTGTGCCGACGTTCCATCCAAGGCAGAGCACGTGAGGCTCACATTCGAGCCTCGAGATATGGCAGGCGGCTTTTGGAATGTCTTCAAGTGGTGCGAGCTTGGTCTCGTGGCCATAGTCTTGGGTCTACCGTTGAACGTTGAACGTTGAACGTATGAAGGCGAATATCCAACTCTTGCGTTTCATTATCCGCCTTGCTCCAACTTGAGATGAAGTAATCCAAAACCTGGGATGGTGTTGACTCTATTGCATCTGGAAATGCGTGTTCTCGATGGTCGTGTACAGGGTGGCGTCAATATGTGCGGAGTGCTCGGGATGAATCGCAGTACAAAAAAACAGAGTGGAAGAATGGCGAAGTGAGCCAGCAAGGCGCTTGCTTGGTAGCGGCCGTTGATCCAACCTTACAGCCACCACGCCGTTTCTCCATTCCTCATCTAATCATCAACTCGTACGTGCCCGGTCGTGCATAGCGGCACATCTGCAACGTCTGCATCTCGCACATGCTCCTCCGAAATTTTTCATGAGGTCGCTTCCTCAGTTTGCTCATAGCCTTCCGTGACGATGTCATTCAACCCAAGATCTTCCATCTCCTCCTCGGTCCGCTCATAGTCAAGTAGCTCTATCTTGGGATCAGGCTCCGGTGCAGTCAAACTCTGAACGTATGAGCCTGCCAAAGGATCTTCAAGCACGAGGGTAAATTCCTTGCGACCCTCGATAGCGTCCGTCAACGAGGCAAAGAAGTCTTCCCATTGCTTCTTGCTTCCTTCCGCCATCGAGTCACCGCCACCATTGGGCACTTCCGCATCGCCATCTTCCAGCCCAAAAGCTTGGCCTCGAAGGTCTTTGCGGATCTGAGTCATGATACCCTCCACTGTAGTGAAGCGGCCGCCCATAGTACCAGGCTCCACTCGTAGCTGCAATTCTGGGCAGACAAGAGAAGCACTTTCACTCTTAAGGATGTCTCGTCCGAGATCCTCGCTGCTGGTGACCTTGAGAGTTATCTTGCGACCTTTCTCAGGAACCTCACCACCTGTCTTGACCTCGTTGCTTCGATAACCGCATGCGTCGCACACTGTCGACATGAGTACGACCTGCTTGAAGTACGGAATGTTGACCATTTTCATGTTCGTTGCACAAGGTCGCGTGCAGCCTGGACATGAAGCGGGGAAAGTGTAAACTTGGTTCTCGACAATGTCGTCTTCCTGATCCACGTTGTTGCCTTGAGTTGTTGACTCCTCTGCGCCTACCATGCCTGCAGCGTGGTACTCGGGACGGATCTCTGTTGAAGGTGCTTGCGATGCTGGCTGTGGGATGTCGTCACCGAGTCCTAGTACTGCATTTTGTGCTGGGGTCCGGTTGTAATCGCTCTTTGCCCATTTGCCCGCCGCGTCACCTGGCCGTGGCTCGATAGAGCTGTTTCCACTCGGGTCGTCCGCCGATACCATGAATGGGAACCGCCGACCCTCCAGCATATCAGTCAGAGTGGTGATCACCCCTGCGACCTTTGCTCCAACCTCCGGCATCTGCTTCATGCGTTCCTCCTGATGGCTTTCAAGATCCAGCTTCACGGCGCTGATGATGCCTTCGAGATTGGTGTATTGACCTTTGCCTGGAGGGATTTCTAGGTCAATGTCCTCTATCCGAAACGCACAGATATCACTCTTGACCACCTGTCGTTGAAAATCGTCGTTTCGCTCCATCTTGAAGGCGTACTTGGCGCCTTTTGGCTGTATCTCGCCCGCGGATTGGATCTCGTTGTTGTGGAAGCCGCAGCTCTCACACGAGAATGACATGATGACAATCTCGCGGAAGAAGGGGATCTTGGTGAGGAGCAAGCGTGTCATACCGTCCTCGTGGCAGTTCATGCATAGACTCTGGATCTCTTCCACCACCTTTTGCTCCACATCGACACCGTTTGTCATGCCGTCCACCTGACGTCCCATGTCCTCAAACAAATCTTTCGCGAGAGATGCTCCGGAGAGCTTGGTTCCATTCGTTTCCGCCATGTTGCAGAGAGGTGTATGGTGAAGTAAGGAAGAGGGAACACCCACTCACACCATTCCGAAAGTGCTTGCAGATGAGAATTTTGAGCATGATGTAATCCCCGCTGCTTATCTTTTCCAGCGGCTTCGGCTTCGCACCTCATTGCTGTGCACTCGAACTCGCAGATGAGTGAACATACAGTACAGAGCGGGCATTGGTGATGAGGGGCGTCGAAGATGGGCATGCGCTTAGAGGGGATCGGTGTCAAGTATGATGGAAATGAGATGATGGCTTGGACGGAGCGACGGGAACGTGAGAGATGTGGTACGCTCTCCGCAAGATTATGCATGATCCGAGACCAGATGATGGAAGCTAAAGTTCGATTCAGGGGATGCCATCTCGATTGTCGAAAGCACATCTTGCAGGCTGTTTGGAAGTTCTGCACTTCTCCTGTCTTGAAAACGTTCTGGAAACATGGCGAGCCAAACTTCTCCTGTGATTGCCGACATGGAGTACCACACCGCACCGCCCTCCGCAAAGCGCAGCATCGCCAGCACGCATTGGATCATTGGCCAAGTGGTCAGTCTTGCCAATTGCACACCACAAGTGAGAAGCGGWCGTCATGCAATCTCGAGGCCTTTGCAGCTGTTATAAGTGGAGTCCGGGCATGTGTAAGGTAAGGCAGTTGTCAAATGACGATGGAGGGGGCCTCAATCAGCGACATTCTACAGCTTGGCAATGCCGACGTCCGTCTACTACGAACAGGTATCGCTCGCAGGCAAGCCCGCAAGATCTCATCGTTCGATTTGGTGCATTGCGAGGCATGGAACGCAACTTGCTGCAATCCTCTTGAAACAGACAGCGGCCACCAGCACGGCCAAGAGCTCGCCCTTGGCTGTGGCTATCCGCCCTTCATATTCGCTGTTTTACACAAGCATGCTACCGGCCTGCCGATTCGCCCGGCAGATGTACTTTGAAGCTCACCGGCGTGTATTGCAGCAAGCACAAGACACCGTTCAGAGTGGGCACTCCACTTTCCACATCGGATGGTCATTCCCGCTTCCGCCATTTCCTATTCGGGGGATGCGGCCACTGGTCCTTCTGCATCCGTTGTCGACCTAATGTCGTTGCTAGGCCACTCCTTGCAGGCCAAATGCTTGAAAGTTGAGAGACGCTACCTACAGTTCATCGGCTTGTCCCTAACGGCCAACTCAATCTATTTCCCTCCCTCGAACAGAGATTCTCTTGGCTGAGTGAGGCCCTACCAGCCAAGCCGACTGACATCAAGGCCGAGCAACCGATGGACCCAAGTCGATCTATGCAAGCATGCAGAGTGCCAATCATCTCTGCTTGCGTTGACCCGGCGTCTGGGTGCCCGCATGTGCTGCGAAACCATTTCGCAATTACAGAAGGGCCGTCTCCAGGCCACGCTCTCAACGCCTGCCAATGTCGTGCCTCCACCCAGAGCCCCTCCAGGTGGTAAACGTCCAATCGCTCAGAAGACTGCTTGCACGATGTTTGACACCTGTCAAACGTCTCTGGCCGGTGTCCGTGAATTTGGTAAACCGAAGATCAGCATGAGTTAACTGTATTGCCACGGCCACTTAGGGAGGAAAAACAACGCTGCATGGATTGTATAAGTGAGCTGCGCACCTCTTGGAATCATTTGATATCTGCATCACACAACCAAAGCACAGCAGGGCAACAACAAACTAACACTAGCAGACCAGCAAACTACACAATGGGTGGTCTATTACTCAAAGTCGTTTGGCGCATGATGCCCACCACAGCTCTGCTATGTCTCGCTTCGTTGGTTGTTTACTTGGGCTTCCGATTCAAGTGCCTTATCGAGGCTCAGCAGAACATCGCGAGGAACCCGCAATCGCTGGGAATGGCATGGTTCTTCTTCATCATTGAGCTCTTGACGCTCCGTGAGTCGCAGCATTCGGTTCGCCTCCGGAACTCCCTGGCTAACACTACTCTAGTCCCAAACACACTGCCGTACACTTTGAGAGCGCTGGCCCTTGACATGCCGAGGCGCAAGAAGGATGTTCTGGATGGAGACGATGTGCCAAGTGTGGATATCCTCATCACTTGCTGCAATGAGGATCTGGACATCATTCTCGACACTGCTCGCGCCGCCTGCGTATTGGACTACCCTGCTGACCGCTACCGCGTCTTCGTCTGCGATGATGGCGGCTCACCCACCGTCAAGGCTGCTATCTTGGAGATGAGGGAGACATACCCGCACGTCTATTACACCGCTCGCGTCAAAGGGCCGGTGAAGGACTACAAGGCCGGAAACCTGAACCACGGCCTGAAGTACTCTCGCATGACTCCCCGCTTCCACCCACAGAGCTACAGTCCTGTAATGGATAAGCCAGAAGCCACTCTGCAGACCAATGTGAATCTTCGGGAGTCAGTTTGTCCTCCTCTGCATTCACCAGCATTCACTGACTGGCTCCGTAGGCATTTTACGATGGTCGACATGGTGAACTCCTCCGAAGACAGCCTCCTCCCTCACAAGCCAAAGGCCACGTACGAAATCCGCGAAATGTCCAGCTGCTCATCCTTGCAAAGCTCAGCCCAGAGCGAAGCCTACGCCTGCGTTGTCGACAATGGCGCCGGATCCACCATCTCTGAGTACGTCGCCGGTCTTGACGCCGACATGATTCCCGAACCTCAATGGCTACGAACCATGTTGCCCCATCTCATCGACGAAGCAAAGATGGCTCTCGTCTGCCCGCCTCAGACTTTCTACGACTTGCCAGTCAACGACCCGTTGACGCAGACCATGTCTCACTTTGCTGGAATTACAGAAGTCGTCAACGATGCGCTCGGTCACGCAGATTGCTTGGGCAGCGGCTACGTTGCACGTCGTGAGGCTCTCGAGAGCATCAATGGTTTCCCGGTCGAGTCACTTTCCGAGGACGTCTGCTGTTCCGCTACGATGTTGGGTTCAGGCTGGAAGACCGGCTTTGTCCACGAGACTCTTCAGTACGGATCCGTCCCCGAATCCTTCTTCGCTCATGTCAAGCAGCGTACTCGCTGGGTAAGTTTGCACCATGTCTTCTGTCAATCCGCACCGCCACTGACATCTTCGTGTAGTTCGTTGGACACGTTCAGACTGCCTTTCTCTTCAACTTCCGTCTTTGGGGCCACCGCGGTAGACACCTCACCATCCTGCAGAGACTTGCCGGTATGGCGTTCGACCTGCGCCAGATTGTGCAAATTCCCATCGCGCTCAGCTACATTAGCATCCCCTTTGCTCTTCTTTGTGGATATCCCATGGTCATCTGGACCAGCCAGGAACAGCTCGTGTGGCTCATCCGCCTCGTGACGATCTGGATGCTCTGCCACTGGAGTCACCAGGGCACGATGGGCTTGTTAGCAGGCATCGGTAACGGGTGGTACGACCCGCGCGCTCCATCTTACGACGCCGAACTCGAACAGTGGATGGGACCTTACATCCTCTCCGCTTTCTTCCGCTCGTTCATTCTGCCGAGAAGATTCGGTGSCCGGGCCACTGGTTTCACCGCCTCCGGTAGCATCACCAGCAGTCTGCAAGAACGAAGCGCCGCCAATCGTGCGCCGTTCGTCCGCCGCGCCTATGTCACCCTCATCCACCACCGAGTCATCATCCATGTCCTGTTTGTCATTACATGCATCATTGGTGTGGGACTCTGCGTCGCGCGTGTCATCACCAAAGGAGCAGTCAAAGGCGCCTACGATGTGTTGATTGTCTCCGACTTGGACCAATTCGTCTACGTCGTCACCCGCATTGGATGGCCACCACTCCTCTGGCTCCAAAATGTTATCTCAGCCCTTGGCCCAATCCTCTACTTGATCAACCCTCCCACCACACCCGAGCGTGAGGATCTTTTGGACAGAGACCCCAAGACTGGTGTCGCCCATCCCAAGGAGGAGTACAGAGTGCAGCTCAGGAGAGACGGATGGTCTGCCTGGCGCTACGTCCGCAACTGCCTCGCAGTAATTTACACCCTGGTCTTGATCGGTCTCAGCTCGTGGTTGGCTGGAAGCTGATGTCGTTGACATGTTTTACTACAAACCACACAAAGACAAAGCTGATGATAGACGGCGTCCGGGGCGGATTGGGCGGAATGCGGACAGGACTACAGGAAGGACACATGTGGTTGCCTGAAGCAGAGGAACACCAAGTCGACCAACAGACACGGATATGGAGGGAGTGATGAGCTTGCCCTCGATTTCCTTTGGACACGATTGGGACCGCAATGGCCACGGTCCACTACCCAGAAACTTCATTCAAGAAGTTTGGGCTAATGTTTATTTTTCCCTTTTCGCTAAACAGATACAGCAYTTTCCAAGGCACTATACAAATGATCAATCATAAACTCAAGTTAAATCTCTCGTCACAGTGTGTGACGAACGCAATGCTCAATGATTGACTATTTGAGGGCCCCTAGGCAAATGCTAGGAGGGAGAAATGGTGTGGCAGCTCGGTCATTCCATTACACTTCCTCAACACGATGGTTCTGCCGTATTAACGATTCAAGTCGAACTATCAAGAGACAAGTCTGAACGTGGTGCATCGTGGCACAGGGCGGGTGTGTCTCTATCTGCAACACAAAGATGTGTAAGCCGCAATTCCGTAGCAAGGAGCTCCAAAGGTGAATCCAACTCGACCAACAAAAACAAACAAACTCCATCACCCAAAAATCCAACCAACCAACCACCGAACATGGCCGCCTCCGAACTCGAAAGCAAGGCTCAACAATTCGCAGAGACATACGCCGCTCTCTTCTCCTCCCCCGATGCCTGCTCCACCGAAAAAGTCGCAGCTCTCGCGGACAAAGTCTCCAAACATTACCGTCCTGGAGTGACATTCTTCACCAACGGCCAGATTTCACGCTTTGAGGTGAGTGATTCTTTACACGACGACATCATCTTCATTAGTCTATATATATGTATGGAACCACCAAACTAATCCCCACTCTTTCCGAATAAAGACTCAAGCGGAAGCAGCCAWTCTCATCCAAGTGGAAATGAAGAAGAATATTAGCACAGGATTGGGGACTTGCTTATTGCTTCAGAATATCGAGACGCGTGCGTATAGCGATTCGGCGGTGACGTGCTGGCTGGAATGGAATTTTCGCCCTCAAGCAGGGAGTGCGTTTGAGGGGAGAGGTTGGACTTTTACGAATATTTATGGGTGGAGATTGGGGAGTGGGGAGGTTGTGGATGGGTGGGAGTATGTGGTTCGTGATCGAGAGGTGGAGGCTATGCGCGAGGTCACTGGAACGGTTTTTACTGAATGAGAAATATTGACCAGAGATGGGTATTTTGGGAACCTCCTTAGGCGACAATTGTCATGCGCTCGATATTTCGCTCGCCTTGTTCATGCCCTCCACACTTTTACTGCGTGGGACAGCATTGAAGTATTGGATGCTTGAAAGCCGCAGAGGAAATAAGAAGCACTTGAATGCACCCTCCCCCTGACAAGACAAGCTTCAGTTCAGACGAAAATCTCCTCGCCGTCGTAGATTGTATGGTATCGCAGCTAATAGCACAAGTCCGTAGCCCGGTATGGACCCAATCATTCGTCGCTGACAACGCCTGCCAATCGCTCTGAAAGTCCCATACTATCCACGCCTCATCATCTCCCATAGGCCGTTGGTGTCCAGCATAGCAAAGGATGAAAAACTCCAAAGAAATGCCTCCACCTCAAGTAATACAGAAAGGTAAACCTCTTTTCTCGCTTGCAGCCTCACGGCCGAAACTGCTTCGTCACTGCCGCATGATGTGGGGCCCATCGCTCTTCTGCGAACCTGCTGGCATTATGCTTGCGGATCGCGTGGGAAACGGCGCAGTATGCGCGTTGAGCAGGACGAAAGAGGAGAAGAACGAGGAGGAGCACCAAGGATGTGCATGAGAGCGCGAGTGGCCATCGCCAGTAGTGCGCGATATCAGAATAGCGACCTTTCAGTCACTGTTCCTTCTCGRAACCGGCAGGCATGGGCGTCTTGTTCATTTCGTACCAGCGTTTAGTGCCTGCGAATGTTGTCAGTATTTGAGCTCATGCAATATGAAGGGCACGCCTACAAGAGTAACCATTCCAGTCAAAGTTGTCTTTGGGGTTACAGTGGCATTTGTTGTCGAGCCTGATTTGCTCGCCAGTCGGACAGTGGGTGAATGGCACGTGGTAGTACGCAATGTCATTGAAGAAGTGAATCTCGTCCTTCTTCAGCATCAGTGCTGCTGCAATGGAGTGCACTGGCGCATCGCCCCAGCGCTCGTAGAAGAAACCGCCATCTTTGTCCAACTGCTCAAAGTAGTCGATGTATGCCGGGCTTCGCAGCCAATCCAAATTGCCAATCTCAAAGTTGGACCAGAAATGGCAGTGGTTGTAGGTCTCGCCACCATCGTCTGAGAGCCACGCCATGCTGTTGTCCTCTGCGATGTGCTCCGGGTGCTGCTTCATGAATTTCTTCACGCTGTCCCAGAGGGTTGGAATAGTCTCCACATACTCGTAGAGAGAAAGCACGAAGCTGTACTTTTTCTTGTTGTCTGCCATGAATTTGAAGGGGTCGTAGCCCACATCACAGTACAGCTCAATCGAGGGCTCCACGCGCCAGTACCACTCGTACTCGAGCAGAAGAGGGTGGCGGAAGAAAAAGCCCGACTCGTAACGGCACATGTGCCTGTAGCTGATGCTGTCGCCGTAGATGATCTTGCGCTCCTTCATGTCCTCGCGCACCTTCTTCGCCTTTTCCTGGTCGATGAAATCAGGGAATCCCCAATGCGCCGAATCAATCTTGCCGTACTTTGCTTTGCCAGAGGTGAGAGCAGTGGTGACCTTTTTGAACTGGTCATCGAATTCGGCGTCGTTGAGGAAGACCCAGTCGTAGTTGTAATTCCGGTTGAAGCGGTCCTCGACCTGTCGGATACTGCGCGAGATCTCCCACACGTCGGAGTTTCGCGCAAGTGTCACGAAAGTCGCGTTCATGCGCGCACCCGGGGCCTTGACAGCAGGCAGCAGGCTCTGGCTCGTGCCCGCATCGGGTTTGGGCGAGGTATCGTGGGAGACGGGGAGATTGTGCTGCGGCACGGCGATCTTCTCATCTTTTGGTGGATCTTGCACGAATGCATTGCCCGTGTTGGAGGTGGCAGTGTCGTGGGTGCCTTTGAACAATCCCTGGGCCTTCAGCACCTCGGCGGCGGATTGGAGGTGAGTGCCGCCGGGAACCTGCGAGGACGAGGAGATGAAGAAGATGACGACAATGGCCACAAAGGCGAACAGAATGTAGCGGAGGTACTTGGTTGAGCCGGCCATGTCGCAACGTGTGTCGGCGTCAGACGGTCGGCGATGAAATGGAATCGAAGCCCAGCCAGGGGCTTGGTCGCGTGGGCGATCGAGGTGGGTGGATGGATGAGGTCGTCGCAGTCGCGAAGCGCACGTTATGCTGCCTCGCGTGCGGCACGGCAAGGTCGGGGCAAGGAAAGATTGACGAGAAGAAGAAGTAAAGTGGAAGAAGAAGACAATGGAACGGTGGAGGTAGGTGGACTTGATCCGGCAGTGAGAGGACGGGAGGGCCGGAGTGAACAGAGTTCCAGGAAATGTTCAGGGTTGTCAGCGTGGGTCCGCAAAGGCAAAATCCCAGGAATGCATGAACGGGAACCAGCCCAGGGCACCGATCTTTGTGCTCCTTTTTTTGTTAGTTACCTAGGTACACACCATGTCGCTTGGAGGCTGCCAATAATGTGCAACTGAAGCCTTCATGCCTGCGCGGAATCCATCGGCTTGCTGGTCCGTGAATCTCCTCGCGTTGGAGAAGACGGGGCAACAATAGATCAATGTACCTATTTTCGGAACCTATACGTATGTACGTCTCGGTAGATTGCAGCCCGCACGCCATCCCTCGTTGCCGACGTGTCTGTCGCGTGTTGGATGGGAATTATGGGTAATGATGATGAGCTGCCACCGTACAAAGTATATTATTACCACACATGGCGAAGCTATAGCGAGTACTCCAGTCGCCCTTGTTCAATGGGGAATGGAAGGTGTACGATGGGCCTGCATTAGGGAAGACATCAAGCCCGGACTGTGTTTTGTCGCTCGGGCATGATACTGTAGGTACATACGCCCCTTTGCCGTCCAACCGCAACAACAAACATGAGTGTACCTGGGAGGGTTCATGTTCCATGCTTCACTTCACCAGATCGTTCTGGACGCCAGATGAATCCAAGGCACGTCCCGWCATGTGAATCATAGATTTAGGTCAAAGACAGGAGTTGCCCAAGTCAAGTGAAGGCCGCACAGAACGTTGTTGCCCCACTCGGAAGCGAAAGCCAACTTGGCCGCTCCAAAGTACCTTACCTTAGGTACGACCAGCGAAAGCAACATCCAAAACATCATACCAGCTCCCGGACTGGCCTCACTCGTGCAATTGYACCTTCACCTGCGTGTGACATCACCACTCATACTGGCGCCGGAGCGCCCTCCTACWGATCAATCATTCTTCTGCTCCGCTTCAACATCTCCAACATCCACCACTGACTGAAAGGTGGCCAGCTGCCATGTCATTCTTTGGCTTCGATGCGACGCTGCCCCGTGACCGGGCGCCGCAGCAAACCTCTCGCGGCATGTTCGACAGCCATGACCCCTTCGCCGGTTTGAGCGGTGCAGGTGGTGGCGACGATGACGAGGTTCTGGACTTTGAGCAGACCTACGATGGTCTGGGACAGCACTTGCAAGAGTCGGGAGATACTTTCAACGACGATACCTTTGGCGGCGATGAGCCAGTCACAAGGGATGCCGTGGGAAGAGACTTTGACTTTGCTGGCAAGACGGCGAGAGTCCGCGATACGCTGCTGGAGGAGCAGGCGCTGCACCATGCCCGCGAGCCGATGATGCAGGCGCGCGCTCAAAAGACAGCACGAACCGGCTATGAGGCCTACAAGCAGCCCGAATACATCCCCAAGCTGGAAGCAGATGCATCCATTTGGGGACAGTCCATCGGCAGGAAGTCGGCAGAGCCACCACAGCAGCAGCAGCAGCAGCAGCCAATGCCGGGATCGGCCCCCAAGATGATGAGCCTAGAGGACGTCGAGGCGATGATGCGCTCGCAGTCGAGGGCGACGCCACCAGCGCCGCCTTTCCAAGACGTTCAGTCGCAGACGCTTGGCTTGAAGAACATGCTCGGGCTTGGTGGTGCTCCCTCTCCTCAGCCCCCCCAGCAGCAGCAAGGGCCGCAGATCCTGCAACGCCCAGGTCCTCCTCCTCAGCAGCAGCCGCAGCAACAGCATATGCCAGGCCCTTCATACCAGCAGCACGAGCAGAACTTACGGGCGCCTCAGCATCCCCAGCGACAGACATCGCCTGGTAATGGCCGTCCCCAGTATCAAGCTATGCAACCCCAGCTCCCGCAGCAAATGCAGTTCCAACAGCCACCCCCCGTCGGCATGCCAATGGGCCCGCCTCACATTCTGCAGCATCCGCGTGGACCGGTACAACGCAATGGGCAACAAAACGGTCACCAGCGTGGTCCATCCTACCATGGTCCCCCAATCACGCAAGCTCAGCAGATGACGGACATGGGTCCGGAGGAGCGCGAAGCATATCTCCTCGAGGATGCGAAGCGTGCAAAGCGTAACCACAAGATATCTCTGCTCAGCAAAAACAATGGCCTCATGACCCCTCAGGACAAGAATTTCATAACACGAATCCAGCTGCAGCAGTTATTGACCGCTACTGGTGGTGTTGACAACGAGCCCGGAAGTGAGGAGCAACTTGCCGAGGACTTTTACTACCAGGTCTATGCTCAGATCCGCGGACCGCCTCGCAGTGGCCCTGGTCAGCCATTGAACCAATTCGCCCAAACCTATCTTTTCCAGACTGGTAGCCGCTATGGTTATGGCCGCAGTCGCCATCACCCAAGAGGTGGAGACAACCACGTGCAGCGGATGGAGCAGCAAGTGGCACGCGCTGTAGAGGCTGCCAAAGCTCGCCCCAAAAACAAGTCCCTCGTCATGGAAGGCTCTCTTGGCAAGATTGCCTTTAGCAACTCCAAGACACCACGTCCGCTTCTTAATATCAAGCGGACCGACTCCGAAGCCAGAACGAGACAAGCACCAAAGCCTGCCGACCGCAAGACGGCGCTCCGACACATTGAGCATCTCTACACCACGTTGATGAAGCTGGAGGACCACGAAAGACGTATACCTGACCCGCCAACCGAGGAGAGCTCTCCAGATGTCATAGAAGGGCACATGAAGTGGCGGAGTGCGATGCAGGAGCTCAATCAGCAATTGTGGGAGGCACTGAAAGTGATGGAGCCAATCCACCCAAGGTATGTCTAATCATTGGTATGCATGATACCAAACTAACAGTCGCGACAGCCCAACTGCGCCGCATCCCTTCATTCAGATACTCTCTCACAGCAAGGGGAAGAAAGTCATTCCTCGCGTCTTCCGCCACCTGGACGAAAATCAGCGTCTTACCATGCTCACTCTCATCGCCATCCACCTCGATGTTCTCGACGTCATCCGTGACGCATACCCACCCGCAGACAATACTTCTCTTCCCGCACGCGTAAAGGAGGAAGTCGAGCTCTTCAGCGCTGCCATGATGCCGCCGCTCTTCCTCTACGTGAATGAAGCACCATTGAACATCATCATCGGTCTCCTCGGCCTCGTTCTCGACCGCGTTCACGTCCAAGCGATAGTACGCACCAAGATTGGCGTCAGCATCCTCACAATGCTCATCTCTCGCGCCGAGCTTGTCAGGCAGCAACCGGCCGCGAACGAGGACTGGCAGCAATGGGCAGAACTTTACGGCAGATTATTCGATACCGTTGAGCCTGTTCTGCCTTTCTTGTTCCCTACCGATACGAACGTTAGTGCGAGTGAAGACGTGCATGTCTGGCAGTTCTTGGCGGCTATGGGTGTGGGTGCCAGCCCTGATCAACAGCAGAGATTGGTCTTGGGAGTGAAGGATCGCGTCATGGAGACTGTGGCTGTTAGCAAGACGCTCCCGGAGGCGATGAGCGCGAAGAGGTTGGGAGACGTCAACTTGTTCATGCGGGCTATCGGATTGGACGTAGAGCTGCTTGGATGAGATTCTGTGGCGGGCAGGTCTTACTTGAATGATGGAGGTGCCGAAAGTTTACTGCTGTGGTGGAAATTACACGATTTTGAGCGAGCTGCGTTTCATTGTTCACATACTGTCTGATCTCGGTGTATTTCGTATGCTGTTGGACTACGATATGAACCCACTTTCGGTGTCCTGGCTTGATAGAGTCATGGAGCTTGACTCGTACAACTTCGTTTGTATGAGCACATGGCGTCATCTCGTTGACAGCAGCGTGCGTAGCTCTGCCATGGCCGCGTCTGCTCCGGCCGTGTATGGCCTTGCACTAGGTGCAGAAAGCGAAGCGGAAACCGTCGCATTTCGCCCCTTCCAGTATGGTATTTATTGCAAGAGGCTCAGCCGCCTGACATTGAAAAGACCTCAAGTGAACCGAAGCCTTGAGGTTCAACCTCGGTCTTGAGTACCTCGAGGGTGTTTTTCCACTCGACCTTGAAAAGCCCAGAATTGACTGTTTTGTGATGTTAGAGGTGATAAAAAGTATGAAACCAAGTGTTGCAGAACTTACTCTTACAGATCCGGACTTCGCTGATGTCGCCTTTGCCATCCGAGATGTGAGATCTGGCTTGGGCTAGCAGGTCTGTCATGGCTGTAGCGGTAGCTCCAAGGATCTTGTGGGGTGGATCTACCTTGTAGCCTGACTACTGTCAGTATATATGCATGGTCGTGACTCTTGCGTACCCAAGGCCCGCTTCCTGACGAGAGATGTCCCCAATCTCGGTGACATCGTGAGATGAATGCATCACAGCCCTTTTGGATAGCGTGGTCTTCATAACCAACATACGCTCTCTACCCATGTGCATTGTATAGCCAATGCAGCGCGTGACTTACCGACAGCCAAGGACGTGAAAATGCAACCGACGTAGTGTTGGTGACGATCGGTTGGTTGTGGCGGAATAAGTAGAGCCTTTCCTATAAGCTGCTTGTCGGGTTTCTTGCAGTGAATTTGGTAGATTTTGAACGCAGCCGGATATTTTTTCTTGAAATCTGCCGCAATTCCTTTCCCCCACCAGCCTTTACAGTTGCATGCATGTATCAGGAGAGCGTCTGATGGAGCCGCGAATATATCCCCTACGTGCTCTTTGATCTTCAGAGGCCAGACGTCGTTGCCATCAATGGCTTCGTTCTTGCATGCTTTCAGCCCTGAAGCATCTGGATTTCCTGCTTTTAGAGACGTCGAGGGCTTTCTGTGAAGAGAGAATGGTGGAGGAGATATTGAACCATCCTTACGCTGTGACGCTACCTTGGCTGAGGCTCTCTCGCTGGAAGCGGAGCGAGATTTGCTAGCACCGTCATCCGAATCGCGCGGTGAGGGCTTTTTTCTGGTCTTGATGTCCTTGCAGGCGAAATAACGAGAGATGTTCTGTTGCCCGTTGGACGACATCGGGTTCTCATCAGTCTTCAGTCGCTTCGATTCGCGAGCCACTCGTTTCAATTGTGAAGTTTCGTCTTCTTCAGCACGGCGCTTTGATACTGTACTCGCAGTAGAGGACGACATGGCTTGGTTTCCTTTTTGGAAAACGAAACACGGATGTTGTCTGATGCGCGAGGATGTTCGGGAAGTAGCGAAGAATGTTAGTCTCATCTAAACGGAAGCTACGGCCGCTACGACCAATCAGATCTTTGGAAATCAGCTTTGATTTTGGCAACATCTCCAACGCATCACCATACCACTCGCCTCTGCTTCATCAGGTCCAATTGCGCCGCGAGCTTGACAACTCCGCCCCCACCTCGATCTCCGTCAGATCTCACAATCACAATGTCACTTCCCACGAAAGCAGCCACTTCGCTGGTCCGCCACGCGGCGCGTCAGCAGACTCCTGCTCTACGCTCCTCGGCCGCCGTGGCTCAGTGCAGCAACAGCAGAACCTACGCCGATGCCTCGACCTCGCAAGCGCACTACTCATCCCCCTTCTCCCGCGGTACCAGTGGCAAGCAGGACACCACCGCCATCCCCAGCTTCAAGAAATACCGCTCGGGCAGCGAGACAAGCAACAAGCTGTTCCAGTACTTCATGGTTGGCGCCATGGGAGGTGTCTCCGCACTTGGTGCGAAGAACACCGTGCAAGGTGAGACACATGCCCTAGTCTGGGTGGTAGTTACCAATGGCTGATGCTAACGCGTTGGTAGACTTCCTGGTAAACATGTCTGCCTCGGCCGACGTGCTCGCGCAGGCCAAGGTTGAAGTCGACCTCGCCTCCATTCCCGAGGGCAAGAATGTCATTATCAAGTGGCGTGGCAAGYCCGTTTTCATCCGTCACCGCACAGGCGATGAGATTAAGGAGGCCGAGGACTACGACTGGAAGCAGCTGCGTGACCCACAGCCCGACTCTGACCGCGTCAAGAAGCCAGAGTGGCTCATCATGTTGGGTGTGTGCACGCACTTGGGATGTGTGCCCATTGGAGAGGCCGGCGATTTTGGAGGCTGGTTCTGCCCGTGTCACGGAAGCCATTATGATATCTCTGGCCGTATTCGGAAGGGCCCTGCGCCATTGAACTTGGAGGTGCCTGCATATGACTTTCCAGAGGACGGTGCTCTAGTTATTGGTTAGAGCATTGATGTTGTTTCGGAGAACTAGAGGCACGGAAGAGGAATGAGCATCGAGGCGAGTTAGTGTGAGTTGGACAGGCAAAAGAAAAGGCCTACCGGCTCCTGTACAGTTAAGATACATCTTTTTTAGCGAGTCCCAATGTGTCTGTATGAGACTTTCTACCGGAATCTATGGTGCTCGGTGCATAGTTGTGCTTGGAGCGCTAAGCGCTTTGTCCATCACTCCCGCCCAAGTACTCAACCACCGCCTTCACAGCACCATCAAACTTGCCGCCGTCCACCAAGACCAGATGTCCTTGCGGCCTGATGCCCATTTCTTGGAACGCGCGTTTCGCATCACTGGCACCATCATCGCCCTGTTTTTCGTAGTCGAAATTCGCATACGCGACCGCATGTCTGTGCAGGACCTCGTCCTCGGGATGGAAGTAAAATGTCTCTGCCGCCGCCGCAGATGATGCCTTCTTCTTCTTCGCAGGCTGAGCATCCTCGGCATCTAACTTTGACGCAACTTCCGTGTACGTCTTGGAGATCAGGAGGTAGTGAGAGAACTTTACTGGCTCGTTGTCTTTCAGTGCGGATTGTATCTCGGACTGAAGCATTGTGTAAAGAGGCGGGATGATCTGATGCGGCATGTTGATGAAGCGCTCTGTAAGGATCAATCCAACTTGAGCAGATGCATCCGGGGAGAAAAGTCTCTCGAGCTGATCAGCAATGCTGGGTTCCGAGGAGATCTTGCTTCTGGCGATTAGGTAGGCTATTAGGTCCTTGACGACAGGCTTGTTCTTGTGCTGATGAAGATTTAAAACTGTAAGAAAAGCGTAAGGATCGCTTTCTTCGCCGTCACATTTGACCGTCGAGCCAATGTGATTTTGAGCCAGTATGAGGTCCGTCAGGGCGGRGAGGTCGAATAGCTGGTTGTCGACATCAAAGAGCTGACGAAGTAAAGTCTTGAGGCCTAGAAAGTCGACATCTTGGTTGGGTGAAAACCACTCAAAATCCACATTGAGCATGTCTTCGTCGTCTGAGCTGCCGCTATCCTCCCCGTCGATGTCCATCTTGTCTTTGGTGGGGACCTTATCGTCGGTGGCCTTGCGCTTTCCCATGATTGCGAGTTGTGATGTTGATTCGCTTGTTGAATTATTTATTCCGGACTATGTGTTGTTCTGTGACGCCGCTTGTAAGCCTGTCTTTCGTGCCTAGGTACACATACACGTACGCTGGTTCATGTATTTTTATTGTCTCGCTGTGGAAGCAGCCGGGTTTTGCTTGTGAGAGATTTTGCTTTGAGAACTCAAAACGGCAACTTAAGCGAACAATCCCCGGCGCTCCGACCGAATACTTAGGTACCTTCATGCAGGTGTTTACATCACCTGTACATATTAATGTATCTTTGAACGAACTTCCAAGTAGTGGTGGAGATGGAAGAAATGGCTCTGAAGTATGCGATGGTGTGTGAACATGGAAAGGCGAATGCCGCCAGCCGTAGTTCTACTTGGAGGATTTCGATCTGCAGAATTATAGTTATTAGACGTGGCCTGGAACTCCTGTGAAAATGCAAGTGAAGGTCGCAACAGAGGCTTAATCATCTGCTTGATTGATCCAACAATACTCCTCATCACGATATTATGATTTCCGGGTGATATCGCTCTTACGAATACGTCTTCTGCGCTTCATCCCGCTCTTACATGACCAGACCTTTGATCTTCGCTGCCGCAAGAGTGGGGGGAGTTCTTAGGGCAAATAATGGAAGAAGGTAATTCTTGTCCCGTATTCGCAACCACTACTGCAATGTCACGAACGCCATGTTTGCGGCTCTGCGTGAGCCATGCGCTGACAGCGAGGTAAGCAGCAGCGAACTCGTATGTCTTGGGTCGCAATCCTGCTCCCGTAACGGATGCGACAGAGCCGACACGGGGCGAGGGCGGTCAAGCGAGCAAGAGGCGCAGATTCAATGACTCTGCAGCTGACGAGACCGTGTCCGGGACTTCAGAGGGGTATGATCAGTGGAATGGGGATGCCCAGCGCGTGCTGGGCCGCAAGACTTTCACGTCAACTGCAGACCAGCCGTCTTTCACCTCACGAGCCGACTTTGGCCACGCGGCTGTAGCGTCCACAGAGTCGTCGCATCCCAAAGGCGATTCGCAGTGGGCGCCGCCCGAGTCGGCATACCCCGAGTTGGCAGGTTACCAGCAACAGCCTTATTTCTATCAGCAGACCTCCAATCCGGCTGCGTATACATCGTCCTGGCCACAACGCGGATCCCAGCCATACGAAGCAACCGGAACCTCTACCAGCTATTCCGTTGGAGAGCAGACCGCTGCTACAGCGATGCCCTATTTTCCACCACGACCGTCTGTCCAATCCGGGTCGACCACCGAGACTGGTGATGATGCCGCGGCTCTCAGCTATTCCGATCTGGAGCATGCAACCCAGTACGCGTACTCGAAGCCAAGCGCATTGGTGACGGCAGCGCAGCGTGAAGCTGCCAAACAGAGCTCGGCCTTCTACTTCGATGATGCAAGTATGCACTTGAAGATTCAAAGCTTGCCGATTCTAGATAACCTTGTCCGTTCATCCGATCCCCCAGCCGCTTATGAAGACTCACTGATTGGAATTCCARGCGACTCAGCTGGTACACACGATTTCAAAAGCCAGCTATCACCAAATACAGGACTTGATGCGAGGTAGGTCGCCTAGCTCAACGCGCACCTGCTAAAGCGATGGTAGTCGTTGTAGAAGCATCTGACACAAGACAGGGGCGGACGCCGAAGAGAACCAAGCGTACAAAACACTGAAGAATCTGTTTGACCAAACKCGAAAGGTGTACAGCAGAGAAACGCCTTTCATCGACGCCATTGCCATTCAGATGTTCCAGCCAAACCAGCAAGAGATCATCCGCAAAGCGAACATCGCGACGTTCGTATCGAGCATTCTCGGTGCGCATGATGTGAGCTTCTTCCACCTCAATGAGTTCTTTATGGAGACCTTCGTCCCTCTTGGTCATCGTTTGCTCAAATGGCAGGGAGCAATCTACCTCGAGCTCAAAACTCAGTCATACATTTCGGCATTGATGAACAGTGACGGAGACCCAGAGRAGATGCTGGACGAGCTCTTTCCACATGATCTCGATGCCCAAATCCTGACGCGCCATCCGGATGCTCCTAGCTTATCACCCAGCGAGAATGATTTCATCGATCGCAGTCGGGCACGCAAAAGTTATCTACTTGCTGAGCCAGTTTCTCCAGAGATGCTGCACGAGCTTCCAAAAAAGTATCAGTGGACTGACTTCGTACGGGAGTTCGCATCCTGCATCACTAAAAACGTGKACGGCATTATCAACGTACCCACACCGAAAACGACGTCGGGCGGCGCTCAAGACAATTCACCTTTCGCAAACTCCAGAGCCTCGCAATCTGGCGCCGCTTCGGCGTCCGTGAACGGCAAGGGCGGTAGGGACGGGCCAAATCCCAGCAAACCCCCCGCGCCAGCCTCTACTGTCAGACAACCTTGGACCAAACCCGAAGAGGATGCCTTGCTGGCTGGGTTAGACAGGGTTAGTGGACCGCATTGGTCACAAATTCTCGCGCTGTACGGCCGAGGTGGCTCAGTTAGCGAAGTTCTCAAGGATCGTAACCAGGTGCAGCTTAAGGACAAAGCTCGTAACCTCAAACTGTGGTACTTGAAGACCGGAAAGGAGGTACCTTCGGCCCTGCAAGGTGTTACAGGCGAGCTAAGAAAGAGAGGTGGAGCTCGTGCTAGGGCCGCTCTTGTAGGGGACGATGATCAAGCGAATGGTGGAGACGAGTTAGCAGACGAGGGATTGGATCCGTCTTTGGCAGCTGGAAAGACCGGTCGAGGTTCCAAGAAGAAGAGCAAAAATTGATTTCAATGTGATGGAGGTTTCTATGGGTTACATACGCAGGACTTGCTGTATATGTATGATCACCTGTCCGTCAATAGCGGGCGCGATTGTTCTCATGACATACTTGTTACGACGCAAGATTGAACAATTTGCAGGCAGTTGAAAAACTGATTAGACGGCTTCATCACTTCTATCTCGGCTTCTGATATCGCCCTTGCCGCATCTCCTCCATCAAGCTGTCCTGTTGGCTGGGCAGGGGCGCCCGTCTCCGCGATCCACCACCCCCACCGTTCTCCTGTGGCGGCGGCATTACCGGCATGATTGGCATTGTCGGAATACCAGGAGGGAACCCCATAGGTGGAGGAGGCAGCTGACCAGAGGCTATCAATGCCTTGAGCGCGTCCATGTCCATGCCGGGAGGGAGAGCTGGCATAGGAAAGGGAAACGGCGCGGCATCGCCAGGTGGAGGGGCCTGGACTTGAGGAGCAGCAGTAAGGCCAGGAAGACCAGGAAGACCGGGAAGGAACGATGGTCTGCCAGATGTGTTCTGATCCTCCAGCGCATCCGCATCATCTTCCGCCTCCTCCTCCTCTCTCGCGCGCTGTTCATCTTTTCTACCCCAAGTACCCTTCTCCTCCGCTGCGGCTTGGCCAATGTGCCACTTGTCGTTTGCAAGAGACCCTTCTCCAGGCCTCGGTCGCGTCCAAAATCTAGTTGCACGATCGTTGGATCCTGATGCAAGGATGTGGCCCATTGGATGCCAGTCCATACTCCAGACATTGTAGTCATGTGCGTATTGGATTTTGTGAGCTGGGTAAAGTGTTTGCGCGGGAGCGTCTGCCGGATTAGGAGCGTCGTATGGAGAGATGGTCAGTGGTGTGCCAGGTGGAGGATGTTGCTCGTCTAGCAGATAATGGTAGATGCAACCGTCTGCGCCACCAGTTGAGAGCAGCGAAGAGTGGATGGGATGCCACACGAGCGAATTGACCTCCTTCTCGTGTCCTTTCAGAAGAAATACATCTCGCATCATGTTGATATCGAACACCCTGACTGTCTGGTCTCGCGCGCAAGAAGCCAGCAACGAGCCTCTACTGGGTTCGAATCTTGTCATGTTTACAGTATTCTTATGACCATGTAGTGTTGTCAAACAGCGCCCGGTCCGCGGATCCCATAATTTCACCTGATGATCTTTTGAGCCCGACACAATGAGGCCCTTGGAGGGGTGCCAGTCAACACACTTCGCGTCCCATTGATGCCCGGTCAGTTGGGAGTCTTCCATTCCGCTGGCGAAGTCGAAAATTTTCAGAGAAGCATCATCGGATGCAGTGACGAATTTGGAGTCGTTGGGCGCAAAGGACAGACCTCTGACTGCGTCGGTATGTGCTTGTATATCTTTGACAGGATTGAAATTTGGCTGAAAGTACTTGACCATGCCTGAGTGGTCCGCCGAGATCAACCACTCGCCATTGTGAGCGTACTGGACTGTACGAACCATGCCATTATGCGGGCCATAGATGGTTTCGAAGTTGAATCCCGTTCCGTTCCAGAGTGTGAAATTACCATCGCTGTCGCCTGTGAGGAGCCGGCGGCCTTCTGGTGTCCACTTTACCACGTTGACAGGAAATCTGAGCTTGTTGAAAGAGGAGTGCAGATGTTTGGCTGGAATTGAGTCGACTGCTTTACTTTTGCGTGCAGCAGGAGGGAGTATATCGGCCACATAGCTGAGGGCTACCCTCTCTGCCTCAAAGCCATGCAGTCCCCTTCCCTTTGACCTTCGATCGTGCAAGAAATGAACGTTTGTACTGCCAATATCTGTGGCATTCCCTGCGTGTATAACCGTCAGTCACTTTCCGCCATTTCAAGACGACTGTATTACTCACGTCTACTCGGCCTCCCTCGGGTCCGCTGAAAGCCTTCTCGATGATCGGGTTGATTGTCGCGCTCCATGACGGCAGCTGTGTCACGTGTCTCCGGTTACAAAGCCGGAAACGCGTGCGCTTGAGAAGTACGCAAAAGAGCCCGTTTCTCCCACAATGGACCTTTTAAGCACTTGCAGACTGCTCGAGATGCAGTCACAGACGACGAAGTGATGCTCTGCTTGGACAAGAGGCTACAATCCAATCTTCGATGCAGTTTGTCGTTGTCGATGGTGCGGCAAAGGTCGCGCCTGCCGGGAGACGTGAAGTCACTAGCGTAAATCCTTCCCGCCTCCCGCTCCACGGCCAGGCGCTTCCCATTTTGCAAAACCCGGCGCGTCTACTTGACGCCGACGTCGACACAACAGACCGCATGCGCCGTGACGGCGCAAGACAACAGACACTGTCCTCTTAGGACTTGCGCGTGCGAAATGCGTGTACACAATGTCCTTGACTGTGGAAACTTTGCCGTCACCTGCAGTGCCCTAACGATCTACCTTACGACGTGTCAAACCACCATCTTACCACGTGAATGCCTCTCCGTGAGTTTAAATCGCAAAGACATCTCGTAACCGTTGCCATCCGCTATTGGTCGAAGCAGTGTCCTTTGCCAACCAAGAGGCATCACCGAGAAGAGCGTCCCCACGAGTCGAAATCGAGCAGCACAACGCTCACCCAAGGAAGCTGCCATTGGTCTTTGCTAAAATCTCATCATAATATGGCTGGAAGCTGAGCCAACCTGGAAATTTCAATCWGAAAAATGCTATCATTGCAGTTTGACGTATCTTACCTTTCGATGGAAGACCAACTTGCTCGTAGCTGTCTCGCGCCTCCTCTTCGCCAATGAACGTCTTTTTGTGGCCACTGCCGTGTGCTGCCGCGTCCACCAGGAGCTGAGCATGACAAGTTTTGTCCAGAGATAAGAAGAAGAAGGCGGCGGCGTCGACAGTCTCCCCAACCTGAGCAACCGTATCAGTAACGTCAATGCCAGATCTGGAAGCTGATGATACTTACAGTGAGCAGACCGTGATTTTGGAGAATGATGGCCTTGCAAGAGCCCAGGTGCTCTGCTATGCGCCGTCCTTCTTCTCTGTCTATCACAACGCCCCCGAATTGAGGGTAAACGGAATGGTCGCGGTAGAATCTGAGGCTATCCTGCGTTATCATGTCAAGTTCGCGGCCAAAGACGGAAAAGGCTTTGCCATAGACGCTATGCGCATGACATGCTGCGTGGACATCAGGTCTTGCCTTGTGAATGGCGGAATGGATCGCAAACGCTGCCGCGTTGATTGGCTGGTCACCCTCTACCACGAGGCCCTCTTCATCCACCAGAATTAGGTCCGATACCTTGATTTGCGAGAAATGCTAGAGATTTGATGAGTATAAACTCCGAAGAACGAAGGCTTTAGACTCTTCGAAACTGACCATGGACAGCGGGTTTAGCCCTATGCTGGATTAGCTGTGGCGTCGGTTTGTTCAACGGGCAAGTACACGCACAGAAATGGTCTGTCAATATTGGGTCTCTATAAGAGATGTGACCAGCGACGCCTTCGTCAAAGCCTTATATGCGCCTCAGTCTGTAGTTCTCGTCACCGAACAAAACAGCCTCACAAACCTCGCTCGGCAAATACACGGAAAGCCGCAGCAAGATGCTGCTTTCGATAAAGCCGTTCTGCTTCAAGAGATTCGAACTTAGGGTCTGGACTAGGTCAGAGCTGGCGACCTTCGCATTACATTCGATGTCCTGCCTCACTTACACGACCTTATCTTCAATTGCTTGCCCGACTTCGATTTGCCCAAAGCGCCAACTTCAGCATTGCCTGTGCTCTCGCCTGCGAGGGTGGATGTTGCCGTTGGAGCCATCACTTTGAAGATGAATCCAGTTCGATTGAAGTCGATTCTTGGGATAATTGCAAGAAGTTGCCAGCGTACGAGCATAAAGCATGCTCGCTCCAAGCTTGGTGGCGAACCATGCCAGCTTCCCCGCATCGCGGGCAGCGGGCATCACCACTTTCTCGCACTGTCATGCAGCCCCTTGATGCGACGAAACATAAGTTAACAATAGGAGGGCCGGCCGATGTCCCTCCCACACTCAACTCTGCGATATTGGCCGTGAATCAYGCTGCACCGCCACTCAAATGCGTTGAGAGGCTGCACGGCACAATTTATCATCATTCTTACATTCACGAGTATCATGGCGAACATCATCTCGAGACATAGGGGCGGCGGCGGAAGAGCTCCAAGATACTGCATGCCGATATATGCTCTCGCGTACGATCAGAACTCGCATACCACATTTGACCTACTAAGGCTCCATGGATCTGAGTGTCGTTGCACCATCCTGGAGACGGTAGGAGTCTGCATAGGTCGATAGCATGCCAGCAAGATGAGTTCCCTAGCATATTAAAATCACGCACTGAGGATTGCCGGCGTCCAATCCGAATCTAAAGCAACCCTCACAAAATGGGTCAAATGAACCAGTCAAATCACCAGCTGTCGCTATGGTGGTCACTACGGCAATCGGCTTTATCTACGCTCGCGCATTGGACTTGTGAAGTAAGCCTTGCTTGGCACAACGCTGCATGGCGCGTCGACGCGGATATCCAGCAATGGGAAGTCTGAGCATCAAACGACAACCTGGAAGACTCTCGACATCCATGTGCCAAAGAAACGATTCAGGGTGTCCGAGATGCCACGTGCTCGCTCATGTGCTACAGGTCTCAGATGGAAGGTACCGAACTGGCTTGCGAGGATGCGCGTTTTATGAGCATTGCGGATGAAGGTTCACCACAGACACCTTGCTAACACGTGCAGAACATGAGCGCTCTCCACCCACGCTCTATCGATATCGGGGTCTGCAATCACACAACAAACTTTGCGTGATCCCTCACGAAAAAATGACTTCGGGAAAGGGGAACCGACAAGTTGTGATCCTCGTGGAAAACGCCGCGCGTGAGACCTTGAGGAATCTCGAGACTCTGTGCTCGGTGTCACATTGCATTTATTGCACGAGACATCTGCCAGTCGACGCTTGTGCGCACCAAGTCGAAGTGCAGAGGGTCGGTCTGATTCGCTGCTGGCAAGCATCTCTGCCCAACAGGTCTATCAACAAAAGGCCGGATCGTCAAACGGTGTATTCAGGTTGTACGGATACTCTGCGTGAGCATGAATGTCACCTGCTGAGCCCAACCTTTGTATACGACGCAGGAGGCCTCTTGACCGGTAACAAAATGATCCCGCGGGAGAAAGGTCGTGAAAGTCAGTTCAACGAATGGGCTCCTCGACAGGGTGGGACGCCGTACCAGAGAGCTCGGCGTGAGTCCCAATGCCATAAAGACAAGAAGCACCGTTAGACGTCTACAGTCATACGCACTCTGCCTGTGAGGCTGCACGTGGACCTGCACGTGGGACCATCTCTACGTCCGCAGCGTGACTTGAGCGGGTCACGATAAGGTGCAGCCGCCTACAACTTCCCAACAACTCGGCCGCTCGCGCGGCATTAGAACTTTTATTAGCCTTCGGACTTAGCCAGGAAGCGGGACCGGGCAATCGCTAACAATCGGTCGAGCTTCGCAAGGGAAGGCTAATGCTGTATACCATTTGCCTAAAGTACTATCTCACATCATACCGCCACCAAAGATTCAACGCAGAAAACAATTTTCGTGTCACAACTCGACCTTGTATGCTAAACTCTGCCGCAGACATCGGCCAAGCAAAATGACAGACACACCGCTGCCAAGAAGCTTTTCTTCGTTCATTGTGGCCCGTCCCACTCTAACCTCAAATTGCCTCTGATATACAAGGTTTGGACCTGCATTGCATCGCATAAGGCGCGCCAGCAATAAATAGGTACCCTATCATTGATTTGTTCAAGGGATTTGTTGAGAGGCCGCCGCTACATTTAACGAAGGGCAAAGTGCATTATTATGGACTATGGTGATGGAGCTACAAATACTTCGMTGGCTGCACAACGCGGATTGCAACTGCCGGAGCACCTCTAGGCGCGTGACAGCGATGCGTTCAACGAATTTGGTCCTCCGTCCGGTACCCCATAGAATTCGTCGATTTTACGACCCAGGCCCACGGTAAAACATCTTCTCGTCCGAGTTGCGAGATCTATTGGCGCAGTGCGATTTGATACTTCTGTCGGTTCGACAACATTGAATCTGGCGGGCTGTGCACTATCTGCAATGCTTGTGGGTGCACGTCGTCGATGAAGAACTGAGGGGAGACGAGTTCGTGTTTCCTGATGCGGACGTGGAGTCTGCTTTCAGAGAAGATCGTCAGATGGCCTCGGCCTGATCGAGCCGCCCATCGACCGTTGAGATGGTTTGCGCCTTGCCGGTGAGAGGCTCACACAAGTCGTGGATTTGTGGCTCAGGCCTCAAGTTCGTATCGTGGTGCCGCTGCGGTACCTCTTGTTAATGGCGCCGCGGAACTTCACATCACATGGAGATTGGGTTGTCTCGACGGCTCGACGCCAGTTGCTAGACGCCCATGAGTTGTGAACTGGTACGCACACCATGCTACAGCGAGCTTGCTGACCGTAGCTTGCCTCTCGACCCAAGCGTTGTGGACCGTGTGAACGGGAAGAGCTTTYGCACGATGGAGCAAGAGTCCGCATGTCAAAGACGGGGCAAATACAACTCATAAATCCGACGCGACAACAGCGGACATGCTTCGCAAAGTTGACTTGCTCGACGACGGGTCCTCGACATTTAGGCTTTCCGCACTCTTTAGACTTCGAGCCAGCACAAAACTCAGTCTCTTTGGAGGTAGTAGATGACGCTCCGCCCGCTGGTGTACTAAAACGAACCCGATTGTGAGATCTGCGCCAGGGCTACATACATTGCTAGCAGTAGGTCCCCTTGGCGATGCGCGTATATCTCAGCTCCGCATGGACATTTGTTACCCATTAGGCTTCTTCCTTCCTCGTTACAACAACACCAGTCCCCTCACCTAAACACATCTGGAACTGTTGAACCTTGACCCATCTCCAGATCGACTACCAGCTTGCCATGGCAATCTTCTCCTTCAAGAGCAAACAGAAGGTCAAGCAGGAGGAGGGAAAGGAACAAACGACCCAAGCGGTYGAAAGCAAGCCCGCGCAGTTTCGCAAGTATACTCCTAGGCACGTAGCCGCCAATGCCTCCGGCCATGGAGCCTGGCCAGGAAGCTCACACGACTTCGAAAACGGCGGCCACGCGTGGAAGCAGAACTCAACGTTCAACACGCCCGCCGATGCTTCTTACGCATCATCTATAATCAGTCGAACGCACCTCGGTAGCGACGCATTCACTACACATGCCAACGACTACCTCGAACGAGGCGCAATGCGGAAACTCCAAGCCAATGATCCTTCACTTGGCTATGCAAAAGTAGCTCTTGCTCGTCAGGATCAAGGCTTGACCCAATGTTCTTCTGATTCGGGCTATGAGTCCGCCGGGCCTTCACGTGTTCCGAGTGAGCATAATCTTGACGATATAAAGCGGCAGTACGCACAGCGATCCATCACAAATTTGCTGCCGGAGCTGAGACTGGGTGACGATTCACTGTCGGACCGATCGTCCAAGTCAACGACGAAGAAGACGAGATTTCAAGTGGACGGTGAACCAGTGGCCGCAGTAGAGCAGGCTCCTGTACCGTCATCGACCCTAAAAATCGCAGCGCTTGAGGGATACAAAGTCAACAAGAAGGGAAAGGTGCTTGACGAAGAAGGTGACGTTATCGGAGAGCTGGTGGAAGGTGACTTGCTCGATTGCGTGCGACAAAAGCTCAATGCCAATGGAGAGGTGCTGGACGATGTTGGCAAAGTTGTTGGAAGTGTCAAGCTCGCCACATCCTTGCTACCATCTCTCACCGTCAGACCACCAACTGCTATTCACGCGGACAACATCACGGATGGCGAATCGAGTCCAACGGGACCGCCCCGGAGCCCAATTCGGGAGACCGTTGCTGCTGGTCAGTCGCCCCAGGATGTTTTCCGGCGAGCAGCTCGTAGTGCGAGCGAACGAAGCCTGTCCGAACTATCAAAACCATATGCTCGGCCACCGATGAGCTCCGTGCCAGAGAACAATGTTGCAAGCGATGATGGTCCGCTGACGAGTCCGGAACTGTTTGCTTACAAGGTATGTGGAAGTTTTCCGGCTGTCTGAGCAAGTGCTGACTCGTGAAACAGGGTGAAATCCCAGCTGCCCCGACCCAGCACATCAGAAGACGGTCTTCATCGCCACCGCTTCTTACCATACAGATGACGAGCCGTAAGCCCAATCCTCGTCGCACTTCATACGGTGGCATGTCTTCGAAGTCACTTGGCAAACAGCCCATCGGCTATTCTTCAAGAAGGGGTCCATTGAGCAGCTACGACAACAGCCCAAATGGCAGTGACGATGGGACTGAGACCTCCAACTCAGACGACGGCAAGCTGCCCTCCATCGTCTATCGAAGACCCATGTCTGTGCGGTCTGCAATGACTGTCCCAGCCAAGCCTAGGACCTACTTCACACACGCCGGACGAGTCACTGTCGATCCAAATGCCCCTACGGCGATTCAAACGCAAAAGATACAGACCAAGCCAGGTATCGAATCTGCTGTGACGCCGACCAGCAGGCCAACTAATAAGGAAGAGAAGAAGAAGAGTATTTTGGGACTTCGATTTGGCAAGAAATGAGCTTGCTGTGACACAACATTCTGTTCTTTAGCGGGCGATTTATGCAACGTGTATAGCATGGGGAAGCATACCGGGGAATTCTTGGACTCAAATCAACGACCAGACTATCAACCATTTTCTCCACTGTTGGCACAATGTCTTGCCACATCACTGTGGGTGGGTGCAGTCCGGATCTGCATTTTGATGACCTCGGCCGCCTTTGTATGTGGTCTGGCCAACGGAGAACCACTGTGAGACATTGAGACCCACAGACGGCAGTACGGTCGTTGACTGCGTGGCCAAAGTTTCTTGACATGTGATGCGGCTGTGCGATTCTTCCAACGAGCTGGCCCCCAAGCTGTCAATCACCCTGAAGCCAAAATAAGCCCTACACACCGCACTACAGGAATAATACAGCTATGATGTCCCTGCACCACAACTGTCTGTATCACATAGTTTACTTGCGATCATACCTAAAAAGGAAGGACCAAAAATGCAAGGTTCCTCGGTTTCTGCCGTCAGATCCCCACCCTCCCGCTCGCGCGGCGACATCCGAGATCCACACACGCTTGCAGGTTCTACCCGGCGGGCGGCAGCAGTCCAGATGCAAAAGCTGAGCGAGGGAAAAAAAGACATCTGGAATTTGCGGCTATCCATGCCATGCTGCTACAGCCTTACTTCTCTTTCCCCTCTATCACATTATTAGCTCGGATACAGCGGTTGACTTTCTGGTCCACCACCACGTTTTGCGGAGAACTCCAAACCAGACAAATCTTTCACGAGGGAAGTATCGATAAGGTTTTCCCAGGATGGCCGACCTCCAACCGCAAGGCGGAGAGCGAGTGGCATCTGTAGATCACCAGGCCCCTGCAGTCGAGCATTCCTCGATTCGGCCAAAGGGTGCTGAGGCATCATTCGAAGCTGGCAGTGCATCGTCCTCCGCTCGGAGACACGGCGCTGTAGAGCTCGTCGGCGCGGATTCCCAACCGCCGATTCAAACCACAGTCGCGGAGTTGGACCGTAGTAAAGGTCGATTCGGATATCTGAAAAAGAGACAGTTTTGGATCGTGCTTCTTTTATCTCAAGCGCTTGCCGTCACTATCACTGGCACGAACACCTTGTCTTCGCTCCTACGAGACGAAGGAACTTCCATTCCTGCGTTCCAGTCTCTATTCAATGTGAGTGCTCAATGCTCTCCACGCAGATCAACAATGCTAAAAATCCACAGTACATCCTGCTCAACCTCATCTATACAACCTGGACCATCTACAAATATGGTTTCAAAGGCTGGCTGCGTCTCTGCTGGAAGGATGGCTGGCGATACTTCATCCTGGCATTCTTCGACGTTGAAGGCAATTATTTTACCGTCCTGGCTTATCAGTACACGACTATCCTCTCGGCCCAGCTTATCAACTTCTGGGCCATCGCTATCGTTGTGGCCGTCTCGCTCATCTTCCTCAAGGTCCGATATCACCTTTTCCAATACGTCGGCATACTTGTCTGCTGCGGAGGCCTTGGGGTCCTTGTCGCGTCGGATCACATCACCAAGGCCAACCCCGGGGGTGCCTCCAATGCGGTGAAAGGAGACCTTTTCGCCCTGCTGGGTGCCACCTGTTATGGTCTCTCCAACGTAACACAGGAGTTTCTCGTAAGCAAGAAGCCTCTTTACGAAGTTATTGGCCAGTTGGCATGGTGGGCCATGTTCATCATAGGAGTGCAGGCCGCCATTTTCGACCGCGCTGCCTTCCAGAGCGCAACATGGAATTCCAAAGTGGGAGGATACATGACTGGGTACACGCTCCTCCTGACGTGGTTCTACTCGGCCGTGCCGGTTGTGCTGCGCATGGCATCGGCGGCCTTCCTCAACATTGGTCTTCTCACTGGCAACTTCTGGGTGCGTCTGCGAGCAGAAATCCAATATGCGACAATGTGGCTGACTGTCATAGGGTGTTGTTGTCGGTACTCAAGTCTTCGGGCTATCAATTCACTGGTATTTGGTCGCTGTAGACTCGGAACTTGCAGCGAATACTGACGTCTTGTGTAGGATGTATCCGATCGCGTTCGTTCTGATCATGGTCGGCCACTTCATCTATTACGGCACCGAGGGCGTGCTCGGCGAGGCCAAGAAGCCGTGGCTAGGAGAGAACCAGGAGGGTGGCAGCGATGGGTTTGGCACGGCTCGCCGGCAATTAGAGCATCCCGGTGTGACATTGTAGATGCATACACCGCAGATGGACTCATGGCCGATCAGCCGCAATGTAGAATGTTCCTAGCTCGCGAAACCTAGCATGGCGATTGTAAATCCAGAATTGTTTAGTCTTCGCTTTCTGTATTTGGCCGCGCAGTCCAGATTTCCGGATTCGACTGCTGCGCAATGGTAATGCAGGCATATCTCATAGCAGAGCACTAATAATCGTCACTTGGGATCTTGTGCTTGAACGATGCTAGTGCTCAAAGTCCACCTTGAATAGCAAACGACGACAAGATCAGCACCATGGCGTTAATCGCTCCCCAAGAGAACGGTATCCAGGTTGACATGCGGAAGAAACCTCCAGTGTAGATAGCACCAAGTCTGCAGGGACAACATCAGCATCACTCTCATTCGCACGATCAACGAGACAAGACGCACAACCCTCCAATAACGTTCCCGGCAATCAGCGCTTCGATGGTTCCAATCACCGCGAAAATAAGCGGTCCCACCCAAATAAGTTTCCAGTTCCGATACTGTACAGCGCAGGCATATGCGGCAGCGACCAGATGCACGCCGCCGATGAAGATTAAAGTCCAGTAGAGGGTGAATCGCCAGATTGGTTCGGTGTCGTAGAGATAGACATATTGTGGTCCATTTACGGGGAATGGCCAGTACAATCCAGGGAAAGGAGGAACTTCATTAGAGAGTGGTCGTGGATGAACTTGGAGCGTGAGGAAGTTGCTGGGAGAGTGTTAGAGTAATCCTGATAGATGAGATTATCAATAGCACCTCATATTCGCTGTTGAATCACAACWGACAGAGCCCGCTAAGAAGATCACTTGTGTAGACTCGCATTGATATGAGGTAGATGGGTGATGCGCTGGGGATGTTGTTGTCAAGGCAAAGCAGGAGGAACCGGATGCGATTCGTGCGGGACGCCCCGAGCTCTCGGCAGATCACAAGGCATGCCGGACCCGGAACGCCGAGGCCAGGGCATGAGGCGCGACCTCACCTCTCACTCAACGTGAGTTTCGTCGTTTCAATGTTGAAAACCTGCAAGCTACTCTATATTACTATTAGGAGCCCGATCTAAGACACAATGCCCGGAGATCGCATGCTTGGGACCCTTTTGAGGGCTTTGCAGACGTATACCCAGCAAGAGGACACGCCGAGGTGAACGATTACCACGACTCTGATATTTGGCAGCAACTGACATATGTCAAGGCTCTTCGGAACAGCCTCTTCGCTATTGACAACGCTCAATAACCCACTAAATGTGACGCTGCTCACTACTCAGCTGCTCTCAGCTCCTGCGGTATGGATTCGGCCAGAAGGACTACGAACATCCATGCGATGTTTGAGCGTGTTTCATTCCGCATCTCAAGCACTCATACGGAATGAGACTGCTCTGATGGAAAAGTCTCCAGACAAAGACTTCTCTAAATTACAGCCGGAGCGAACATTGCCCAAAGACGACTGGATTCGAGCGGTTGTAAGCGGAGCTGATGAACACTCGCCACGATGGCGACATTTGCTCGTAATCGCTGGATTGCTTCTCGGCTTTGGACCGGCCGAGGACGAGTATCTTTCCAGCAGCATGCGGAGCACACTAGAGAATGCTCTGGTAAATGCTACGAATCTCGCGCTACAGGAGACTTTGGATGACGATGAGCTGGGACTCTCGACCATTGCACTGGTTGTGAACCACTGCTTCTCCTCTCTGTCAGATCATGCGAGATCTAGCTTAGATTACAACACCCTGCTTCCGGTCTTGATGCGCTCAACATTTCACTCAGCACACGGACTGCGATCCGCTTACTTTCTTGGAGCTTTGGATCGCGATGTTCAAGCAGCGCCCAATGCGAAGCTGAACTGGTCGGAACAGTCTGGTTCTTTTCAGGAAATCAAAGAAATGCTTTCAAGTCCACTGGTGTCATCGCTTGGCCCACTGTCACGATTGATAGGTCACTCGTTAGAGCAGGTGCAAGACTCACGCCTGGTCACTGCTGCTCTGGACGATCTGGAGATTTTCACCAAGACGCTGCTCACGCAGTGGCGGCTGAATAAATTGGCCGGAATCGAACAAGTTGAGCAGGGAGAGCACCTGGATGAAGCCACATTGAACACTACATTACCGGCGCTGTGGAAACTTCTACAGCCCGTAATGTTCGCAAGCGTGATTATCATGCGAAGTATCTTGGGCAGGATACTGGGTGATGGTGCTCTTGCATGCGACGATGGTAAGAAACGTCCTGTCTCCTCCCATTTCAACAGCGCTAACAACCACAGTCGCCCCAAAACTTGCCCGCCAAACCCTCCTCATCCTCCGAAGCCTCTACTTTATCACGACCCGGCAAGGCGTCGCAACCTTCTCCCAATACAACTTCGTCTATTGCGCAGCCATCGACATTCTAAACGCTTATTCCATGTCAGTCCAACATTTCCTCCGAGAGATCCAGCCCCTCCAGCTCGGCTCCGTGGCCCAACACCCTCTAGACCGAAACCTCGACCTCTTCTTCCTGAACACCTCCGAACACTTTACGTTGATCCTCCCACCACACATGACAGCCGAGCTGCTGGTCCCAACCGTAACATCCTACCTCGCAGCAGGCGGCAAAGGACCCCTCTTGGAAATCTACGAAGCAGCGCATAGCGTGACCCTCTCAATCTTCTCCTCACCTCAAAACTCCACAGCCACAATTGAGAATCTGCCATTCTACGTGGACTCCCTCTTCCGCGTCTTCCCCAAAAATCTCTCTGCTCGACAGTTCCGGTTGGCATTCAAGACTCTACTGAAGCTCACATCGCCACCCTCGGAACTGGCAGTTTCCCAACCTCTGATGCCCGCAATCCTGCTCGAACTCCTCCATTCCCGGTCCCAACAAGCCTCCACAACACCGATACCCATTCACCCCGGGTCCCCTGAGGCAGACATCGAGTTGCCCGTCCCGCTTTCCGAACAAGCGGTTTTGACCCTCACACTGCTCGATACGCTGACGCAAATTCCGCTGGAACTACTGGATGAATGGTTGCCAATCGCGGCGGATATGGTCCATGATGTSCAAGATCAAGACATGCGAGAGCATTGTAAAGAGCACTTTTGGCAGATTTTGGTTGGGGGGSAATTGGATCCGGAGAGAAGTAGACTTTGTCATGCGTGGTGGAGTACGGCGGGAGGGAGAGCGTGGGTGCTGTATGGGAGGAGGGAAGAAGAGGGTCGTGGGAAGGAGGATGATGATGGAGGGGAGCCGATGATGAGTGGCGCATTGCCGGATAGGAATGGGGAGAGTAAGTTGTAATAGTGTCCGAAGGCCTGATGAGACGGAGTCGTGASGAAATGACTTGAAGCCTGCCGTTCCTTTCTTTCTAGTACGCTATCAAAGAATGAATACCCACAGCGCCTTCGCTGAAAACGAGAATGTTTGTTTATACAACCAACGGCATATCCCCATCTGAACCCTTCTCACTCAATCGACATCTCCAACCTGCTGAATCAATCCACGCCAGCGTAAAGATCCACCACGATATTGATGGCAGCGACCAGGATCTCCGCTGCGATGAGCACAATCACAATCCACTCCAAGTATTCACCTGTAATCACGTCAGCAGCATCCTTAGTCAAATCAAAGGATACGGAAACGCCACTCACCATGTGTATGACTCAATTGATCCTTCAACACGGCCAGCAAATCGGCAATGACACCCACTCTCTCCTGCAACAAAGACACTCTCTGGTCCATCTCCAGATAACTTCTCACAGCCACATACACTGGCTCGAGCTGCGGTTCCGCCCACATCAACTCGGGAGCATCCAATACACTTCCTTGCAAATGGATGTTGATTCGTAAGATGAAGAGTTCTCCGATCTGCATGTTGATCTCCCGCCGGGTCAGGTTGATGCGGCCGGTGGAGGCGATCTGGGAAGGAAGGTATTGGGTTGTGGAGATTGTTGCATCTACCAGGTCTTCGTAGAGGGATGTCTATCAAGGGATGTGTTAAAATTCTGCACTTTGCTGACAATGTGAATCAATAGGCTTACCTTCACACTCTGCGCCAGCGCATGGCTAATAGCCAATTTCGTCATATAGTTCTTCTTCTCCCTCAATGAAATAAAGTCATTGTATATTCGCGCTTGGTACTCCCTAGTGTAGTAGAAATTGAACTCCTCGGTTTGGACATCATCTTTGCTCAGCTTTTCCTGTTCGAACTTGGAGATCTCTTTGAGGAATCGCTGTTCTTCTTTTAGAGACATTCCCCAAAGCACCACGACTCCGTACTCGAAGAGAAAGACCTCGGGGATATGAACTGTGGTGTCCAGGTCGGGAGTTACCATTTGATCGGGTTCTGTGGAGACGATGGTAYTGTCTCCAGCGGACATGCTCATCGGTTGGCTGGGTTCGCCTGTTTCAAGCGTGGTGTCTCCAGCTGCGGTATTCAGATCTATGAGATCTTCTCTTCTTCTCTCAGAGTTCTCATYTACTTCCAGCGCCGAGTCGGAGAAGCGTCTCTGGGGTTGTGATTGGACTCTTGTGATTTCCGTATCGTCTTCAATGGCTTCTTCGTTATTTTCCCGACTTCCACTCCTCTTCCTCGAAGTTGGCGGCAAATCTTTCTGGTACGTGTAGGGCGAGTAGATGCACTCGTCAAACAGTTTCRGATTGGCATTCTTCGTCTTGACTCTGCCCTTGAGGAAGCGCATCAAATCGTCAATTCGGTAGGAACTCGCGGTGCAATAAGCCGTGACTCGAGGCAATTTGGCCCRGWCGTCCTTGCCCAACCTCGCAGCATCTCTCCTCGCGGTCGGGTCCTTGATGCGCGTGAATTGCGAGTACACCTCTCTCCCGCTCTCTTCGTCCGCGTCAGAGCCAATGTCAGGATTGGGCAGAAGTTTGAGCTTCTGCGCTGTGCGAGTGGTACGTTGCGGGCCGATCTTGGAGATGGTCGAAGGGATTTGTAGAGCCGACCCAGAGGAATTTCTGCGGCGTAGTTTGCTGTTGAGTGCGGAGAGCGTTGACGCGGGATTGGACGAAGAGGAAGCTGTGGGAAGTAGAGGCTGCCTCTGGGGAGGACTTGCGGTGGAGACTTGTGGGTTGAAGGAGACATTTCGCGTCGGTTTGCTGGAAATCGGTCGCGGCGCGCTGCTGGAGGAGGAAGTCGAGGTCGGAAGCAGGGGAGACGCCTCACTTGCGCCATTCGTAGACGCCATGGTACGGAGTGGGTATGCTGGGGGGAACGTGACACTGCCGTCCCTTTATGCGGATTTGGGAATTGGTGTGGGTGCGGGGAGCTGTTGCAGTCGCTGTCGCGGTCAAGGTGCTGCGAAGCGAAGCTTGGTAGCGATCTGCGAGATGTCGGATGCCCGATGATGACATCTGAGCAAAATAAGTGAATCGGGACACAACCACAACCACATGTGCACTTGCTTTGATGCACGCCACACAGCTATCATCAAGCCGGCAATTGAGTGAACAGCTAAGGCCCATCGGAAATCTACGTCTACTCTTGTTCCTACAGCGTTGTGCCGTCTATCCAGCAGTATCACTCCTCTCAGCCTTGATAGCATCAAACTAAATGCCTCAATCCCTACAACGATACGGTGTCTCTTTGCATTCGAAAGTTATCAGATCCATAGATTCCCTCGGGCATCCTGGCGCTCGTACGTTGGTAGCGAATTGATCCTGGAGGTGGTTGCAGCGAAAGTGGACCTCGGGTCACTGAGAATGACTTCCAATGCAAAAGCACGATGTACAGCTCACAGCTCATCTTACAACTRCACATAGTTCGCTGGGAAGCTTCCCTTCTTCCCTCTAACCTCTCCATCCCACCAGTCGTCTGTACTTGCCGTCTTTCTCAACACCACGATCCGATCTCCTTCTCTGAAACTCAGATCCCCATCATTCTGTCCCTCAAAATCATATAGCGCCGTCACAACCTGTGGTTGTGTGGAAGGAATCCTCTTCGCCGGAACAGGGGGTGGAGGCTTCTTCTTCGCTGCAGCTGCAGCACTGTTAGCGAGAGATGCGCTTGTCTTGCGATCGCCAAAGTAGTCGGATTGAGTTGATGGAGCTGGGGACAGTCCGTTCCTTGGAGTATGATAGGAAGATGCTGCGGGCGAAGTACTGCTACCGCCGTATGCATTGCTTTCTGAGTAAGGGGGTGGTGCCTGTTGCTGTTGCTGTTGGGCTGGGTATCGGGATGGGATCTTCTGGTCGTAAGATTGTTGGTTGTATCCAGGTGACGTTTTCTGATCGTAGGCCGACGCGTACGCGTTCACGGCGCTCGAAGAAGGCATGCGTGGTTTATTGGCGAGATTTACAGGCGGGTAGGGAGAAGCCAATGGTGATGGTCCGCCGGAACCTCCTGGACGAGGTGGCTTAGGGGGTGCATCTTCTTCTCCATCCACTCCTGGGCCATTGGTGAACGACGTCTTCTGAGAAATCGTCGCCTGCCCATTCTTCCTCTTGTCCAAATATCCCCGGCCAGTATCAACGCCAGACTTTGCCTTGTTCCGAATCCCTAGTCCCGTCATAGTATTCCCTTCCTTCTCCACAATATTCATGGACATATTGACCACCTTTCCCGTGGAGATTAACGTCAACTCGCTCTCCACTTCCTTCCGGAAAGAAGTGAATTCGCTTTCCCACCTCCCGATAATCTCCGCATCGCTGGGTGCCGGACTCGGCATTCCCTGCTGTCTGCAGTATCCATCGAGACAAGTGTATAACTGGCCCACCAAAGTCGTCTGCAACATGACCTGTCCGGCCAATACAAAGGGCATCAAGCTAGCCACGGCCTGCGAAACAGGCGGGAAAGTCGAGATGACTTGCTCATCTGCCGTCTGGTAATCGATCTTTGCCTGCACCAAATCTCCCTCGTGTTTCGCCAACGTAGCCTCCTCCTTCAAACTCTTGACGTCCTTCTTCCTCGCATGCTCAGCCCTGCTCAGGTATCTCTCATAGTCCAACTTCATGTTCTCCCGATGCTTCAACGTCTTCTGCAAGCCCCTCAACGCCATCTTTGCTTCTTCCACGGGTCTGATAACTTTTGACGTAATCATCCCAATCTCCTGCTTCAAATCGTCCCGCTCCTCAGAATACATCTTCTGCAATGCGAGACATTTCTGCAGAAATGCCGCGGGAGTCTCCTTGGGAGTGTATTGAGCGTCTGGGTCTGGGGGTGGCTCGATAGGTTTGTAGAGGGCGGCAAAGGCTTCAGAGGCGTCGTATTGCAGTTTGAGAATGTCGTCCCAGCTTGTTTGCCAGGTCTTGAGGTCACGGAGTAGGCGTTCGAGCATATTCTCGACGGATTTGAACTCCGCAATGACTGCTCCTACGTCCTGCTGATCGTCGCTGCGCTTGAGCATTTTACCGCCCATGCGTTGGACAGCCTTCATGTTGGCGATGGATGCTGCCGAATAGGCCGGCGTGGCAGCAGTCGCTGTTCAATGCTGAATGTGATTTGGTCGGTGAAATGGATGCTCGCTGAAGAACGCAGCAGTCATGCAACGGAAGTTGTTGTCGGAGAAGCCAGGCAGTTGGAAATCCTCCAATCGAACAGGACCAGTGGAGAATGGTAAGGTAAGTGGGACCTTTGCTGGTGGACTGAGCACCTCTTTAACCCGCGAGTCACTAGCCTCGTGGCACAGTTTGAGTTTTGCCGAAGCGGCTGTCGATGGACCTTGAAGCGAACTCCACGGTACTTTGCAGGATGGATTGTGATGGTAACCCTACCTTGGTATGCCACTTTCACCTCAGAAATGACAGCGGCCCAAATTCAAACCGCAACAGCTGTAATCATCCCCCATCGACAACATTGATGTTGCGACCATCACATGGATGTTTGGTCGAACTCCACGTGTGACGACGATCACGGTTCAACCCGAAGACCCGAGCCAAGGAGCTGAAGGAGGCAGGGTCTCGACTTGTCTTGTCCGCACGATTTATTCCTAGGTACAGTAACTTCAAGTCCGTACATATCCACTGCGCAATTCAGGGACAATGAGTTCATCCTTCGTCTCGAGCATACCGGCAGACTCCTCAATCCTCGCGGAAGGTGCCCTGAACCACCAGCCTAGGACCAGCTTGTAACGTACGAGACACCGCGATGCTCTCATGACAAAGTCTGTGCAGGCCAAAGGATGCCTTCATCCAAGCCCTCCGCTTCTGAAGCACTCAACTCTCCTTCTGCCTCACGAGMATTACATTTGCTCAGTCATGCATTGATCCAACACGTGTTAGTCGTCATGCTGTGAGAACCATCAGGGATCACTTCAAACAAGATGACGTCTCCAAACTGACTTTGAGTGGCGGCGCCGTAATTCCTTGGGTGTCTTCGCAGCTTTCTAAACATGCATGTAATACAATCAGCTCTCGAGTTGGGGACAGCGTATGATTTGCCCATCTTCGGTTCCTTATACTCTGCCAGCTTTCTTCCGTGCCAACATGTCCTGTGCCCTAATTGTATGAGCGAGAAAGACTCAGCAATGCTGGCAATCGACACTACACGAATCTGAGGCGTACCAGTTTTTCAATCATACATCCGAACGCATTGGAGCAAACGAGATGCTAGCAGAATGGATCTGCACTTCCTGTCTTTGCTGCGGCTGGAAAGCAGATCGCACGACACCTCCATCAATCAAAACTGTAATTGAGCGCTATGGGGAAGTCGCCAAATCCGTCAATCAACGAGAGTTCAAACGCTTTATTGAGGAACTCAGACAGAAATGGAATCCTCCTCCACCCGCTGAAGAAGAGTGGGAAGACGGCTACCGTGGTGAAGGCTGGACCGATGAAGGAGCATTTGCTTTGTGCTTTTACCAACAAGCTACCAGTGACAGCACACCTCCGCGTCAAGGCCCATTGTGTGAGGCGGAGGAGCAGAACCAAGTGCTGTTACGACCAGTTGATTCTTTGATCGATGACATTCGACCTGGGCCGCTTGTAAATCCCCTACCAGAAGAAACGATAGTTGAAGCTCTAGCTTCGTTGAGAGAAGCAATCCAGCGACGGGTGAATGAAAATTCGCCCTCGGAGGATATCTCAGTCGAGTTACCTACAGATTTCGAGCAGCTCCTACGGATCACAAATTACATCGGCGGAGCTGGCGTAAATTCCGAGACTGCAAATACTTATCTCGTCGGTGGCATAGACTCCCTTGCCGCTACCGGCTCCATGAACAAATGGGAGAAGTGGTTTCCATGGACGGCAGTTTTGAACCGCAGGGACTTCAAACCTTTCGCGGCCTGGCAGCTTGGTGGCTGTAATCAACATCGACAAATCTACTACGTGCTTGGCCGAGACTTGAACGACAACACCGCTCCAATTACCTGGAAGGTTTTTGACAGAAACGACGTCGAAATGGAGCTATTCGAAAATCTGACAGAGTTTCTTCATCATGAGACACAGCATATTGAGCAAACTCCTGGCGGGCATAAGCAAGAACACATCCTGTTTTCCGATGCGTACCCGACTTGGTAGATTCTGCCCCTGACCAAGGCTGTCGATTTGCGAGGTTTTCAGCAAGATCAGCCTCCTCGGCGGCTCTCTCGAACACCCCACGGAGGACTGTGTTGGTATGGCAGGTTCTAGAGGCCCCAGAAATGTCGCTCTGGCGAGAGCAAAGGCTCGAACGTTTCAAGAAAGTAGGAAGGCCTAGGTACGTGGGCCAATTCTCATCTCGTGTAAGCATCACACAACGCGAGATTTTGAAGTACTCAAGGCCTCCGATAGTTTTCCTCGCCCCGATGACGAAGAATAATTTCGTATCAGCAAGCAGTGCAATGCGCCATTCCTTGCGAGATTGACGGAGCGCGAGCTTCCTGCTCTGTTATGCCGCTGTTCGTGTCAGCATGAGAACAGTAGGGGCAGAAGGACAGCACTCCGTGAATCGTCACGCTTTTAGTACAAGGCAGTGCGTATCACTTCATTCGTAGCATGACCTCTCCAAACACCTTCGATATGCAGAAGCTCGCTCCCAAACACCCGCCCGCTGACTATCTACGCTTCTCAGTAGATTCCCTGCGTCCGGTACTGGTACGTGTCATAAAGCCTCGTGTAGTAGCTCCCCACACTCTTCGCCACCAAATCCTCCACCCAATCGCGAGCCTCTTCTTTGCTCTTCTCCAGTACAAACCTTGCGCGCAATGCGGCAACAACGTTGATGAGCCCGCCGCCATAGCAAGGCATCTTGCTTTCTCGTCCCATGAGTTCCACCAATGTGACGATACGCTCAGCTTCCCGGCGCAGAGCTTGAAAGGCATCCTTCATGAGCTCCTTGAACTTTATGAATGCTTCTCCCTCGGGGCCACCAAGTAGCTCGACGTACTCGAGAGTGAGCTTGAATGGTGCTGCTTCAAACCCCATGTTGCCAGGAGAGTTGGAAAGCATGAACCCAAAGTCAATGTGAACAACGTGTCCATCGGAATCGATCAAGATGTTGCCGTTGTGGCGGTCTTTGAGCTGTAGAACATAGCTGAAGATGCTGTATGCGGCAAGACTGCGAACGAAACAATCTATGGCTTTCGCAAAGGCCGGTGAGTCCGTGGCGCCGAAAGTCTTGGTGTAGTGATCATACAAAGTTGCGATGCGCTTTTTCGGATTCGTTCCGGTAGCGATTGACGCCAGAGTCAGCGATCGCTTCAGCGAGTGCAGGGACACTGCATCAGTGATTGTCTCGATGAGTCCTGACGTCTCGCCAGTGACCAGAATCCGCATGTTCTTCATCCACACGTCAACACCGTGCTCAGCAAAGATCTTCGAGCACACAGCGATGAGTTGACACGCAAATGCTTCCTGACGTAGATCGTCTCCGGTTTTGACAATGACTGAGATGAGGTCCCAGCTCTTGGCCCATCCATAAGGCGAGGAGCGTCGAATCCGCTCCTTCTTCTGCTCCCAAGCCTCTCCAAACATTGCCGCTGATGGATCGTCGCGGTCGCCTTTTCGTCGGATGCCTCCGGTCACAGCGTCGTTTTCCATGCGAGCAGCGCCCTTGCCAGTATTCAAGCCAGGTTCTGTAACTCCGWCGAAGCTGTCTGCCAGATCTTCTGGGTCTGTCGGACCAGTTCCCGACTTTGCCATTATAGTGTCAAAACTGGTTCCTTGTACAGCCTCGTCTGAGAGGAAGCTCTGTTCCTCCAAAGACTGCATGCTGGCAATAATCTTTGTTCGAATTGCAGCGACTTCGGCTTTGGGGCGCTTTGCCGCGCTTAACTCGAGTTGCGCGAGCATCTGTGAAGCTGTCCGCATGTGATCTGCGAGAGCTGAAACATCCGCCTGGCTGCCAGCCTGTGCTCTCAGGTACGGAGAGGGTCGCTCGCTAATGCTTCCAGCTCCAACATGCCCTTCCGAATCGCGAGGGGTGGGCAGGCTGGCGGCAGTTGAGATTGTGCTTACTCCGCTTGACAGGCGTGGAGTTTCCTTCAAGGTCTGAGAAACAGAACGAAGGCTTGGACTGTCAGGAGCCTTCTTCGTACCACTCTCGAGGTCTTGGAGCAGTAAACCGCTAGAGAGGTCTCCGCTGGTTGGCTCCAGCACGCTATCGCTCTTGTACTCTCCTTGTGGCGATCTAATGGCGGCGTCCCTCGCGGCGTCTGTGGTGTCAAACAGTCTTCGCTTTGGCTTTCCATTCTCAGCTAGCACCCTGCTAAGCAACTCTTGATTTTGTTCACTGTCGGGGTCAAAATCAAAATCCTCCCGCAAAACTTCTAGCATCAAAAGGAACGGCACTTTCTCTGCACTGTTGAGGCTGGTCGCCTCTGCGGGATTGAGTCTCACGATCCGGTGATGCCTGCTTCTGCTGGCAGAACCGTCTATCAGTGTTGCGGGGCAGATTAAAGGTACATCGACTTCGGCAGGTAGGTCTTGGGCTATYAGACCAAGCTCCGCTCGCAATGCACTCAGACGCGCAGCTTTTGGAACCACCACCAACCGTGTAGAAATTCCTTCTAGAGCCGTGAGGAACTGGGACTCGCTTCGGAAGTAGTGCTGCCGCAGTAATCGGACCTTATGATTTCGCGACATGGACGTTGGATTCATCGGAGTCACGTACTGAGAGTGTCTTCGTGCTACCTCTCCTGCGACTCTCCGTGGMACGCCTGGCGAGGTTGGCAAGCTTAACGACGGAATGCTTGGCTTCCGTTGACGCTGCCGCTGATCTGGAAGGGAAGAAGTACTGCTGAATCCCTCTTGATTCCTAGTGACAGCCAAAGAACGGCGATGGGCGGCAAGCTTTCGGCCATCGACCAGTGGTGATCCCGGGACCGGAGATGCCGGAGACGATAGGCTGCTGCCTTTGACTTCTATTTCCACAGGTCTGCGTGTCCGTCGCCGCTGAGTATCCTTCGTATCACCCATCTCTTGCCTAGCTCTCCTGCCGTTGCTCGTGCTTCCCGTTACCGTCGCGCTGCGCGCAAGCTTAGGTGTAGTCGAGACAGCATCGGCAAGTTCGTCCTCCACAGGGCGCGGTTTCCTGGCTTGAGCAATTGCCAGTGGTCCTGCGATCTGAGGTAGTAGAGGCAGACCAATGCCTGCGAGCACCAGGCTTGACAGCACCGTGACCGGCAGTACATTCTCCTTGATCCTCTCTCTTCGCAAAGGCTCTCCGCCTCCGAACACTATTCTTTGGACCTTGTTGTATATCCTGCGACAAGTTTGGAAGGCATTCGAGGTCGGGGAGCCGGATAGATCATGTAGATACGTTTGGAATAGCCAGAACGTCTAAATGCCGTCAGCTTTAACCTATGAACGTATCCCATTCGCATAACACATACAAGCAAGGCTCCGTTGACGGACTCTTCGCACAAGTCTACGAGGAACTCCTCCAGTGCCATCGACTCATTGTCGATCGAAATGACGAGGTGGCATAGCTGGGAGAGGAAGAACTCAATCTCCTCATAGCTAAAGCCTCGCAACTTCGAACAGAGGACATAGTGTATACCAACATGCTCCGAGTACCGACTGTTGGGGGGTCAGTGAGTGTGTCTAGCTCTTCAAGGGGTCGTAGTATCCCTACGCAAGGTATGCAACCGTGAGCGATGGGTCTCTGTTGAAGTGCTCAGACTCGATGAAACGTTCGAGCAGGTTCCAGCTCATGGAGGATATCTCATTGATGGCGGGGATTTTACAAGTCAATCCTCATATCCTGGCAGCCATGGGTCACCGAAGAGCTGACAATGAAGCCAATGGGGCTGGTATATTCGCGACGGGCTTTGAGCTTGGAGACGGATGGCGCTGGGATGGAGATTTGTCGGGGTCTTCTGGGATGGGCGATTCGTGCGAAGCAGGGATTCGGGACGCGTGGAGCTTGAGTTCGCGGTCTGGGAGTGAGGAGAGGTAGAAATGCCGAATGTTGTGGTGTCGACACGGCGGGACGTTGCCGCCAAATCATATGCCGCTCCACCCGCCGGACCTTGATCGTTCGCTTCAGTCGACCTCCTCCTCTTTTCCCCTCTCGCACTTCTCCATTTGCAGACAGGCAATGAAGCGACCCTCACCCAGAATTTCCTTGCTGCATCATGATTTGGAGACTCTTGGCGCACGAAATCAGAAATGCGACGACGCCTTCATTTGGAGCCCGTCCCCGATGCATACACGCCGTCGCTTGAAGTTGCTGAGATGGTGTAAAATTTTAACTCCCACATGGATCGGCCATGGCTAGTCCTAACATCATCCTGAAATGGAGGGTGAAATCCCCTTCGAGCTGGCATTCTGAATCTTACCAGGTAAATGAAGACAAGACAATTCATGCTTACAGCTTTCTACACTCGAGCTTGGCCTTCAACTCTTTGCTGGAAGCAGCTCATGCTTCCGCATATCTTCGACGGTAGGGTCATACACTTTCGCAATCTGTTTGTGAATGCGGCTCGAATTACTTCTCTGTATCAAGTCTTATCTGTGCCTCAGCGTCATAATTCATTCACTTGTGCAGTCCCAACATGCAATTTCAACCTAGCTCCCGCCAGGGACCCCTCAAGTTTTATCTCACACCCGTTCGACCGCGTCTTCGACCGCGTTCTCAGCATCAGCAATCATCACCCCCAACCCATAAAGCTCAGCATGAAGGACTCCAATACCAGCCTCTTCATCGACGAGGATGAGCAGCTGTCGAGTCCTCCCCACGAAGTGTTCTTTGACGACAGCAGTGGCGGCAGTGTGGATCGCGACGACAACAAGCATGCTGACGAAGAGTCTGACGACAACACCCTTTACTGCCTCTGCCGCAAGATCGCCCGTGGATTCATGGTCGGCTGCGATGGGGGGTGTGATGATTGGTTTCATGGCACTTGCGTCGGCATCAAGGCAAGGCAGAAGGTATACGGACCCCGAGCAGCATGACAAGTGTGCTCGCATCTAACACGTATCAAGGACCTGCTAGAGCAGTTTGTCTGCCCTGACTGCACCACCAAGGGTCATGGAGTCACGGCTTGGAAGGACACCGCGGGAGGAAATGCCGGTCACACCACCACGAAGCAAGCGCTGCAAGCGGCCCAAGACAGTACTGTAGCGGCGAGCAACTCACTTCTCGACTCGAGCCTGCCGCCCAAGAGCAGTCGCTCCGGCCATGATCACGAATCCGCCCGGTCTCCACAACCCATCGCTGCTACTCGCAAGCACATCGCCAGAAGCAAGCTCCGCGCGCAGTCCGCCTCGAACCGGAAAGCTCTAGCCCCGCATCCGTATTCCGGTGTCATGAAGAAGCTGAGGGTGTCTCTCCCGACGTTTGAGAACCGCACGCCCGGGTTCGGCGCCCTATCCAATATCAACGACAGTGATGCCGAAGACGCTCAAGACAACGGCGATGATGACAAGCATCTCGACGATGCCCTCCGAGCTACCGTCACTCCCGTCCACAAGACGGCAGTGGAGTTCCAGCGTCGCACGTACATTGACGTCGAGGAAGCCCCCACCGTGGTGGACGTCATGGTGAAGCATGCCCTGGAACTGGCACTCTTCGGTACGCAGTGTGGATGAATGAATCGAGGATGTTTACCATGAGAGAAGAATCGAGACTGTCTACARCGAATTGAGACATGAGAGATATGCTGAAACGCAGATTCTGTTGATTGCAATCGCAGGGATGATGGACTCTGTGATTGGGCTTCTGTAAGGGAGCGGACGCAAAGTGCGCGTAATAAGTGCGGATGCGAGAACAGAGGAATGAAACGTTGACAGGTTGATTGCATGTGACCCTGCTTCGAATGTGACTTGTGCTGTATACATGACCGCCGGTCTTGTTCGTAGTACTTTCAGATGTGAGCCTGTAAAATGTACAACAGCTCGATCCTCGCCGCATCGAAGTCGAGTGCGTCTTCTGAGGGTAAGGTAAGATGGAATGTTCTCGGGAACATCGGATTTATCGGTTCGGCCCGTGTCTGCGACGGCTCGACCCGTAGAGCCATCTCAGCCTAGCGCTAAATATGCTTCCATGTCGTTCCGGCACTTCCACAACACGTCTACCGCGACAATCGCGTCCGCTTCATCCGCGCTGGCACATTTTTGCTGAAATTTTGTGGAGTTTGGCGTTTGTTTGTGGGATTTGCAGGGAAGAAATTCAGTTTTCTTTGTGTCGTCGTTTGATCGCCCAGCGAGTCCGAGCACCTGTTTGTACCTGCGGCCGGCGGGATCGATAAATGCCTTCTTCGTGACTGCTACATCGGACAACCGTCGGACAACCATGGCTACTGCAAGCGGCGACACCTGGACGCGCAACCCGCTCGCAGACGAGAATCCAGACCYGACGCGCAAGCGACAGAGAATCAGCGAAGATACCGAGACGCAGACGTCACCCCTGTCAGGCAGCGGGAGCCCCGTCGTCGCATCGCTGCCGCCAGAGGAGAGCGGCACCGGCTTCCACAACGCGATTGAGCTGCATGATGATGATGCCGACATGACTTCAGATTCATACACCAAAGGATTCAAGCTGCAATCAGCAGTCTCTCTAACACCGGCTGAGCAACTGCAACATGTTTTGAGTCAGCTGCTGAACTCGCATCACATCGCTCCCGATCACTTCGTGGAGCTCTCTCTCTGGCTGCGCCAACACCTGGAGACCACCAAAGGCGAGTCTCTCGCGAAAAGGCAGCACGAGTACACCCGCGAAGCCGAGTTTTTTGGCAAACTCGCGGAGCTCTCAGTCAGCATCCTCAACCATGGAGGTCAAGTATTCCGTGACATTCCAGATGACAAGTTCGATCGGCTCGGATCAAGCGTCATATTTTTCGTCAACGACATGGCGACGTTGGGGATTCGAATTGTCCCTATTCTGCCTCTAACTATCGACCATGTCATCGGGCGAAGAGATTCCGGGCAGGCTAAATCGAGCAGGACAGTACAACTCCTACAGTATACACAAGTTCTGGCGCAGATTCTGGCGTTACACGRCGTCAAATTGGTCCATTTCAAAGACACATTTCACCTCAAGCCCGAGGGCACGGCACTTTCTCACAGACAGAAGCTCTTGCAGAACCCTTTGGGAATGCCGGCTTTGACAAGCACTCTCCAGAAGCTAGGAGACCGCCACTCTGAAATCGACGGTTCATGGGATGCCATTAATGCAATCCTGCAAGTGATGAATACGCTGTGCTCAGTTGAGGGCATGGACGCTATCGACGACATTGGTCGAGCAATGGCGACAATTCATCATTGTCTGCTACCTGCCGTATGCGTGATGAGTCCCCGAGCCATACCCATCGATGTCCACGAGGTCTTGATCAAGACGGCCTGCAGACTCCTTTCATTTCTTCTACAACACGCAAGCCCTGACGAGTCCGCTGCGCTTTACAAACTGTACATCGAAAGCGATAGCGATGCGCTACTGACAGGCATTGCCGAGCGCTCGGTCACGAAGAGCTTGAACGCTCTGAGCAATGGTAAATCTGACAATTTGATTGGCCTATTGAGAACAGCGTGGAATTTGCAAGCGCTCAAGATATATATCTTCAGTGGCATCATGGATGTACGCAGCTCTGGGATTCTTCAACTGAGCACGCTGCTGTTGCAACTGTACAACACCCATCAGACCTCCGAAGAGGGCTTCGAGCACCCGATTCTGCAGTACGTCGGGCGTTTCATGCGTACTAACGAGTTGACCAAATACATCTTCGGCCCGGATTCCCATGCGAGCTTGATAAGTCACAGCCAAAACATCATCGGCTTCCTCGCAGCGACTTTCCTGTACACTGATAACGAGTCGGATCTCATCTGGGCTGCATGCACAACCAGTGTCGAAGCTGAGTTTGTGAAAGCGTCCTTCGGCGTATTGACTGAACTGTGTCGGTACTTGGATCTCGACCATCTGCTCTATCTGGTCAAGAAGTATGCAATCACGCCACCGGACAGGCTGGGGAAGGATGCAGTTGAAACCCTTACCGATCTCTTTCAGAAGGTGAAGCTGAAGAGCGCGAGTGCCACGGATCAAGACCGCCGCTTGACAACAGCCTTCATCAGCATAGAGATTCTTTTCAAGGCCAGAACGGCGGAGAGTACTTCTGCACTGGCACAGCTTTGTGAGACTGCACGGACTGAACTAGTTCGGTTTACCACCTCCCAATACAGCGCAGATGATAGGGTCCAGATATACGAGCGCTGTGTTCCAAACTTGCTCGAGCCGAATGAACGCGCAACCACCAGCATTGAGATTATTCTGCTATTCCTCGACAGTTCTACGGTTTGCCACAAGGAGCCACAAGATTTACTCGGCATGCTTTCAGTAGGCGCGCTCGTTGACGAATTGAGTCACTATGTTGACACCTGCCGCGACGACGGAGTAGGGGCGGAGGAGGCACAGATTTCAGGCATTCGAACCCGCATGAACGCCATCGTGCGGCTGCAGGCTTTGTCCGGGTCGCCAAGGAGCGATTCGACCTGGGCAACGTTCTTCGAGTATACCACTGGCCGGCTCGCAAGCAATAACGCCACCAGAGACTGCGCTTGGACGATGCTTTCGATCATGGAGACGTATGCCGATAGTGTGGGAGATGTTGCGAGAGACCTGCTTCAGTACTCTCTCGAGGCAGCTATCGATCTGCCGCTGGAGTTTCTGACGCCAACACTTCTTAGTACATTCGGAAGCACGTTGCGTCGACGTTCCGAAGGCGAGGAGTTCCAACGCGACTACTGCCTGGTGTTACAAACTCCCGCCTGGCAAAAGCTTGTTGAAACCGCAGAGAGCACTTGTCTTGCAGAAGCAAGCGACCAAGCTCGCAAAATAGTTTGCGACGTCCTCTTCGAGTATCCTCTTGCATATGCCGACAAGTCCAGAGTTGCAACCTGTCACGGCAACTTCGCGAGGGGTCAAATCAGTCGCATCTGCAACGACTTCCGGAGCTTCACTGGTTCACAAAGTCGAATCGAAAGCCAGGATATCATTCAAAAGATAGATCTATTGGCCGAGGTCTTCCGCAGAAGTCAATTAAGCGGAACTGCGTTCGAGGCGGAGGTGTTGTCACAAGTGGTCCTTGCGACAGAGCCAGCGACTGATGTGTTCCACTGCAAGATGCTGGTCTATGGTGGCGGACGGATCCAGCCCAAACTTCATCGTCTACAAGTGAAGGCCACGACAAGACTGTCGGAGCTTGCGAGTGAGCTGCCAAAGATCAGTGGTGCAGATACAAATCGTGTCATCATCGGAGGCCAGGCCTTGGACTTGGAAGCCCAGGGGGACCGGCAAATGTCCCAGCTAGGTGTCGGGCCTCAAGCAAAAGCATCAGGTGTGATAGCAATCTGCCCGAAGCATACATTCCAAAGTGATATTGGAAAATTGTTGACACCTGCAGGCGAAGTCGAGATGGAGCTCCTGGCGCAGTATGACGATCTGGAGAAGCTGCTCGATGGACCAGAGGAAATCGCGCAGAAGGTATTGTCTTAAGCGGAGATCCACAGTGAATTGAACGCTCAGCTTACTAAAATATGCAGATGTTCTCGTTCATAACTGGCATTCGCCCACCTGCACGCCAACGCGATCGAGTTGTGACTGGCGAACTGACCCTCCAAGAACTATTTCCCCCGGCCAGGACGTGGAGAGGTGCCTACACAATTCACGTCCTCCAGACACACCTGGAAGACTACATTAGCCTCGGTGTACTGGACCAGAGCTTTAGGCTCCACGGTATTGACCTCCTGGTTGGCATCATCATTGATGAAACACGCTCAATTGAGCAGAACATGTTCGGACGCGCCATCTCCTGCTTGTTGTCATTCTTGCGAGGTTCGTCTTCCATTATCTATATGAAAGACCTGGCTAACCTCTCGACAGAGCAACCACCGTTACTCACAGTGGACGTCATCATTAAGCGCCCCGAGGAGTTCGTTTCGCGCATGGTGGATACATGCTACTTTTTCTTGTCCTACCACTCCGAGCTTTCGGACACCCGGCGATCCATCCTAGGGTCAAGCTTCAGAGCCCTGACGGAGGCTTGCCGGCATCAAGCCTCACTGTGGCAAGCTTTCGCCGACAACACACGTGTCGTTGAACTACATCAACAAGTTTTCATGCATTCCGACGAACCACTAGTCATTGATATCTGTAACACGATCAAGAACTTCTGTAACGATCCTGGCTCGTTGGAAGGTGTGGCAGATTTCTACACGAATACGGGTCTGGCCATACTCCCGAGTGTATTGAAATCGAAGGCTCCGTGCCAACAATTCTTTGGCCTCATCAACACAATCCTCCTCGGCAACCGCATACTCCGGAAAGACGAATCCAGATGCCGCGCGCTCTGCCAGACCCTGGTGTCACATCTACATGCTTACAAACACTCCGAATGTGTGGAAACGCCTCTTATCGATCTGACAATGGTAGGCCTACTTAGTCTCTTGAAAGGAGCCATTGCGATGCTTCGAGACTTCGGGAAGCCACTGGATGTGGGCGACCTTGCGTTACATCTATTCGACACAATTCTTTTTCCCCCACTGAAAGCCATCAGCCCTCGGCCACTTGTTGATCGCAGGTCACGCTCGATTGCGTACTGGCTCGTCAAGGCAACATGCGAAAGTCCCGCAGTCTATTCAAGCCTGCTTGCTGCCGCTTCGCTGCCAATGCACGACACGAAAAATTCTCCCGCAGCAACATTCCATGGAGCATCAATGTGGCAGCGCCCAGCGTGGCAATGCAGCGGACTCTCGAATTTGGGTATGACGTGCTATATGAATTCGTTGTTGCAGCAGCTGTTTGCCAACGTCCACTTTCGCAAATTCATTTTCGACACACCAATCACAGACCGAACTAAGCAGCAACTCCTCTACCAGGTCCAGTATTTGTTCGCGCGCATGCAAAATGACTACACCCCTGTCATCGATACGAGCGAGCTGGCCAAGGTCCTCGGTATTCAGACTGACAGCCAAGAGGACGTCCACGGCTTCTACGAGGACTTTCTAAGCCGACTGGACACGAGCATGCCAGACGAATCGTCCAGACGAGCCCTAGGCCGATTTTTCTCCGGAACCTTGATCTCACAAATCAAAGGAGAGTGTGGCCATGTTTCGCCCAAGACGGAGCCATTTGTGGATCTTCAGATGATTGTGAAGAACAAAGCCAACCTCCTGGACAGCTTGCAAGAGTTTGTACAAGGGGAGCCGATGGAAGGCACAAACAGGTACAAGTGCCTCGTGTGCGATCCCAGCAATGGCGAGGGCCGTCTTGTCAATGCCATGAGAAGATCTTGCCCCGACAGCATGCCGGACAACCTCACCTTCTGCCTGAAGCGGTTCTCGTTTGAATCAATGTATGGGTTCGAGTCCAAGGTCAATGATCGCTTCGAGTTTCCGCAAACGATTGACATGTCTCGTTGGCACCGCGCTCACCTAGACGATCCGAATACCACCTTTGWTGAGGACATATTCGAGCTCGTGGGAGTCATTGTTCATCAAGGCTCGCTCCAATTGGGCCATTACTGGTCTTACACACTTCTTCGTAACACTGGAATTTCGAACTCTCGTACGTGGGTGAAGCTCGAGGATCGAATGGTATCGACTTGCCAAGGAGGCATTGAAGAAGTTCAGCGTGAATGCTTCGGCGGTCTGCGCAATAATGGTCAGGAGCGGGCGGACAACGCATATGTCCTATTCTATCAACGCAAGGCCTGTCTTGAGGAGCCAGTCTCGCTGCCAGGACCTGTACTGGACCCCCAATGTTCGTCTCTCCTGCCGCCCAAAGTCGACATACCAGCTGAGCTACAGGGCATCATCCAGACCAACAACGCCTGGCGAAGACGGATCGCGCATATCTTCGATGACGATTTTCACGACTACGTGATGTGGTTGCTTGCAAAGTACGACCACTTTTCACACCCGTCTTCCCCTCGCTCAATCTGCGACTCCCCGCAGAGTAGGGGTCAGCAGCGTCAATCCAGCGCAGACGACTTCACGAAACGATTGGGTGAAGTGGCGACAACTTACTTGCAGCGTGTAGCAACCTGTGACTCCGCGGCTGCCTTCAGACTGGAACGATGCATTGCCGCCCTCCGGCCCCTCATGGATGCTCAGCCGCATTTTGCATCTTGCATCCTTGGTCAGATAGCTCATGACAATCCCTGGTTCTGTGGAATCGTCGTTCACACTAATTTCGAAATTCGTGAGAGAATCTTGAATCTGACGTTACTCTGCCTAAAGTATGTACGCCAGCATGAGGAGACGCTCTACAAGGACATTTTCATTCGGATCAAGAATGCGCATGCCAGGGTCAAGGACAATACGGCTCCATTGCGCTTTGACTGGTATCACTACCTCTCTTTTGCGGTGACACTGGCCGCGCCAGGGTCGTGGGAGACGCTTGCTGTTCTCGATGGTGGATATCTATCGTGGGCATGGGATATTCTGTACACCCTGGTCACCCCAGAGAAGCAGCGAAAATTCCCAGACCTGCTCGCAGCCATGCAAAACGATCCGCTCCGGGTGACTGAACTGTTTGAGTTTACTCGCTCCATATTAAAGAGCGCCAATGCCATCATTCCCGATGATGACCAACACAGGATCCCTGGCCAGGGCCATCAGAAAACTCCTGACGGTGTCTTACTGGAGCCGATGGAAGTTCGGTTACTTACTCAGGGGGAAGGCGAACCGATGTGGATGTCTTGCGCAAAGTTTGCGGATTTTACTTGGTGCGTTCTTGTGCAGCTCTCTTTGATTCATTTGTTCGTGCTAATACCCTACTAGTGGCTGGAGGGACTTTGCACCAGGAAAGCTCATGGCCGAGCTGATGGCTCCACGCCAACCTCAAGTGCTCAGAACAGTCATCACGGGTTTCATTGAGAGACATGTACGACAGGAAGACACAGTACTGGATTCGGTCATGCATCTGCTCTTACATTTCTGCGCCAATTCCGCGGACGGAGATGCTACTCAGGCCTTTTACGCCCTGTCCACGGCGATTCACCAATGGAACAGAGCCGAGCTTGGTTTCTTGCATGTCGTTCGAGAGGCGCACAAGCTTGTACCTCTGTCGGTTGTTTCCAACACTGAGCACTGGGCTGCGAATTACCTGACTTCCAAAGTGGGAGCCGTGCGCCTAGGCACCGAGAAGTGGTTGCGAGAGGCCATCTTTGAACCGGATCCGATTTCTGACTATCCAGACCTTGACGCCAGTCGAGTRAGGCAGGTTCGCAAACTCGTGAAATTCTGTTGTCAGCTCGTAAGGACTGCATACGGGTCAGAGCAACCAAGGTTGAAATACGCGAGCGTGATGACTACTTTGCTAGGTGCAGAAGAATACCTAAAGAAGGTCCAGGTAGCCGGAAAGGTACGAATGCAGAGCTCTGATGAAGCAACTCGCGCGTCCGTTAGCAGGCCACTTTCATTTGAGCTTGCGGAGCTACATTCGGAACTCGGGGAGCTGAAGGCAATCCGGAAGATTGAGCAAGAGTGGGAGGTGGGGGAGCCTCTGCCAGTCTCGCGCCGATCTGTTGAGCTCGACTCTGAGGAGGAGACTACTGAGAGCGAAGTCTATGAAGACTACGAAGACTGCAGTGTCTCCCCGAGGTGAGCTGGTGATGAGGAGGTAGAGGATGAGGCGGCCGACGTTACGATGCATGAGACGGTGCGTGAGAAGTGACACCAGCTGTGGCACGAGATGAGGAACGAGGCAATGATTGTAAAGTACATCTTATGACGAAGGACATGATTATGAAACGGGTAGATCAAGCGGCTGCACCTTCTGGTGATTAGGAAGCGTATGTACTGTAGAACCATCAAACTTGGTCCGAGCTTTTGGTGACATCTTCAACTTGCATCATCATATGTAGATGTCTGCCTCGCGCTCCTTTGATCAAAAAAGTACTCTCCACTCGCAGCGGGCCATYCCATCACCTCACACCATGTCAAACCATCGACTCATTGTCGTAACAGGCGCAGTAGGTCCTCCCAAAACTCCATGAGAGCAAACAATGAGCCTCATTAACAGCCTACAGAATCGAGGAATTGGGAACGCAATCGCGAAGCGTATATTGTCAAGAGACGATGTACCAATGAAATTGTTCGCGACTTCAAGGACTGGCCAAAATCTTCAATTGGATTCCCGTGACGGCCGCCATGAAATTCTCTACTCGCAGCTCGACGTCGGATCTGAAGACAGCATCAACGCATTCAAAAATCTCGTGCAGAGCCATGGCCAGGTCGATGCACTCATCAACAATGCTGGCATCAACTTAGATCTGAAGTACAATCTCGAGAACGCGAAGCAGACTCTTGATGTTAATTATCGCGGGACTCTCAGTGTCGGTCGGGCAATTCCCATCTGGATATCCAGCGCTGACCATAGTATCTGACAACTAGATGTGCAAAGCACTCATTCCTCACCTCGCTCCTCAAGGTCGGATCGTCAACCTCGCCTCCGTAGCTTCGAGCCTCAAACCCTACAGCGAAGAGATTCAGTCCCGATTCCGCAATGCCAAAACACTCCAGGATCTCGAGACTCTGGCACAAGAATTCGAGGCAAGTCCATCATGGTGCAAACGACTCTTCTTCACGGAAAAGTCCCTAGCAACCGCTTAAAAGACATCCTTGCTAACAATCCAACCCAGTCYTCCGTCCGGACCCACACCGAAGTTGAGGCGGGCTTCGCCACCCCTGGCCGGTCTTATTCCATCTCCAAAGTCCTGGTCCGCGCTCTCACGGCGATTCTCGCTCGCGAAAACCCAGGATGTTTAATCAACAGTTGCTGTCCTGGGTGGGTGTCTACAGACATGGGCGATTCCATTATCTCAAAAGGGAAACATGCGCCAAAAACAGTCGCGGAAGGAAGTGAGATCCCTGTTCGACTGGCATTGGATGACTTGGGTGGTGTGTCTGGGGAGTATTGGGCGAACGATTCTGTAAGGAGCCGGGAATTGGGGAAAGTCCAGAAGGAGTGGTGATTGATGTTCATTGCATGCATTACTCCTTGCATCGATTCATGTTGGCGTGAGCATTTCCGCGTCGCTGGTTGGTGATATCACGGCACTTTTTCTGTTTCGAGCCGCGAAAATGGATATATGTACAAGCACTGGATCACGATGCAAGAAGCATCGCTTGCAGGCCCCGTTTCCCTACCTCGCCAATTTCCATCAATATCCACTCTCCCGACAAGAGCTTCCCCTTCCGCTACCGAAATGAGATTCTTTGGCTGGGATTCGCCTGTACTGTTGTGAATTCATGACGACAACCATGAGGATCGTGCGCAGAATATGGGAGCGTGCGCAGAGAACATGGGAGCGTGCACAGCACGGTCTCTGAGCAAAGGGCATCTGTTGGTTATGGATTCCTGTCCCTGAGGGAGTTCTTCATGTCAGCTAGAARCCTTGGTGTCTCTAGCTCACGTCAGATGGTGGCCTTGAAGTTCGATCTAGCAGACCTTGTCTCCATAGCAATGTCCGAAGTTACCCTCACATCTCATCATATGAGAAAGCCAGAGAGGAGAATGAGATGGTGGAGTGATGTAGCATGCAATCATGAGTTACGTACCTGCGAGAACGTCGGGTATCAGATGTGCACGATCGGTCTTCATCTCCAGCTTCACCTCCTTCCTCGCTCTTCTTCTCCACTCCTTCGAAGATCAAAATACCCACTCCCGCCCCTCAAACTCCCTAAACGACATCTCCAACCTAACGAATGGTCACAGGGGCACTCTCTACCTAGAACGACATCAACCGGGATTGATTCGCTGATACTTGAGAGGAGTCTGCGGGTCTGAACAGACTTCKATGCAAAGAGACGGAGTATTATCGACCCCTCGAACACCACCAAATCATCAATATCGATCGCCATTGATACTCTCACCAAAGCATCAGCAAGAACGGCCAAAGACCGAACAGWAAACCTGACACGGCACGAGACTCATAAGATATGTTCAATTTCCACACCTCTACACATCCTCACAGAAAGAGAAAGAGAAACTCAAGAGCGTATCCGGTCACTCATTACACAACCCCATCCATCCCAAACTCCTTCGCAAAACACATCGAAAAAGAGAGAGACAAAGACTTTGTTCTTGTTCCTGCACACATAATACACCCGCGCCCCAGGACTTAGAAGATCATACTCTTGACCTGATCTCGCTCCCTGCCAGCCCTTCGTGGGTTCATCGGCGGCGTGCGGGGCCTCTCAGCCTCCTTGGCCTTTTTGTCGGGACTCCTCAAGCCATAACTCGTCGCCGGTCTTGCCGGAGCGGCAGCATTGACTGGCTTCCGCTCCGAGTTCTTTCTCGGTAGAGCAGGCGGCTTGGTGAAGTCTCTCACTTCAACTCCATTGCCACTCCCTTGAATTGCGCCCGAGGACGCCGAGGGGTCCGACTTCTCCCTCTTGAGCRCCAGGTCCGTCCACGTCGCACTCTTCTTCTGGACATCTGGCTTGCCAATGACCTGGGACAGCGCTGCCATCCACTTGTCCTTGGCAGCAGAGCTGTCGGCATAGAAGTCGATGGTCTCACCGTTTGCAAAGCGTATCCGGAATCCCTCCTCAACATATGCATACCCCTCATCCTCCTCCGCGAAAGCAGATTTTCTCCTACCACCTCTGCTAGAGGGATTTGCAGAATTTGGATTCGCGACGAGAGCGCTCTTGTCGTCCACTAAGCGAGTCGCCTTGCTGAGATTGATGACGGCACGCTTTTGCTGCGTGTGCTCATGATACGCAGTCAGTCTGGCACCCTGGAGTCGGAAAAATCTTCTCCGCCAGTGGACGCAATCGCCTCCTTGCTGGCTGAGATGACCTTCGTGGGAAATATCAACTGTCTCCACCACACGGGACATTTCGCGAATGGCACTGCCCATGGACTTTGGCATGTCTTCGTCCGCGGCATTTGCGGGACGGGGCACATACAGAAGTTGGAGTTCGAGCTGGCCGACGACGTAAGGAGGACGACGAATGGGTCCGACGTTTCCGCGTTTGCTGCGGACACTGTTTACGACTGCAGAGTCGCTTTCCAGCGCCCATTCATTGTAGCAGGGAATATCAACGGTGAGTTGTCTGCCGAAGCACTGCTTCTCGTGCGCTTTGAGGTTGATGTATGCACGCGCAAATGCTCCGTCAGAGGGGTTGACGAGGTCGTGGAGCAGATCCCATGAAGTAAGTTGAACGGAGGCACGCTTTCGGCGAGCTTCTTCATTTTGTCGGCGCTCCTCTGCCTCTGCGGCTTCCCGCTCCTGTCGGTCACGCTCAGCACGCTTCTTCGGGCTGGTCAGGAAGCGAGACAAGCTAGAAGACTTCTGATGCCTGATCTTTGATGGCGAAGAGGGCGTAGTGGGAGCCTTAACGGCAGGTGGGGCAGGCAGTTTTGTGGTCAGGGTAAGTTGGAACTCAAGGTCGTTGAGCACGACGAGCTCAAACTCTTGGCCAATTGATGCGGTCTTCCCCAGTTCCAAGCTGGAGGTTGTCACACAATGAAGTCCATTGTCGAGGGTCAGCTGGAAGTAGAGACGGTCGTTCTTGGGCATGGGCAAGTCCAAATCCTTGACGCCAACCACCTTGACGAAGAGACGGCCGCGCTCAACACCTTCACCAACATCGTCCTCCATGCTGCTGGTGCCGGCAGCGAAATCTTCATTGAGAACTCCCAATGCGCTGGGCTGACCCGGAAGTGGCGGCGCGGTTCCGTTGCTGTGCTGCTGAATAGAGGCCTGTCTCTGGCTCTTACGTCTGGCGGTTCCATTCCATGGCTCGGTCTTGAGGAATTGCTCGGCACTTCCCTTTCGTGAGACTCCCTTACCGCCTCTTGAGCTGGGTCGTGAGCCTGTGGGGGACTTTGGCCCAGAATGCTCATTCGACTGGTTCGTGCCGCCGCTGTCGTTGGAGAAGTTTCGATTGGAGGCAATGACAAGCTTGGTGTTTTGTCGCATGAGGTAGMCCTTCTTTGTAGGAGATGACATGTTAGTTCGGACGCCACTGTAGTCAAAGTGAGACGAAAAGGGTGCGGGGGCGTCAGGAGCGAAGCCCGCAGTGCGGACACGTCCTTCAGCGGCGGAAGGAATGTTGTATCGCACCTTTTGTTGTTCAATCACACGCTCAAATTCTTGATCCAAGCCAAGAATGTTGCCGTTGCTATCAGCATCAAGGGCGGGAATGTCAAGATTAAGCTTCATCTTTCGGCTTTCCTTGTCCTGAGCCTTGGAAACTGGGCTGTGTTCAAGACCGGAATCTGCTTTCGACTCGTTGCCTTCGGAGGAGTACGAGGTGGTTTCCAGGTCTTCGCTGACCTCGGTCGTCTCTTCCATCTCAGCCTGGTATGCCTGCGGGATGGAAGGAATAGCATGCTCGGCACTAACGAGTCTTCTCTGTTCGGCCATCGTGCGCATATCTGCAGGCGTTGCAGACGGGCGAGCTTTCAAGAGTCCGCCAGTTCTGATGGTTGCACGACGTTCAGGAATTACAACTTCGGGCACTGGCTCCGGCACTGGCTCCTCGTCGAGGGGCTCAAACTCGCTGCTTGATTGGCGGACGACAGATTCAGGGGTGCCTTCTGGTGAGTACTCGGCACCGTCGTAAGTGGGACGTGGAAGGTCCTTGTAGGTCGGCTTGAGCTCAGGAGCTGGCGCAAGCACGGGCGCATCAGCAATGATGTCCAGCTGCTTGGTGTTGTCATTGGAGGCTGGAGGCGTCGGGGTGAAGTATTGATCCATCCCCTMGAACCCTCCTGTGCTGAGGTAAGTTGGCAGGCCCATGAAATCGCGAGGAGCTGGAGCTGAATGCTGTTCAGGCTTGGTAGTGATAGCAGGCTCGGGTGCAGGTTCAGGCGCCGCGTAGTCTTTGACTGTAAGCAACTGCATTGCATCTTGAAGACTCTCCTTACCCTCATCGTTCTCGTCGGGCTCCACAAACTTGGTTGGTTCCACCTCGACTTCTGTGCTTTCAGCATCAGGCTCGACAGAAGAGTAGCGGGATCCAGACTCGTCTTCATCATCGCTCGGAAAGCTGACATCGTGACGCAGAACAGAAGACTCGCGCTGATAGTCCGCTACAGGCGCAGCACCAGGCGTCTCGCCGATCGCCGGAATGGTGGAAAGGTCGATGCCAGACTCTTCGAGTGGCTCCTCCTTGATCTCAACTTCGTCTTCGCGGAGACGGCCGCGCTCGAGTGCATACGCATTGGTGTAATCATCGCTAGTCTCGCGGCTGTTTTCACGAGACGGGATGGGGTCGTCTGGGTGCATCTTCGCTAGCTCGGCATACGTTGGACGAGCAGGGCTGTCATCTTCATTATCGGAAGCATCTTCATCCTCGGGCTCGAACTCGTACTTGGACTTTYTGACCTTGCGCAGAATACTCTCTCGTGAGATTTTTGGTGGAGAGTTGGCAAAGTCGGCCAAATCGGCAACGACAGAGTCATCCTCCACTTCAGTTGATTCGACATTCACATGGACATCTTTCGACTCGCCTGTGTCTAGATTTGTGATGGTGAGTTCTTCAACATCCCCGTGCTTGGATGATGGACCATCTTCGTTGTAATGACTGATCGAGGCACGTTTTGGAGGGGATGGCAAGCTGCGTGCAGCCATCGAGGCGCGCTCGGCTGCGGCATTGAGACTTTGGCGGTCCCTCATGAAGCCCGGAAGTGGTGGAAGTGGACGGGACTCGCCGTCCGAAGCAACGCTCTCTGAACGGCCTAAGATAGGACGTTCCGGCTCCGGAGAGCCCTCGAAAACATCGTCACCTTCATCAATCAGGTCCCGACGCGCCGCTTCTGGTGACATGCGGGACCAATCTTCCGGGAGCACTACCGGAGTCTTGTCGGCATTCTCCAAATCCTCATCAAAGCTGTCATCGCGATGGCGGTCTGCCGAGCTACCACGCTCGAAGCTGTAGTCTGGATCATAGTATTCTTCAGAGTCCCAGCTTCCTTCCCTTGACTCTGACGTGGCTGAGAGGGATGGCTCTGGTGTTGGATGTGTGTACTCGTTGACTTGAGGGTTCTCGTGAAAGGTAACGCTCTTATGGTGGCGGTGTAAAGCGCGAGGAGTAGGCGCGCGATCGTCGCCATCCGACCAGATAGCATTGTCCTGCTCGTGAGAAGACTCAAATTGGCTGCWGCGCGAAAGTGCAGACTTGGTGGGTGATGCAGGGACATCGTGTTTGATGTGAGATGGGGAGCTGATGTGAAGTGCTGTCTCGCTCTCTGTCCGCTTGTGGCCGCGCTGGGACTGCGGGCTGCGCAATGGCGTGTTCTCCTTTCTCAAGCTATCAAATCGGGTGAAGCTATTGTTCAGCAAGCTCTGGCTCATGGGTCGATTGGCGCTTGGGCGCTCGACCACTGGTGTGTTGTTGACATCGTACTGATCTCGGGATTCCAGCGCGAAGATGTTGCTCGTCTTGACACGTCCAGCGATCTTCAGACGTTCGATGCTGGCGCGTCGCTTGGGAGAGAAGGGGCCTGGGGAGGGTTCGCGCTGCTCGGGCGTGTTCTCAGAGTCGTAGCGAGAGGGCGACATGGGATCGCGGCCTGTCCAGAATGCGCGCGGCGATGACTCTTTTGTGGGAGAAGTGGCGGTGTCTGCGAACGGCGATGAATCTTGCGAGACGATCATCTTCTGTGAGGAATGTCAGCAAGGGTAAAATGAAAGCTCGAGGCAAGACATACCCGGGTGGCCTGATTATAGGAAGGCGAGTTGCGGCGAGGACTGGTTCCTGCCAACTCGGCCAGCGGAGTCTTGGTGGACTTGGTGGGCGAGGCATGGGGAGTGCCCTTGCTGATGCGCAGCGGCTTGACCTGGCGMACCATGGTGTAAGTACGGCGATGACCACACGATTCAAATTGATGCTCAGTAGAGGACTCGGGAAGTGCATACACTGTCCATGCCGGCGGTTAGGCGCGAGCGAGGAATGCGGGTTGTGGGCGTGTCGGCGTCCCAGCAAAATGCGCCAAAGTCAACAGTGAGGAATGGGCGCACGGGCACCGCCGTTTCAACGTCGGAGAGAAGCGAAGTTCAAGGCTTCTGGAAGGCACAAGATCAAAAGGCGCGCAGTAGCATAAGACCCACTGTGTGGGTGCAAGAAGCGAAATGGGTGCAGTGAATGCAAGCAAGATGCAGTGGTGAGAAAGTTGTGCTTGGAAGAGATACAATGCAAGTCAGAGGCAGCTCTCAGCCGCGCACATCAAACATCAAACAAGGCGGATGGGGTGGTCCACTGCGCCAAATCCGTTATGGGTGTTGCCACGGTGATCGGGAGACGCCCGGTCCCGAAGCGAATCGACAAACTTGGTCACACCCGACGCTGCTCAAACCCAACTTCAATGTGCTCCGTGACTCGTTGCATTTGCATCCGTAAGCACTGACTGAGATGGAGTGGCTACCTAGGAGTGACGATGTGAGGACTGACTTCTGTGGAACAGGTCGTCCACAACTCTAGCGTTGACTCTCTCATGTAATGCTGTAGAAATGGGACACACAAGAGTAATTCCTCGATCGAGTCTAGCGAAACTAGCTCGCTTTCATGCCCGGACGATCCGATCTGACGTCTCGAGAGAAATCTTGCCCGAGCATGTGAAAGCTGCAGTGCAGTGATTCTTCTCACATCCATCGAAAGATGCGTCTCTCACCCGCAACCATATGTCCCATCTGCGAGGCTAGCGCCCTACTTCAAGCCTTTTCCTTGAGGCCAACCGTTCCCTTCACCGCACGACAATGGAAGTCCTCGCGCAATCTGGGAACGCTACAAAAGCGAGCGCGACAACCCTCGCGCATGATTCTCTCCGAGCGCGTTGCTCGCAGTCCCACGGCCACGACTCCCGATGGTAAGGAGAAGCCCACAACGCGACGCTCACGAAACAGTCCCTGGGGCGGGATGAATCGCACGACGGTCCCTCGAGAAGTGCAGCAGGCGACGGCGAAGAAAACCTCAGCAGCTGAACACAAGCGACGGACGCGAGAATTTCTCCAAGCAAGAAGTGGGAAACCGGAAAAGGAGCGAGCGGATCCGATGAAGGCGCTGAAGATGCAGCGCGCGTTGGCAAATGTGTCGTACGAGAAACGAGGGCGGGTCAAGGAGGAACTGGCGGACAGAGACACTTTTGCCGACTTTGATCTGCTGCGCGTCATTCAGGACTCCATTTCTCCGCAGGCTTTGGGCGGCTTGACGGACGTCTCACCCACGCCCATTCAGCGATTGGCCATTCCTGCCATTTTGGGGCAAGAAGATGGGAAAAGGAGGAAGCAGAAGACGCCGTTGGTGGCAAAGAAGGGAATGCAGCCGGTCTTGCTCGCTGCTGAGACGGGATCGGGTAAGACATTGGCATATGTCTTGCCAGTGATTGATGCCATCAAGAGGGCGGAATTGGCTGAAATGGAGTTGGAGAAGGCGCCTCCTGCAGCTGCAGCGACCATCTCGGAAGAAGCATCCAACTATGCCCCTCCTCAGCCCGTCAAGCATAACCCCTTCGCTCTCCCCTCCCCGGACACACCTCATCCCACTTCTGGCCGACCCCGCGCCATCATCCTCCTACCTACCTCCGAATTGGTCTCACAGGTAGGCGCTCTGACGAAGTCCCTCTCGCATACCGTCAAATTTCGCTCAGCAATGATCTCCTCTTCCCTCACCGGGACCGTTATTCGCAATCGGCTCTTCTCTCCTTCAGGCATAGACATCCTCATATCCACCCCTCATCTCCTTCAATCAATTACGGAATCCGACCCAAATGTCCTCTCCCGTGTCACACACCTGATCATTGACGAAGCAGACTCTCTTCTGGATCGATCCTTCTCTCCGATCACATCCTCCATCATTGATCGCTGCGCTCCCTCCCTGCATCGACTCATCCTGTGCTCGGCTACGATACCGAAGAGTCTGGATTCCTTTCTGAATAAACGCTACCCAGAAGTTACCCGTCTTGTTACTCCCAACCTCCATGCCATACCTCGACGTGTGCAACTAAGCGTGGTAGACATCGAGAAGGTGCCCTACCAGGGGAATCGGGATCTGGCGTGTGCGCAAACGATCTGGGATATCGGCAAGGAGGCCGCGGAAGCCGGCGAAGAATTCGAAAAGAAGATTGTCGTCTTTGTGAACGAAAGGGAAAAGACCATTGAGCTGGCGGAATATCTACGTTCAAAAGGAATTGATGCCAGTGCCTTGTCAAGAGACAGCGATGAGAGGAAGCTAGCTGAGACCCTGGGAGCTTTCACTGGCTCTCCTTCTGCTCCTAGGACAAAGTCTGGCGCATCCCCTGCCTCTCCTGCCTCACTACGAGCAACGAAGAAGATCGAAGAGACTGCGGCATACAGTCCCTCCGGCCTCACCGAACCCGGCCAACTGAGCAGGCCTACCATTCAATCTCTGAAGAACACTAAGGTGCTAGTTATGACGGACATCGGATCCCGAGGAATCGACACATTGTTGGTTAGACATGTCGTGCTCTATGATGTCCCGCATACAAGTATCGACTTCATTCATCGATTGGGGAGAGTGGGGCGAATGGGGAGGAGAGGAAGAGGCATCGTGCTTGTGGGAAAGCACGATCGGAGAGATGTAGTCAGAGAGGTTAGGGAGGGCATGTTCAAGGGTCAAGCACTGATCTGATGCAGAGGTGGCGAGATGGATAGGATTGTGTGAATAGTGAGTCGTGTATTAGTGGTTGCATCAATATGAATCTCCCATCTCTCACCTCTTGTGAAATGTGAGTTCATCGGTTTTCTCCCAATTCTCTTTCCAGTAGAGCATAGCATAGAGGAATGCAGTCGGCGCGATCCACAAGTCAAGTCTCTAGGATCCACGTTGTGTCTCGCCTATATAGCACAGCAAGCGGAATAGTTCAATATTGTCCCTGATGCTACGTTCTCATGGTCATAATGGCATTGCACGATCATGCAGCACTCGCTATTGGTATCGACTGAATACTTGGGAGATAGGAAGAGCGGGTGACACCGGAGACGCAGCGTGATTGATTCTTTGGTCGATTTGGACTGAGGCTTGCTTGACGAGAAGCTTGAGACTCTCCAACCTGAGAACGAGTGTGGTGAAAACAACACGTACCTTGGCGTCGAGGCCGGGAAAATAGTTCATTGATATCGTGGCACGCGCTGTTGATGGACCACCTAAATAACCTGACATTGCATATTTTGAGCCGGAGAGACCGACACAGTATTTGGTATTGAGAACATCAATCATTTGCGAGCACTTGCTTTTTCCTGTTCTCGATCGTGCTTGAGGTCGTCCAAGTTTACAGAAAATACGCACTACCCCAACCCTAGTCCTAACCCTGAAGTGACATCCCATACATCCCGTCGCTTCCTTCGCGACTACCTACACGACTTAGWCCACCACATTCCACTACCAGGTGCACAACCACGACAATGGCGCGAAATGCAGAAAAAGCGCAGTCCATGCTGTTTCGCTTCCGCGCACAACAAGCATCTGACCTCGGAATCCTCGACACCTCCCGCACGCCCCGCCCAAAAGGCATATCTCATCAAACCGACGTCTCCGTCTGCGAGCGCTGGCGCGGACAAGTGCTAAAAGAAATCTCCAGAAAGGTCTCCAAAATCCAGGATCTGGCGCTCAGCGRCTACCAAATCCGCGACATCAACGACGAACTCAACAAACTCTTTCGCGAAAAATGGCATTGGGAGGTACGGATCAGAGAGCTGGGAGGGCCGAACTACATGCGGGGGGGTGGGAAGATGGTGGATGATGAAGGGAGAGTTGTAGAGGGTGGAGGAAAAGGGTACAGGTATTTCGGTCGGGCAAGGGAGTTGCCTGGCGTGAAAGAGCTGTTTGAGGCTGCTACGCAGAAGCCGGAGAAGGAGAAGACGGAGACAAGATACGATCTGCGGGCCAAGGTTGATGCAGGATACTATGGATACAATTTGGACGAAGAAGATGGAAGTTTATCGAAGTATGAAGCGGAGAAGGAGAGGGAGGCATTCGAGAGGCTTATGGCCGAGGAGGACGAGATGAACGATGCAGAGTGGGAGGTACTGCCTGGAGACGCTGGTGATGGAGTGAGCTGGAAACTACCGTCTGCGGAGGAGGTCGAGGCCGAGCTGCTGGAGAGGCGCAAGCGGAAGTTGCTTGACAAGCTTTGAGACTGGCGGGCATGGTTCTTCACGAGCACCAGAACGCACCATAGTCCTTGCGGCACGCGTCGTCCGACCATCGTCTCGTCCGGCCAATCCGGATCTAGGTGGAAAGTAGCAAGCTACAAATGCTCCTATGCAGGCGGGGGCAGCCAACACCAACGGCATCTTTTCTTGTGGATAGTTACACATCTACAGTTTGTGGAGAATCAGCGTCGAGTCTCCACCGAGTACTGCAGAACGTACCACAGAAGATGCGAGGATCCAGAGTGGCTTTAGAACAAGCCCGAGAATTCTCGGTTGTGGCCCTCAGACGTGGCTCCGCAGCGATCATAGCTCACACAATGATTGAAAGGAGCGATATCGATAAACCACGGTGGGGGTAATGCTCATGTATATTTGTTAACATGCTTTCACGTCCTGCCTCATGACAATGCGCCCATTGGTCAGGCGCTCACGGTTTACCTCACGGCATCATTCAATGCTGGAACATCGTCCCTCCAAAACAATTGTCGATTCGGGCTTCTTGGAGTCATCGCTGGGAGTCTCGCTGACGCGCGATATTAGAAAGCGGGGCTTTCGGGGACAAGTTCTATGAAGGTGGCATTGGAGCGAGGCGATGTTACTACTATTGTCTACCAGGCGGTTCATGTCTCTTCGWAGTACTTTCCCCCTCAAATCAATCGTCAAAATCGATCAGCTTCTCCTCAGCCTCATCTTTGTGAGCGGTGGGCGTCTCGATCAGAAGCGCGGGCACGTGATGCTCGACCGTTGGCATACTGGCGAAAGCACTGTCCACATCTGTACCGGAGCGCTGRGAAAGTGGCACATAGTCGCTCTTTGCCTGAGCGACACGTGTGGACTCCTGGGTGGAGTAGAGATTCCAAGAGTCTGCGTTCGAGCCGTAAGAACGGGAGGCTGAAGAGTCTTGCGAGTGAGCTACAATTCTGCCATCTTGGACCTGGGATGTGTCTCTGAGACAGTGGCTTGTAGGTGGAGCCATCTTCGGACACACACTGCAATTCACCAGGTTGTGAGGAATCGGGTGACATGGAAGCGGACAAGGGTGGCCACAAGCGAGTCTGTCGTTGCAGAGTTTCTTACAGCCGCCGAAGAGGTCCTGAAAATGCTCGGGCTGGCTGACCTCCGTGACYATGTTGTGTTTCGAGCAGCAAAGAGGGAGGTGGATGCCTAAGCGTGCTGGCCGCACCGCCGGGACTTCCTCTTTCTTACCCTTCTGGGCTGACATGATTTGCAAAACTTGACTCCATATTTGCTTTTTGGCTTTGTGTTTGATGCCATTGACCTTGGTACTCTTGTAGTCGCCCTCAACGTCGTAGAGCAGCTTGCCGTCGCCGAAAATGTAGAGCCCGCACTGTGCGCGAGAGAGTGCCACGCAAATCCGGTTCTCAACATCGAGAAAGCCAATCTTCTTGTTTTTGTTGCAACGAGCGAGACTGAGAATCACGACTTTGTTCTCCTCTCCCTGATAAGAGTCGACGGTAATAACGTTGAATCTCCGACCTCCCATGCTAATTGTGCGGCGAAGGTTGGACAGAATACGCTTGCGTTGTCCATTGTAGAAAGTAAGGACGGTAATGTCGTCAGTGCTCACGCCGTTGTACACAAGATACTCCACGAAACCAACAATCATATCAGCCTCCATCGGGTTGACAGTGCTCATGAGATCGTCGCGTTGTTCGTCCCAACTGTGCGTGTAGAAGAATGAGTTGACCCCACCCATGCCAGGGACGTTGGGTCTATCTTGTGGATTGGTCACAGATGGATGGTCCTGGATAATGCTCTTGTAGATTGGATAGAGAAGGCGGCGGATCTCTGGAATCATGCGTCGCTGCCGGGTGAGTGTCTTGTACTCCACATTGTTCTGAACCAATCGCTCAAACAAAGATATGTTGAGGTTCCATGGCTCATCCTCGTGTGATCTGACATGGCAGTGAGGGCGGAGCTGTAGGTGGTCACCAACGAGGATGAGCTGCTGGATCGAAGGAATGCAAGCGACGGTGACTGGAGCCTCCAAAGTCTCGGCTGCCTCCTCAATGAGTATGGTCTTGACACCTAACGCGGCGATGAGGCCACGATACTTGCTTAATCCAGTGGTGGTCATTCCAATGATCTTCTGCCTCTTCAAAATGGGCTCGTCGCGCTCCCAGCCACCAATCTGGCGTTTTTTCGCCTCCGTGTTGTACTCCTTTGCCTTGGTACGGACGGCAAGAGTGATGTTCTGCTTGAGCTCTCGCTGGAGATAGCGGTAGACAGCACCACGACTAGCCTCGGGAATCTTCCACATGTCTTGCTTCTTCAGAGCTTCCTTGGCTTTGTCATCCTCTCCAGCTCCAGGAACCTTTCGGCAGGTGAAGTTGTCTGCGAGAGGAAGATAGTCCCCGTTGAGGGTTTCAATGTCGTCGTCGTCCTTGACGGCGTTCTCGGCCTCGGCCTCTTTCAACTGTTCGAATTCCAGATCAGTGTCTTCCATATCGAAGCCAAAGTTCTCTGGAAGTTGTCTCATTGGCACTGGGACTAGCTTGTCGTTAAGCCAGACGATGAATGGCGAGCGTGCGTCGTTCGGATTGGACAGTTTCTCTTGCACCCAAGCCGAGGCGCCTGATTCGAGAGAGTCGGCCTGAGCTTGGGAAAGAAGCTTAAGTCCTTCGAGTGTGCGATGGTTTAGTGGCTTCTTGTCAGGCTGAAGAGGCGTCAAAAGGACTGTCAGGTCCTTGCTCATCCTCTTCATCTTTAACTTCGCCCCGCCCAAGAGGCAACCCGCAGGAGGATTTTCTGAAGTTGTCATCCTCACTTCATACAGGGTTCGCTTTTTGACTCTCGGGTCCTTGCTCTGTCCGCCAAGCCGCACAACGTCCTCTTCGAACTTGAGGATGTGACGTAGCATCTGATCGATGGCGTGGTTGGTTTGGCAGGCAATGACAATGGGAGGATCCTCGTCTTTGCGATTGGCGAGCATAACTTTGATTGCCTCTACGCTCACATGCGTCTTGCCTGTTCCTGGCGGACCTTGGACAACAGCCAAGCGCTTGGTCAGGATCTGACGTAGTGCAGAGAGCTGCGACTCATCAAGCGCACTCTGAAGTTGCATCGGCCACGGCTGGAGAATGTTGAAGTTCTCGTAGGTCTGGTTGTTGGAGTTTGAGTTGACAATGACACTGCTCAGATCGGTCTTTGGTGACTTCAGTACATCTTCTGGCGGAGCAACGTTGCGTTGAATCGAGACAAGGTGTTCGGCCAGCGGGAAGGGCTCTGTCATCATGTGTTGGAGGGCTAGTAGAGTGTGCCGATTTGCTTCGTACAGCCCGCCACGATCTTCGACCATAACGAATTCAGCAGATGGATCAACCTCGATGTCTTCAGAGAGGAAGGTAATGTCAATCTCGGGCGGATTCTGCTCAAGTCCTACGATGGGACGTGCTGCAACGACGGCGACGATGGCCTTCTGTTGGAACATGTCTTTCGCTGGAGTGAGTACAACCAAGCTGCCAGTGATAAGGCGTTTCGATTGCTCCCAGGCGATCTGTTTACCAGTACGAAGCAGACTGAATGTGATGCGAGAGGCAACGCCCTTAGTAGCCAAGGTAATGCCACAGACATGAACCTGCAAATATTAGCAATGTCGCCCCTAGACGGCGCGAGGTGACTGACCTTCTCGTAGATGCCGATTTTGCCATCGTGCTCATCCTCGTGCGCCTTCGGCTTATCCCTCACTGCAGTAACTGCCTCGCGTAGAGGCCGAAGTGAGTCCTCTCGCAACAGCTCGTAGTGTGTGTGAAGGTAGTCCTCCTTGGATGCGAACGGACCGAGCGGCTTGTTCGCCGGGAGTTCGACAACGTCGGAGGAGGAGTTGCTCGTTTCTTCACGATCCATAATCTCCGCGGATCCAGGAATCTCTGACCGCAGTAGCCAATTACCTCCGGCTGCTGGCGATTGTTCATAGTAGCTGCGCACTCGAGGATTGAGCTTTGGTGGTAAGAAGACCACTTCCGCATGCATGCGGCCTGTTTGTGGGCCGCGTCTCGCGGTTTTGAACCGCTCCGGCAAGCTCTCGTTCATGATTGCGATATTCACTGCAGCAGTCAGTGATGAAGTCAATGAAGTCGATGATGTACGATGGGTTGCATGCATGAGGGTGATGTGTGTTGATGGAAGTGGTGGTGCAGGTCTGAGCTGCAGTGTTTGCGTGCGTGCGTTTGCTCGCTGACTCCACTTTTGTGGTCTCGATGGAGCAGGCGACAATCAAATGCAGGGCAGGCTAATCAGCCCAACGGTCTGATTGATGCGGTCGTGAGATGATGGACAAAGATGGAAAGGTGGGAAGAGAGGATATGGGAGGCAAACTCACCTCACCACCTGCAGAGAGGGCAAACTATCGGCGAGAAGAAGCCTCTCTACGCCTGCGACTAATCTTCGTTGCTCGACTTAGCGGTAGGCGCATTCTTTTTCTGATCTGGGGAGAGAGAGAGAGAGAAGGATTGAAGGAGAGAAAGACACTGGGACGTGAATCGAAGCACGAAGCACGTTGATTACGCAGCTAGCCGGCAGCAAACATTGCCGTAAGCCACCTCACGCCCGACCATTGACGGCGTGGCGCGGGTGGGGGGCATGATATTCACTTGACTGAAAGAAAATCATATTCACGCAACTTACAGTACCATCATCGCTTCACTTCACCCAACATGCGGAGGCGTCCCGTCCCATACCCAATAGATCTACCTCTGCGTAAATAAGTCTAACGCAAGCATACTGTGATACGTCCGTTCTGCAAGTTCCCGTCATGTCGTCTGCCGTCGTGACTGTAGCATTCCCAGCGGCCATCGCCCTCCTGTGATGGAGTCTGAGCCCAAAGGCGGCATGAATCAAGTCACTCGGCGCGATCCAATCAAGAATGATGATTTCAGGCCTGGTAAGTCTGGGTGCCGGAGAGACCTGCTCGTCGAGGACCGCTGGTGTGGTAATGCGAAGGGAGGCATGGGCGACGGAGGGAGTTTTAGCATATTCCAGGTTTCTGCGGGCCGGGACATGGGACGTGTAGCTTCTACCTTACTAAGCTTCGAGCACTAGGTATAGATAAAAGATCTTTAAACGATAATTGAGCGGAGCGAGGTCTAAGAACTCCTATAGCGAAGCGGAGGGCTAGTTCCAAGGCCGAAGCGGAGCGTTAAATATAATCGAAACGAACATATGTAGTCTCTATCTATCGATCGTGAGGTATGAACCTCAACACAAGAGGTCTCGCTTTTGGATTTACAGTTTTAACACTTGATACATCCGGAGCTCCGTGGCTTTGCGCGTCTTCCAAGTACCTTACGTCGACGTGACACTGAATGCAACAGCGTACTCACATCACGAGCGCAATCATCTAGAAAGTATACTTTACAATGATGTTATGACGATCAGGTCTCTTTCCTTCATTTGGCTCATTGACTCGAGCGCTTGCTTATTCTTTCAGCGTCCGACATTCAGCGCGCGCGATCAGGATATAATTCCGCACCACGATGGCCTCATTCGACGATGACAACGACCCGAATGCCGGCTCTGGAGATGAGGATGAAAATGAAGATGAGGATATGGAAGACGTCAATGATGGTGACCAAGATCAGGAACAGGAAGCCGACCAGGACCTTGACGGGGCCGGCGACGAGGACGAGGACGATGAGGGCGACGATGACAACGATAACGACAACGACGACGATGACGACGACGATAACAATGATCCAGACTCGCCGTCGCGGCGACCTAGCCAGCATACTCACATCCGAAGATCCACAAGTCGAGACCGAGAAACCGGGAACAATCCTGCAGTTGTTTTGACATCACCATCTCCACGCCCGGCAACGAGATCACCTGGTAGCGCTGGAGTCGCATCTTTCATCCCTCCTGTTCGGCCGGAAGCCCTGACCGCGCAGGCGTACGACATCGTGCCCACCATGGCGGCACCGCAAAGTACATCGATCAACGCGATAACGGCGACTCCGGACATGCGATGGGTCTTCTCCGGTGGAACGGATGGTTATGTACGGATGTTMAATTGGGTTGAAACCGCGAATGGCAAGGTGCCCCTCACTGTTGCGCAGAAGCACCCTTTCGTAGACAGTGTCATGAAGGCAGGCTCGTTACTCACGTACTGGGAAAATGAAGAGGTAACACCGCAGACCCCGCCATCGCGAAGCGACGAAGCGAAGTGGATAAGTCCAGTATATTCTTTAGCCGCACAACACCAAGCGGTCTGGCTGTTGTCGGGGTTGGAATCCGGCGCCATCAATCTTCAGACATGCAGACATCAGGCGGGTACACGGATACACACATTGAGAGGTCATACAAGCGCTGTGTCAGTCTTGTCGTTAGCACAAGATGAGACGAGTGTGTTGTCTGGTAGCTGGGACAAGACGATCTGCGATTGGGATCTGCACAAAGGTGAGAAGAAGCGGTCTTTCCTGGGCTCAGGCAGTCAAATCAGTGCGATCGAGATGCGACCGCTGAGCGACGCACCTGTGCCAGAGGTCTCAGAGAGCAAACCGGAGCCTGCGGGTTCTAACTTCTCCAGCAACAATGCAGACAGGCCACAGACAAACGGCACGTTCACAAATGGTATCAGCCGACGACAGTCAAGAAACACCGATGGCGACGAAGATGCTGTGGGCTCGCCCGAGGGTAGCCTCTTTGGCGATGGGGATCATGGTTCTCTATTTGGGGACGATACTGGCGGCGGAGGTGGAGGTAATGCTTTTGGGGACGACGACGATGACATCTCCAGAGCTATTCAAAATGAGATGACCGAGCAAGATGCACCGGACGAGGCTGAGGATGCGGCAATGACTGGCATGGGTGATGGTGGCCCAGTGCAGCCTTCACAGGCTAGTCCGGCCCCAGGGGCTGCCCGTGAAGCTGTCGATGATGATCAGATAAACGGTCAAAGCGATGCGGCCGCGGCAGGTGACGAGCATCTAAAAGCGGCAGAGCAGCCCATGGCTGTAGTCACAAACGGACTTCCGCATTCAGAGGAACCTTTCACAGCCCCCCCGACCAACGAAGACACGAGATCTTCAGGGTCGGATTTGCCCCCACAGTCTGAATCTACATTCCTCGATGCAGCGATCGACGGGACCCTTCGCATCTGGGATAGGAGAGTAGCTGCGCCCATCGCTACGATCAAGCCATATGGCGGAACTGCACCGTGGTGTACGGGCGCCTGTTGGAGCCCTGATGGCAATTTCTTCTATGCTGGCAGAAGAGGTTGTACAGTAGATGAGTACTCGATCCACCACTTGGGGAGCAAGCAGTCGGAGCCGAAGCGTGTGTTCAGATTTCAACAAGGGAGCGGCCCTGTGTATGCAGTGCGCGCAATGCCGAACAAGAAGCACCTGATCTGGTACGTATCTGAGTCCTTTCTACCTGAGTCCTGCACCCTACCCTGCTCTAGCGTAAACTCAAAAAGCTAATCTCCATGACATTGTAGCGCTTCACAGGACATTCTGCGCATTTACGATCTTGCGCAAGCCGAGACACGCCACAAGCAGGTACCCTTCACCATTGTGCCAGGCCATCGTGGCGGTATGATCTCGGCTATTCACATTGATCCGTCTTGTCGGTTCATGCTCTCAGCCTCGGGCAATCGTGGCTGGGAAGGAGGTGGAACTGAAGTCTTACTTGGGTATGAGATCGGCGTTCAAGATTCTGAGGGCTTGTGGCATAAGTGAAATTCGAAAGGCTTGCGGCACCTGGCCCTGCATTCCGAGGCCGCAAAATGGCTACTAGCACTGATCTTTTTGACGTGATATCCTTCGGAAGGCAATGTATGTACGAGCGCACGTGAGGACGTGCGCATTGAGCCATGTCACTACATGTGTGGACTCCGGCCTCAGCCTCAACAGCCGACACGGCACTGGAAAGCAGCAAGCAATTTTCTTTCGCCCACCTTACCGTCGACACGCTTTTCGGTGAGGCTTTCACACTGCTAGCTACGCTTTTCGATGATCAAGGCAGCCTCATCTCTCACCTTGGATCCTGCATGAAGGATACAATCGCACACACGAAGAGGCCGGGCAAGATCCTGGCTACGGTGATCCTCAAAGGAATGAGCCATGCCATCAACTGCAACAGCTCTCCTGGATGAATGGACTGCGAGCCAGTGGAATATTTCCGGCTCATGGGCCGTTTCCGGGCGCGCCAGCATTGTACTCGGAGACCGGAGATCACTAATATAGATGACGCTCCAAGATCTACTGGACCAGATTGCATCCGAACACATTGCTGCGACCATTGAATGAAGACAATGCAGAACTTGGGCWAGCATGCCTTGTCGTTGAATCGAAAATGGCTTGAGGGTGTGACCCTGAACGGCAGGTGTATCACAGGCTGGTTGTGTCACAGCAGTGTCGACCAAGATCTCGTATCTGCGTCCCAATAGTCGAACGCGCCGCTCCTTCATCATGATGGGGATATTGGACGGGTGTTCGCACAGTCCGCATCTGAGCGTTGGGCTTTTCAAATGCAGAGTACGAATCCGAACGAGGAGGACCACTGACCGCAAACTCCAGTCAGGCACATGTCTTTTGAAGCAAGGTCGCCGCAGGCTCGTGTGATGCTCAACACCTGGTACCTGCATTGTGGGAGGGAAGACGCACGCACGGCGTCTGCCATGCCTTTTGCGCGTGTGCAAACGTAGAAGGCAGGTGTCGCAATGGCTTCGCTGACGCTTGCCTACTAAGCAACGGCCGATCACATTCGTGCATAGCTGCATTTGAAAAGGAACGAATGGCGCACTGCTGTCGCGCGAAGGCCGCGAATGTTTCAGGCCGTAGCGCGTATCGGATTCGCCCCATGCTCTTCAAGATCGAGATCAAGTGGGCGGCGACAGGGAACACGCGTGTCGATTAAGCACTTATTACACACACGTCAGGGCTGCGCCGCGCTTCTGCCCATCAACCATTTCGTTGGACAAATTGACAGATCCTTTTCGCCAATCCTGAGACAAAATACGATCGGCTCAGGGTTCATGCAACGGGCCGATCACGCAAGCAGACGATGCGATCTCCCAGATAGGAYTAGGCTGCTCGACTACACAACATCTCAATAATGTGCAAAGTCCTGATCAGTTAACCATGGGAATCTCTGTTGATCGTGGTGGCGCCGGTGCCATCCCGCACCGGCCCAATGCACTGGATCGCATGGCCTTTCGATCAGACGGCGGTGCTCCGGAAGCTCTTTCCGCGGGAGTGGCTTCTGAGCCCGCTGCACGTTAACAGCCATCGGAATTCACTGGTCGAGCTAGGGTTGGACAGAGACGGTGAGATTGCGGAAATGCTCGGTCATCGGACGTATGGAAAGCCAGAGGCACACAACCGGTGCGAGGCATACGCTCCTTGAAATGCAGTCTGGCGGTCGAGTGTGGGAGAGGTCGCCGTGTCTTGCAGTAGTGACGCACTTCTGGGTTGATCCAGTACACGCAATAAGATGCCCTGGCAGGGTGAAGCGATCTCCCCGATACCATGGATCTGGGCTCTACGAAGCTTGAGCCTCCGGGACGATCAGATCGTTTCTCGAAGAGATTGTGGTTGATCAACAAGCGGCCCTTGAAACGGGCAGTTCATTGGCGACTGTCAGACTGCTACAACAGCCTGCATCGACTAGCGAGATGATGCCGAGCCTCCCCAGTAAGCCCGTACCTGCGGGGCGACCGGGAACTCCTCAGTCTGATGGATGGATACCTTTGTCGGACAATCGCTCTCATGCGTGGCGCTACGCTAAGCCATGGGCGTGGGATGGAGTAGCATCTGGATGAGCGTGAGCATGCGCATTGCCCGATCCAGCCTGCAGGGCGGACGTGCCGCATCGTTCGCCAGACTAGAGCGGCCCAACTGACGTTGGGCCTGCCTTCTTTCATGTTTTACGCTTTGTGCAGGGTCAGAGCGAGCGCGACACCATACTATTGAGTGAGGAAGGGCTAATTTCGTCGATTAAAGATCTTCCGAAGAACCTTGGACGTCCTGTATATAACAGCAACAACCACCTCCTAAGTGCCAACGACTTCGTCATTCAAGTTCGGTCTTCCTCCACCCTTCAGCCAAACTACCGGATCTCTACAAATTATCTTCAAAGCCCTTACTTCCGCGAAAGGTTTCAAGTTGCTACACCATATTATCGGTAGGCTCAACATAGGCTCTTTTGCCTATTCAGGTGGCAGTGAGACAATACTGATCCAGTTACAGTTTCCATTGGACAACTCACGATCTGAAACGCTCGATTCAATCATCGCACTTCCATATCAGCAACCACCAGACTCCACGATGTCAGACTCCACGCAAAAGACCTATCTGCGGGACAGCCATGGCCCACGCGTGGTCGATGCTGGCAAAGGACGGAGTAGTAGCAGACGTCAGACCGAAGACAGCGACAAGCAGCGATCGAAACACAGCTCATCCCGCAAATCTTCGAAACAAGAGTCGAGCCACAGCCGAAAGTCATCCTCAACACCATCTTCCAGCAGCAACAACAACCAAGAACGACCGTCCTTTGAGTTGGACATCATTGGCCAGCCACAGAGAGCCATAATCTTTGGCACAGCAGTCGAAGCATCTGTCATGGTCAGCCTCAAACTCCCAACGGCAGATATGGCCGCGAGCTACAGGAACCTTGATACTTCCCGGCTACTTGCCGTGGTATCTCTAGTTGCGGACTCCCGCAGCGGAGAGCGGACAGTAGCCGAATGTGGTACTTTAACTGGCCAGAAAATGTTCGATTCTGTTCATCCGATCCCCGAAGAGTGTGTACCCAGCCTGGCTCGAAGCCAGCCATGTCGCCTTGCCGTTGGATACTTTTCATTTCCAGGCCTACTCATCCGGCAACCTGGGTCATATCGGTTACGCATTGCGTTGATCAAGATGGGATCGTCCGAATCTTCGAGTTCTGGCGGTTCAACCATCTCAACGATTGACAGCGAGTCGATCAGAGTAGAGCGTCGGCCCACTGGGGCAAGCTCTCACCGTAAACACCAGCGGACGGCCAGCTGAAGTGGAGTTGCTCAACATTTTGGTGCGTTTATATGCAAGGTTTTAGCTGTTTGGCGGTGAAGCAGGGAGTTGGGGATCTTTTTGTCTGTTTGTGCACTACACGGTTCGAGTTAATCAAAGACTGGACTGAGAAGTGAAGGCGTTACCTATTGAGTGTCGTGGGAAAAAGGCCAGGATGGCTTTTTGTTTGTTATACTGTACGATTGACGGATATGACTATGTGTATGGATACCTGGTTTGGAGCACTATGATTTCACACGATAGCCTGGTTCCGTACAGTGGTGACCCATTTCCAACATATGTCGACGACCATAGCACTGCTTTTCCGTGCAACTCTCTTGGAGTCTCAGTTTCCATAGCTGATGCAAGTCTTGGGTGGTCAAGGTGAAGATTCGATTTAGTCACAATCGCGGACATGAGGTCACTTAGTCTCCATATGACTATGCTCTACGATAGACCACGAGACATGCCCTCGAACGCTCCATCATCACGGACTAGACACGTTCCGACGCAGCATCGTGAATGCCACTTTTTATGAAATGTGAAATGTGAAATGTGAAATATGGAGACCCTTCCCACACGACGCTACCACTCTCGGCACCGTCGAGAATAATGGAGAGTTATCAAGTCTAGGCACCGCTGGAGTAGGTATCTGAGACGTCTTGGCAAGATGTTTCACTGATTCCACGAGCTCCCGTCTGTCCCAGCAAGAAACAGGGGACTTTGGACCCTCTTCCCGACAGAGCCGCTCCAGCGGAATCATGAAACCTACCTACCTTACCTTCACAAGCATGCTGCACAACAAGTCTACCCGCAGTTCGGGGCTTTCGCCGCGTTCAAAGCTTCTTGTGCGGAGAACCTTTCCGAAGGGCACGAGACCCGGAACCATATGTTGACGTGATCCCAAGCAAGAAAAAAAAAAGCCGCCAAAACGTCGAGCCGACAATGAAGCTGTGCAGTCCATTCGCCTGCAGGCAATCGTTCGTTTTCAAAACCCCGACTCCCTGCGGTTCAAAAGGCAGAGTGAAACGCTCATCATGAAAATCAGCTGCAGACTGCCGTGCTCCTGATGTCAGCAGTGCGGTATCGTAAGTCGGAGAAAATGCAGCGGCATCTCAAGGCAGCGCCAAGGTCAGACACGAACACTGAAACCTAAACGCATGCGAAGCTAGTTAGACATTAACAAGCGAGATGGTTGCAGTTGCAGAACGATGAAACATCCAGACGTCGAATCGCATTTTGCAAATGGTAACTTAAGTCTAGAGGATACGACCTGTATGCAAGACCTCGAGCCGAAGTTACTGTAGACCACATCCCTGTCTGATTGTAACTTAGGTCCACTGTCTAGACTCCAGAGTGGGCTGCGCTTCTCCACGCCCGCCCTTGTCATTCCAATGATATGCAGCTTATGTAACCTCATGATACTGAAAACCTACTCACACAAGGTCGAATCAAATCATAATATCCCACGCTCCACCTTCCAAAGATCCAGTGCTAGCGAAGGTGTGTCCTTGCTTACAGAAATTACCTACATACTGTGTTGGCCAGCTGTGGACGGAGCTTGAATAACTGCACAATCACTCCTCTTGAACCCCCGTCGGCATCGATCGTGCTCGAACAGACGTTGGCAATAGCCTCGGCGAGCTCCGGAGCGTCGCAATACCAGGCGTTTGTCTTTGCGAGTGTCTTGAGCGCCGCAATACCGTATTTTCCTGCTAAAGTGTAGACCTCTCCGTCAGAGCCGTTAAAATTCTGGACACAACCAACGTGATTCGTCCTGAAGAGTTGCGTCTCGCCTGGGTGTGTAGTAACAGATGTGATTCGATTCTATGGTCTCGTAGTCTTCCTCATCGCTTCCCTCGTTAGCCTCGAGTGGCATAATGCAGGCACGTGCAGCCTCCGCGTTGTGCAAATTGCTGAGGGAAATGAATCAGACATGAAAAGTGAACGGCGGAGGCTGATGGGGCGGAGTGGAATGGAGTGGTGATTCAAAAGCACCTGAAGTCCAATGTTGGTCAGTGATGCCCTTGGGCTACTACCTAAAGTTACTTGCGGTKACGGCATTTCCCCAGGCACTAGCGCGTTGAGAGCTTCCCTCTGGAGCTTCGCCTGCCAAACAACACAACGCGGAAGAGGGTAGAGCTGCAACATTCGGACTGCCTCATACATCAACCTGCAGCTGTGATTCATCAACATGTCAGGCGACTTCAGACTCTCAGCAACGCTGCGAGGCCACGAAGAAGATGTAAGTTGCTGATGATCTTTCCTTCACTCAGACTGTTGCCGCTTTCCATCTTGCCGCCTTTCTTATTCTTCACTTGCTTGGAGTAGCTGACCGCCATCTTATGTAGGTCCGCGCCATCGTCTTCCCAAGCAGCGATCTGCTCTTCTCCGCCTCGCGAGACAACACCGTTCGACAGTGGAAGCGAACATCGGCCCAGCCACCTGCCTACGACGACACCATCGCTTTGCAAGGCTCACATTGGTTCAATGGTCTGGCAGTTGCGCCAAAATCGAAGGAGTGTCCAAAAGGAACAATCGCCGCGGGTGGAAGAGAGACATTCGTGTTCGTCAAACAAGTTGGAGCGCCACCTGAGGAAGATCCATACCGCATGCTTATTGGTCATGCCGGAAACATTGCATGTCTGGCCTTTAGCGAAGATGGTGAACAAGTCATAAGCGGCTCATGGGATAGCCAGGTTTTTGTGTGGGATGTAGAGAGCGCCAGCGTCGTTACAGAGCTCGCCGGACACCAAGGTCCGGTTTGGGCGGTCATGGTCTACGATGCAAAGACCATTGTGACTGCTTGCGCAGACAAGGTCGTAAGGGTGTTTGATGTGAAGAGCGGAAAGATTCTGCAATCTCTCGAGGGCCACACTGACGTTGCGCGAGCACTGTGCAAGCTTCCACAAGGTCACTGGTCTGGCGCGGCGCTGGCCTCAGCAGGAAACGACGAGGTCATCCGGCTATGGACTCTTGACGGACTCCAAGTCGCTAGCCTGGAAGGACATACAGCGTACATCTATGACTTGGCCATCCTCCCGAATGGAGACATAGTAAGCTCATCCGAAGATCGCACTGTGAGGCTTTGGAGGGATGGGCAGTGCATTCAGACCATTACACACCCGGCTATCAGCATTTGGACTGTTGAAGCTTGTGAGAACGGCGACATTGCGAGCGGTGCCAGCGACAACATTATTCGAATATTCTCGCGAGACCCGGAGCGGCAAGCGGATGCTGAGGTATGTTCTACTCCCATCTGATCAAACACTTGACAGCAAGCGAGGACGAACTTGAGAGCGCTAGAATTGCTGTTGTACTGCGAAATGAGTCCGCTGACCAGATTACAGGCCATCGAAGCATTTGAAGAGAGCAACCGAATGCATGCGATACCTGCTCAAACCGCTAACCAAGGCTTGCCATTCGAGAAGGAGACGCTTCCGGGACCGGGTATATCATCTCAACATCGCGTGACATGAAAGAACACTTCTTGGCTAACGTTTATTCTCATCTCTAGAAGCGCTACGTACCCAGGTCGGGCAGAAAGACGGCCAGCAGCTTCTCATCCGCGAGAATGATGGCAGCGTGACTGCGCATCTATGGTCTGCATCAGCTGGACAGTGGAACTTGGTGAGCACGAATGCAAGGACAACACTCCAAAGTACCTGTGACTGACTCGCGTCAAATAGATTGGCACCGTTGTCGAAGGTGAAGGCACAGGTTCKAGCAAAAAGGTGCACGACGGTAAGGAGTATGACTACGTCTTCGATATCGACATTGAAGATGGTAAGCCACCGCTCAAGCTCCCATACAACCTTACCGAGAGTGCCTGGGATGCTGCTCGTCGCTTCCTGGAGAGTAACAAGCTTCCGATGACATACTACGACCAGGTCGCAAACTGGATCACTGAGAACACCAGAGGTGCGACCATCGGTCAGGATGCATATCCGTCGAATCAAGCACCACCTCCAGGACACGATCCTTACGGGACAGAGCGGAGATATCGACCTGGCGATGCACCATCAGGACCACGAAGGCTCCCTCAGCGCAATTATGTTGGCATCGTTGAAGGCAACCCTGCAAATGCTATCAACATCATCTCCCAGAAGACGGAAGATCTGATCAAATCTGGCGAGATTGCGGCCGAGCAAGGTCTTCAATCCGAAGAGGTTGCAGCACTGAAGGCACTTCCCGCCCAGCTGCAGAACAAGCAGGATCCGAAACCGACGGCTACCCAAGTCAACGCTTTACTCAAGGCCGCGTCGCAATGGCCACAGAAGTCTAGAGTTCCCGCAGTCGGGGTGTTGGCTGTTTGCGCCGTGTCCCCATCGTTCGTCAACGCTACAACCGCAAATGGACACACCGTCATCGATACGCTCACCGCCGCTGGACTTCTCAAGCCTCGACAAGAGACTGCCAACAATGTTGTGCACACCATTCGCCTTCTCACCAATCTGTTCAAGAGCGATGCCGGCCTGCAGATCATGAATGGCAACTTCGAATCCGTGCTTCAGCTCGTCCGACCGTTCGCTTCGGAGCCAGAGTCGCCTGCTCAAGTCAAAGCTCTGGCAACTCTGTATCTCAACTTCGCCGTGCTGCTCGTCAGTGGTGGCGCTTCACAAAACGCAAAGTCGAGTGAAGCTCGCGCGACATCTCTCCTCACTGACATCGCAGTGCAGCTCGAATGCGAGAATCCACATGCTTCCGACGCCGACGCGTTGTTCAGAACTCTATCAGCACTCGGAACCTTGCTTTCCCTTAGCGACGACTTTAAGAAGTCGCTCAAGGGTGGTGTATCGGGATCGCTGCACTTTGTGGCTGCAAAGCCTGCTGCGCAGCTGCCCAACAACAAGGAACTCATTCAAGAAATTCGGGACGAATTGCGATGATTGTCGAGCATTCTCATCGCGGCTTACAGTTTACGATTTCTTGCCTCTCCAGCGCAGCCTCACTCAAAAGCACTTTGCATCAGAAAATGCAGCACGAGAAATAAAAGAGTGACGCAGCGGAACTCGAATGATGCATGATTCATCTTTGTTTCCCTGTTGGTAGGAAGACTCAAGAAATTCAATGTTCATTAAAATGCTCAGTTCGATATCGCGCGATCCGATCTTGAAGACATTGCCATGCTGTGAAACCCCTGCGAAGGTACTCGCACGCTGCATGTTTGCGCCAGACCAGAGACTTCTGGTTACCTCGATACCGATGCTAATCAGAAATATCTTCGCGCCAACGCTCACGTAGAACTCATCCGATGCTGTGATTCTAAAGTGGCTGTTCAAGAAGTGTCACCGTCGTCGTCTTCTCCATTGTCGTCATCCTGGTCGTTCTGCTGAGTGCCTGTATCACTGCCTTCAGCATCGTTCCCGCCCTCATACCCAGAGCCTTCTTCGTGGGCCTCTGCCTCAGACGCACCGTACACGGACGTCAAGTCACCGTCTTCATCGAGATCCTCATCCTCGTCCGCGTTTCCAAGGCCGTACATGACTCGTTCAATATCGGCATTCCGAGCTGCAGCTTGCTCCGCATGCCAAGGGAAATCCTCAGGAGCGATGTTGGTGTGAGTGTAGTGTTTGACAGGATAACGGTGTAGATCGAGTTGACATGTGGGTTTGAAGTAGCCCTTGACGTAGTCTTTGACGTTGTTCTTGATCTCAGTGAGGCGGAACTCGACGGCGTTCATGCCCTTCGGACTCATGGGAAATTTGGCGTGGAAGGACTGCTGCATGAGGGTGCGATTGAGGTATGCATTCCCGCCCTGGGCGATTAACTGGATGAAGAAAAATCCCATGTCTTTGTCGTGGGTGGTATGGTCGGTAGCCATCATGTCGCCGAGCCAGTGACGGAAGACGCAGAGGGCCATCCAGCCGAGGATGTCGTTGCCATAGTCTGCGCGGCCAGTGTTGTCTTTGTCGATGCGTCCGACTGTGGCGACTCGAGTCAGGCTGATGGGATAGTAAGCCGACAGGCGGCGCATGGTGATGGAGACGCCGTTGATAACTTCCTGGGCTTTGCGCTCGAGGATAGAGACGATACCGTCGTGCATTGCTCCATCGTGAATGACGGTCTGGATCTTATCGGTGTTGTAGCGACCGACAGCGTGGATCATGGCCTCCTTGAAGATGGCACGGGAACGAATGCGGTCACTGAACACCAGCCAACCCGTTGGGTTTTCGGCAATGGCGCGGTACAGGTTCTGGCCAGTCGCTAGCAGGGTGGCCTCGATAGGACCAGTCACGATGGGCACACATTGAAGATACTCTGCGACACTGAGTGCCTCTAGAGCGGCCTTGAGCAAGTCCGCCATGTTGTCCTCCTGCGCATCGCCGAGATCGATCGGTAGACCGTGAAGGGCGGCCAGGATGGAGTGGTAAGCCTAAGGTGAGGTAGTCAGCAAAGGCCCCTGAAATGGAGAAGATTGTACGTAGTACCTTGAAGAGCGGATCGCTCACACGGCCGTTCTCGTTCTCGACGACAATGGTCGTCGTACTGCCACGAGGCTCAACGCCGCTGTCGGTGAGAGGCACAATGGAGAGCTGGAAGCGTAGGGCCGCGTCCTCGTCGTCGGTRGGCACGAGAACCATCTTCCACCGTGTGGAAGCGCCCTTCCTCACCGCGCGGGAGGAGAGATCGATGGCGGTTCTGGGATTCAAGAGATCCCGCATTGTGCGGCTGTGCTGGCGCAGGATGCTCGCGTGGAGCTGGTACTGTCGCCCAGTTGTGAGGACGACGCGCACGTCTCCACCTTCAAACTCGGGAAATTGGTCCGTCATTCTGCGCACAGCGTTTGCTCGCTTGCAGGGTAGATTTTGATGTGTGAGAGAGAAACTTGGTGGTGGGGGTGGAACAAAACGGGCGAGGACGTAGGTGTTGTTGTGGAGGGGAAGAGGGCAGAAGCGCAGCAAGCTTGCTTAACATGTATCCGCCAACACCAGGTCAAAGAACGCAAGCAATACAACTTGGCTGTTACACCACCCTCGGAGACCGCGTGTGTCACTGGCAGGGTGATGTTACAGTGGCGAAGGACCTCGAGTAGATGCCAGCCACATCCATGCGCAGAAGAATTTCTAAGAACAGACTCTCGCTCCGGCAGAGGAATTATCTAGACTGCAGCGACGCAGAGAGCCCAGGAGAAGCACATGTGAATGGAAACAGGCACTCGTGAAAGAAAGACTTGTGACCTCGTCTCGCTCGATCAGACCCTCTGGCGATAGAATCCAATCCTCTACGTATAGAGCCCTGCGGAGAGCCTGGGGTACGCGCATAGAACGTAGATGAATGGGATGTCCTCTTTGTCAAAGAGCAATTGCTATTCCGACCATGGAGCTCCCAGCCAAACATCGCCCGTCCAGCCCAAGGATGTGGCTTCTAGCATACGAAAGCAGGCATTTTGGCGTGTGGGAGAAAAAATACAGCAGTCGGTAGCTTGCTTAATAAAGGGCCTGATTCTCTTGTACTATTATCTCGACACCAGAGCCGCAAAAGTGACCCAATTCCCACATCGATAAGTAGCATACCGTAGAGAGTGCTGGCGGACCGCCACCAATAGTCTCGCATCGAAAGACAACAGTGAATCGGTTTCCTTGCTTTCTCATCTTCGTAGCATGTAGCACTTTGACCCTTGAGCAGCGAGACGCATCCAGATGCTGAGACGTGGTTCGAGGAGCACACATAGACGGCCAGAACACCTCTTGCACAAGACAGCAAAGGAGCCGTCCCCAGCGGCCCTGACCTGCTTAGAGCTTGACATCCTGCTTCACTGGGGCGCGCCCTGAAAGGCATTGCCCGCAGGTGTAAAATCGAAAGGAAGAAGCCGACGCCTGACGATGTGGTATTCTGAAGCGCTGAAACCACGGCGTGGCGACCACTTCAAACGGTCATGCTACTCCAGCGCACCGCCAACGATACGGAGTTTCGAGTCCGAGGGCAGAAAGCATCGGATCTCAACAACACAGTCGAGTCAAACTCCTCAGACCGAATGGCAAGTACCACCGTCATACATATCCATCATCGCTACGCCATCTGAAGGACAGGCGTGTGCAAGAGCTGGGGCGCTCATCATATGGAGAATGATGGGCACGAGGGGGAGGACTGCCGTTCTGGTCAAGGACCCAAAAACATGAGGTATAGCAGCACTTGAAAGGTGAAAGATGCGGGAAGATTTGAGTGACCACAAAATGGCAGGCATGACAGAAGCAGGCGGAGGAATGCTTGCATAGCTGCCTCCAGGAGATTGGACATGACGCGCCTCTTGAGAGTGAGGAAGCAGTACGGAGTGAAAACCTAGCCCCTTCACGGTCTAAGAAGCAGCTGTGAGCATTGATGGATGTGCAGCTCCGTCCAGCGAGCTAGAATCAGAGCCTCCGTGTGCCATAGCCTAATTTTTTTTGAGACACCCAGTACACGTACACAAATTGCTCAGGGGCTGCAGAAAACGTCGTCCATAGACTGTGAACAATTTGATGTTGTGCGACTGCAACGTGCAATCCGGGCAATTCGGGCAAGGTCTGCGCATTCATGCCAGAGCGCGCAGGTTAGGGTAGGGCGGTCGACATGAGATCTATTCATCAAGACAGTGCTCGCTCAGGGCATCTTTGTATCATCTCGAGGCCTCGCTTCCGGCAGAGCCCTCCCTTTAGAGCTGCTAAAAGCCTTCAAGCTCTCTGGGTCAGGTGGTTCCCGAGGATGTCTGGCTCTGAAGACGAGAAGATGTGCATATTGTCGGACCCTCACGAGTTTCTCTCACACACAAGCTGGGCATTGAGGCTGAGCACTGGCAAGCGCATGAAGGAAAGGCTGAAAATTGTGTGACCCACACATCAAACCGCAATTGCAGGCCTCAAAGTGACAAGCGTCGGAAGGACGATGGTTCTAGCATCTCATCGGATTCCCGCAGAGCACTGGGGCAGAGGCTCCAAGAGTACGCATCCCAGATAAATGACATGCATGCCGCAGTAGGATGAACGGCCTTGAGCACAGTGTCGCGTGCCGCCGAAGCGATGGCTAGGAACACAGGCCACCGTCCTGCACTGAGGATCCACGCTTGCAATACACGAGAACCAGCGGACACGCTGCATACTGTATGCTCGTAGGGGAAGCCTCGGAACTGGCACGTCTACGCTCATCTGCTTGCTGGTAGACATTGAGTAGGCATCGTCCACGGCACTCCTGATGAAGCCTAGCCCCCTGAAGCCGTCGCCGGCCGACAACGCCCCCACCCCAGCACTGACCTCGCCGTCTCCTCAGTTCAATCCAGAACGTTTGCGCGGGCTGTAGCATGCGCGGCGCTAGCGTCGAGGGTGCATTAAAGGACTTTTCTTCGCCGCCAAACTTTTGCTCTTCAACTCTCTTTGCCTTCTGGCTTGTAAGATATCCCTTTTCCCCTCATCCATCCACTGTTTGCTAACCTCATCACAGAGATCAAGTGTAGTATCTGTTCTTAGTGAGGGTAACTCCTCCCAAGGCCACTACGGTGGCTATAAAAACTTCTTTTTTTGGAACCCGTTCTTCCACCGCTGGGCTTGCCCATGTGGCAGGACACCGTGTCGCTGGTATCGCACTGTCTCCAGCTGACGCAACCTTTTCATCTGTGTCTTGCCTTGTGCAAGGTTCAGGAGAAGAGCCATTCTCCTTGTCGTCGTCGTGATTGTGTTTTGTTGCGACGTGTTGGTGCGGGTGGGATGGGTATTGCTGCGCGTCCGCTGATGGCAGGCCAGATGCGACGAGCAGCACCACAGAGCAATGGACAGAGCTTTCAATGAGGATGCCCCAACATGTCAGGAATCGTCAAGTCCCCTCGCATCGATCGTAAGACTGTTCGCTCGATACAGTCTCTGTTTTTGAAGGTAGCGGAATCCACCCTATCAGAAGAGTCACTCGCCAGACTGTCGCCGAAAGGCTAGGTACTCTCGTGGAGGCAGCCTCATATTGACAGCTCTCTCGACGGAGAAGTAGTGGCCCGCCTTGAGGGCACTTATGTGAAAGCAGAGCTAGACAGATGCAGACACAGGTAGACATGGACATAGAGCTGATTCCGCGTACACTGTCGAAGTGCCTCCTGGCTGTAGTCCTGGGCCACTCAGCATGATCACTGTCACTGCCTGATGCTGCGCAATGGCTGATGGCTCTTGTATGAGGCATCTGGCCCTCGTACGATCGTCACGGCGGAGGCGGAGGAAAGCAGTCCTCGCCGAGATTCTAGACGTACACAGCGAAACATTTCAGACTGGCCAGAAGCATGGTACACCAAGTCCGCACGTTTGAAGGGCAGTGAGTAATCCACATCCTGCGCATTGGAAGGATGCGGTCTGGTTGCGCCGACAGCAGCATTCCATCCACGACATCCCTTGCGTCAGTCGAAAGACAGACTCGGATTCGACGGCCTCGGAACACAGTCTCACTCGAAGCCGCAACATGGAGTGCACCTGCAACTACACTGAGACCGTACGACGAGCCTCCGGCGGGTTTCGTGACCTCCAGCTGTTGAAATCCATGTCTATCGAGGCTGGGTGAAACCCGACAAAGATAAACCTCGAAACCCCAAGACGGAGCGAGGAAGCAGCACGAGCGGGAAAGAGCCCTGGGTAAAACGCAGCAGCTGGCCAGGAAGGGCTAGGTGTCGCGAGGACAGAGGCAAGAAGAGATGGAAACCTCGTATCTATCATGCCAGTCGGTGAATCACACTCCCGCTCCATCAACGACAGGAGCAGCGCACCTACCGGTGAAAGAGGCGGCACACCGGCAAGGCGAAGGTAGCGGTAGGTCGTACATCGCCTGCAACATGGCAAGCCGCGAATGTGTACCCGCCTGAGATCGCTCGCCTAACCTCTAGCCATGAGATCGGCCCACAACGGACAAGGCGACAGACTGTAGAGCTCGCGCAACATTGATCGAGCATCGCATAGAACAGCACCCACTCTTGAAACCCGACTGGAAGCCCCTTGATGGCCCCGAGGATCACTGTGTCGATGAAACCTGCAACTCGTGCGCAAGAAGCTGCCGCCAGCAGAACCGAAAGAGCAAGGGAAGAAATGAACACGGTACTGCGATGTCCAGGAGTCCACACGCAGGGCATTTCGGCATGAACAACGAGCATCAAACCCATGATACAAGGTATGTATTACTAGGGATATTGGCGTGGCGATATCTGTGAGCGTCCAAGCCTGGAAGCGGGACAATGCCGTGCGTCTTGCCAGAGTTATGTGGACATCGAGAGCTTCAGGCATCGCATTGTCCCCTTAAATCCGGAGGGCTCGCCAGCAGATGTTTCCCAGACTTCAAATAGCAAAGAGGAATCACCGCTTGTTCTTTGAATCCCGGATTCGGCATGCAATAAATTGGCTCTGGAGCTCCTTGGGGCGGCCGAGAGCCACTGGCGGGCCATGTCCTCGTGCAGATCCAGTAGCACGTTTGGCTCGGCGACGAACCATCAAAGACTCGCTTGGAAACTCCCATCAGCACAAGCTCCCAATTCGTCAGTCCCAAGCACTGCGAGCAATGACTCGCACCGCCAACTTCGATCCATCTCGTACGCTGTCTGCTGGAGCAGCAGACCTCCAGACTCTCTGGCAGCTTCCTGCCATCCCGGCCCCATTCTTCGTTGTCAATAACACAGCACATATACCGCCTGCCATATGCGTGACCAACAACCTGCGGGAGTGTTCGGACTTCTACTCTCTAGCAAGATCATCATGGCGGGCTGGCGTTTCGATGTGCTTTGATGCAACAGGTCGCTTTCATGTCAATATGGACTGCAGTTCGTGCTATTCTGGATCGATCTGTTCGATCTAGGACTCCAGTCGATTGGTTCTTCATCTGTGGACGCCAACGCTGACCTCGGACTTGTCTTCACGGCTCGACTCAATGGGTTTGCAGCTTATTGACAACGCTCATAGCAGAACCGTACAAGCTTCTGCAGCGTTGTGAGGCATATGTCGCTCTCTATTGCACAGCAATCGTCATGGCCAGCATTGCAACAGCGATCCTGGGAAGTTCCTGGCATGGTCTTTCGAAATGCTGTAATCTCCGCAGATTTGAGAGCGAAATGGATACACTGAACCTTGGCAGACCGAGAGAGTGAAATAGCTGTACCATCATTGCTGGTCTGAGGGCGGTGGTTCCAACCAAGGGGGTTCATCTTCCAGAGTTTCAAGTATTTCCGGCTGCCGTCAGCTCCGCAGACCAGGGATGGAGCCCCCACGTATCTGATGTTTGCGAGCTTTCCATGGCTTCCGTCAGAACGGTGAGCTGTGGGTCGATTCGACGGGAGCCTGGTATCGTATGGAGAGAGAGAGAGGGTGTTGCGGACGTCGAACACGTGAAGTCCGAAGGGTGCTGTTCTCGACCATGCCAGAATTGGGCAGGCGCGGAACTCTGGCCGCGACCGCGTCCTTTCCCTTCAATACTGCTCTGTATCGCGATGGAGGCAAGCTGCTATTGTGTGCTGCTGTCCGCAGAGATGACACAGTCCCACCCTTCTCATCGCCGCCAACTCCTCCAGCCTCTGCTCCCATGGCCACGACGACATCGCAAAGCCCACGTACTCCGGAATTATCCTTCTGATCCTGCTGCACGCCCTCGTCCCCTTCTTGATCTCCAGTCCGGCGATTTGGTGGCCGTGGGTACGGGCTTTGCGAAGATGGTTTCAGAGGGCTGCGAGGAGGTCCATCGGATGAATGAGAGCTACAACAGTAGTAGGGCGGAGCTGGATCTTGTGAAACATAGGTCGGCTTTTGGCAGGACGGATGCTGCTCGGCTCTCGATGTGAGGAGGTTGTGCAGTTGTCCTGCGAGCCAATTTCAACGCCGCAGCGCCGCTGGCAGCCCGCTGCGATGGTCTTTCTGGCGTACTCTCAGTATGTTGGGTGCGGTCGCAGCAGCTCTACACTCCGACCCGCCAGTAGAGAAGAGACAGCCTGATGATGAGGAGGCCATGTTGGTCTGCTTGCTAGCTTGATCTCCAACGTGCAGAGCAGGAGTGGTGCTCCGGTTCTGCGCTCGACCTACAATGGACAGGTGCTCTCGGGCAGCACCATGTTCCGATGAGGATATGGCTGCCGCTACCCCGAGCTGCTTAATGGGCGCAAATTATCTTTTGCCCATTGGCTAGGAACTTTGAAAGCACGACACGACGACAGCATAACACGGCAAGTCAAGTTTACAGTAAGTTCCAATTCATCCGTTGGTATCTCGACACCTGCAACGCCCTATGAACATCTCCTGAACGATTTGAACCTCCTGAACGGTTTGGACCGAAACCACTTCTTCAGTCATTATCATTATTACCCCATCACCAGCGCTCTGGGCGCCGCTCGTGTATTCCGTGCCATCTCATTGCACCGTTACCGCGTCCACATTCATATGTCCTATACAGTCTCTTTTCGGCTCAGAATTTCAGCAGGAGCAACATCCGCCGCTTCCTGTGCAGCCTCTTCCTTGCTGGCAGATTCTTGACCTGAAAAACGATGTCAGTCACAGTAAACCACTCCAAACGGTGGAATTACTCACCTGGGTTGGCCATCTCGTATTCGAGCATCTTGATGATCTTGTAGAAACCCCAAGCGATGAGAGCACCGGCGGTAGGACCGACCCCTGCAGAAGGATTAGAAAAGATTTGGAGCGACTTGGAGTACCTCAGCACTTACAGTAGATCCAGTGCTCGTTGTCCCAGACACCAGAGATGACGCAAGGTCCGAAGGAGCGTGCAGGGTTCAGACTGCCTCCAGTGTAGTACACTCCGACCATCTCTGCGATGAACAGTGCAAGTCCGATTCCGATTGGAGCCATGAAGGTTGCTTTGTGCTTCTCGTTGGCAAGCATGAAGATGGCGAAGACAAGCTCGGCTGTCAGGATTGCTTCGATCTGTGGTTGGAATCAGCAGATGTCTCYTCACATTGAAGACTGGCCCACGACTTACAAAGACTCCGCGAACTACAGAGGTGCCCTCTGAGAGCGTCGTTCGCACGTTGAAAGTCGTTGGGAAGAGCACCGAGACAACATAGGATGCAAAGACTGCGCCGATGAGCTGCGATGACACCAGCAAGAGGCCTCTGGAAACGCTAATGGCCTTGACCATGACCATGGAAAGAGTGACTGCAGGATTGAAGCTGGAACATGGTCAGTATCAGGGGCTGGAGATCAAAGCCGGGAATGGGATACTGACAGGMCACCAGAGATACGGAAAAAGATCCATACGTTCGTCATCAAACTGAAGCCAAACGACAGGGCGATGTATAGGAGCACGATGGGGCTGAATCCTGTATCCGCATTGGTCGTGGTCTGCGTGCTGTTCTCGCCTGTGCCAATGTTCGCGACTTGGGTGCCTGCGAAAGCAAAGAAGAGAAACATGGTGGTACCCATGAACTCGCCCATTGTCGCGACAAAGTCTGAAAAGCTTCGATTAGCTGGAAAGCAATGGATGAGCAAAGGTGAGATACTTACGTCCTTTGACTGTCGTGTTCATCCAGTCAGTGAATGGAAGACGCATCACAACTTCCGGAGGAGGGCTTGAACGATCGGAGCCTCTGCTCCTCTTCCTGCGAGGTTTGCGCAGGGGCATTTCATCGCTGTCGCCATCTTCCGATCCATCGTAATACTCTCTGTAACGTGGCCTCCGTGGTGGACGAGGAGGCCCTTGACCACCGCCATATTCGGTAGACTCTCTGACGGAGCTCATGCGGCGCTGGTAGGGTCGATTGTAATACGGCGGTTGTTCCGGATAGTACTGCGGCTGTGGACGGGGCGGTGGCATTCCATAGCTACTGTACGGTGGGTGAGGGAAGTATTTTTGGTCCGCAATGTCGTCGTACCCGTAATCTGATGGTGTTGGAGGAGGCAGTGGCCATCGCATGACCTGTTGCCGGGACGGAGTACGACTGGGTGGAGGGCCATGAGGTGGATCGTCGATGCCCATCTCAGGCTCGGTAGCGGGATAATGTGACGGCTCCATCATGAGAGGCGGGTTGCTACCCTTGCGATCCCGTCCTGCCTGAGTACTGGCACGAGTCCTGGTGGTACCGAACTGTGGGACAGCCCTGATTCCCGTGTTATCCTCAACCGGTCTGATGGTGTCGTCGTGCCTTGGATCTCTCTCGGGTATTACTGGAGGAAAGGCAGATAGACCTGGTTGGGCCATTGTGGAGGAGTTTTGTAGATGATCGTCGTAGGTATATTGTGTCCCAGGTAAGACTCCTGATGACCGAATCGAGGCTAATTCTGCTGAGACGTTGTGCCCGTCAGGATGCATTTATGAAACAAAGGGTAGCAATGCAGGAGTATTTATTTCAACAAAGTCACAATCGGGAGAGGAGGGCATATGAAGAAAGCTGGCTGGTAACATGGGAGAGAAAATTGCAAGTCCGAGACCACCCACATGAAGTGATACCTGCCACTGGCATGGCCCGTGAATACTTCGCATCATTTCTGGTGACCGCATTCTTCTCCACTTCCGCCAGCCTCGTGTCTGCGATCTTTCAGGGTAGGCGGAGTGATCGAGAAACGATTGCCAGGAAGACCATGTACGAGTTCCAAAGTCGTCGTTCGATGCAGTCGCAAATCCGGTGTATCCAAGGAACATCCCTGTCAAACTTGACAGTGGCTGGCCGGTTCCGAAAGCGAGGCCCTGAAGTTACTGCAGCCTCCAAGCCAGGGCGGCTTCAGGTGTTTCAAGATATCGCCACGCGCATTGATAGCTGCTAGTCGGGCGGCCGATTCGGATGAAAGCGTTCGACCCAGCCGGCTAGGAATAAAGTCGTCGTATAAAGCATTGACCGGACCGGGCAAGTCCATTCAATCGTGTATGCAAGCGGCTGGTATGCAGAGCGACCTCCTCAAGGCACGCAACGAACAGATCAAGTATTGATGCTTGCACCTTGTCACAATTCAAATTCAGCGGTGTACGGCCAATGATGTATTTACCACCCTTCTGGCCGCAGAGGAGCGAAGCTACTCGCGAAGTTGACCAGCTGAGACGGCCAATCCCTGGACGCCCCGAATGTTGAATTTCAGAAGCCGTGGCGAAGAAATATTGCCGTCGTCATCTGTTTCGGAGCTGAGTATCATGCTTGCAACAGAGAGGGATGAAGTTCGAGAATTAAATCCCGAATTTCGGAAAGGAGCGCAGCAGGACAGATAATGACTCGCCGTAAGTAAGGTAAAGTTCGTCATCCTCTCCTTGACCATTTGCCGAGTCAGGTGATTAATTTCTGACATGTGCCAATTCTCACGTGCCGGATCAGCTCATGTGCTCGAAGCAGGGGGTCCGCTCAAGAGAAGACCTCAGGTGATGTGCATTCCCCCACTCCAATGGGCAGTCGACATTTCCGGAAGAACATTAACTTTTTGTAGTACAGCACAATGTGTATTGACTGCCTGAGGATAGCTCACGAGAGGCTTGAACCGCAAATGGTGCCTGATCGCTTTGTCATTCATGTCCGGCACTTCGCATCTGCCCGATAGACTATAGCCTGTCACCGACTTTTGCACACATTCACCAGCTCGCCGCTACTGTTGCCGAGCAGCCCGGCCCGCCAATGAACTCTCTTGCCTGGTCCTGATTGTCTACCACTTCGGGATGTCTGTCCTTGCCTTCTCGATCCCACCGAAGAACTCCCGTTGGATCGATGACTACGACTGTCTTATCCTCTGCAAGCAATCGATTCACGTCCTCATGGATGATCCTTCGTGCAACTGTGTTGAGGGAGAAAACTTCGCGAAACGAAAGTACAACCGCGCAGGCGTCTGCGTAGGCACCTGAGCCTGGATCTTTGGGATCTGGCTCACCGAGAGCCCGAGTCAACTCGCGAGTGAGTATCTCAGATCCAGCAAATCGGACTGATCCACGCATGTGAAATATGGCAATCCGACGGCCATTGGGATGTTGGTCGTCTGGAGTGTCGAGCACGGCGATGTAAGTAGTGACAGTGGAGCGGGCAATCTGGCTGACGTCCATCATATGCAGGCCCATGTCTCGCGAAAGCTGCTTGCAGATAGACACGCCTCGAACGGAGTTCCCCTTATTGTCTAGCTTGGGGGAAAAGGAAGCAAGACCTACTTGGCCCGGCAGTGCTCCAATGATTCCTCCTGCCACTCCGCTCTTGGCTGGAATTCCAACTGTTGATACCCAGTCTCCTGCGGCATCGTACCTGAGAGAGTGAAGCATGAGTCAGCAAAATTCAGGGACATCAAGGCCCTGGGAACTGGCGTGGAGATGTGCTCGATTTCACTGACATTCCGCATGTAGTCATGACCGAGAGCACTTGGCGGACACTCTCTCGTGGGAAAATGCGCACTTGTGATCTTGGATGATAGCCAGCATTGCTCAWCGTTGAAGCCATCAAAGCGAGATCCCGCACGGTGACGTTGATGGAGCATTGGCGAATGTACCCTTTGACAACTTCGCGTGGATCACAGCGAATGATGCCAGCTGCTTTGAGCATGTGAGCAAGTCCCATATTACGGTCTCCATCCTTCAGCTCTGCCTCGTAAACTTCCTCGTCCACTTGCAAGTCTCGTCCAGCGAGTTGCGAGAGAACTTTGAGGATCCGATCGATACGCTGCTCGGAAGTCGCGTCTGGGCTAACAACCAGCGAGTGCGCAGTTATGGCTCCCGCGTTGATCATCGGATTCATAGGCCTGTTGGTACCCTCATGCAGCGAAAGCTCATTGAAAGCGTCACCAGACGGCTCCACGCCAATCTTCTTCAGGACTTGCTCGAGTCCCGCGTCTTCGATGGCCAGAGCGTACACGAAAGCCTTGGAGATGGACTGAATAGAAAATTCGACATCGTCATCGCCAGCGGAATAAACGTTTCCATCCACCATAGCAATCGCTACAGCCAACCGAGAAGTATCGGCGCGCGCAAGGACGTCAATGTATCCAGCCGGAGCTCCAGACAAGTCAGGCCGCGCATTGTCGAGGACACGTTTGAGATAGTCAGGAATGGGCGACTTCATGGTTGATGGTGTGATGTTTCAGACGAAGAGTAAGTCAAAAAGTGAGWCGCTGAAAGGGAAACGTACTATTCACCGGCTCTTGCGACTTGACCAATGGACGTGTATTAACTTTTCCTTGGCTGACGCGTGACGTCTTGGTCTTGGAGACTTGAGAGAGACACAGTTCAATGCCATTCTGCTTTTGATTGAGGAAGAGTAGGCGCTCAACCGACGATCCTCTTCTCCATGCGATGCTGTAGAGAGTGAAAGCGGGTTTGAGGAGATGTAAGGTAGATGTAGGGAACTTGGAAGATAAGAATGATCGACGCTAGCGGCAAAACTATTAGCCAATTCTGCTGATGTCACTCCTAATTCGCCGCCGCGACAGACCAAACAATACCACCAAACATCGCCGACTTGGACTGGTAGAGCTGATCTATCGCGAGACGAAAGGATCAATGTCTGCCATCAAAGCTCGGAAGGTTCCGCTGCTGCTCTATGGCACGGCATGGAAGAAAGATCAAACCAGACAACTGGTCTCCCAAGCTTTGCAGTGCGGGTTCACAGGAATCGACACGGCGGCACAGCCGAAGCATTATCAAGAACATCTTGTCGGAGAAGGTATCCGCGATGCATTGAGTGCTGGCCACCTTCAACGAGATGATCTGTATATCCAAACCAAGTTCACGTCGATTCACGGCCAGAACCCCCAGAACATGCCCTACGATGCAGCGAGTAGCATCACAGATCAAGTCAATGCCTCGGTGGGATCTTCGTTGCAGAATCTGCGATGCACCGAAAAGATCGACGAAAAGGCATATCTCGACTGCCTCGTTCTGCACTCTCCTTTTCCCTCCATGACGCAGACTAAGGAGGCCTGGAGAGCCATGGAAAGCCACGTACCGAACGCCATTAGGTCTCTTGGAATCTCAAACACGTATCATCTGAATGTACTGAGGGAGCTTTACGACTTCGCCACAATCAAGCCATCCGTTATTCAAAATCGTTTCTACCAAGATTCTGGCTATGATCGCGACATCAGGTTGTTCTGCAATGATAGAGGCATTGTATATCAGAGCTTCTGGACTCTAACTGCGAATCCTCATCTGTTAAGATCTGAGCTCATTGAACTTGTCGCGAGGGAAGCAAGTGTCAGCAAACCTGTTGCACTATACGGCTTGGTACTCGGCTTGGGAAATGTGAGCGTTTTGAATGGAACCACGAACGCGGAAAGAATGCGTGAGGACCTGGAAGGACTTCAGGCAATTCGAGAATGGCGTGAGGCCAATCCGCAAACCTCGACTGAAGTGCAGTCCGCTTTCGAGACTTTGTTGGGATGAAAGACGTTCGCAATTTCGAACGACCTGGCATTCTGCTGGGTGCACGACTGGTTGTCACCTTGAAATACCAAGTGAATGTGACTACGCTCCCATGGGTATCTTAGTAGTCTCTCCTCTTGCAGCACCTCACCAATGCTGAGCCCGAAACGCTATGGTTCAATGGTGGTCATGTACAAGGGCGTTCTTCGTTGTCATAGATCTCGCCACGTGAATCTTCTTGCAGACATCTCAGCAGAACTTTTCTAAAGGAGGTCATTCTGACCATCTCCACAGTTTGGACATACTATCAGTGCACAGTCACTCTTTTGTATACAGCTTCTCAAGCCACAAAACTCTAGAACCAGTACTCAGAAAGCACCGCGCTTTTGGAGATTCCAATATCAGACGACCTCGGCGACCTTGTGAGGCCGTAACACACCTACTGCTCACAGGCCTTTCAACCGGTTTGGCGCCTGCTGTGGCACTTCCTGGATCTTGGCCGCGTTCTTTTCCAGCAATCTTGGAATGACAGATCCTCACATCTGCATACTTCTCTGTGTTCTTGACAACTTTTGACTCATAAGTACAGACTCTCAGAGAAGAATCAAGGCAACGAGAATTCTCAGTCAGACTCACAGACTCATTTGATTGTCGATAGCATTTGGTCAAGTTTACCATGGCAGTGAGCGTCGGCAGAAAGTGGTCGCCGGTGGATCATGTTGTCAGTGAACATGCGCAACTTTGGATTATATCTAGCTTTACCTCTCCTTCCTCTCCGGTCCCCTAGAACTTTCCGTTGATAGCATTGATGATCGTCGAATGCGCCGAAGAGGTGCATTAAAAAGTACGGCTACGTAATATAGTCTTGAACATGAAACGAGAACATAACAATGCTTTCTCGAGCCGAGATGCTGAAGCGGCAAGCTGGCCATCATTGACGCTTTCCGGCCCCAAATCTACCCGAACTCAAATATCCCTCCTTTGAATTTCGTGGGAACACCGGCGCCGCGGTCAGATGAAGGTGAAGATAGAACGGAGTCTTGTGAACGCCACTTTCTCTTCAGCCACGTGTGAGCGCTCAAGAATCCTAATCCTGGTGTTGGTCGCGTTTCAGGAGCCACCTAGTTCCGGCTGGGATGTTGCCTGTGGTGCGATGCTTGTTTGGGTACCTATCGTTTCGAGAAGATTGGACTCCAACGACTCTTGCATGGCTTTTGTTCATCCTTCTCTCATAGTCCTGAGTCCAGATGGCTTCTAAAAGCGATTGCAGCGTATCTGCGGTATTATAACCGTGCTGGGTGTTGAAGTTATGGAGAAGCTGTTCGTACGCGGGCCAATCAAATCTCAGCGGCTTTCGGAGCGAGCCGCGACGGTGGGGACTCGGTCGAAACTTGAAGCTTCCGACCATTTTGATTTTGTGTGGAGAGGTTGTGGGCTAGGAGCAACTAGCAGATAAGTTATATACATGTCAAAGATTGTCGAGTCTGCTGGAAGCACGACCAGAACAACATTGTCTCAGGACATTGCCCTCACATCCTTCGTCCGCTTGAATATAAATTTCAGCGCGGTTAAAGCAGATCTTGGCGGGACGAGATCCAGGCAGGTACGAGCCACTATTGACACTGGCATCGAAACCCAATTCGAAAAGGTGCTCAACATAACCGCCCGCGCTGTCGGCACCACCACGCATTGGCAGGCAGTGCACACATCCGCTTGCGCACCCCGCCATCCTCGCGCTCCGCCCTTGATATCGGAGCGGGAAACTGGACGCTCCCCGTCCACCCACCATGGCCGTCGACCATCACACCGCCGACTCACCGCAAGCCGAATCCCTCTCGCGGGGCAAGCAATGGAGCGTCGATGATATCGCCGTGTGCGCCGATCCCAGTCGCCAATTCGTTGCGCAAGATAAGAGACGATCAACCAATGCAAAAGGCAATGAGGACGAGAGCATTGGCAGCGCCTTGCGGAAGCTCGCCATGGAACACCAGCTTGGCCTGTCGCTCAACTTCATCATTCTGCTCGGCATGACATACGTGCTCTTCCCCTCGCTGCGTCATACGGCCAAAGCCTTGGTTGCCTTGTCATATCCCTCCGCCGACTTTCCAGGACTCTACTCCCAAGGCCCGAGGGATATGTATTTGGTTGCTAGCTGTGTCATATACTTTACGGCGTTCCGAGCGTTTATGCTGGACTATGTCCTCACACCTCTGGCTGGTATCTGTGGCATTGGACGACGGAAGGGTCGCGTCAGGTTCGCCGAACAGTCGTACATGCTGATCTACTACACCATCTACTGGTTCTGGGGCCTGTACCTGTTCGTTCAGGATACTCCCGCGAACGTTACAGATACAACTTCGCTTTTGATCTCGCTCTGGACCGATTTCCCTCGACTCTTACTCTCCCCAGGCATCAAACTGTACTATCTCTCCCAGCTGGCGTTTTGGATCCAACAGATCATAGTAATCCACTTGGAGGAGAGGCGAAAAGACCACTATCAGATGCTCACACACCACTTTGTCACCGTCGGATTGATGGTAGGGAGCTATGGCTACAGGCAATGGCGAGTGGGAAATGCAATCTTGGTGTGCATGGACATTGTGGATCTCGTGTTCCCGCTGGCCAAGATTCTCCGCTACGTGGGTATGCAAGCGGCTTGTGATGCTTGCTTCGCACTTTTTGTCATCACATGGGTTGTGGCGCGCCACGGAGCTTACCTGGCGATCTGCTGGAGCATCTACGCGCACGTGGCGGTTGAGACCATGCCATACGGAGTGTACTYGACAAGCACGGCAGAGCGACTTTCACCAGATGGTGGGGATAAATTGCTGGAAAATCTACTCCAGCCAATGCTGAATCCCGAAGCGAAGACGATATCATTCAATGCCAACATTCGCTGGACGTTTCTTGGCTTGCTCATGGCGCTACAGTGTCTCACACTTGTATGGCTGGCCATGATCATTCGCGTTGTGGTGCGGGTAATCCGAGGCCAGACTGCGGATGATCCTCGCAGCGATGACGAAGGCGAGGGAGAAGCGGAGGGTCTGGACGACGGGTCATCACAGCCATCTGTGCCATTCATCGCCCCAGCAGAATCAGAAAAGCCGCGCTTCATCGAAGTCGAGACCACCTCCGAAGAGGTTGCATGGCCAAAGAGCAATAGGAAAAAAGCCAAGGGGAAATCTAGCGGTCTCAAGCTTGGCGAGCACAAGGAAATCCTTAATCGGATCGGCTGCCTGAGCGAGGAGCAGTTGGCCCGCGAGAGGCAGATGAGGCAGGGAAGCAGCAGCCCTGGCACGCGGTAGAAGTCCTTCTCCCCATCACTGTGCAGGGCAAGGCAATTCATGCGGCTGATGCTTTTAGCGTGCCAAGAGAAGTCAATTTTGGACGTGAAACAAGGCTACATATATCCCATTGTATCGAACGCGAGCGAATGATTGTTTCACGACCAATGCATCACGTCTCACTTTCAGCTTGAACGTGGCAGAAAAGCACACACCGGAGATGGCAACAGATCCGTCACGCACTAGGGCACTCAATCTTGTTCATCATCATCTCGCTGCTAACTATCTATTATCAAGTAACCTAGTTATACAGCACATACCGGTATCGCGGGAGACCCTCCTCAAAGTCCACGATAACTTTGTTTGCCTCAGCCATTGGCCTGCTCTGGATCCACGGTTTGACCTTCTGCGCAGCCGCCACCTTGAACATATCACGGATCTCTGCCGGAGACCCGATCAAGCTGCCCTTGATCGACACCTTCTTCATGATCAATGCGAAGGGAAGAACGGGTGGAAGCGCCTCGTCAGGAGCTCCGACCTGGACGAACGAACCGCCGACATCTAGCAAGTTGAGGTATTCGGTGAAGGGCATCTTGGGTGAGCTAACGGTGCAGATGATCACATCCAAGCTGTTCTTGTACTTCTCGCTCCAGCCTTCATCTTCGGTTGCAATGAGGTCGTCAGCGCCCATCTTAATGGCGTCGGCCTTCTTGGAGTCATTTCGAGAGATGGCGTATACTTTGTCAGCCCCGAGAGCTCGAGCAAAAATAATTGCCATGTGTCCCAAACCGCCTACTCCGATGATACCAACGCGTTTCCCTGGTCCCACACCGTTTTGCTTCAGGGGTGCAAAAACAGTCACACCCCCACATAAAAGGGGTGCTGCCTCAGAGCTGGAAAGTTCTTCCGGAATGTGGAAGACAAAGTGTCCAGAACCTCTCCTATTGACTGTGTTAGGAACATCACGTGTATGACATTTTGGGCAGCAACCCACCAGTATTTCGCATATCCACCCTGTGCCTTGTCGCCGTTGGGCCACTTGGATCCATAGGTCATTACGAAGCCAGACTTGCAGTACTGCTCATCATCATGCTGGCATTCGTCACAATCCGGTCGCAGGCATGAACCAGCTTGAGCACCAACGCCGACGCGGTCCCCCTCTTTGATTCCGGACTTGACGTTCTTGCCAACACGGACTGCACGTCCCACAATCTCATGTCCTACCACAACCGGGTAGTCTGTTGCTCCCCAGCCGGAGCGAAGGACGTGCATGTCTGAGCCGCAAACGCCGCAGTGAGTGATCTGTGAGGAGTGCTCAGTTGGTGATAATTGATAATGGCATTGAATTATTACTCACCTCGATGTCGACGTCTTCCTCGGTCCAGGCCTTTGGCTCAAATCCTTGCCATTTCATGTTGCCGTTGGCGCTGTTGGCATCGAGGCCACACCATCCTTCAAAGGCACTGTCGGCAACCATGGTGTTTTGGGTAAGTTTGGAATGTGAGATGTGTTGTTATGAGCGGATCGTATAGTGCGTGATCGAAGCYGGATAAGTTGGAGAGTGAGATTCAATGTGACACCGAATCCAAATGACGGCGATGATACCGACTGCCTTTATACACTCTATCTTACAATTGATCTTCTGTGACGTTCTATGGAGTACTTTGAAAGTCTCTTCCTGCGATCTCGGTGCTATGCAATCGCAATGTGGGCGTGTGAAACGATTGTTAAGCAAAAGCAATGACGCGAAACACAATTTCTACGCCACACCATACATCTGCATCGCAAGAACCACGGCGGTTCATTCTCCTTGGATATAGCAGGCCTAAGAGCAAGTCTTCGATACCGCATGAGGATSATGTGAAGATATCTCGGATATCGTTCGGTTCGCCGCAGCAGAGCCGTGATCATCACAGGGATTGTATGCTCGCGCAGTGCGCTGTCCACCTTCGAGAATGTTCACCATCAGATGGATTCACCGCCGAACGAGACCAATGAAGCTCAGTAAGCCAAAGTCAAACGGAGAGTATGTGACTTCCACGAGCCGATGTCCATTATGCCATCTTCACGCACAACAATTCGAGTTCCAAAGACCGTCGAGTATCCAGTAAGACTTGATGTTGGCCGTGCCAAAGTGATAGTGAACATGACGCGTGAGCCGATCTTGAATGAGTGGATCCAAGTGATCGTCATGACAGCGACGTGGTGGCAGATAAAAATCTTCGTTTTGCCAGGATTCGAATATGCCGAGCTTTCAGAGTTCGATCCTTGTATTTTCATTCGCTTGWTCATGTCCAAGATACACTCACGTATTGCTCGATAACTGGCAGATGTTCTCCTCCCTCCAGAACCTCTTCGCCTCGGTGTTTGTATACCACCCTTCGGCAACGAGCATTTCTTCGATCTTCCTCCACCTGGGAAGTCGTTCCGGCTGCTTTAGATCCAAATCACCAAGCCGAGCTTCAACGAGTTTTCCGGACCTCTTCATAAACAGCGTACAGTCACGCAGCGTCATGGCTTTGCAAAGATCAGACTCTGAAGCGGGCGTCGACACTTGCCGAACACCGCGAGGATCCAGTGTCGTTTGGCACTTCCGGAGTTGATGCAAAATCGGCTGGGCTTCGTTCATGAGGAAGCTTTGTAAAACTTTGTCGGCAGTGATGGCAAGAACAGCTTTCTCGCGCTTAGCAATGTTTGAACTGATCAGGTTCAACGGGCAAGTTTCCTGGGCATCCGTCGCCGTTCGAACCTGAACCGATGCCCTCTGAGCTCGAAGCGCGCATGTCCGACATCGTTTAGCATGTGGCGGTGCGTCTGGCGATTGGGCAAGCYATTTCGGTTTTAACTGGAGGAGATTTTCATCGGCAAGTGGAGTCATATCAGTGACCAGCAGTGCATATATGTTGTCGCCCTCTAGTAGTACATCATCCGTGCGGTGCCCAGGTCGGTCTGTGCTAGCCAATTCCTGGTTGAGGAGAGTGAGAAGACCCCGGTCTAGGCTGATGAGCTCATGGTTTATCACATGTTCTTCTGGAAAGAGATCGAGGAAGCTGTCCTTTAACGCTCGTAGCTGATCCTTTGCACTTTGCACATGCGATAAATCTTTCGGGATGCGAAGAAGTTTTCTTCGGAGTCGGGATGGAACTTCGCCATCATCATCGCATAGTATGGTGAAGACGAGATTTGCACCACCTTCATCTAGGTACTTCAGGCGACATTTGACAGGCGGCTCGGATGAGATCGAAGGGGGGGGCTCGATGGCATATAGGCTTGGCGTGTCTCGTTCCACAAAATAGACAGGGGTGGGCATACTGCGCGGAAAGAAAGGCATCGGAGTTCGTGCGATTTGTGGACAATGAGACGGAAGGGATTTTCTGGCCGAAAACAGTGGGAAACAAAGCGGCTCGAACCTAATTAAATGTATAGAAAGGAAAGGAACGTCACCTGTTCAGCTCATGTCGACGGGCCGCAAAGTACTAATAAGGCGACGATGTCAGGTACCTCCCATGGTTGGAGGTGATGGACCAGTTTGTCGTCGACCTCGGAGGTCCCGATGGCCTGGGTGAAGAGCGTGCGGCGAGCAGCGACTGCTTCCGGACCAACAGACGCCACATGAGGAAGGCATCACGAGGAAGGCGTTCATTGATAGCTGAGGTCGCTCCCAAAGGTGGGCCAGACGATGCAACCGAGCGGCGAAGCTTGTCATGGAACAGGATTAGACTTACAACGCTAAGTGACGGGACGACTGGTACAACCTCACTACCCAGCACCAGATGGAATCCTCACCTCAGCTCAAGCATATCTTGGTCGAAATGGCCGAAAATGACCCAACCCGGCTGCCCACGCCTTCAGCATGCACTGCCGGTATGGCGCCACACGAAAATGATGGACATGCCAATAATGCTGATTGACCCGAAGACTTTTGCTTGATTCCAATTGGTACTCCCACGGCGTCCGTCTCGCAAGAAGTTGCTGCCGTGCAACGATTGCTTAAGAGGAGCAATGTCAAATACAGCATGCACTCTGCTGGTAYCGTGGGTCCCCTGCTATATCTATCCCTCCATGACATCAACTCATGTACAGCTAGACTCTTGAAGGCACCTGGGATCAGTGTATGCAAGTGATTGGCCAATGTCATACTATGCTGCACAGCAACGGTGTGGTCCGCATCCAAAGTGACATCCGTGTTGGATCTCGAACAGACAAGAGGCAAGGCTTTGAAGACAAGGTGAAAGCTGTGGAGATGCTTCTCGCAAAGGATGACGAGGCCGAACACGAAAAGTAGTATCTCAATGATGAACAAAATGACGCCTCTCAGATGAGAGGAGTACATGTAGTTGGAGCATGCTACAGAAAACGCGCAGACTACTGTCCTCATAGGKTATCTCCACACACGCAAGACGTCGCAACATCAAAAAGGCTATCAATCATAAATGCCATGCAAGTCGTGATCGCCATCTCAATCTTTTGCCCAAGACCCCAAACTCCATGCTAGAAGAATGAAATGTAAACACTTCCAAGCCTATGGTGCCGCGGTCGCACAACGTTGATCGTTTAAGAAACATATGCCGGAGGCGCTTCGCTGCTTTCCGCGATACCATCCTCATAGCTCGGACGCCACGTCCGTTGCTTGGCTCGCTCGGACTCCACCTTTTTAGCTATCTCCGTCGCCATTTTGTGCATCCATGCCTGTTCGAGGATACCACCGCTGCCGCTTTCGGAAAATGCAGAAACGAGCTTTTGCAGATTGAGCTCAGATGAGGAGCGTCTCGCTTCCGTTGATGAAGATCGACGAAGCTCAGGCGAGGGAGAGCGGGATGGAAAGGCTTGCATTCTGGGCAGCTGATTCATCGCGGGACGCTTCTCTGCCGCTAGTTCTTTCGCGGGAACCATCAAGGCTCTTGGTGTTCGATCGGAATCTCTCACAGCGGGAGGGGCTTGCGCTGGATCCCTGGGGGTGGTAGGCCKGGATCTTCCCTCTGCAGTCCGCTGACCATGCTGCTGGAAGCCAACGGCTTTCTTGGGTGGACTTCGGGGTGGGGTGACAATCTCGCCTTCTCTGAGACCACTTGATGGCGCGGTCGTTGCCTCTGTATTTACCTTGACTATGCTCGATCTTGCCGAACCACTGTTGCTCCTCGTTGCGCTGTCGTCGTAGCTGCTGGCGAGACTTGCTGTGTCGCTAGGGTCGTTTGCATCGCCTTTGGTCTTCCTCAAATTGACGATCCTATTTTTCCTCTTCTTGCCGGGCCGCGATCTTGGGGCGCCGGTTCCTAAACTATACACTGTCGCAGCTGATGACATGCTATTCAAGCTAGGCCTAGTAGCGTCGGAACCTGCGCCGGAAATTATAGACGGCGTCGCGCTGTGGGTTCCAATGGAAGACTGTAGTCTCGAAAGGGTGTTAGGTCGGACTRGCGCATTGGTGCCGTTGCTGACTTCGTCACGATTCGCTGCGCTTGCCCATGCGCGATATACAGTATCCCGGATGCTTGGGGTGAACAGACTCAATGTACGCTGACTTTCCGTAAGAGCAGCTAATCGTACCAAGTTCTTTTGCGAAAACGAAGCATATGTTTCGGCAGGGTTGTCCAGCGAATATGGCGAGCTGCCATCTTCATCGTCGGCCACTGCTTGTTGCGATGGACTAGAGAATGGATCTACAGGTCTTTGGCAGTCGGCGCTCTTTCTCAATTCTTGATAGTCCGCTGATTGATGTTCWGGGCTGAACTTCTGCAAGGACAAGCGATGAATGATGGCCGGAAGATCTTCCATGAACAACACCCGCAGTTGGTTCTCAATCGTTTTTTGCAGATAGTCCCGAACAAACGGTATCGAGTCGAATGTAGAAGAGACCTTTAGCTTCTCCAACGGATCGTTTCTGAATACTATTGTTATCCCTTTCTGCTTGGAAAAGACCAGAATCACAAAGCCGGATAATCGAATATCTGACAGAGTGATTTGTATAGGTATCGTTAAGCTGCTGCTAGCTGCCAAGGGTTGTGGACTCGCAAAGCTCGGCTTTGTGGAGAGGTATGTGTTCAACGGGTTCGCTTGTACCCGGGTCTTGAGAGTAAGATACGCATCGCCGGTGTAGCTCATCTTGAATATGCCTCGGAATCGGTCTTCTGCCAGGTCGCCAATCTCCAGAATCTCCAACTCGGGTGGTGTTGACCCCAGATTAAGCTCGTTGACAATAATATCGTCGACAATGATAGGAGGCTTGGGCGATTTGTTCAGAGCGCTCGTGAGCATGTCGCGAACACGCTCCGTGTCTGCGATCAGCGGAGACCAATTGAAGTTGAACGCCATGCTTGCGAGCGCGCGAGTGTCCTGTTGAAAGGTATGCGCAAAGGCTGGTCTATCGTCCTGCCGGTGATGCAAGACAGTCTGTCGCGTGGCTCATGGAGCTGACGGGGCACTGAAAGTCAGGCGCTGGCTCCAGATGTTCGATGTGGAAGGATTGCGGGTGGTGATTGCAGGTCTTTGGCGTGTGAGATCCGGACCAGCAGCAGGAAGCGATGTATGTYGTTATGATTTCGTGACGTGACACAGGTTTTCGACGCTTACGCTGGTCTGGATTGTGGCCGCTGATGCCCATCCGTGCATAATAAGATTTTAACGGAGATGACGACTCTCGCGCGCGCTTCTTGCCGAGGTTCCGACTTCCGTCTGATCTCGCCAACCTAAAGCGACTTCCAACAACACCTGACTACCTATCGACGWAGACTCAAAAGGATACATGCAAGTTAGAGCTCAAGGATGGGGAATTGGAGTGCGTACGAAGCTTTTACGTTACTCCGCTCTAACACATCTTGGGGGATGCCGCGAGCACAGCTCACAGAACCATTTGCCTGAAACGATGGCAGCCCATGGTTCCGTGGACTAGGCAAGATTGGCTGTTCCATTGTCGCCCACAGCTCACAAATCAGAGCACTGTATTCCTTGWTGCAGTGTGTACTGCATCCTACTCTTTGAGATCGCTTCCCACTACCTTCGGCATCTCCGACAGCATTTCCATGCACCTACCTAGTCGGCAGCTCGGAGACGTAGGATGATCAGGTGTCGCTGTCACACATCAGTGTAGCTCTCGGAGAAGGTCTAGCAACATGCACATCGCGTCGCAAAAGCCTACGACAGCATCTCTTTGCATCAGAGGCTGTTCGGACCCGCAGAGTCTTTTTGAGCATACTGGTGATCGTATGTCGCGAGCGATTCAAGACTCGCGAGACAGCCCGTGTCAGCAACTGGGAAGGTTGTGCAAGAATATTGGTCTAGGTCTTTGCACGACCATGCAATCAGTGTTGATTTGCTTCAGGACCTTCCAAAAGCGTACCTGTGCTTCAGTTTGCTGATCTGTGGCTTCCRTATGGTCATCCCGCCGAGGAGCGTTTTTCACTCCATGGAATTTGAGCGCTCTAGCGTGATCACCGTACTAGGTACGTCTCAAGTCGATATTCATAGAATATGCACATAATTATTGAACAAGCTCGCATTCCCCGAGCGTGCGCAAGCGGTATTGARAAGTCGAAGATCACCGGCTCTCCTCGTAGTAAATCGACAACTACGCCCGAGAGTAGAGAGCTGCGACCAATCAAATAAGTAGTGTTGTCGAGAGCTACATGTCTTGTCGATCGATGGCCTCTAAATCGCGTAGTAAATCGCGTAGTCGATTTTTGTGGAAAGTACAACGTCTTTGATTGCAGCAGGTAGGAAGGCAATATTCAATCTCACAGGTCCTTGGTAGCTTGACTGTGAATGGTATGGCCCCACCTTTTGATGCCGGTCCGAACCGAACGCGGGAGCGCATGTCAAGTTAGGTTTCAACCAGGTACTTTATCCGGTTACCTTCTTGTGAGATCCACGTCCCTCCTCTTCAACACCATCCATTGAACTATGGCCGACCCTTTCGAAGTCCGTATKCGCTTCACCCACCAACTGCAACACCTCAACGCCTCCACAAGCTCCGCGCACAAGGCCGCCAACTACGCCCTTCGTCACTCTGAATTCAGCGATGACCTGCACTCCTGCATCCTCGAGCAGCTGGAACGCAATAACATGAATAATCGTGCCAACATAATGTACTTCCTCCCTGCCCTCTGCGATACGGCCAAAGCTCAAGGGAATATCGGGTACGTCCGGATGATGGAGCGCGATATTCTCAGGATCGTGGACCTCGTGGCGCCAGATGATGGGAGTGGGGCGGCGAATGTCAAGGTTGTGAGGAAGGTGTTGAGATTGCTGCAGGAGAGAACGTTCTTGCAAAGTCAGACTGTGCTGGAGCTGGAGGAATGCATAGTGGGWAGGGACAGTGGTGCGGGTGTGGAAGATTCACCGAAGAAAGAGGTTGTGGAGAAAGAGGTTCGAAGTACTCCGCACTCAGTCTCAAGAGAAAATGGTGGGACACAGGGGTATAATCCTGGAGTGATCAGACTGGATAAGAGGCAGATTGAGCAGCGAATCGAGGAGGATCGCGAGAGGCATAAGAGAGCTCGAGAAGGCATTTGGGCCATTGCACAGCCGAGTACCAATCTCGCCACGGATATCGAGTTTGAGAGATTGTGGGACGGAGGGAGTGAGGTCGATGAAGATGACTACCAGATGGCGAGTGAGGAGGCGGAGGAAAGGAAAAAGCATTTGGAATATGACGACTATTGAGATATTTTGGTTTGGTGTGAGCGATCTTTAGCGAGGCGTTGGTGGCTTGAAGCATCTACAGTATAGCATGCGAGAGGAATGATGGAGGGTTCTACGACTAGCAATTGGAAGTCTTCTTGGCAGAATGGCACACTTTGCACGCATCACCAAGTGGACATGTATCAAACGCGAGAGGACCCTCGTTGTTCTCAGCAGGCTGGCAGCGATTGATGACATGCTGCMCATATTCCAGGAACCCAAGCGGAATGTCGGTCTACGCACCAACCTGATATCTCTCCACGGTCCCAGCGTTCAACACTCCCAACTTGCTCATCACAACATCACTCAGAATCCGCTCAACCTCCCACTTCCACAAGCAATTCACGCCTCCAACCTCGAAAGCCTTCGCACAAGCAAATAGCTTAGTCTCCAGCGCCGGCACCGTAACACCAAGACTCTTCATCTGCAAGACGACCTCAGTGCCATGAATGACCTTCAGACCCAAAGCGAAGACACCCTCGCTTGTACTCCATCCCAGAGCACCATCAGGCTCACCCTCGGCCTTACTCGCAAGTGTGTCCAGGCCACTCGAAATCCATTCGATAAGTTGCGCGTGCTTCAAGTCATTCTCGAGCAGCGACGATGTGACCTGCTCCGAAAGCAACTTGGCAATGACCTGCGACCAGACTCGTACTTCTTGGGAGTCGTCGATGTAGMGATTCTGTTTCTCTTCCGCGAACAACGCGGTGTCACTGTGCGAGAGCGCCGCCAGCTGATATTCCACCGAGCAGCTTGCGATATCAGACGACAGGCCATATGCTCGACTCAATGCGGTGGTGAAAGCCTCAGGTCCGTGCCCGGCTCGAGTGGTGTAGAGTGCTAGGAGTTTTTGGCTGGCCACTATAGGTTCGAAATCCACATCCTTCCGCGCAGTCGCTCTGGAAAGGATTCGTTTCGTAATTCCCGCCGCTTGGAGGCGGATGTCTTCATCATCGTCGTTAAGTAGGTCGTACACGGCGCAGCACAGCCCACGGAAGCATGCTGCTAGAGCGGGGTCGGTCGCCAGCATATTCCAAGTGCTGTCCAGCCGGTTGAGTGCTTCTGCAGCTGCTTCGCGTGTGTGTATGCCCACCCCTTTCGCAGCTGAAATACAGTCGTTTGCCCAGGCGACTAGACTGTCTATGACAATAGAATTTTCCTTTCCGGACATTACATCCTCGAGACACACGGCTTCTAGCTCCAACAGGTAGTCCACGTACTGCTGATCGCAATCCTGTCGCTCAAGATACTTGGAGTCGGCGGTAAGATGCTGTAGACAAGTCTTGAGTTCGGATGGCATCGTCGTGGTCTTGGAAAGAAGAGCAAGCAATGTCCGTTGAGCATCGCACTTGAGCCCGATGCTAATGTCATCACTCGCAAGAATCTTGGTGCATATGTCCATTGTCAGGGAGCCTCTGCCGCCGTTTCGCATCTCCTGCCAATTTGAGCTGGTCAAAAAGTAGGAGGCTGCATCGTAGTCACGATGCGCGAGTTCAAATAAGGCATCGGAGAAACTCTCCGCCTCCTTCTTTGTGCCAAGCTTGTAAGTTGCAATGTGGAACGCTGCATACCTAGCCCAAGCCTGCCGAAGTACTGCGGCTGTGGTGTCGTAGAGAGACTGCGACAAAATGCTGGTGTACACCGCAGCTGCGCCGTACTCGTGGAGAGAATCTCCAGCAAAAGCGAAAAACAGTCGGCGATGGTCGTTCGCATCGTCTTCTGCTCCGTTGTGCGAGATGTAGGCGCAGCACTCTCGAAGAACGTCAACGCATGCAGCCTTACTTACAGCCGCAGGGGTTGCTTGGTAAATACTTGCAAGATTCTTCGCAACGAGAGAATACTTTCCGGACGAGCCTGGGCTGGTTCCCTCATCTGTAGAGGACGGATTGGTAGCCGCTTGCCTCGCCTGAACCATGACATGTTTCGCGGTGAGTAACGCTCCATGCAAAGCATTTTGGGTTGTGGTACCGGCGTTCAACAGAGTCGCGAGCTGTTGTCTCGTCTCATCGGGGTTCACCAAAGAAGCCAATGCCCGCGCGGCCTTATCTCGCACATGCCATGATGGACTTGCAGTAAGTGCTCCAACAGCTCTCCTCGTCTCCTCTAATCGCTCATTCGGGATGCGGGTATGTTGTAGAAGTTGCAGAGCAGGAAAGACACTTTCGTACCGAACTGAATCTTGTGCAGATGCACCGTTGCGCGGCAACAAGCCAAGTACGACATCAAGCAATGCAGGATGCTGTTCTGCGGAGATTCGCTTTTGTAAAACAAAGGCCTCGCCCGAATGAGATTCATTAGTACCCAGTAATCGATCAATGACCGCCCTGAACAGCATCAGTCCACAGTTCCGGATGGCCCAGACTTCTGACCGCAATGCATCAGCAGCCAGTTGTAAAGCTGCCGGGACGTAATGTCTCGTCTGCTCTCCGAGTCTGGTGTTCTTCAAGATGTCCTTCAAGCAGTTCATGGCATGCACTTGCGCCAGACTTCCCTCTTCTGCCGAACCGGCGTCGACGTCTTGCCTTGCGATAGCTTCCAGATCAGTGAAGGCTCGGGCGAGCAGATTGCCTGTCTTGTCTGCGATGAGGAGTCCACAGAGTAGTGAGGGCAGTCCAGCAGATCGCCTGGTGTTAATAGTAACGTGATTGCGAAGAATTGCCAGCACATCCGCATACCACATCTCAAGCATGAGAGACCCGGCCGAGTCCCGCAGGTCTTTGCACCGCATACAACAAGCCTGCCAAGTTTGAGCGACGGTTGAGAATGCTCCACGGTGCCTTAGTTCTGCGAGTTGTGTGAAACACAGTCCGCTCATCTGCCGCAAGCTATCAGTGTCACCATCGGTTGATATCAAAGTGCTCAAAAGCAAACTCGCTTCTTTGAGCGCCCTCCAGCAGTAGCTCAAGCTTTCCTTGGTAGACTCAGGAGAATTCTCCAGCTCCTCTGGAATGTACCCTTCGGGGGCATCGTTGCACAGGATCGGCTTTACAACAGCCCAGACCTCACGCAGATACTCGAACAGGCGAGATGGTAGCACTGTTCCAGTGTTCGCCGGGTCCTGCTGGAGGATATACCTCAAGCTCGTCAACAGCCCGTGCATGGGGTAATTCTCGACAGCATCTCCCAGATTGTGCTTTGCACTGGCTAGCATTCGGTCGAGCTTTTGTACAAGATGCGAGAAGAAGTCCTGTCGCGCGGTCCGATGATTTGCCAAATTGAAGTCCTCTGGGGCACATTGCCTGTAACAGATGGAGTACAAATGGGCGACTCCATCAGCGTGATCCGCTCTACCGGTAGCGAGCATCATAGTCTCTGCTCTGCCGAGCGTTGAGGTCAATTCGGCTTGATGCAGCACTCCAACAGCCGTCGCGGTGGAGCAGTAATATCCTAGTACCGCCGCAGCGGTAGCTCGTACATCATCAAATGGATCGAAGAGAATATCGAGCAGAAGCCTCTGCAGATCGATTGTCAGGATCGTGAGTCTGAATGGCCATTTCGTCTCACCCTGCGCAGATTTGGAACAGAACTCTTTGGGCACATGTTCATCAACGCCAGAACGMACTAGTATCGAAATACATTTCAATGCAGAAATGTGCCTTTGGTAGCTTGCCGTGGGCCGCAGTTCCCAGGTCAGGAAGCGCAGCATCCGCTTCACAAAGTCCTGGTGGTACTCCTGGACTGCACGGGATGGTGCAGAACCCGGATGCATTTTCTCCTGCTGGGTCGCTTGCCGAGATAGCACGGAAGTAACAGCCCGAATGCGGTCTATCAGTCTCGAAAATGCGCCGAATATTTCAGAGCGAAAGTCAGCATCGACATCTGCAAAAAACACGCCAAAGCTTCGTCTCGCCAGATTCAATGCCGCGGAAGATAGAGGTCTTGTCACCGAATGTGAATTGATGAGCAAAGAGAGGCCAGTCAGACGGGCTGAGCGAGCTCGATGTAGTAACAGTCGACTAATCAGCTGCAGCGGAATGAGCACTGCGGTCGAAGCGTACGATACCTCATTCTCATCGACCTCCAGTAGTATTCCAAGCTCCTTGCCTGTCTGTAACGCTGCGTAAAGCAGTTCACCTGTGCCCTCGCTTAACAAATCGGACTGCTCCTGAGGTTGCATGAGTCGGTTCAGGCCTTGAGACTGCAAGAAGGCCGCAAAGTCCTCGAAACTTCGCTTGAACAGCATAGGAAAGATGTGTGCTCTAAGATCATCGACATTTGCGGAGTCCCGCCGGTGTGCTCTCTTAAGTGACAATGCCCAGATTGGTCGAACAGATGTTTCCATCGCTGGCATCTTATCCAGCAAAGCTGAGATCRACTGTGCAATCGYGGAACCGAAGTCGCCCCTGCCAAGCCATCCAAATATTGATTCGAGCATATCGATAGTCTGGACTTCGACAGAAGCTGTGGAATCCGCCACTCCAGCCTGGCTGAACGACAGCGACACAGTATCGATTCCAATCACGTCCTTGATCAGCAGATGGCTAAGCAGCTGTGCGCCTGCCTTCGCCTGGGTCGGATCCTGGAAGTCTAGCAAACATCGCACTAGCCGCTGAGTAGCAACCCATTTCAATTCTGCCTGTACATTTGAAGGTGCCTTTTTCAAAGCGCCTGTCAAAGTGACGAGCAACTGTCGGGCTGATTTGGGTCTGGCGCTGTGGGCATGGTAAAGATACAAGTCCAAGGCTCGGTTCCATATATTCGAGGCCCATATCACATCTCTGGCCTCGGGAAGGTCTGAATCCAAGGCCTGGTCGATAAGAGAGCAGAGTGTGTTCCAGGAACTGACTCGATGTGTTGTAACGAGCGTGGCATATGCGCTTGTGAAAAGGATGTGATCAAGGAGATTCTCGAACTCACTACTTACCCATCAGCAAAGCTGTGCGGACGCCTTGCCCAGAGTCCTTACTTGACTTGGCCATCATGAWTGCTTGCTGTCGAGGGCACATGGGATCGTGTTGACCGTGATATCTGACGGACTCGCTCTTCACTAAGCGGAGAGCGGAGAGGTGCAGTCAATTCGTTATCCATGTTTCACGCGCATTCTTGTGTGATGTGTGAAGGGGTGAGACTAGATGATGTGTCAGGGAAAAATAAWTGCAGATCGGCCGAATTTTAAGCATCAACTCCGTCACGTCCGCTGCACATCTCCGACAACTTTCATCATTGCCATCGCCAACCGCGCTCCATCACCCCGACCACCTCCGCTGCGCATAACTCCCCCTCCATTCTCTGGTGGTCGCCTTTCAGCATAATCCTCTTCAAATCCTCCACCATGGGCGTCTGGGACGTGTTCACAGGCAAATCGAAGCAGAGCGCGACCTCGGACAACTTCGATCAATCCGCCGCCGCCGCATCGTCGAGCCCGTCACTGCAATCCTCCTACAGCACACCCTCCGTCGACGATGTCGGGTCATTCATCAGCTCGCCCGGCGCATTCGATCCCTCAGCGCTACATCCGCTCGCAGGCCTCAACCAGGACACCCTCGACTACCTCACACTCGACGACGACGTGCTAACAGACCTGCCCGGTGGAAAGTCCTTGCTTCCATCAAGGGGATGGTCAGACGATCTCTGCTATGGGACCGGTKTCACATATCTGGCGGCGCTATCAGTGGGAGGCGCATGGGGTCTTGCGGAGGGTCTAAGTAAACTGCCATCCACGGCGCCTCCGAAGCTGCGGCTCAACTCGGCGCTCAACGCAATCACACGGAGAGGACCGTTTTTGGGAAACTCGGCCGGTGTTGTTGCTTTAATGTACAATGGCATCAACAGCACCCTTGGATACTATCGGGGAAAGCACGATTCGTTCAACAGTGTCGCAGCAGGAGGCATCAGCGGCATGATGTTTAAGGCTACACGAGGTGTGCGGCCGATGATGATTTCGGGTGGTATTGTSGCATCTGTTGCCGGCGCATGGGCGGTAAGTAAAACGTCAGAGAAGACAGACTTGAGCAGTGCTGACAATGATATCAGGTAACGCGCAAAGTTCTGATCGAGGGATGAAGGAGGCRATCTGCATATCCAATGCAGCTGCACACCAATTTGCATTAAAATTCGGGAGCATTTCACGAATAATGGAAGCATTGCGGCCTCCCAGAAATGCGCCCAGAAAGTGACCCGACAGCACCTCACCATCTCCGTTGGCATCTCGGATGGTTGTACCATATGTATATCAGCCTCATCTCTTCTCCACTTCCATGTGTACGTTGGAATCGAAGCGTCAGTTTTCAGCATAGCGTGTACATAATGATGAGATAGATAGGGAGACAGGAGCTGTTACTAGATCTGATATGCTTCAAAATGGCTGTCATAAGCTGATTCGACGAACTCCATCTACATCGTTCTACTTTTGATACACTATCTGAGAGGCTGCGGACCATGGGGAGGATTGCGTCCTCGCGCACCGCCTCGGAATCGTCTTTTGCTGGTAGATCTGGTAGATGGCGCACTTGCACTCGCCACGTCCCGAGCGTCGATACATCATATCCAGATTTCCAACGCCTGCTAGTTGAAGTTCTAGACGCCCAAACTCCTCGCCAACATTGCAAATACAGCTATTTCGTGACTTGGTCTTCGATTTGCGTCTTTCGATTCCGTTCTGCGTCTGACTCCCACTGTTCAAGCACCATCTCTGGGTTGGTCGAGGGCCGCACCGCGGAACGACTTCTCTCCTGCCATGCCTCGTCCCCAGAAACCATGGAATAACCCATTTGAGGCGGTGTTCCGAAAGACTTTGTCCAGGTCCTCTGGATCAAGCCTGTCAGTGCGGGCATGCAACACACCACGACACTGAAATTGGCTTCTATGAGACTCCATGTACCTATCGGATGGAGGTCCCATGTAGGATTCTTGGTTTTAACCTGAACCCCGCGAAACAGTGATCAGCGATTTGCCAAACCAGGATGTCGGCATGATTGAGATACTTACGGCCAGTGAAGCGTATTGCAGCCGAATGAGCGAGCATATCGTCACCAGAAATCCCACCAGAAAGACAGCACTCAGACCGGCCTTTTTTGTGTATGGCAGCTTCATCTTTGTGAGGACATGGATGGGTAGCAATATCACAACGATATCAAAACAAACGTTTATCGCCCCGTGTGCATAGATTAGAGCTTCCAGGTTGATGCAAGTTCCTTCTATACCCGTCACCTGAAGCCATACATAGTTGACCTGCAGCCAATACAGTTAGCCATGGTAAGAGCGATAAGTTCCAGCAGCTGACTAACTGGATTGCATTGGAGAACCAGAGCAAGAAACCCGGAGAGGCAGAATGCTGCAAGTACGGCGACTAAAGCCCAGCAACTACGTCGGAAATTCCGAGTCACTGAATCCGCGGGCCAGATTCGAAGGTACAGTAGGACGAGGGAGATCTTGGTCATGACAATGATCAGCGCGTAGAGAACCTCACCAACATAAAATGACTGCTTGGCGGTCAGCATTCGTTCTCCAACCTTTATCACACAGACAGTCCTGCATGTCAACTGACCTTCATGAGCACGAGAATCTGCTCCATTGTGAGGAGGTACATGTCCATGCCAAAGCCATTGCGCACTTCTAACTCGGAAGTTATGTCTGTGGGGACTAGGAGGGCGTAGGTCATGAATGCAACATCTGGACCATATCAGTTGCGATCAAGCGCTCCGGAAGGGCGAATAAACTCACAATCGTCCCAGCCAAAACCGCTGCCTCCCAGAGATCGCATGCGGGCGACGAACCGGCCAGCGATGACAATTGTAGCAATTGTAAACATCGACCAGCATAGCTCTCGGGTATGCCGGGCTCGGTTCCGCGGTTGCTTGTCGCAGGTACCTGCATATGATCTTTGTGATCCCAGGTAGTCCGAGAGCTCACATGTCGCTGAGAGACATATATCAAGAGCGTCGGCCAGTTTGAGGTTTTCACAGTAGCAGGGCCTCTCTATGCTGCATTCGTATTGCGATAGAATTTTGTCAAGGCAAGGCTTGACACATGCTGGCTGGTCGCCATCCGACACTCGAACAGTTATTGATGCGCTCCGTGAGTTGCGACCATCCAAGTCCTGGTGTTGAGTGGCCGCCGCATATTGCCCGTTAATAGAACAGATAGCAGCGGCGAATAGCCCGACGCGGAGCGGACTCCACATATTGCAGAGTTTCAATTCATGGGTACATGTACGTGTAATTTTGGTGACGTCGTATGCAGTGGCCGTCGTTAGGGACAGATGACCTGCGCGTTCCTCGGTGTATGGGGCGTGGATATGCCTGTCGAACTCATCTCTCTCTTTGGTGGTTGCAGGTGGTGAGAAGCGAGGCAAGTTGGGAGTGGACGATCACCTGGGTTGGGCTGGAATTGTTACACATCCTTGATTCCTGCGGGAGGTGACTTTCCATTGTCGCATCATTGGCAGAAGAGGTTAGTCCTCCAGGCCGATGAACCTAAAGCTGCCTGTCGACCTCAGCTTCCCCTCGCGTCAAAATCGTCGATTGTGAAAGCTCTGGAAATTGCAGCTTCTATCCTATCAGATCCATGGCAGTCTAGCGAGATAGGAAGGTGATGTCCCTAGCGCTTGTTGATTGAAGACCGCCGCCGGTATGGCAGAATTCCGAGACGATGATCGGTCGCTCGGGACGAAACTCTGCTATGTGCGCGCATCGCGACTCCGGGACGGGGAGGCGAAGTCAAAGTATCCCCGAGGTCGCTGTCGCGCGCCACCCGCAGTCTGGGGTCTGGGTTCTAGAATCGCAACGCCAGGGACGGTGCGGTAAAGAAGTCGGGCCACGGCGGGACAGACGTCATCACCACCACGTTTCGACGTCGGCGTGACCATGTGCTCTCGAGGTGTAGTTCGGTTCAAGGTTGAGTCAAGGCAAGGGACATGCTGATCTCTGCGACCTTGCGCCAAGCGCCGCCATGCATGGYGTTGCTGTGAAGTGAATGAATACTGCAACGAACCGGAAACCTGGGTGTCGGTGTCGGGATGTGTCGTTACCTATACCTCGTCTGTCATCTGCCGTGCGGGCCCTTCGAAAGCCGGCAGCAACACTTCACAATGTACGTGCGAGACCGCCTTCAAAGCCTGGGAATCGCCTCGTAGGAATGGATCATGGATGTTTGTCGCATACATTCCTGATAAAATTTCGGGTACAGCGAGAAGCTGGACGGTCACAGTAAGRACCATTTGATCTGCCTGGAGCTTTGCCGGAGAAACCGCCTTGGCACGCATTCTTAGTATTCGGCTGTGTGTCTCTTGAGCCTCTGCGTAGAATATCTCCGGATCACAGTCGACAGAAGACCTAGATGATGGCCTTTGACTGCGTTTCTCGAGATGGGAAGTAGGTAGACACGGAACAACGATGTCCAGTGGATACGCAGTCGATAGATCCTTCCACATACAGGAACAAAATGAGCTGTGAAATGAGAAAATCTTCCGATTCTTTGAAGATATCACTATTAGAATACATGTATGGATGATGATGGGAGCACTAGATGTAGTACAACGAGTGTTCATGCTGTATTTGGATTTTATGTTTCAGCCAAGAAAAACCCAGGCTTCAGCACCAATCTCACTCACTTGGCAAACCAACTAACCTACCCCCTCTTTCCTCTGCTTTGCTTCACTCACGCAAAATCACCAGAACAAACTTCTGCCTACTCAGCTTCGCCTCGCGGTACGCCCGATTCCGGAGGACATCGTCGAGCATGGCAGCAGGACACGGTCACCAAGCTGCGCAAAGCGAATCGTCGCCGCTACTACCATCTACAGCACATCACTCGCCGCATACCTTTGCTGACGGCGTAGCTCACGAAGGCGAGAGCGGCCGCCGCGGATTCAACCTTGCGCAGTTCTTCAAAATTATAGCATGGTCTTCCAATCCAATCTCACGAAAAGTAAATTACCTCTGGCCGTTTGCAATCGTTGCGATAGTGCTCCAATATGCCACAAACTCGCACATTGCGATTTTTGCTACCAGCTACATCGCAATGGTCCCTGCTGCCAATCTGCTAGGCTTCGCTGGTCAAGAATTTGCGAGAAAAATGCCCAAGGTTGCGGGCATCCTGATTGAGACGACTTTCGGCTCGGTGGTGGAGATCATCTTGTTTGTTGCGTTGATTGTGAAACACGATCCTGGGACCGAGGACGGCAACGATAACGGTGATGAAGGGAACCTGATTCCGACGATACAAGCCGCCATAATCGGATCTATCATGACGAACCTGCTCCTCTGCCTAGGACTCTGCTTCTTTGTCGGAGGAGTTCGCCAACATGAGAAGAATCAGAAATTCCACGCAGTGGTGTCGGAGACTGGCAATGGCGTGTTGCTGGTTGCCGCTTTTGGACTACTCATTCCCAGTGCATTCTACTCGGCTCTCAAGACAGAGACCGTCTCGATCCTGCACGAAAAATTCACCAATGGGAAGCTACATGAGGACATCATGAAGATCAGTCAGGGAACCTCGATTGTCCTGCTCGTTGCGTTTGCCTTGTATATCGTCTACAGCTGCACTTCCGCTCACTCCATCTTCGACGAGGTCTTGGAAATCGATGAACACCAGGATCAAGACAGGGAGCAAGACGCCGTCAAGCCGAAGCTGACACTAACTGAATCACTGGTGGCTATCGCGATAGCCATTGTATTTGTTGCATGGCTACTCATCATTCTGGTTGGAAAGATTGAGAATGTCGTCGAAAGGGGCGTACCTGATCAGTTCCTTGGTCTGATCCTCCTCCCGCTGGTTGAAAAAGCGGCAGAGCATTTGACCGCCATCGATGACGCTTGGGACGGAGTGATCAATGTTGCGCTCTACCATTGTAAGTGAAGACTGAGAAGCGAGGGGCGAAAGGCACCTGAGGCAAACCCTCAAAGATCATGCCAATGTGGTTGTCTCTGCACATGTAAAATGAGAGATTCGCGTAGAATGCTGGACCGCCCCCTACTATATGAGACATTGCTGACCGCTCTGTTCTTTGCCTCTAGGTATTGGCCCATCGATCCAGACTGCTTTGCTGAATGCACCCTTGATCGTTTTGATCGGTTGGGCTATTGGTAAACCGATCGACTTGAACTTTGAGATATTCATGATCTTGCTGCTGGTAATGTCGATCCTTGTGGTACGTACTATCCTGCTTTTGCGGCTTGTCACGACTATATTTCTGCCACATGAGCTTTGAGCCGTCCCACTCGGTGGGCCTCTGACGTATCCGCCGGGGTGATGTCCAGGACTTCGGTTTTTGAGATCACAGGCCTGTGACTGCTCGTCCTCTGCTATGGTAGCTGACTATATGCAATAGGTGGGTAATTTGCTTCGTGACGGCGAAACCAACTGGCTAGAGGGTGGATTGTTGTTGGTGAGTGCATATCTGAACCCAATCAATTTTGCTTGGCTCTAATGACAATGCTTCTAGATTGTGTACATCATCATCGCCATTGCTGCGTTCTATTATCCAAACCCGGACGTTGCCACCTCGAACGGGATTGAAACCAGCGTGTCACAGAACGTCACGATCCCATTGGACTTGTACAAGCAGTTGCTTGCGGCTTTGCCAACCCCGCATGTCTAAAATCATTGTCGTGGATTGACAAATAGGTCGGATCAATATCAGTCGGTGGATCAAGATGTCCAGTCGGATCGTCTTCCTGGTAACAATACCTATGGAAGGTTATTGTATCAGGAAGTTGCAATATCTTATCCATACAAGTACACATAGTATACATATGCAGGGTCGATCGTACCCACTTTCGTGCAGGGATTGATCCTCCCCGCGAAAATCCTGGGTCCCTGTGAAAATCTCTGTAATCCAAACACTTGGTACCTACAACTTGTCTCGCATTCATTAGACATCTTCTGTATTGTCGGACCGCCGGGGCTCGCCTCTCTTCATCATCGACGCGTGCAATGGCGATGGCGTCCAGCCTGGAAGACGCGAAGCCACACGCGTCGACCGAGGTACCGAGGTTTCGACGCTCCCCTCTGATGGAGGCCATCCAATGTCGACTTCACGTCAACATCAAGACAAGACCGTCTCCCATCTCATCAATCCACACGGGTAATCATTCCTAACCATGGGCCTGCTCACTTCTCAGCCAGGCAAGGCGATATGGACGCTCTTCGCCGTCGCTTTCGCGGCCGCCAGGATGCCTATATGGATCGTCTTGTACCTATCCCCTTCGCTTCGTCCACACCCACACTGGAGCTTTGGACAAGCCATCAAAGTTCAGATCGTCTCCATCTTTCTGTACCACGCTTCTGTGGTCGAGATGAAGACCCCGCTCTCCCTTGCACCGGGGGTTGAGAAGGAGGTGAGCAGACATGGACATCAACCCCACCAGAACATTGACTAACTAGCCTATCAGCGATGGGTTGTGGCAAAGCCTGCAAGCCGCACGTTGTACACGGGTGTGACGAACTCGGATCCGGACGTGCAGCCTACAGAGACAGGCGGAACTTGGTATCCCTCGAAGCCTTCTGGAAGTGCTCGTCCAAGCTACGTTGTTTTGCACCTACACGGAGGTGCATTTGYGATTGGAGACGGACGTACWCAGGATGCCGGCTTTGCTGCAAAGACTCTGATTGCAAATACTCAAGCCAGCCATGTTTTTGCTCCACAGTACCGGCTGTCGTCGAACACTGGATGCCGCTTCCCTGCTCAGCTCCAAGACGCAATCACAGCATACGCTTATCTTGTCAATGTTGAGAACATCGCTCCCCAGAATATCATCTTTTCTGGAGACAGCGCAGGCGCCAACTTGGCACTCTCGCTTGTTCGTTATCTGGGTGAACACGGCACTTCCATTGGTCTTCGCGGTCCGCTTGGAGCCTTGTTATGGTCTCCCTGGGTCAACCCAGCACTCTCTCTGACTACCGCAGGATTCGATTCAAGCCCTCACATCAAGACCGACTATGTCAATGGCCAGTTCGGCATGTGGGGCGCTAAAACCCTCCAACCGAGCACGAAGAGCGGCCTGACGCTCGACAGCGGATATATCAGCTTTAGGGACAACGCTTTCGCCACGGAAACTCCGATTTACATCTCAGCGGGYGAATGTGAAGTTTTGTACCACGATTGTGTCAATCTTTACGAGCAGATGAAGGCTGTGAAGGGCAACCAAGTCCAGCTGCAGATTGAGGAGCATTGCGTGCATGACACGATCCTCACTGGCAAGATTGTTGGCTTTGAGAAAGAGGCCAACCAATCGGCGAAGCGAGCAGGCAAGTGGCTACAGACCTTGACTTCTGCCACATCTTAGACGGGCTGTCTGTTACTACCGAAGCTGGACTGCGTCAAAGTCAAGATTTGGACGGAATAAAGACAGCTCTAGCCTACTTGCCCACATTCTTGGAAGGCCTTCTTACACAGCATCCCTTGGCGAGCGGGCTGGACATTGAACGGGCCAATCCTGGAGATGCCAGAAAGGGTTGAAGGCGTGCGGTTTTCAGCAAAGCGCTGACTGTGCCGTCTGGATTTTTGGTACCCTGCCCAATAGCTGAACAGATACAGTATTTGAAGAAATTTCAATGTCATCGCAACGAGAGAGCCGGCAAAGCTTGGATTATGAATTTGTATGAAGACGCCATCACTGCATTTGACCCCAAACACGAGATTTCGAGAAGGTGCCTTCCTTTACCTTACGATCAGCCCTGCTTTTGGCCACAATTTAGATAATCTTTCCTGGCCATGTGTTATACTACTTACATGTGGGAACGCAGCATCGGGTCTACCGGGCGATCTCGAACTACAGCCGTGGAACCACTTCTATGCTGCTTACTACATGCGATCTTGCACGCCGGCTTGTAGTGGATCTGACTGGCGCTTGGCGGTTCTATTTCAAGGGTGATGGCTGAGCCAACACGATGTCTGCGGCCATGACGATCCCTCTCCCTGCTGCTGCAGGCGATCTTACTTATGTCACACGCTTGTTGTTCAGACAAAGAGACCGTCAAACGAACGGGCGGCTTCCAAATCTGCGCTGCTCACTCAGCCTTGGTACATTGCTGACAATGGTAGCCATTCTTTGAATGCCCCGGGCATGAACTCATATCACGAGACGTGGTTGAGCAGCACATATAACATGAGCATGCGACTCCTCCCTGGAAATCAGACACAGCATCGCAAGAGTACAGCATCACCATTTATTTCCTTTCTAGTTTCCTTGGTCCTCTCATTTTCATTGTGTCAGATATTTACTACTGATCTAAGCCGCCTTTCCCCTTTTCGCCCTCATCTTCCCTCCAAGACTCTTGTACTCGAAACCTCAGGCGATATGGTATCTACCCGCCATCTTTTGGCCCTGTTCCTCGCCACGGTTGCCGCGTACGCAGCACCCACGCGAAGCCAGCAAGGAAGCTGCCTATCAGCAGAGGCCGCCGGAGCAGTTGCAACAAAGTACGGCGAGTTGATCTCTGCCTACAGCGATGCAGCCGCCGATGCAATTCTGTCGCCGAGCTTTACGGATTACTCGGGAGGCGTCAATGCTCTAATCAACACTTGCCCAGTATGTTTGAATGTCTTACCAATCATTTATCCTACTAAGGCATCCACAGCAAGGCGAAGCCGCAAAGACATTACCTCTTCTCTCGCCAACATTCACCAGTCGAGACCTTTTCAAGATCGGCCAAGGCCAGCAACCACCCATCAACTTTGAGCAGCTCGGCATCTGGTATAACTGCAATTCTGTTACTATTCGATGGAGTTCGACCAACACCGCCCCGGGGAACGATGTCAAGCCTATTGTGGGGCTCATCGTGATGGAGACCATCGAGGCGCCTGCTGGCAGCGCCAACCCCTATCTCATCGACACTGTCTTCAGCGAGTTCGACTCCGGCAGTTGGCTCCAAAATTTGGCGGCTGCAGGAATCTGTGGGTCGATGAGTCCTGTTGTTGGTGCTCCTACGTCGGCTTCTGGGCCAGCTGAAGCACCCATTGCATCCGCATCCGCTGTCTCAGCTGCCCGACCATTCTCTGAGATTCAGCCACAGGGGCAAAAGGTCTCTGAGACAATGACAGCTTCTCGTTTCAGAGCATAAGTTTGTTTGATGGGAGTGTATGGATTGGGTCGTGTTCTTCAAGCGTAGGCGTTTGTGAATATAATCGATAGTTGCGCTTGGATATATTTTGCGCTGGTCTGTATCAGCGGCACGCTTAAATTTAATCATACAGCATGTACTTTGCGAAGACCTCTCGCAATATGTATGCTGCCCCTCATCCTTACGCTTTCGGGAAACAAAAGCGGGCCCGCGTGTAGATAGGGCGTGCGGCTTTCTGGCGCTCTCGATCATTTTTCCATTTGTTCARCACTCAGAACTTGTCTTCAACGTTCATTTCCATGATGGCACCCTCGCACCATGTCGTTGTCATTGGGTCTGGCGTCATCGGCCTCACAAATGCTGTATTCTTGGCCGAAGCTGGATATTCAGTCACTATCATCGCAGCACACGTCCCTGGAGATCAGAGTATTGAATACGCATCACCATGGCAAGTCTCCCCAATCCAGTGATAAGGATGTGACGCTGACATGTACGCAAAGGGCTGGCGCTCACTGGCGAACACACGCCACGGTTGACGAACCAGTGCAATGTGACTGGGACGTTCAGACGTTCAAGGCTTGGGAGGAATTGTTAGCACGTGAAGCGCAGTCGAACGGGATTGATAAGTCTGAATCCGGTTCTGGGTTAAAAGTGTGTGGTTTAGTATCACTCGCTTGCTTGCTTCCACCTGATAATGTGTGTAGATGGTCGAATCGATCCATTATTGGGACAACGAGGTCACGGAAGACCTCTGGTGGGCTTCACATGTGAAGGACTATCGCGAACTGTCCACTTCCCAAGACCCGGTTCTTTCCCTCAACAAAAATCATCCAGCGCATGCACCGAAGATCCTGCACGCCGCAACGAGTCGGGCTTTCTCAATCAATGTGCCACAGTATCTGCTCTATCTCCAAGAGCGAGCTCGTGCGGCTGGTGTTGTCATCTTTCAAAGTAAGTTGCCCAGCGATGGCGGTATGGAAAAGGCATTAGCTACAGCCGAGGGCATTAGCAAAGTCCTGGGTAGGGGCAAAGTCGATTGTTTCGTGAATGCTACTGGACTAGGAGCGTTGAGGCTTTGTAATGATAATAATCTCTATCCTGTTCGTGGTCAGACTGTTCTTGTCAAAGGAGAGGCCAAGGCGACTCGGACGAGGTATCATGGTGGGAAGATTGGTGAAGGATCGACGTCGTATTGTATTGTACGTCCCGGCAGTGGGACAACGATACTTGGAGGTACGAAGGAGAAAGGAAATTGGAGTCCAAGCCCCGACCCAAAGTCTACGGAGACGATCCTGCAAAGGTGTAGTTGGATGGTTCCAGAGTTGCTGACAGCGGAAGATGGCGGATTTGAGGTTCTGAGTGTACAGTGCGGACTGAGACCGGGTAGGACGGGAGGTCCCAGAGTGGAGAGAGAGCTCATCGGTGGAAGGAATGTAGTTCATGCTTATGGACACGCAGGCGGAGGGTATCAAAACTCGATTGGCAGCGCAAAGGATGTCTTGAAACTGGTCAATGAGAGTGTTGATGGGGATCGAGGAGCAGAGGACGAAATTAAAGCAAGGCTTTGATGGGTAGCATCTGCATCTTGGTGATCAGCGGTCGGACGAAGTATGCCTGGACATAGGCCTATTTAGATATCCAGTTCACTTCGAGCAGTCGCTTCTCCGGGGTTTCGCAAGCAATACCGCCCTCAAAAACTTCAACCACGCRCGAGGGTGATCTCGCCGACGATACTGAACCGGGTGATCTGAGCCGCACTGAGCGTGTGTTAGTCGATGTATGCCAGGATGCTTCGTCGTACGGTAAAGCTCCTTGTCTGATGCATGCGAGCCGTCTTGGCGAGAAAGAGAAGTTCGTCATTACGTCACCAATAGCGACCGCGGTTATGCTCTCCGAGTGCGGGATGCGGGCATGCGGGCATAGGTGCAAGATGATTGTTGCGTGATGTGTACAGACGACCACACTCCTAATTTACTTGTATTCTGTCCGTGAGTGTCAAAAGTTGTCATCCTCGACGAAATGTCCGCACCAGCAAGAAGATTGGGTACTCACATCGTCTCACACACCAATCTCCCGAAGCGCCGCTGATGTGATGACAGTAAGGCCTACGCTTTWGTACGACCAGTCCAGCCGCAATGAAGCGTGCTCACTCACGTTGACGCGTCCCTAGCATCTGCGATTTGCAGGAGAAATTCCGCGGTGCCATATACGAATTCCCCAAGGTTGTAGCGACCACGCAGAAGTTGCTTAAAGCGAGTCAAGTCCTTGACATTCCTGTTTTCGCAACGACCCAATTGAGAGGCAAACTGGGCGAGACATGCCCTGAATTGGGTCTCGACAGTGCCGACGGAGTCAAGACCAAGGCTCATGCTGATAAGAGTGCTTTCAGCATGTATGCTGCGTCTCCTCTCACGGGCTGGCTTTGCGCTGATTTGCTACAGGTGGATTCCTGAAGTTCAGAAGGCTTTCAAAGAACTCGGCCCTGAGAAAAGGGAAGTGGTTATTGTCGGGATTGAGACCCATATCTGCGTGACGCAAACGACTTTGGATCTCCTTCGCGAAGGTCACAAAGTCTATGTCCTTGCAGATGGTGTTTCGGTGAGTATTCCACCATCCAGCCTTGTAGTATTCAAGCTGATGTGCAGCAGAGCTGCAACCCAGAAGAAATCGGTATCGCCTTGAACCGGCTGCGGGCTGAGGGCGCCATTATCACCAGCTCTGAGAGCTTCTTGTATGAGTGCATGGGCGACGCGGGAATCTCTGAATTCAAGGGGATTGCTGGCGTCGTCAAAGAACACTCGTCCAAGACAAAGGAGAATCTGAAGGCGCTGTGCAAGTTCTGAGTCCAGGGTGATGGGTAGAAAGTAGACGAGAAATCTCTCTGCCGAAGCGCGTCGACGCGTATTACCACGCACGTTAGATYCCACATTTGCCTCATGCCACTGTATCTGATGCCTGCGTGCCGTCCGATAAGGACTCTCCAAAAACGTGACGTGTGTTCCCGGCGTCCGCCACCACGCCATGGGACTCAGGTGGGTGTGAGGAGCGGAGATTGCTGCTGCGGTAGTGGACGCAGCTGCGCGAGTACCTTGATGATGTCCACTGCAGCCCACGAACGAAGAGCAAGCAACCCRTTGATCCTTCTGTACCTTCGCTCCATCAATCGCCGTTAATCATTGTCATCATCATCATCATCGCCGGGGTGTCGGTGTCGCTGTTTCGGCACGATCCCCAAGAAGTTTCAAGGCTAAGCCCGCTTTTGTCGACCTGGAATTAGAATCCGTGTTCGAAGAGCGAGACTGAACATCCATCCTTCGTTGACATTCTCCCCACCACTCCGAGCAATTCATTCTCGACATTCTCCGCGACTGAGCGATTCGTTGTCTGGACGGCGGCTCGTGCTTGCTTCATTTGGTCTTTGCGCGCTCTCCACTCGCACTCACTCCCCTACCACCACAGAATTCACACCAACGACCAGTTCAGGCCGACAGGGGCGACCAACACGCGCAAACACTGTACACTTCTCTATCCGTGCCAGACGGGCCGCCAGTCCCACGTCTGCTCGTGTACCCTCGACCTTCGTACACGTTATCTATAGTCTGCCGAGCCGGACAAAGACCACACCCGCTTTGCTTTGCTCTGCACCTCCATTTGCCTCCCTTTGGACGCCGAGCATCCGTTTCTCACGCTCGCTACAGGACCAGAAGGACAAGTCCGATGGGAAGCGCACCGTGACACACACCACACCATGGCAGGCCTGCAGAGGCAGCTTCCGCGCTCGGTCGCGGAAACAAGAAATTACAGCTCGGTCCCCTCCACGCCAGTCGCCGGGCCCTCACGTTTCCACTCTCGCTCGCCGTCGCCGAGTAGAGCCATGCAAAATCACTCGCCACGTAGTGTCGTCAGCGAGGCTGTAACCACAGGAAACACGATCGCAGCTCCACCGCGCTTTTGCAAATACGAGACTGGTGATGAGATCAGGCGGAGGCGCATACCCTATCTGCAGGAGTATGCCGAGGCACTGGGCCCGCCGAGGAGAGAACCCAAGGCGACGTTGGATCCTCAAGAGCAAGACAAGTTGAGTGGCGACATGCGTGAGCTGTACGATCGGTTACTGCCGTCAGAGGAGAGCGAGGAGAGGAGAGCGAAGCTTTTRGTCAAGCTGGAGAGGATACTCAATGACGAATGGCCCGGACATGATATTCGCGTCAACGTGTTTGGCTCCTCGGGGAATCTGTTAAGCTCGACAGATTCGGATGTGGATGTGTGCATCACAACGTCGATGAAGAACTTGGGATCGATGCACAGCCTGGCGCAGTTGCTCGCGAGACGTATGTTGAACGCAGCAGGCTTATGCGTGGAACAAGAGGACAACGATGGCTGACTGTGTTACAGATGGCATGGAGAAGATTGTGTGTCGAGCAGCAGCAAAGGTGCCCATCGTGAAGTACTGGGATCCCGATTTGAAACTGCACGCCGACTTGAACGTCAACAACACGCTTGCATTGCAGAACACGCGGATGATCAAGGCCTACGTACAACTAGATGATCGTGTGCGACCTCTAGCCAAAATCATCAAGTACTGGACAAAGCGGCGCATACTGAATGACGCTGGTAAGTATCATCGATCGACTCCTTGCGTTCGCTCGACTAACCTTCAAAAAAACAGCCTTTGGTGGTACCATCAGCTCTTACACTTGGATCTGCATGATCATAAGCTTTCTCCAAAGACGAAATCCGCCGATATTGCCTTCTTTGCAGAAGATTCAGGACCATCGGTTGCAGGCAGACTCGCCATTCGCAGATGATATTGAGGCGTTGAAAAGCAGCGACACGCTCAAGGGGTATGGCAGTTCGAACAAGGAGTCGCTGGGCGAGCTGCTTTTCCAATTCTTCCGGCATTATGGATATGAGTTCGTGTATCCGGAGTATGTTGTGTCGGTGCGAGAGGGACGAACTGTGCGGCGTGAGGAGAAGGGCTGGGAGCCATCAAATCATTCCAAGGCCGAGTCTAGGAACGCGCTGTGCGTTGAAGAGCCATTCACGCAGGGAAGAAACCTGGGCAACTCTGCAGACGACTATGCGTGGCATGGTATTCACAGCGAGATCCGCCGCGCATGCGATCTGCTTGGTGATGAGCTCATGTTGAGCAAGTGCTGCGAGCAGTACGAATTTCCGCCCGAGGAAAAGGTTACATTCCAGAAACCGGCGCGAGGCCCAAAACCCACCTTGACGCGGAGTGCATCGCAATCGGGACGAGCGCATCACGAACCAGGACCAGCCCGACAGTCTCGGAAAAAGGGACAACATCAGCAAAAGGATCGGGTGCCTGGAAACCGGAGAGCTTCGAGTGGTGGCTCTTATGCTAACCGAATACCGCCGTTCAGTCCACCAGTCGGGGCAAATCCTTCGGACTACTTCCACGTCAAAGGGAACTTGCACGAGGCTCTGTATCAGCAGTATCAGTACTTGCAGCTCCAACAGGATGCACTCAGGAATCAACTCGTTCATCAGCAAGCTGCCCAGGCTCAAGTAAGATCCGGCGAATCKCCTCGGACTAGGTCATATGCCAATGGGCTCGCGAGCTCTCGCTTTGGGGACGCTGGTCCACAGACAGCGCCGCTCTTGCCTGGCTACTTGTACCACTATCCGGCAAGGTATGCTCCGCAGCCTGCTAATGCCTCGCAGTCGCGAGCTCGAGAAGGTACTAATACCAATCCGTCGTCTCCATCTCTGGTTGCAGCAGTTCCTGCGCTGCGCAGACAGGTGCACCGGTCCTCGGTGACGGATGGTCCGGCTAGTGCTGGTAGGTCGCAGTCACAGCCAGGCCGCTCGTTACCGCACCCGCTCACAATGCAACAAGTGGCTCATCCAGGGTGGGATGTCTCTGGGGCTTTGGGAGGTCAGCTGCAAGCGCCACGGACTTCGTCACAGGCGTACCAAAATGGGCATCCCATGCTAAATTTGCCGCTGCCACCACTTCCGGGCGGACGCCCGGGTAATCAGCCTCTGGAGAATGCAATGCCTAAGGAGTACGTTGGATACTACGTCGGTCAATCGCCGCAGCTTCCGCCACAGTATGGCAACCTCGCTCAGATTCCGCCGCCGCCGATGGCATTGAACAACCCGCCATTTCGGCAACGTCGTGTAACTCCGGATCTGGTGCCACCAGCCATGAATGGCAGGCACACCTCTCGATCGCCCTCTCCTTTGGGCGACTTGCACAAGTTCCCTTCCATGAGTGAAATATCCGTTACCTCACCGCAGCTGCAGCAGCTGCAAAGTCCGATTGCGTACGAGCAACGCCAACCGGCTCCATTCTCGCCGTCGCCAGATATGGACCTTGGTGGACCTTTGATCGTCAACGGGTCAAATAGACATGTTGCACCACAGCAGCCAGCAGAGCGAGTGAACGGGGTGATGCCAGGAGTTGGCCTTCGACTCTCCAACGAAGCTCCGATTCCAGTGAACGACGTTCCGTTGCCGGTGCAGCCGGAAGAGTTCCCACGAATGCGCGCATGGGCGCCGCATCAGAGCCACGAAAGTGCTACTTCAAATGGTAGTGGTGAAGTGGGCGACAGGCGCGCGGCCTCCCCACGCATTTCGCCGACTTCAAAGCCAAAGCCAGATCTCGGCATCACTTTATCCCCGAATGGCACAGCACCTCACTCGAATGGAGTCAATGGACATTTCCATGAAAGCACGCAGCTCCCGGCACCGCTACTCTCGCCTGTAGCCGAGCTCAGGACGCCCTCCCCAACACAATCTCGCAGCTTCGATATCCAAGCAGCCAGGGAAACTACCAACAATCTTACGAAAGCTGTCAAGATCAACAACGCCAGGCAGGTCACAAAGGAGAATCACGCGCCACCAACGGAGTCTCGACATGAACGTAAAGTCAGCGCAACAAACAAGGCGGCGCCCAGCAGAGGAAACGCGGTACCGAATGGCACACCCGTAACGACGCAGCAAAATCAGTGGCAGCAGGCGCCATCAAAGAAAGGGCACAAGAAGAGTAAGTCTCACGGTGGTCACAACTCTCCGAATAGGTCGGGCGGTCAGCCGCTCCCGGTGAATGAATCTGAGCGCAAGGGTGGCTAGATCAGTGGTCCGATCGCGTTTTTCTTCAACGCCGTTTTGGAGACGATATGCAGGATCTCGAGATACTCGATGCCCGAAATAATGTGCCAATGCGTCGCGCATGCCGCGACGTGCAGGGTCTGTGCGTGTTCGTTGCGAGGGGACTGTCAAATCTGGGCCACTACCGAAGATTGAGAACTGCAGGCGCCGGTCCGTAGCCACACAACCTGGCGGCTTCGCTCACATTGGACATTCGGGTCGCATCAAGAACAAGCGTTCGGGGCGGCAGATGGATGACATGCTTGGGTCAATCTACGAGGCCGATGAGTGTGGATTGTACATTTTGAGAGATTCGGACAGCAAGCGGCATATCTGGTTTGGCGCTCATGATGTTGGGAATGATGGACGGGATTGTAGAAGTATCGAGGGGACACGAAATGAACCATTTTTTGAGGGACGTACAGCTCCAGTTCGGCACGACTTGATGGACGATGTGCTCCAGCATGAGCGAGAGGTGATTGTGACGTCTTCTGATACGACATGGGAACGGTGACGATTCAAACATGGTTTGGTGACGCTAGGGTTGGGGTTGGGGTAGCAAGATAACGTGCGCGAGTGCCAGTTGCCATGTTCTCATCGTTTAGATATCGGTGGGGGTGTCTATTGGGAATGCGGGTTTGTCTGGGAGGTGCCTGAATGACCGAAAGGCCAGGTCTGGACCATTTCGCGGCGAGTTTRGCAGATGCAAAGCTCCAATATCCCCTCCCGTAACCGAGTGTCGTACTAAGGGAGAGTGATGAGCCGCGTGGTACTCAGGCCGACCACACTACAGGAGAAGCAACATATCAAGTGACAGCTCTTCGGCCGGGCGGCATCTGTACCATTCGAAGTGTCTTCTGATCAGACAATCAGGCGATTCACGTACATACCTACATGTAGGTAATGAGCTGCGATATGCTAAGTGGAGTCGACTTGGTTTTGAGCAGGTACTGGGATGTCCTACGCCTAGTACATGTGAATAGCTCTGTTGGCAGCAACTCAGAACCTCATGAACTAGCACGCCGTAATCTACTACATGTAATTACGGTAGATGCCCTGAGGGCATGTCCTGTGCAGCAGGTCTGGATTCGTACGATCACATGCGATTTATCGCCGCGGGACTGACGGGCTCGGATCCGGAGTCCGGACCGCAAGCGGGACGATCGTCCCTAGCTTACCTTATCGGCACGACGTGTTTCGATGGAAGCGGTCGTGTCACGCGGTGGGAGTTCCCATGATCGTCACACGTCAGGCGAGAGGTCTTAATGGAAATCCTGACATATACATGTCAAGCCCTCCCTTCTGCAGCTTGACGCTCATGCTTCCTCGCAATCCCTAGAGCTCCCGCCAACGCCCCATTATATCCAACACCGAACGTTCCACCATGGACCGCCTCAGGAAGCTCTTCACAAGCGAGGAGCAGCAGTACGAGGCTCTGGAGAACAGCGAGACGGAAAGAGATGGACCCACAACACGGAAGCAGTCTGGTACGCGATACGTCGAATATGGCATCTTTCTGTTGCTCGGCATATCGATGCTCTGGGCTTGGAACATGTTCCTGGCAGCAGGACCATATTTCCAACACCGCTTTCGTGGCAACCAGTGGATCTTCGACCATTTCCAAGCCGCAGAGATTACAGTCTCGACAGTGACCAGCTTGAGCACCATGCTTGTCCTCACGAGACTTCAGGCCAACGCTTCGTACCCCAAGCGCATAGTCGTTTCTCTGGTCATGAACATGGCGTTGTTCGCACTCCTTGCTGCTTCAACAGCCATCGATACCTCCGCGGAGGTTTACTTTGGCTTCTTGATGATAACAATATTCAGCACTAGCGTAGCCACRGGACTGTGCCAGAACGGCGTATTCGCGTACGTATCGGGATTCGGAGAACCAAAGTTCACGCAAGGCATCATGACCGGACAAGCTGTTGCTGGAGTTCTACCTTGTATTGCTCAAATTCTGTCGGTGCTGTCAATTCGAAGCGGCGGCGACAACTCCTCGACAGATGGACCGGCGCCACCAGGGCCACCTCTCGTCCAGTGGACTGCGGCCTTGTCGTATTTCTTGACTGCCACCATCATCTCCACGATCACACTACTTGCATTCGGGTACCTTCTGGCTCGCAATCAGAAGTCCGTGAGATTGGAAGACAGTATCCCTAGCCTTGCAGGTGAGAGGCAAGACCGCAAGTCCATACCCTTGCTTCACCTTCTCAGGAAGCTCATATGGCTTTCTGGTGGAGTCTTTGTAACCTTTGCCGTCACAATGGTCTTTCCAGTCTTCACCCAACGTATCTTATCCGTTAGGCCACCAGCTGAGCAGCCGCCAATCTTGCAACCTCCGAGCTTCATCCCACTAGCGCTACTCTTCTGGAATATTGGCGACTTGACAGGACGTTTGATCACAGCAATACCATCCTTATCGTTAGTTCTTCGTCCGCGGGTGGTGTTCACGCTTGCGGTGGCGCGAATTGTATTTGTGGGACTGTACCACCTTTGCAACCTCCGTGGCGAAGGCGCGATAGTCAACAGCGACTTCTTCTATCTAGTCATCGTACAACTCCTTTTCGGACTATCCAATGGGTACATTGGAAGTACATGCATGATTGGTGCGGGAGTCTGGGTTGACGAAGAGGAGCGTGAGGCTGCTGGCGGCTTCATGGGACTTTGCTTGGTTAGCGGTCTCACTTTCGGTAGTGTCTTAAGCTTCTTTATCACTTGAAGCTCAATTTCAGACCTGCTTCTTTGTCACAAATCTCGCACACGGTACTATTTCCTTTCTTTCGCAAGACGTAGACGTCGGAGCGATTGCTATATTAGCATTATTGATACACGAGACTTGACGAACCTGATCTTCCACGTCACCTCTCCTCATGCGCACGCTTGGAACCGGCAACAGACTCTACTGGGAAGGCCTACACCTTCCAACATACAATAGTTTGTACAACGAATATTCACACATCGTGGTTCATGAACAACGTCCCGAAACTCCTTCGCTAATCTACACCGCCGGCCCGCMAAAGCCAAGAGCACCACTAGTCCCCCTTCTTGCGGCCGCGTCCAGAGTCGAGGAATGCATCGGGTATATCATTCCAATTAGACGTGGCGGCCGTCTTTCTAGACATACGCTCCTCGTCGCTGGAAGTCTCATAGCCCTCCCCATCGACATCTCCAGCAGGTCCCTTCCTTCGATCCAAGGGCTGCATCTGCATACTTGACTCGTTGTTCACTGGCTGTTTTACCGAATGATCTACAAATCCTGCGCCAGGCGTCCATCTCAGATCCCTAGGCGGAGGCGGCGCTGGTCGACGGTTTTCCTGCTGACTCCAGGATGCTTCTTCTCTTGCACGCTGCTCACGTTCTCTCTCTAGACGAGCGCGTGCCTCTGTCCATTTGGGACTAACATCCCAAGCCCAGCCATCCCCGCTCGTATTGCAGACCGGGAGAAACCATAAAAGAGGCTTGCTACCCAGAACGTGTAGAACATTACGTTTCCAGCCATTATCAAAAGCGTTGGGCAACGTCTCTGAATCTTTCTCATCAAGGTAGGTGTTGTATCTTTCCCGTTCCCTCTGAGCCTCGAGCTCGGCATAGGAGCGGTGGAGGCTTTCACGTGCAGGAGAGGGATCTCCATTCGCAAGTGGCGTAGTCGCACGAGAAGATCGGAGGGACACATCGCCTTCCTCGGGACGGAGGACCCCAGGGAGGGCGTTGGCATGGATTTCCATGAGTCTTTCACCAAAAGGCTGGTCTTCCGGGCTGAGATTGCTGTCTACGGTACCATCTTGGCCAATGTAGTTGCGACGATGCTGAAGTTGGCGCTCCATGCTCTTACGCATAGGAGTTAGATATCGAGTTTTTTCCAGGCTCTCGATCGTTGTCTGCCCGCTGAGCATGAGATAGATGTGCCATCCGGTAAAGCCTGACAGGACCAGTCCAATAATGCCCGATAGTACAGACAACAAGATAGTATTGACTRCCAGCATACTCTGATCCATCTGCTCAGCATCCGTAATAGCCGTCCACACCCACAGAGATGAGATGGTGAAAGACCACCAGCAGAACAGACTCGTGTACGTCAAGAAGAGCATGAATGGCTTGTAGTTGCGCAGTCCAACGCATGTCGCCAGCCAAGGGCAATGATGATCCATCTTCAGCACACATCTCCCGCAAGATGAACAATGGTGCGAGCGGTCGGGCTTCACACAACGACATTTCTTGCAGAAACGCGGCYTCCCTGTGCTCTTGGCCGTCACCGTCGTCATGGTCATCCACGCCGGCCGTCCGCCGTCGTCCTGCCCATCGATATCGCTGTGATCTTCGAAAGTTGGCAGACCCTCATATCCTCCACCGTTCCTCCGTCGCGCCGCATCAACTTTGGGGTCCACGGGTGAGCCTGGAGATGTAAAGACGGCAGTTGTGTATGAAATGATGGCCAGCGAGTACAGTGCAATAATGAGCGCCGCGCGGAGGTAGGAGTCGGGGCCTCTCTCCCCTAGAAGTGCAACCCTCGTGGCGACCCAGACAGCCCAAGTCGTCAATCCGTATACGAAGGTGAGTGGAATGTACGCAAATGTCGAGCAGCAACACCGCTCAATCTTGCGTGCCCAGCTCTTCCGGCGGCGGTGGAAGGGCGGTGAGGTCGATGCCATCGTTACACTCTCCAGAAGTGCAGCATCTCCGGCGTTCTACCCAGCTACAACAAATAATACAAGCTGCGAGGTGTTGAGTTAAGCACCGGCGATCCATGAAACACGTCGTCGCCGCGCGCTCGGGCTGCTTTGCGCTAATGCCGCCGATGTGCTTCCGACGTGCCCCCTTGCCGACTTCACCTTTACAGTACTCTGGACACCACAACAACACAACGTCATCAATATATTGTAACATCTCGAAATCATGTCAGACCAGACGCTCTCCGCCCAAGTTAACAAGCTGAATATTAAAGACGATGCCGTATGTTGGCTCGTCCATGCAAATGCATCTATCTGCTAACAACCAGGTTCCAGTCCTCATCATCCGAGTCCAAGCCATCCGAGATTGTGGCTGTCGTGGACGATCTGCTCAATCAGCTCAACACCAAATTCAGCACTGTTTCCAGTGAAATACTGACCAAAAGTGTGTATTGCTCTGACCATCCCCTGCCGTCTTACTCACAATCTCGATAGTKGATGCCATGTCACAGCGTCTCGACACCCTGGAAGCCAACATTGCAGCTGGAAACGCAGCAGCAGCGGCAAATGAGTCGGATGAGAAGTGAAATTTACATGGAGAAGATGGATGAATGCCCCGCCGATGCGCTGCCAGACCCTGGCACTGACTCCATTCACTGCAGGACCACGGGCGCCATGATGTCGTTGTCATCTAGTGGCCAAGTAACACTGCGGATCTAGTACAGAGCTCGTCGTGCTGTGAACGCACACCACAAGCTCGCATGATACTTGAGACGACTCTACATGCAAGTCCTTCACAAGCAGAGCGCTCATCCCTCATGATTACCAGGCCGTCCAAGACGTCGGCAAACTTACTACAACGATACAACATCATGCCCACCATCGGGCCATTTATTCTGCTTGCAAGCTATGGTTCCAGGAACCGGACGGAAAGTTGAACCCTGGCAAAACTTGTACACCGCTACGCCATGCAGTGGAAATTGAGGGTAGGGAAGCTCAACATGATGCTGCAGACCTGACACTAATGTCGGGCTGAGTAATTGCTCGATTACCGTAGAATCGACAAGGCAGTTTCGTGTTGATCGTAATGTTCCCGTTCTGTACAAATTTAATGTGCGAGTCGTCGCTTTCCATACGCCAGACATGTGTGGTATCAAGATAACAGAGTCTCAACCCCTGCAACACCAATGCGTCCAAGCCCATATGCCCATTTATCAGTATTTCTGCGTGACGCCATCTCCAAAWCGACTCACAGCTACAGTGCTATCCGGAAATCCATCCATCCGCGCCTGCCCTCGGACCTTCTCCATCAAATGTCCAATCGGCAGAGAAGGCTGCGCTAATCTCTTGACCATCTGCACCCGCTCGTCATCATCGTATGCATGCAAAGCGTAGTGCTCTCGTATAAGCTTCTGACTTGCTGGCAGGTGAGAGAGATAGACTTTATGTGTACAACCGGCGAGAGCACATATCCAGGTATTTTCTTGTACAGAATCTGGGTTATCCGGTACGTGGTTTTGCGATTCGGTTGGCGAAGTAGGAATATCAATTCCTTCATCCTCGGCATTTTCCTCGCCATCTTCATCTTCAACTTCCGGCGAGTCGCTAGAGCGTCTTTTATGTGGGCGACGTGAATCTTCTTGAATGTGTTTTCTCTTGTCTCCTGCTTGTGTGGGTGAAGACGCAGGACTTTGCACGTCTTCTGCCTCGCGGGGTCGGCCTTTCCCGCCTTTGTTGCCTTTGCTGGCACGAGGTCTGAGTGATGATTTATTTCTCATTTGTGCTTCATCGTCACTGTCGTCGTCGTCTTTGGCGGGCGTGGCAATTGCTAGTGAAGGTGTTGTTTCAATGTCGTTATTCCGTGTTCTTCTGAATTTTTGTTTCGGGTTTGCTTGAGGAGACTCTTTGGGCTCGTCGGATGCGGCTTGCACGAGAGTGTCTGTGACTTCCTCACTGCTTTCGCTGTCGGAGAGGGTAATTACGTCAACAGCACCGGCGTTCTTCCTTGGCCTACCCTGCTTCTTGGAGCTGATCGCGGCGGATGAACTGGCTGCGGAGCCCTTAGCCTCCTTTCTCGGCCTTGCTGGCTTTGGCTGTGAGCTTTTCGTTGTGGATGAGGTGTCTGTCGCTGCCGGTTTCTTGGCTTTTGACTTCGGAGGCTTCGCTCTTAGCCTCCTTTCCAGCTCCTTGAAGACTTCTGGAAACTTGCCCTGCATGTCGGCCCACAGCGGATATGTTGACCATTGTAATCCCTCTTTCCCGGCCAACATGGATCCAATCAAAAACTCTTTGTGCTCCGCAAACTTGTCGAAGGCGTCGTCTGCGTCATTTGTCCCTAGGAACTCCAATGCGTACTTCTGAGCCAACTCCAACGCAGAATACGGTGGTAGCATGAGTGCTTTCTTCCCTCTCCCAACGCCCTTTTCCTTCCGCGTCTCCTTGTAGCTATCAGCTACGAAGTACAAGAGCTTCACTGCTTCCTGAATTTCCTGGTACACATGTCGATAGGCACGACCCGGCCTAATTTTGAACCATCCGGACTTGCCGCCTGCCCAGACTGCGACACTGCCATCGCCCAGCTCTCCATATGAAAAAGTACAGACATCGTTCAGTTCGAGGTTGATTCGTTTGTTTGAAAGTTTCACGCCAGGAACGAGAAGATCCGCATCAGATGGATCGAGCGGTTCTAGTTGGCCGGTAACAGTGAGTGGGTTGCCGATGCTGGCGTGGAGCAGGCTGACGGGTGTATTGGTCCATTCCGAGTCGGACGCGGACGCGGACGCGTGGACTTGGACAGAGGAAAGCTCGTATTCTGCCCACGAATTCTCGTCGTTCGAGCGCGGTATTAACAGGTCCTCTTCCAGGATTGCAGCCGGCATTTTCTTCTGATATGTCTCCGGGGGATGATGGAATGAGTCCTCGTTGAACTTTGCATGTCCAGATGGATGTCGGCGCGTCAAATTAGATGAGGCGCGATCTACCGATCGTCCCGAAGTTGATCGGTGTGGGGCGGCTAAACCACGGCAGGAGAGCTCATCCTACAACATTTTCCCCAAGCGACAGCACAGTCGTACAGTATCAACCTTTTTCGGCATGCCCGGCCTCCGAGCGAATACCATCTTCCGGTCCATTTTCAACACTCCAACATCTGCTATTCCAAGAATGTCATCTCAAATTTACGAAGGCGTATTTGCAATCAACAAACCTACAGGCATCAGTTCAGCACAAGTGATCCGTGACGTTCAGCAGCATTTCAGTCCTTCGGAGCTCTTCCGGCCATGGCTGGACCGTGAACATGCTCGCCGAGAATCTGAATCGCACAATCAAAAGGTCAAGCGAAAGTGGAGGGGAAAGAGAGGAAATGAGGTGAAAATGGGCCACGGTGGAACGTTAGATCCAATGGCAACAGGCGTATTGATTCTGGGCGTGGGGCAGGGGACCAAGGAGTTGGGGTATTTCACAACAGGTTGCACGAAAAGTTATGAAGCTGTGGTGCTGTTCGGGGCCGCAACTGATACTTATGATACGGAGGGAAAGATTCTTGAGAGGGCAGATACAGGCCATATCACGAGGCATATTGTCGAGGAGAAGCTAGCGAGATTCAAGGGGAGAGGTGTACAGCGACCTCCAGTGTTCTCGGCGTTGAAGGTTCAGGGCAAGAAGCTCTACGAGTACGCACGTGAAGGGAAAGAGGTGCCCGTGGAGATCAAGGAACGACCCGTTGATGCGAGTGAACTGGAGATCGTCGAGTGGTACGAGGGTGGCACACATAAATGGCATTGGCCGACGACAGAGGCGTCAGAGGAGGAGAAGGCCTTCGCAGAGAAACTGCTTAGCAAGACAGAGAAGCGCAAAGCAGTGTCGGAGGGTCGTAAACGTGAGCGACGAGAAGATGTCGAGCACGGCCACGAAACTGCACCATCATCGAAACGTGTAAAAGCGGAAGATGAGACGGCAATAAAGACCGAGTCAACAACAGTGGAACAGCCAGCAGCGCCGCAGCAACCGTGCCCTGCTCCAGCCTGTCGCATACGAATGACGGTCACCTCTGGCTTCTACGTGCGCTCACTATGCCATGATCTTGGCGCTGCGGTTGGCTCCGCCGCTTGCATGTCGAGCTTAGTGAGGACGAGCCAGGGAGGGTTTGAACTGGGATCGAACGTGCTCTGGTACGATGAGCTCAAGCAGGGCGAAGACGTCTGGGGCCCGAAGGTCAAGGCAATGCTAGTAGAAAACCAGAAACGGAGCGATGCCAGATCGAAGGAGCAGAGCAATGCCGGAGGAGCAAAGCATGAGGGCGGTCAGGCTGGAGTTAAGAAGGAGCCCAGTGACGAGGACGCCAAGCCTGCATCGACAAGTGGAATGGAGGCCAGCGATAATCAAGACAATGTCAAGATCAAGGCGGAGGTGGAGGCAGACGTGGAGACGAAGACGGAGAACAATGCCGAGAACGCTTCTGCTGCTGCTCCTGCCGCAGAAAGCAAATGGCGAGCAGGGTATTGATGGCCGGAGCAGTTCCGTAATTATCATGCTCTTGTACTTGGCGGTTTTCGATCCGGAGGCTGGTTCCTGCATTGGCCTTCAATCCCACCTTGGTCGTCGTCGTTATCGCCGTAAACGGTACTTTCTCAGCGCTTGTTTGGCAAGTCGACATTACATGACACTCTCAACATAGCCACCTACCTAGCTATAAGGGGCTGTGCTGACAAGATCACTCCACTTTCGTTCCGAGAAATCGATGTGGCTCGGTCAGGCGAGAAAGCCCCGCTGGCGAGGAAGCCGCGATTTCATGGATGGGAAGTGATGCGACTGTGTAGTGACTTCCGTAGACGTTTGGAAGATGAATGCTGCCATAGACTGGCACCTGCCCGATCTGACTGCGAGGAAAACCTCGGTCAATTTGGAAGTCCGGCACAACTGACATCTGGGAAGCTGATCACCAGGCCGATCAATGCTTGGAGCACCCCGGATATCTGGACTATCAAATCAGGAGAGGTGCTTCTTTCAATATTACCATCTCAGCCAGAGAGTGGTTTCAACAAATACTGCTTATAGATTAAGCCACGATGCGTGAAAGGGAGCATGGACATGTCAATAGGCCTAAGCACATTCGTCTCCAGCAGCAGTCGAAATTTTGAGAGAGACAGTTGTAGCTCATATCTTACGCATATCAAATCACACCTCATTCACTCGGTTGCACAACCACCGTGATCTGTTCGTCACATGTCCCCGTTGAAGATGTCTGGCCATAGCAATCGCACATACCTTAGGCGCGGTAAAATGAATACACCTTCCCAATGCAGTAATATTYGAAATTGTCAGATCATCAACTAGTGATACTAACATTGATTATAGCACAAAACTTCACTTTGCATGTGGTATTACTTACATGCGCGTGATGTCCCGTGAAAATGTGCGGTGAATGGCTGCTAGTCCGACAATGATGTGCATTTTCTTAGCGTCCGCGCCGCCGCATCACGAGCGTGTTTAGGCAGCGCGGCGACATCTATAAGAGCGTCAATGAGAGCATCCGAGACACCTACACCACTCACACATTGCCTTGCTCCCCTGCCACTCCCTCACTTCGCCCTGTACCAACACCTGTCCGCACTATCATCAACAGAGTTAGACTGACGCAAGACACAGTCCTCTTGGTACCGGCTGGTCAGCTTCATTGCTCGCTCTCAAGCCGTTCTCAACTCACCAGTCGTGAGAATCAACAAACCGCCGCCACTCTGCAGCCCAAGGTCCGACAAGAGAGTCAAAATGGCTTCCACCTTGGCGGCACTCACTTCGATCACTTCGTTCCTAGCTCATGCCTACTACCTCACCGGCCGAACCTACCACTCACTTCCCGATCGGATCCCAGGTCTCCGCAACGCCTTCACAGTCTCGCCTACCCGTGAGCTGCCGGACCTCATCACCATCTTCGGGATGGTGGAAGGGAGGCTTCTGTGTGCCCATGCGGCAATGCTGGGTGGAGACGAGTACCTGTTGATCAAGCAACTGTACGTTGCGAACGAGCTGATCTACGAGGCCTGGTGGAAGGTCTCCTGGCTGGACAGGGCCGTTGCGAACGGGCCCGGAGATGGGGAGGATGATGAGTTGTGTGAGGACGTCGACGACAGCGGGGAGGAGTTCGAGAAGTGGCGGGCTGCATTGCCAAATTGTTGTGGTACGCTGATGCTTGCTGAAGATGAGGCTTTGATGAATTGAGCTGATTTTGAGATAGGTGCTTGGGTCGCGCCGCAGACGCCGATACAGCAAGGCCGGCAGGGCTGTCCGATTGAGAACTGGCTGGACGATGTCACGGCTTGCTAGGTAGCTCTCCTTCGGAACAACATCAGCATGATGTTCCGGGGCTCATCACTGAAGATAGCTGGGCATGCTTCAAACTTCTACGGAAGCTGGAAGCCCCTTTGGCGTCGAGGGAATGAAAAGGCACAGGCTGCCCTTACCATGTTCCACACCCTGTATTCATTTTCAAGTTTTTGACGCCTGCGTCTCTCGTTTGGGTGTAAAGAGTGCAACCGAACGGCGTTGCAGATGGCACAGGCTGGGACGGCACATGGTGGAGTTTTGATGACATCAGCTAGAGGGATCAGGTCAAGGCCACACATAAAGCCATAGCAAGTGGTCAAAGGTGAGGTTGTCCGGGTAAGAAGGCTGTATATCCTCGGCCTGGTAATCTCAGATCCAATTGGTCTATTCCGTTTACTCTTGCTGGTTCCAGTCACATGGGCAAGTCTTCGCATCCCACGTTGGCGCCAGCGCATCGCGGGAGCGGAGCTCTTTGACGGAAGGATGCCATGTTTTCCGAGGATGTCGTAGACTGACGCTTATTATTAGGAATCATAGAAAGGACAGCGTAGAACGGTTCTTCCCAAGGTCCTGCTTGATTTACCCAAATTGTTGCTGTGGTTGGTAGGGAATTGGGGAGACGAGACTGGAGGCTTGGCGGGATTAAGTTTGGCCGACATCGAGTCGTCTTCTTTAGGAGTCTGGTTGCAAGGACAAGTTTCCATACATCAGTGCATCGCCTGTCAATATTTTCAGCACGCAACCATCGACGGGTCGGAATACAGTGTAAGCCTCGCCTCCACACTCAACTCCAGCTTCGATGGGAAAAGCAGCAGAGGAGAAAGACAGCATTGAGATGGAATATGGATGACTGACACAGACGGGTGGACAGCGGCCCTCGATTGCATTACAAGGGGACTGGGGATGGCGCCGACCGCAGCCCGGTCAGATGCCAATGACAGAGATACGAGTGCATACGATACGCAGGAGAGCCGACAGGACTCTCTGAGGCGGATGGCTGGTCAGTCCAACACTGTGTCCCGGGGCGGTCACGGCGAGGCGGGAAGCGATCAAGATCAGGATGGCTGTGGAGCGGCAGTTGGATTGCAGGGAATGCGGATCAATCTCGACGTCTTCAGACTTTGTGGATTTGGAGAAATGTCGCTTCCATCCCCATTCATCAATATGTTGGGCATGGCCGGCGGACTTTTTCGCCACGCACTGAGCACGATCGGCTGGATCCTCGCATTCCTCATGCACCGCCCAACCACTGCCGTTCCTTCTTGCCAACCTGCTGCCATGAAAAAGAGACCCAGAGCAGAAGATGTGCTGACGAGTGCTGTAGAAGTCGAGAGACGGGCGGAGATCACCCACGCCTACCACGCTACCTCCCCTCGCTCACCTGACACCGCTTCACCCATCTATCCCGAGCGTGCGATTCGACCGCTGCCGAAAAGTCGCCTCAAGTCGAAGCTTTCACCAGGACAGGCAGAGACTCTCGTTTTCCCACCAGAACCACCGCCAGTCTCACCGACGCTCAACTTCAGCCTTTCCATGCAAGCCCACGAACAGGAAGAGTCTCGACTGATGACGAACGGAGAGCCGCGATACCCATACGACTACGAGAACGTCCAGCGTCGGCACCATCAACATCAGCCCCACAGCAGCCACTGCACGTGTGGCGAAGATGGGGAGAGTGGAGAGGACGAGGTGGAGTTTGACCATCCGGACTACCGCTATTCAACACCTCCCACTGTAAATGGCGTTGGTGGGAAGCCGGTGGATTCATTACAGCGGAGACTGGTGGAGGCATCGCGATCATCAAGCAAGCCGCCGCCACCCGGATCAACAGCGTCTTCTGCAGACGGCTACGAGAGCTTTGAGAATACGAGCAACAAGAAGAAACGCAAGATTCCACTTTCAGGGACGTCCAGCATGCACCAGAGTCAACTAAGTGCGGAAATGGCAAGCATGGGCATCAGCACTGGACAAGCAGATGGAGGTGCAGAAGATGCCCATGGCGGCGCACAGCAGCAATACAGCCAAAGTGGGAACGGGACGTCTCCTGGCTCTGGCACGGGAATCAGTGGAGCAGGCCGCGGACGCTATGGCAGACAGGACGGGAGGAATCGACGGCCGCTCGGCAGTAGCACGATGAATGTGATCAACGGATACACTTCACGTGCGCCTGTGCGGGAGGTCAGGCACGGCGAAGGTAAATTCTATCCACAAACCCTTTGACAAAGGAGATTGAAGCTAACGCAAAGCAATCAGATGTTGGTGTTGAAAACACCGGTGGCATCATCTCTCAAGCCATCAAAACTGCTGCGGAACAAGGCCCACTTACTCCTGCAGGCAAAGGCAGGGACAACGTAAGTTTGCTTCACTCCGCAACTGCGGCCAGCGCAACGCCCAAAACTCAATTCACCTTCACTTGCGAATCGGACTCTGCGACCAAGATGGTGGACCAGCAAGCGGCATACGCAGCCGGCACACCCACTCCGCAGCGAAGTCTTCCTCCGGGAGTAAAGGGAGCAGGAACCCAGACTACGCCCCCTCTTCGCGGAGGGCAGCACCCAAACAATGCTAGAAATCCACCTCCTCCACCGTCCAACCACGCTCCAGCTGGTCAACACCCCCAAGCGCCACCTCCTAAGCCGAAGCCCCGTCGAAATCCTGCCAAGGAGTACGCTCTGCAAGCTGCCACTCGCAAGAAGAACCAGCAGTACCAGAATTACCACCATCGCCCGAAACCTGATGATATGTGGGTATGTGAGTTCTGTGAATACGAGGATATCTACGGAGCTCCGCCGTATGCTATGATCCGCAAATACGAAATAAAGGATCGTCAGGAGCGTAAGAAGGCGGCTGAGAAGCGGAGGCTGCTGGAAAAGGCGAAAATGAAGGGCCGTAAGAACAAAAAGGGAGCGGCAAAGAAGGGCAACAACACTGCTGCAGTCAATAACAATAACCACAACCCTAACAATGCGGCGGTGGCCAACAACACACCCCGAGATGATCCGGCATACGATCCGAATCTACCGCCGCCCGACCACGAGGAGTACTACGATGACGACGATGATTACGCGGATGAGTATGAGCCTGTTCCGGGAGTTGACGACCCGTATCCACAGGACTATCACTATCCGCCACCACCTGCTCCCGTTGGAACGCCAGTAGCGCCGGCTGGAGGAGGAGGCGGAAGAGGGTAGCTCACTGCGGGCGTGATGGCGTTGGGAATGGCTTTCATGTTCCTCCTGGCTATTGTGACCGAGATTTAAGCTCCCCGCTTCATTGCAAGGATACTGACACGTTGGGGTCCACGACACTCTGCTGCYCGCCACTCATCGAACAGCGAAGTCCCGAACACTGAAACTACGATGCGAAAAATTCTCGGACATGTGAGGAATTGAACATCGGCAGCCCAAAGTTGCCTGCCATTACTGCCTGCTTTAATTGAGCCCTATCCTGTTGTACATACAACACATCTGGTGAAGCCTGYCTTTGGATGGTTGGATTTGCGCGGAGTTCAGGTTGCTTTCACTTTGCTGCGTTCCGATTTATACTTTGATTGTTTTATTGCATCGCCAGCTGCATTTTCACAGGCGTTCTATACCTCCACTCRGAAAAGACAGAAAACTTTATTGGAAGCTCGAAGGAAGAAGGCCGAAAGGGCGGAAGATCGATGATGCGAAGCTCCGGCTTAACATGGATGAGGAGATGAGAGGAGACGGACCCGGTGACTCGCCGGACCTTCGCAAAGAGAGAGCGACTGACCAAGAGTCGAAGGTGATGTGATGCGATGAGTTGTAAGTAGGTAGGGTGGTGTAGGAGGGGGAACACAAAATGAGGGAGGTTGAATTGAAACACTTCTTGCCTCGACCATCGTCTTCGTTGCCCAAAGTACTCGCTTCGCTGCACCATCTGAAATTCTTGTCGCTCGCCGTCACGGCGCGGATGACTGCGAGGCACAGTATATGCTGAACACGAAGCCCGCTTTAACCCTGAATGTGGTCTCAAGAATGACATTCAAGTTGGTTCACGTTGCGAACTTTGCGCTGGAGGGAACAGCCGAAACGTCTCCTCACGAGGCGTTGGCCGAACGACCACATATCTGGCGTGAACGTCAAAAGTAGTAAACAACCGTGAAGCCTGTGCAGCCGATGGCAAGGATCGAACTAGGCCAGCGCACTTCGACACAGGTAAGTTATACTCGCTTGACCAGACAGCAAATGATCGCAATGTCTTGCGACCAGAGTTGGAGTCGCGGCCTTGACGAAAGTCGCCATGTCGGAGAGACCGATGGCCTCCATGATTGATGATCACACGAATAGGAGTTGTAGTGAGGTCCAAAGTTATGCGGCGGGGATTGGTGGCTTACCATTGATTCTGTAAGAGAGAATTGTGCTCAACATGAGATTCGAGACGGAGATCGTGCCGTCATATACTTATTCACACACCGTGCAGCACATGCCGAGCTCCAGGGGGGTTGCAAAGATCTTCTCCATAGATGGTAGGTACCTACTGATCATTGTACTTGAAGTCCAACCCCTCGAAATCGCCCTTCTCCCTCCAATCCTTCAGTATCTTCAAGAAAGCAGGCGATCCAGCACCATAGGCACCATTCCTCGCGGCACCCTCCAACGCCGTACCCTCATTATTGTAATAGCCAGGCGTGCACTCCTTGAGAAACTGTGCTCGCAACCCTGCAAGCTGTACGATAGTCTTGACCCAAGCCTCCTCCGCCTCGGCAGTAGGTTCCACAGTCCGTACATTCCGCTTCATACTTTCTGCAACCACGTACGCCAGATGCTTTGCCTGTTCGCCGGTGACGTGCAGGAAGTTCGGCGTCAAAGCAGCTTGTACGACCGAGACCCAGAAACAATTCGGGAAGCCTCTCGTGCTCCAGCCGTGCAGTGTAGAAGCGCCATTCTTCCAGCAATCAGTGATGGTCTGACCGCCACGACCATAGATCTCCAAGTTAGCACGATGGGACCAATCCGTAGCGAGTTCGAAGCCAGTGGCATATATAATGCAATCGACTTCATATTCTTTCCCCTGCGATACGATGCCTTTCTCAGTGATATAGTCGATTCCTAGACCTTTGGTATCTACCAAGTGGWCATTCTCCTGGTTGAATGCCTGGAGATATTCGTCATGAAAGCAAGGCCTCTTGCACAACTGGTTATAATAGGGCTTGAGAGCTTCGGCCGTGGCTTTATCCTTTACGACTTCATCGCAGCGGGCTCGGACTTGCTCCATCTTCTCAAAGTCGGCCAGCTGACGTTCTGCTGCCGCTTTCTCGGGATCGGTCAATGGGTCTGCGGTTCCGCGGGCGAGGAGTTTCTGGAGAATGTCGGTCCATCCATCTTGGACCAGGTCATTGGATAGGATTGCGCCGTTGACAATCTCATTGAAGTTCTCCATGCGTTCTAATTGCCATCCTTTCTGTAGGCTGGACGMCCATTTTTCGTCCGTCGGACGGTTGTTACGTAGGTCTATCGAGGAAGGCGTCCGCTGGAAGACGAACAGCTCTTTGGCGTACTTCGCAACATTGGGTACAATCTGCACAGCTAGTTGGAGTCAGCATGGGTAAGAAAGAAAGTCAAGGTTCTGAACGATCACCTGTGGCTCCAGTGCCTATCACTGCCACACGCTTATTGCTCAGGTTGGTTAAACCTCCACCGTTATCTCCGCCAGTGTACTTGTAGTCCCATCGACTGGAATGAAAGGAATGGCCCTTGAAATCCTCAATGCCTTTCACACCCGGTAGCTTCGGTCGATGCAGTGGCCCAGCGCTGGGAATGACAAACCGTGCTTTGATATCATCGTTCCGGCTTGTCGAGACAGACCAGAGTGCCTTCTCCTCATCCCATCGAAGCTCTCCGACTTCTGTCTGGAAAAGTGTTCGATCGTACAGTCCATATTTGCGGCCGATCATTTCAGAGTGCTTGAGAAGCTCATTGGCGTGCGCGTATCTTCGCAGCAACGGAAGCTGGTCAGCAAGCATAATCGAGGAATGGGATAGGCAGACTCACTTCTCTGTTGGCACATAGTCCAGCTCTTCAAGGAGTGGCATATAAATGTAAGATTCAATGTCACACTGGGCACCTATGAAACAAAACGTTAGTGATCTTTACCACGCAGTGTCGTAGCATGGAGATGCATACCGGGATATCTGTTCCAGTACCAAGTTCCTCCATAACCCGATGCTAAACTTGTCAGATCGTTCAAGAGGATGGGATGCCCAAGCATACCCTTTTCAATCAATCGAATGTTCTTGACTCCGGCTTCAATGAGTCGAACCGCGACTAGTTGAGCACCGTAGCCGCCTCCTACAATGACCACATCGACCTGCTCAGAGACGGGCTTCCTCGTAAAGCCCGGCTCGACCCAGGGGTCATTCAAGTAATGGGAGAATATGCCCTTGTTTTCAACCAGCCGGTACTGATTAATACCTCCTCCATGCTGGAGTCGCCTGTCTCTTTCAGCTGTGTATATCTCCTTGAGCTTGACGGGGTCAAAGGACAGTGCTGGGGGCTCAGCTTTGTCAACGTCAATGTTTTGTACCTGCGAGCCGGGCAGGTCGACCTGGTTGTAGACGCCAGCGGTAGCCATGTTATGGACTTCCAATCAATCAAATGTTTCTAGGTACTAGCGATGTAAATGCCGCGAAATGTGAGCAGGGAGGACTTGAAAGTAATTTATAAGTGGAAAATAGATTGATCACTACGCTGCCTGGACGAGTGGTTGACTTTATGTAGCCTGAGCGGCCGAGGTTGGCAAGACCATCCTCGTGGTTTATGATCCGTCACCGAATCACGTCCCAGGCTGTACACGAAGGGTGCATATGTTCAGCCGCCCCGCATCAGCATAACCGGAGGCGATGCGCAGTCTTTCCGTCTCCGTCTCCGCATGCACTTCCGAATGAACAGCAAGCTTGATCCTTGGCGATARCAATGCAAGATCCTTGGGTCGCCGGAGCTTTCTCGTCGAATGAACTTGTCCTTTCAGTGTGGTGTGATGGCATGCTGGCTCTGGCAAGCCACAACTTTACGGCACATCTCACCCCGGTTCTTCAATGGTTCGCATTCGATAGCCAGTGCATGAACTTCAGTAGTATTCGCAAGTGCATTTATGTCATCCAAGACCGTGGTATATCGGCGGATTGTGGTGGACGATGTAAAGAGTGAAGTGGCAACCTTGGAACCCAAACGTTCAAATGTGGCCCGTGCTCATCATGTATGACCTGGGAACGTCCACCACACATCCGCCCGTCGTCTCGTCACCCTCCTCCCTTTCATTTGAACCATCACCTCTCGAGACATATCTAGAGAGGTCCGTTCATCATGGCGCCCTCGGAGAGTCTGTTCCGCAGTCAGCACATGACGCTGACGCAGCTCTACGTCCCCAATGAGGTCGCCCGCTCCGTCGTATCTGGTCTGGGCGAGCTGGGCCAGATGCAGTTCCGCGATGTATGTGGAGATGAAGGCTGGAAGATGAAGGATGGAAGCAGAGGATACATGTGCTGACGATGCCTAGTTGAACCCGGACACCACGGCCTTCCAGCGCACCTTCACCCAGGAGATTCGCCGCCTAGACAATGTCGAACGCCAGCTTAACTACTTCCGGGCGCAGATCGAAAAGGGTGGCATCGAAATGCGATCCATCTACGAGTTCAGCAACACTATGGCCGCTCCATCGGCGTCCGAGATTGATGAGCTGGCAGACCGGAGTCAAAGCCTGGAGCAGCGTATCCAGAGCCTCAACGAGAGCTACGAGACTTTAAAGAAGCGTGAGACGGAGTTGACGGAATGGCGCTGGGTACTGCGTGAGGCGGGCGGGTTCTTCGACCGCGCCCGCGGTCAGACGGAGGACATTCGCCAGTCGGTTGATTCGAGCGATGACGCCCCTCTGCTGCGTGATGTGGAGGGCGGCAACAGCAACAACAACAATGATGGTGCTCAACAGAGCTTCAGCGTGATGAACATCGGCTTCGTGGCCGGTGTCATTCCCCGCGAACGCATGGCCGCTTTTGAGCGCATCCTGTGGCGTACGCTTCGCGGCAATCTCTACATGAACCAGTCAGAGATTCCAGACCCCATCATCGATGCCGAAAAGGGCGAAGAAACTCACAAGAATGTGTTTGTTATCTTCGCGCACGGCAAGGAGATCATCGCAAAGATCAGGAAAATCTCAGAGAGCCTGGGTGCGGACATCTACAACGTAGACGAGAACAGCGAGCTGCGTCGGGACCAGATCCATGAGGTCAACAGCCGTCTACAGGATCTCGGCAACGTGCTCGGAAATACGAAGCGCACTCTCGATGCTGAACTCACTCAGATCGGCCGCTCTCTAGCCGCATGGATGATCGTGATCAAGAAAGAGAAGAGCGTTTACCAAACACTCAATCGCTTCTCCTACGACCCAGCTCGCAAGACGCTCGTTGCTGAGGCTTGGTGTCCCACCAGCTCCCTTGGGCTCATCAAGTCGACCCTCCAAGACGTCAACGATAGAGCCGGCCTCTCCGTCCCAACCATTGTAAACCAGATCAAGACTTCCAAGACACCTCCAACCTACAACAAAACTAACAAGTTCACGCTCGGCTTCCAAACCATCATCGATGCATATGGTACCGCCAAGTACACCGAAGTCAACCCTGGACTCCCTACCATCGTTACCTTTCCTTTCTTGTTCGCCGTCATGTTTGGTGACTTTGGCCACGGCATAATCATGACATGTGCCGCCGCCGCTATGATCTACTTCGAAAAGCCACTACAGCGTGGCAAGCAGGACGAATTGTTCGGCATGGCATTTTACGGACGATACATCATGCTCATGATGGGAATCTTCTCCATGTACACTGGCCTCATCTATTGCGACGTCTTCTCCAAGGAGATCCCACTTGCTAGCAGTATGTGGGAATGGGACTTCCCGGAAAACTATACCAAAGGCACGGTCAAGGCCACCCGCGTTGAAGGCTACACCTACCCATTCGGGTTGGATTGGAGATGGCACGACACGGACAACGATCTGCTGTTCAGCAACAGTTACAAGATGAAACTTTCCATCATCATGGGCTGGGCACACATGACCTATTCGCTCTGCCTATCATACATCAACGCACGCCACTTCAAGTCCAACATTGACATCTGGGGTAATTTCATCCCCGGCATGATTTTCTTCCAGGGAATCTTCGGCTATCTTGTCTTTACAATCATCTTCAAGTGGTGTGTTGACTGGTACGCTATCAACGAACAACCCCCCAACCTTTTGAACATGCTCATCTACATGTTCCTCTCCCCGGRAACTGTCGGCGATGGCGAGAAGCTATATAATGGACAAGCGGGAGTACAGGTTGTGTTGCTGCTCGCCGCAGTTTCGATGGTCCCTATCATGCTGTTCTTGAAGCCCTTTTACCTTCGTTATGAACACAACAAGGCTCGTGCTCAGGGATATCGTGGCATTGGCGAGACGACTACTGTCACCGCTCTTGACGATGATGACGATGAGGACAACCACGCCAATGGCAATGGTGTTGCGGGTCGTCCAAGCTTCGCCGACAGCGAGATGGATGGCGCCGTAATTACGCAGGACATCGGTGGTGGCGATGATCACGAGGAGTTCGAATTCAGCGAAGTCATGATCCACCAGGTCATCCACACCATTGGTATGTGTGACGTATACTGAACATCTATAAGATCCTGCTAACATTTCCTACAGAATTCTGTCTCAACTGTGTCTCCCACACTGCATCTTACCTCCGTCTCTGGGCTTTGTCGCTTGCTCACCAGCAGCTTTCGATTGTGCTCTGGAAAATGACTCTAGCCAACGCCTTTGCGATGGAGGGCGCCGTTGGTGTCATCGTCATCTTCATTGCATTTGGTCTCTGGTTCGCTCTCACAATCGCCGTCCTTGTTGTCATGGAGGGCACCAGTGCCATGTTGCATTCGCTGCGTTTGCACTGGGTCGAAGCGATGAGTAAGCATTTTGTTGGCGAGGGAGTCGCATTTGAGCCTTTTAGCTTTGAAGCGATGTTGGAAGAAGACATGACGGAGCTGAAATGATAGGCGTCTTGTTGTAAGTTAGATGGATGACTGTAGAGAGAGCTACTTGTATAGACACAGTTTCTGCGACACCAATCACGGGGCTTGCCACTGCATGCGAGTGTTATTTCAGCGTGCTCTGTACAGGGTGGAAGCACAACCGAATGCTCTCATCCAATCTTGCCWCGCGTGCACTCTCCGCTCAACACTGACATTTGATTGGAATGAACCACCTCTTCAACCAATGACAGATGAAGACGGTCCCTGGACTTCTTTACCTGTCAGTTCACTTCTTCCTTCGCTAAACCTCCTATCACCACTTAAGGTACCGCTGCAATGTACAGAAACACATCTACTTCCCCGATCATGCACTAACTTCCACCCCCGGAAAGTACTTTCCAAATTTGCCGCCGAAACAGCTTCCCTCTGGCGTATGGCGCTGATATCCACAGGAAGATGTCTTGCTCCCGGTCGTTTCCCGAAATGAACTGAGTCCCAACGGAGTTCGTGTGTCTCCGGACCAGAGAATAATCTATGTCATGGATACGAATATGACGTTGGAAAGCGACCCTACGACGGATTCCTGGTTGGGACCGTTCGTCTATGCTTATCATCTTGATGATTGATGCGGTGCCTACGTATAGGAAGCTGTTTAGGCTTGTGACGCAGGGAATCGCGGATGGCATGCGTGGGAAGAGTATGATGGAGAGAGTTCGAGGGTATTGTGATGAGGCATAAGTATGGGAGAGTCTTGGGCGTGTTGAACAGTCGGTTCCTTATAGCTGACAAGGATGCGGACGCGGTGCATTTGGCGGACTTTGCGATTGCTGGGGGATGTTTTGGTTGTGCAGGCGGTGACAAAGTTGTAGACTATCATCCTAAACATCAAAAGTCTCGCAAATCTCCTAAATTCTCCCAAAGACCGCTCTAATAATGTGGTCGTTGCTCGGAGCTTTGATTTGAAACGCCGCGCAGACAGACCTGATCATCGCTTGGAGGCTGGATATGCATAGAATGAGGTGCACTTCGTGGCATCATCTCGAGTTTCGCGCGGACCACCGAAGAGTCCAGTCAGCTCCTAGTACGGCTCACCAGAACTGGAGCCGGTGTCGGAGTCACGGGTGTTAGTCTCATCAACACCCTTGATGTTCAGAGCCATACCACCGCTCTGTACGAGCAAATCGTAGGCCAAGCCGTTGATCTGATTGATGGCATCCGCAACATCCTTCTTCTGGAGCAGCATTTTGTTCTTGAGAATCGTGCGAGCGACGATGGTCCTTAGCTCGCGAACGCTTTCATCCGTAGACAAGTGGACCTCCGTAATCAGGTGGGCGAAGGAAGTGTCTTTCAGGTTCTTGCGAATTGCAGGCTCTATCTTTTCAGCRGCGAGGAGCCGTAGAGCGGGCATGTCGTATCTGCCTCAAGTTAACATCGACATGGTGGCGGGTCATTTCCTTCGCTCGTGCATGCGTATATGAGTTGGGATTAGATAACTTACTTGACGGCGACGGCGAACACACGGGCGTGRGTGAGCATGGCTTCATCTCCTTCCGGACCAGGTGCAGCATCACGCGCGTCTTTGGGGGGATTGGAGGTTTTGAGCTTCTTCCTCCGTGCTTGACCATCTCCCTTGCGCGTCCCAGCGGCTTTCTTGCCATCGGCCTCGTAGTCTAGATGGTACATGTAATGTATCATCAAGCGCACCGCTTCCGGGTGGTCGCAGGACCAGTCTGTGGCCGAGACTTTCAGATCGATGCGCGCCTCCAAAGCTTCCTTGAAGCCATTCCGAATAGCCTTTGCAATGTACTCAGACTGGAGGCCAATGACTAGCTTGTGTACCCGGTATGTGTCCTTTCTGCTGGTACCGTTAGCGGCTGCTTTCTTGAGCCAGATCACCCAGAGGTGACATACCCGCAGGTGATGGTGAAGTCCGTGGATTCGTCATCGTGGTAGAGTCTGTTTTAGTTAGTGAGTTCGATATGGGTGATTCTTCGGACGCACTTTAGCAGACCTGCTCTGGCAGCCTCAGCGGGACTCGGCCTGGACACCGGTCGCTCGACGGAGGTGGAGGGTGCCATGTCGGATGCAATTGAGGAGTGTCGAATGACAGGTGTGCATTTGCCAAATCGCGAACATCCGACGCGCAAGCTCACGGTCACCGATTCGAGACGTACCAATTCACTTTGATTGCACTGTTTACTCTGACGCCCATGRTCAACATTCCAAAGTAATCGAAGTGGTGCTTGAAATCTCAGGACCTGTACTAAAAATGCCATATCGCCCAAGACTACCAGGTATCCGTCCAGTCCCTTCACATAGACTGTTGTAAAGCTTCGACCCAGGGAGTCTCTCTTCTGCCCTAACGAACCTCCCAGTATCTTCTGCCCCCGAAACCGTAGGTGATGGAAGAAGACGCGCTTTGTCGATGTATTCCGGCCACAATCCAACGCTCATCCCGACTAAACCCCAAAGCTCTCCGCTTCCATCTCAAACTCGTCGCAAGCCAGCTTTTTATCTTTCAGATTCGGGATCTCCACCTAGGCCGTGAAAGGAGCATCGAAGGTATCCCCGGTCTTTCACACTCGCGCGGTCGTTTGGATTGGAATTCATCAGAAGTGTACATCGATACTTTCCACTCAGAACTCAGATTGCGCCATGGCCGCATCTGTCAAGGCCAGACGTCGTGGTGAGGAAGGAGGGCGGTCGTCTGGAGGAGACGCGATGTCGTTGGGTACCTAGGGTTGTAGGTGGAGAGCGCTAACAACCTATTCTTGGAAACAGTTCCTTGCATCAACGCCGCATCCTCCGACCTCACTCACTCACCATCGCACATCGATGAGTGAGGTGTTTGACACGCAAGACTCCTGTGCGCCCTCACCGCTGCGAAGCCGTTGCCGCCATGTTCGATGACAACCATTCGTTTTATGCCATTCCGATGACACCGACAGCGACATCAGGACTTTGCAGGACCCGGCAAGTGTTTGAATGCCGCGTCGCGAAGCACACCGATACGAAGACGATCTCGCTCGGCCGGCGCACGCTTCCTTCCTGACACGCAGATGATGCCTTTGAGCTGACACGTCGCGCAACGGGACTTTCCAATGCACTCCAGAAGCGATCTGTTGGTAGAAGCACACTTGCGACATCGCACGTTCGAGGACTGTGGCACGTGTGGTACGCCAGAGCGGATTCTCTCTATGCGAGGAGGCTTCATGCCGTGCCTGATATAGATTTCAGACACTCGCTCTTGAACATGCTGCTGCCACGCATCAAAACTCTTCCATTCAGCGCCAAGCAACTGGGTGTCGGCGCCTTTATTTCTTGGTGTGGCCTGGCGGAATGGCCATTTCCTCTGCTTGGCAGCTGCCCAAGACAACATTCTCAGCAGCATCCAGTCGTCTGGTGAGGCACCTCGTTTCGACATCTTCAGGACCAGCCCTCCCCTACCCTGTGACCCCTGCGACATGCTCTGTCTTTGTTCTATTCTGGGCCTGCGCTTGGCTATCTGCCAAAGATGGCTGAAATTTCGGTCAATCTTACGCGCCTGGCGATCGAGCCGATGCGCTGCTGCAAGCTGCTCGATCGAGCCACAATGCACCGAGGACCGTGGGGTCCCACGAGGCTGGTAGTCATACTCGTCCAAAATCATATGCGATCGGACGACACGGCGACGTTCGATGCAATTTCCAGTACCGACCCGATTCTCGCCATTGTTCGCTCGGATTGGCTCAACGACGCGGATTGYGACGTCACATCGGTAATTTATCGCTTGCGGTATGTCGAAGTGGGAGGTCACCGCGTTGCTTGTAGAGTCACCGCCTTGGCTACTATCAACTTTCCCCGCTGTGGAAGAGTCGCCGTCCTTGTCTATTCCGTTGTCGGCAACGTGACCATCCCCTAGGAGTTCCCTGCGCTCTTTGTCCAAAGGCCACAAAAGCATGATGAAGATCGATATGGTTTTCTTATCAATAGAGCAGTGTTGTGGAGCAAGACAATGACAGTGTCTCGAAGGTGCGTTGTGAGCTTGGTCGTGGTGTATGCGTGTGTTCGAAAACGCTATGTGCTGTGCACGCCCAGATGACGAAGTGTCATGTTAAATTGGGTGGCCAGGTCAAGGTTCGGACAGGACGTGTGAACCATGGAACTAGCCGCAGCAGGACATCTTTTTCTCAAGAAGCTCGCCACTGCGAATCAGATAATTGCAATTATCGAGACATCGAGCGTCCTCAATATGCCTGGGGAATGTACCATCAAGACTCCGAGGACCAGATTTCAAAAGGACAATATAGAAAAAATAATGAATAGGAGGGAACCAGCATGGGTTCTTATTACAGCTTAACTTCACGAATGCATCCGCTGTCCCTTCTCTCCCCACGGTACCTCTTCCCTAAACACCAGAAGGTGAAACTGCAGGCAGAGATTGCAAGTGTGCAAAATTTCCATCCCGCCGCGGCGAGAGTACGCCGGCAGACCCCTTTTTACCACCTTGACGCCCTCGAATCTAGAACAAGATTCTCAGCACTGGAATGCCACTTTGCCATCGAAGAGCAAGCCAAAGCAACAACCAAGTGGCGCGATCCGGAGAAGGACCACCGATATCACAAGTATGCCAACAAAGACGGACAGACTTGCTCTGTCTCCTAACGCGGCTGCGCCAAGTGGTTCGCCAAGATTTCGACCAACACGTTCGCGTGTGCAAGATCAAGCACAAAGACGTACCATTCGAGCGAAGATTCCCTGAGTTCGCCCGCCTCGATAGCTCACTGCCACCAACAAGTTCAATATGGTGACACGCACCAAGGCCGCGACTTTTATCAACCGTGCCGCGCACGAGAAATCCGAACATTCCATGTTCGGCGTGGGTCAAGTGGTGGCTTACAAATTTGGCGATTCTGAATTTAGTATTGTCTCCAGCGTCACGGCTAATCAGGCCGATTAAATGATCTTCAAGATAAAGACTCAGTCCGAAGAACTTCCAAGGCGAATAGAGGACGGGGACGTTGAAGTTTGCCGATTCTCCTGGGAATAGACCTTAACCCCGATGAGTAGGTAACTATAAGCTGGATAAAAGGAAGCAGCTCTGTCAAGAGTTGAATGTCTCCTCGAATAATCTCTTCTCAGTTATGTTGTTGTCATTACAGAAATTATAAAAATTTCAATTGCCACAGGTGAGGGAAAGCTTCAATATCACCGGGCCTTGGAATTGCTTCTGCCCTTGCGAAATTTGTGAGGTGAGGTGAGGTAGACACACGCTCAGCCTCAATCTGCTGTATGTTTGAGATGGTCTGCCGATAATATCCACCGCGACGAAGCCACCTACCAACAAAAAGAATCTTGAGCAGCCCGACATCATGGCAATCTTCAAACAAGCGGGAGTCACGAGAAAATATGGCTTATTGTAACAATGAGAAGAGCTGCAGTATTTGGAAGCGTGATGAGAAGATATTGCTGCTCGCGAGCTGTCAGGACTTACATGTACACATTACAGTATTCATTCCAAGGCTACTAGAATTTGGTCCTATCAAGGGCCACGGGACTTCACCTACTCCCATTGATTCTGGACACTTCAACGAACGAAATTACTGTTTCCAGGGTGCCTCGTGTGGGGAACCCACAAGGTGCTTGCGATGCGCGGGTTGGACTTGTCATGCAAGAGGGAGAAGAGGCTCCGGGCCCTGATCGCGAAAGAGACTCCCATGGAGCACTTGCCCACCATACGTGATGAACTGTACGACACGCGTGGGCAGGAAATTCAGAGGATAGCACGGCAGAKTCGTTGTCTGACCAGCAGTTACGAGCAAGCGGATAGTATCGGTGCGTATGTTCTTTGAATCTCCATCGCGTTGATAGATTGATTACTGAGACGTGATTGCATCTCCCTACTCCGCGGCTTGAGGCTTTATCTCGATTTTAGCCGCTTCAGCCCATGTTGACGTTCCATTTATGCTCTCTTGTCGGATATGATATAGCTCATCCAAGAAAGCAGGCACGAATGATCCCGGGCCTTTGACATCAGATCGGACGGCTGCACGTTCCGCGGCAATCTCAAACATCAAAATCGCTGTCACGGCGGCCAGTAGCTTGTCTTCTCGCTCAACTGCCATCACGCTCGCAATGGTTGTCCCCAGCGTGCAGCCACTTCCAGTGATCTCGCCAAGATACTCGTGACCGTTGCTGATCGTTACGGTTCTCTCTCCGTCGGAGATCACGTCTGTGCTGCCGGTCATGAGGACGACGTTCCGCTCTCTAGCAGCAGTACCCTTGACCAGCTTGATCTTGTCTTCGAGGGAAAGCTGAGAAGCGCCAGAATCCACACCGTGTTGCTTCACACCAGCAGCGCCCGAGACTGTTCGAATCTCGCCTTCATTGCCTTTGATCACATCGAAGTACCCTCCAGCCATGAGCGCTTTAGTCCCGTCCCGTCGTTGTTGAGTTGCGCCAGCGCCTACCGGATCAAACAAGACGGGTCCACCTATGGCATTGTAAGCTGCCAAAGCTTTGAGGTGGTTTGTGCGGATCTCTGGCGTTGTGGTTCCCATGTTTATAACAAGACTGCCGCCTAGTGCAGCAAGATCTGGAGCCTCGAGACCGTTATTGGACATGATGGGAGAAGCCCCTATCGCGAGAGCAACGTTTGCTGCAAAGTTCTGAACCACCAAATTTGTCATGTTATGGCAGAGAGGCTTCTTGCCCGCCATGCGCTTAATAATCTCGGGAGCCTGATTGATGATGCTTTCACGCGAAAGCTTTGGCTTTGCTGTGGATGTGGCGAACGGTGGTGGTTGCTTTATGAGCTCGGCGAGTTGCCTGGAGGCCGCTCTGGGATCTTCTGCTGCTATGATGGCACTGACTACAGCCACTCCGTCTAGCTTCTTGTGCGGCGAAGCGGTCTGATACAGGACCCGCTGGGTGTTGGAAGCGTTCACGCCTCCAATGCATACAGTCTTCACATCAAGACCTTTGGCGGCAAGCGACGTTAGAACATGCCGAACACCTGCGGTTCCAATTATTGATTTGGTGTTCTCTTTGGTGGGCGTGGCATACACTGTCCCGATGCCCAAGTAGTCGGCTCCATCTTCSGCAGCAATCACTGCCTCCTCCTCGCTATTCGCGGTCACGCCAATGATGGCTTCAGGGCCGAGAATCTTTCGCGCCGTTTTCAGATCTAGGTCATCTTGGCCCACGTGAACGCCTTCGACGCCTGCAGCAAGAGCAACGTCGACACGATCATTGATGAGAAGTGGCACGTTCGCCGCCTTTGTGATCTTGTGAAGCTCCTTGGCTATCTGCACGAGGTCCGCCGTATCAGATGTCTTGTCGCGCAGCTGAACAATTGTGACACCTCCTTGCACCGCGGCCTCGACGACAGTCACCAGATCTTTGTCACCAAGTATTGCCGGCGTCGAGTCCGTCACCAGATAGAGGGAGTAGTCGACCGCCATGCTGGGGAAGCACAATCTCTCGCATGGATGATGAATCATGACAGGACCTGGAAGTGGACCCAGGATGTAAATTGCTGAGCGCCTAAGAACGAACTTACCTAACGCCGAGCTCTCAGTGCAAGAAGAAGGCTGCATTACATGCAGTCGCTGCCAACTTTGAGCTGGCAAGGCCATGGACAACATGCCGTCGGGAAGGTGCTCTTGTCGCCTGATCGAGGATACACTTACATGGTTCAGGACGGGCAGTCTTCACCACTGCAGAGCCGCCGTGGTCGTACCAGAGATGTTTAAAGCCGAAGCCGTGGGCCGAGACATGCACGCACCCTTTTAGGCCCTAAGGCGAGACAAAGAAATCGCTGTTCCTGGCCAATCCAGTCTATTCCGGGGGACACTGCGAATAGTTGTGAAGATGGGAAAACTGGCAGTTGAGAGACCCGGAGGTCATGTGAATGGGCAATAAATGCTCCGTCGTGCCATCCACGGCGATGTGTCCACTGCTGCCGGAAATTGAAATTTGAGGTCAGAAAAGTGGAAAAACCCGCGTGATTAGGTACTTGCCCGCGTTCATTTTCAGCACTTGGCCCGCCTACTTAGCCTTCTTTCTTTCTTCCTCCTCCCAACATCCACCTTCTTCATCATCTGCACCTAGCACACACAACCCCGAATCAGCAAGCACCACGTCAACTGAGTATTTTGCGCCCGCAGCCATCCGGCACGACACATCGCCGCCAGCACCAGTACCAGCGACTCGCCCTCCGCACTCGGGACCATCGCCACGCATTCGGCCAACTACTCCACACGCCTCAGAGGATTTTATGTATCCGTCCCACGCGAAAGACTATCAAGATCTGCTGCGCCGCGGCCATCCTAGAAAAGCTGGGTGAAGAGGATTTCCAAAAGGATATCCCCGACAAAGCACAAACAGAACAGCCAAACCAGGACATCAGCCAGCAAACGCACACGTGCATGTCTCTCTTGCATGTCTTTGCTTGTGAACAAAGATTTGTTCTGCCTTTTCCCACGCTGTATCCGCCAACCAAGCCCAACAGCCATATCGTGCCCAAAACTCTTTCCTAGAGCCTAATTCCAAACCAGCAATACCAAACTACAACCGCAGTCATGGGTTCCGTCAACATTCGTCGCGATGTCGCTGACCCATTCTACCGCTACAAGATGGAGCGCATCCAGTCCAAGGTGGAGGGCAAAGGCAATGGAATCAAGACCGTTATTGTCAACCTCAGCAACGTGGCTCACCAGCTCGCGCGTCCTCCCAACTACGTGATCAAGTACTTTGGCTTCGAGCTCGGTGCTCAGACCAACATCGACCCCAAGGACGACCGCTGGATCATCAACGGCGCCCACGAGGCCGGGAAGCTGCAGGACTAYCTCGACGGGTTCATCAACAAGTTTGTCCTCTGCAAGGAGTGCAAGAATCCCGAGACGGTCGTCAATATCAAGGATGGCGATATCCTCATGGACTGCAAGGCCTGCGGTAAAATCACCACTGCCGACCCTCGTCAGAAGCTCTCCTCTTTCATCCTTAAGAGTGCACCCAAGAAGGGCAAGAAAGACAAGAGCACCAAGAAGGCTGACCGCAAGGCTCGTAAGCTCGCGGGTGAAGAGGGTGGTGACGAGGACGCCWATGGTGCAGCTAGCCCGGGCGAAAGCGGCTCTGATCATGCGGACGAGAACGGAGACGTTGGAAACGACGCCGGTAGTGACGACGAGCTCACACGCAAGATCAACGCCCAGGCCAAGGAGCTCAACGAGAAGGACGACGAGGAAAAGGAAGTGCAGTGGTCCGTCGACATGTCCGAGGAAGCCATCAAGGCTCGTGCCAAGGCGCTTCCCGACGATCTCAAGGCCAGCTTGGTATTGGAGAACGGCGAGGAGGATGGAGAGGGGGGCAACGCCTACGATGAACTCGGAAAGTGGATTGAAGCCAAGGCTGAGGAGTCTGGCAGCGCCACCAAGGTCAATGATGTCGAGATCTACCTCAAGGCCAAGGAGCTCGGCGTTGAGAACAAGCACCGCACTCTGACTGTGCTCGCCCAGACCATCTTCACAGACAACATGGCCAAGGAAGTCGATGCTCGTGCTGCCATGCTCAAGAAGCTCATCACCTCCGACAAGCACGAAAAGGCCTTCATGGGCGGCATTGAGCGCTTCGTTGGTATCGACAAGCCCAACCTCATCCCCATGGTCAGCGCCATCTTGCTCAAGATCTACGAGAACGACCTCGTCTCGGAGGAAGTGCTCACGGCTTGGGGAGGCAAGGCCAGCAAAAAGTACGTTGACATTGCAACTTCGCGCAAAGTCCGCAAGAGCGCCGAGAAGTTCATCGAGTGGCTGGAGAACGCCGAGAGCGACGAAGACGATGATGATTCTGAGTAAGTCATTCCTGCAGTGCTAGGTATTCGATGGGCTCTCTGCTTGATCGAGTGGCGGCGTGTTCGTGGAATAGCGAACTTCAAAATTGTGTAACTCAAATCTTTGGTGCTTTGGATTCTTCTGATTTGCGAGACTTGTCTCTGGCGCGACATAGACTGATAGCTCTCTGCTCAATGATACATGCAATTGCAATAGACTCATCTCTCTCTTGACAAGCCTTACGAAGAAGTTCATTCATTAAAGGTTTCCAACAGAGCAAGAGATTCTGTAGATGCGAATGGAAACATGTCTCATACAGGTAGGCGTTCATTATAATATTGGAGACCTCGTTAGAGCAGGGCGCTCGTTTGCAATTCCGAGATAACTGAAAGTCATCAACGAGCTCTTCCAGGTTTCGTACTAGGTATACTCTGGAAGCGTCCATCCCTGTTCACATGCCGATACTTTTCGCCGAAGAGCTCCCGCCCCAGATATCTGACGCGCCAACGCGACTTCCTGATTTCTTATACTGTACATCACGCGTCTCACGTCACACCAACTTCTGCACTTCTGCACTTCACACGTAGGAGTCAATCAACTTCCAGCACGTCGTCCACCTCCATTGTGACCTGCATCTCGCCAGCATGAAGGCCARCTTCGTGCCCGGAATTTCAGTCGAGCTCCATGCGAATGGTCAGGCGCTCAGCGAGTACGTCGACGAGGAGGCGATCGAAGGAGAGCATCGGCGGGCCACACGATATGTGGAGACAGTACCAGATACAGAATTCTCTGTCCACATGTTCATTGAGTCGACGTTTCCATACAGGCTCGATGATCTGGTCGTCGGCATCAGCATAGACGGCCAGGAAATCACCACTTATTGCTCTCGAGCGGCATCGCAAACCAATTTTCGGCACGAAGTCTACTCAAGCTCCGTGTTGAACCACAATGGCGTGGGTGAGAGGCGGGTGTTCACATTTGGCGAGCTCAAAACAAGTAAGCTGTCGAGACACCAACATTTGTTTGACGGACTGACTGTCGATGGATAGCCGACGAGTCTCTGGATAAATCAGAAGGCCCAAAGCTAAAGGAGATTCTTTCCAAGCTAGGCGAGGTGACCGTGTGGCTGAGGCGTGAAAATTTATTCGCCGCGTTGATGCCGAAGAACATAGACCACTGTCACCGTCGAAGATTGGCGAAAGCGTACCCGAGAAGGCATTGAAGGGTCGCTCCATTTCCAATCGAGCAGCGCTGAAGTTTGCCGGACTCTGCCAGCCACGCAGATCTGTGAAGACAGAATATCTCGACGGCAATCGCTCTTTTGTTAAGTTCACGTTCAAGTATCGCAGCCACCGTAAATGATCCAAGTTGCGACCATCGATGATCTGCCAGAGACTGCGCTGACTTGCCCGTAGGCGACCTTCAAATTGAGGGCATTATCCCTCGCAGCCCTTCGCCAGTACCTCTTGATCAACTCGATTTGGCAAGCATGACGCGCGAGCAGGCGATCGAGGCCCTTCGTCAACAGCGCGAGCGGCATGCAGGCTCGACTCGTGTTAAGCGCGAACGAGCTCCGACTTTGGTCATTTACGATGACGGTAGCGATGAGGAGGACGGCGATGAGGGAGATGTCTGCATCACCAGTGTTGAGYCAGTCAAGAAGCGCCAGCGAGCTTCCATGGACTCTGGTGTTGATGTGATTGATCTCACCGATGATTGACGCTTTCCGCCGAACAAAGGCAAAGACACCACCTCTCCTTCCGGTTTACAGCACGAGATACCCACTTGATATGTACTTTTAGCAGGGCGCTTTGTTTGGCTGTTCATAACTTTGGTTTGGAGATCATGAAATGGACATTACATTCAATTTGAGGCTCAGAGCTTACTCTTCCCTCCCAGCACAACGCCTTCGACCCAGTCCTTGATAATGGCATTCGTTTCCGCTGGTGTATGCCATAGAGCCCAGTGAGTCGCCGGTACCTCGCCGCGAGTTAGATTCGGAATGGAGCGCTCCATGCCTCTGCTCATCTCCCTTGTCAAGATACCATCCCTGGTCGCCAAAATATACAGAGTTGGCTGCTTGATAGTCTTTCTTCTATCGTCCGGGAGATCCTTTTCGTCCTCCCAATTGACCTTACGAGTTCGGTACCAATTGCAGGGGCCGTTGATGCCATTCCTCATGAACTCTTTGACGTAAAAGTCCAATTCCTACTCGTGAAGTTAATAAAATGGACGAAGGACATTCGGGCAGGACAACATACCTCTTCACTGAGCAGCGGTGTCATAGCAACATCGCCATCCTTGAAGATGCTGAGATCAACACCTTCCTTCGCATTCATAAACCTCTTCCCCTTAGCAGGCCGGCCACCATACATCCCCAACAGAAACTTTCTCATGTCCTTCTCATCTTTCACCACACTTTCAATTTGATCATCCGAGCTGCCAAACTGCAACTGGTAGCCAAACTGTGGCACAGGTCCTTTGACCAGATCCTCCGTCGACGTGAACGAATCCGTGCAAGGCGCAAAAGCCGTACAGACGCTAAAGACATGCGTGATGAGTTTCGGATACCACTGTGCGATTCTGTACACTGCCAAACCACCCCAATCATGTCCACCGATAATGGTGCGGGAGATGGAGAGCTGGGAACAAATCCCCGCTACGGCATCGGCGTGAGTTTTGAAGGAGAAATCTTTGATTGAGCTAGAAGTCCCGGTCTTTCCATAGCCCATACAGTCCAAGGCGATACAGCGAAAGCCGAGAGATAGGAGTGTTGGGATCTGGTAACGCCATGCGAGGGATATGTCTGGGAATCCGTGGATGAGGACCGCTGTTCCCTTTTGCTGTTGGCCTGCTGGAACYTGAGCGTCGAGGTAGTCTTGAAGAAAATGTTAGGACTGTATTGGGATCGATATTGATAAGGTATTGATCGATTCGCATGAAACATGAGCGAATGCCCCAAGGACGGGAGGGAGAGTTGAGGCTTGGCTGCTCTCTTTGTAGGGAATCGACGACAACGCTCGCAAATAGGTAGCTATAAGCAGCAGCCTTGCGGAAAGTCAAATGTCTTGTCGAATGATTGCGTTGCCATAGTCTCGGAAAGTATAACATCTTTGACTGCCGCAGGTAGGCCGGCAACCTTCAATTTCACCGGGCCCTTGCCCATCTTGCCAGTGGACTAGTAATGTGCTGGAAGAATAAAAAGGTTACTCACGCCACTGTTTCCCGTTCACTTTGGTGAAGCAGGATTTCACTCGATCATCATTGATTCCAATCTTATCAATCGTGACTTTCGCCATGTCTTCAACGACTTCTCCCATTTCAAGGTGTTGTTTGTGGAAGTGTTTGATGCTGAGTGCGGGAAAGCAGAGAAGTCGCCGTTAAACCTCGGCTTCAGAGCTCCAGCCGTCGGCCCAATGTAACCCATGTAAGTCCAGGGATAGGAGGTACCGTGCATGTATACAGCGCGCAATCGCAGGTGTGGACGAGGTATGGTTGTCTGCCGTTGAAAGTTAATTTGACAATAGGCGTGCCGTTACATATCATCATCATCCAAAGCCTGGCAATAGACTACATACACAATCATACAGAGCCCATGCGGGCTAATAGATGACATTGTCTTCGTCACCTTCAACAATGTGGTCGCCATCAACATCGTCTTCTGCCTCCTCTTGGTTTTGTTCACTCGCAGTCGCCTGCCTATTCGTCTCAACCTCCTGAACACCGTCTACCTGTACCTCCTTCTGCGTAGCGACCTCTGGATTCTCATCTCCATTCGCGCTGTCAATGCTAGGATCAGCAGGCTTCGATATAGATTCAGAGTCAGCAGAATCAATGTGTGCGGCCTGTTTGGGCTCCTCGGAGTTGTCTTGTAGTGCTTCGGTTACCACAGGCTGCGATGCTTCTCGATCGCTAGATTGCTGGTCGGTACCCTTACCGTCCAGCACCTCGAGCCGCTTCTTCTTCTCGATCTCGRAGTCGGCAAGCTCTTCGTCAATTTGAGTACGAACCGCTGCGAGCTGGTCTTCGATTCGAGCTTCTTCGTCGGGGAGGAGGTCCCAAGGTCTGTAATACTACTGCAGGTCAGTTGCAACCCAAGTATGGAATATTGGAGCATAATTACCAGCCTGGGTTCTGCTTCCGTTTGCAACATGTTCGCTATATCGAGCAGATTCCTGTGTCGAGTGTGCATCTGCGGGACCTGTCAGCATTGGTGCGGTGCAATGAGAGCGCTCTCCAACTCACGTCTTGCTYATCGACAGATATCTGCACCCTTTTTCGATGCTGAGCGAGTTCCCGCAAGCGTCTCTGCTTGTCCTCGAGTCGTTCGTTATCCTGTTTCGCGAGCTCAGCCTTTCTTCTTGCCTCAATGTCTGCTCTTCGCTTCGCAGCTCGGTCATTGGGCTGCTGGGCGTTCAAATTTCCAAGAAGGGCCCCGAATAGTCGCTTGCTGCGCTGCTTGTCATCAGGAATCGCGCTTCTTCGTCGTGAGTCGCGGCTTGATTCGTTCTTCTGGGCAGGCTTCGTGGTGTGGTCCGGGCTCTCCGGTAAGGTGGTGGGCTCCGTGTTGCTGGCCAGTGGGTCTTTTGGTGTGATCTTACCCGCACTGGTCCGCCGTCTCTTGCTGTCTTCCGTCTCGAGATCATCCGACTGCCGCCGCTTTAATCCATTGTGGTTCGAGTCCAGTTCCGAGTCGTCGGGAACGATAGCAACAGCAGATGCGACCCTGAATGTTCATTAGTCTATGATCGGAATATTCTATTCGCGCAGAGGTGTAGCTCACATTTCCGACATTTTGATGTACGGCTGAGGAAGGCGCGTGTCGTGCTAGAGGTAAGGTAAAGTATCGTAAAAGGTCGATGTGATGGCACGCGAGCTGACAAGCTTCAAAGCTCAAGTTCAAGTTTAGCCGACTAGAACGGAACTAGCACGCGAGATCGCGGTTCCCGAATTCGACCCCAGTCCTCGTTCGTCCTCTTCTCGACATTCACTTGTGACTTCTATGTGCTTCTGCGCGCAAGATACTTACCTGACCGCGATGCACTTAACATCAAACACTTGACAAACGCAATCGATCGATTTCTCGTCACCACTATGGATGCCTCTCTGCGCAACACAGAAGCGCTGAAAAGCAAGGAACAACCTCGAAACCAATCAGACTACGCTAACAAGACCAAAGGCAGAATCGATTATCTTCAAAACAATCTTGCAAGACGATTCGAAAACCTCATCAGCCTTGCAACCATTCAACGCGGAGACCGAGCGGACTCTGCCGTCACACAGTATTCCATGAAGACCGAGACGGCAGGCTTGGTACGCATATCTTGCAATGCTCACGAGATATCAATTCCTGACATGTGACTTAGATCCGTGCCGCCGAAGAGATTCAAACGCTCATCCGCCAGATGCAGGAGATGTGGCTCTTCGGTCGCTTGAGCACGCTTGAGGACTCCAAGGCCAAGGCAGAAGTCGATGAAACTGCGAAAGAGGTAGCGGAGCTGGTCCGCAAATTGACAGAGGCAAGCGAGACGCCAGACAATGTCGAGTCTGACGCAAAGGACGTGGAGATGGAGATTTGAGAACCTGCCCTTCTGTTGACCTGGACGTTGACGAAGGACCCATTGGACTGGACCTTCAGTGATACCCTTGACGCCGCAGGATTCGCTACGGACCGAGCCTCAAGTTGTCTACGGGTCCCAACACCCAGATGCAATGGCTACAATGGGGACTTCCCTTGGACTCATTGCTCTCCTCCTGAAGTGCTATTGGCGGAACGCATCAATGGTCCAACCGAGGAACACGGAAATAATTGCGCCGTGAGATTTCTATGTGTGCAGAATGCAACATCCCGCTGAGCCAGCCCGACGAAGCTTCCGAGTCTCATGGAAATGATGCATGCTAGTATCATCAGAAGCGCGAAAAGATACAGTCCTGGTACGAGTCGAACGAACACATTCCGGCCGCAGTCAGGCGCTCAAAGACGGCTGATGGAGATATTGGGTCGTGCTTTGACTGCGGGTAACACATTCGCTGGACGTGCTGACCACGGGACCAATGCACATGGTTTACGATGTTTGTCGGGTGCTCTGTGATGATTGTACCGCTCGGACTTCCTCATGCTAGCCATGTATCTGCCAGTGGAGCATTGTGCATGTATCTATGGTCCCAGATTGGGCGGACTGCTACAACTACAGCTTCAGAAGTCAAACAGCATAGGACTGCCGCCGAATCTCGCCAATTGGCTCTGACTGTTGTGGGCTATCATTCGCAACGTGCGACCTTGGTTGAATGCAGGATGCCCTTCGGACAACAGCAGAACGTTGCAGCAGAGGAGTTATCGCACGAGGAGGGGCTTTCGTGGGATAATAGACTGCCCGCCGTACGAGCATGATGAGTGTACAAAGACGTCCTGGTAGGATCGTGAGACGAGTGGCTCAAAAATGTGACACGAGATATAGTGTAGATTGGGGWAGAACGTGAGGTGACCAAACCACTAACAAAGAAAGCAGCGGCTTCCCACCCCGTGGCGCTCTCGTTCTGAACACAGAGCAGGACAGATGTGGAGCAAACTCAATAGTTTCAAAAACTAGCTATCATGCAGGGCGTACATGAGACAGCCGTGGCTCCCCACGATTTTCTCAGGCAGTGGACGAGGACAAGGGTGGAGATGGCAATAAAGGCACCAAAGCCGTYCGAAGCGTTGCAGCCCATGCTCGGTATGTCCGCGATGAGCTGAACAGGGTTGATGATTCAAGCCAGTACAGCATCTCTTCGAATCGGAGGTTGTTCCCGACGACCAAAGGGCCAGTTTCGCGTCGATATGACGAGGATTGATTCGCTGCCGACGTACGAACGTCAGGACACTCGAGAGTGCTCTGGGCGTGGAATCGCTTTGATGTAAAGTGATGCTGTAGTTAGAAACGAGATGAAATACTTTAATGTGTCGTTGACGCAAAGTTGCGTGTGACGTGAAGTAGAGTATTAGGGAACGAGGGAAGGACGCCTCTCCGCTGCCGCTGGCTTGGCTCCACTGTTCCTGTCGGTCGTTCACAAAGACAAGACACCCTCGCGACATCACCCTTGCCTTGATGCTCAGAGACGTGCATGCAATACGAGTTGTTTGTTTGCTTTGACGCCGTCACTTCTCCCTCATCCTCGCCTCGCCCCACCGCTCGATTACCAAGATCCAACCCGAACCGACTCGGGCCAACCCATGCCGGCGGCAGAGTGAGCAGGAACCCCCAGATCTGCCAACAGAGCACCGACATTTCCAGGAACCGAAATACAGAACCACAACACGGGACGGGATTTGCTGCAAATGACATCCACCAGCGGCCCGCCGACGACCCTTTCCGCCGCTCCTCCACGCGCGTAGAACGGCAGACGTGCCACCGTCGGGGGTGACGAACCTCCCTCAATACAACACAATAATGGACCCTCCACGCATGGACGCCATTCTCTCCACCGCGCCCGCTTCCCCAACCTGCGAGGTGCTGAGCCAGACCTCCGCCGCCGACACCGCCTCGACGACCAGCATGCTTCCCCCACAACACTCCACCATGGCTTCCCTGAGCTTTGGCCCGGCTACCCAACAGACGGTCACTACTGTGACTACTACCACGACCGTTTCCCTCCCTCCGCTGATTATGCGGCCGCCCAAGGATCTTTTTGACCGCGACCCGAAACAGTACCCGCTCGCCTTCTCGCCCACACCCCACACGATCAAACGCTTCTGCTTCGACGTGAATGGCAGACCTACCGTATTTCACGAATCCGAGAACCCGGAGGAGACCACGCGGAGGTATCACGAACTGCAGGCCAAGATCCACCGAAATCATGGCCTCATACGGCAGGAGGATAAGCAGGAGAGCTACCAAACCCCTTATGGTGAGCCGTACATGCCCTCCAGTAAGAGCATACATAATGTGCGTGCCTCGAGCGCGCTTAAGCGGACTGCGACTCCGCCATCGATAGCAGAGGCGGCGGAGCTAGCTAGCATGCAAAGGAAGACGAAGAAGCAGCGATCTCACCTACACAGAACGTACTCCGAGCAGGACGAGGAGCCTTCGATTAACGACCGTATCGCCGCAAGGGCTGCTCCCCCTGCGAGTCAACATTCACCCGTCACGCCAGATGTCCCACCGAACACGTCGGCTGCCAAAGCTGCGATGCAGAAGAAAATGCGAACCACAAGTAGGGCATCGCATTCCAGGATTCGCGAGCTACAGGATGATCGAGAGGATGTGGATATGGCGGACAGTGAACTGCCGGATGCAGATCCTCAACTTGGACCGCCCTTGTACAGCCACAGGAAGAGCAAGAACAGAGATCATGGCGGTGGCACTAATGCTGGTGCGATTGGGGCCGCCGCAACGCCGCCTATCACGGACGCGGACATGGAGCCTGTCGTCCACGAACAGGAGCCGCGGCGTCACAACCTGCCCAGCATACTAACCGGCTCACATCAGGATGCAAGTTTGCCCAGCCCGAGTCTGTCACCCATTACCGCAGCAGCCAATCTTGCATCACGACAGAACGCTTTTGATCATTCATTTGCCGAGCATAATGACGAGAACAGAAGCGTTATGTCCGGAATGGATCTGGAGGAGGATGGTAGTAAGACTCAAAGCGCAAACTCCTTCGATTCTCAACCATCAAGGAGGTCCGGCAAAGCACCGCTCAAATTCGCAAACGGAGCTCAGCGCTCGGCAACTTCACCCACTATCATGGACATACCTACAATGGTAGAAGCATTCGACAGTATGCCCGAAGCAATGCAGACGTACCTGGTCTACCAATTTTTACGCCGCTGCGCCAAGCCGACGCTTCAGATGGTAGCAAATGTCGTCAACCCTGCACTCAAATGCGATCCGTTCAGCGTCCTCCCACCTGAGCTTGGACTCAATATCACTCGCTTCCTCGACGCGCAGAGCATGTGTCGTGCTGCCCAGGTTTCCAAGCGATGGAGAAAGAACATCAACTCCGACGAGAAGGCATGGAAAGATTTACTGAAGCGAGACGACTTTGTTCTTCCGAGCGGAGAGATTGCGAGAGCAGTTCGTGAAGGCTGGGGCTGGCAACACCCGGGTGAGTCGGGGTATGAAGAGGATCTCAGCAAGCGACCCCTCAGCTGTCCATCGGACACCGGAAACGACACGATTGTTAGCGACGACGATCTCACAGCTTCATCATCATTCACAACGAGGGCGACAAAAAAGAAGTCTTTGGTCAAGTCGTCGGGTTCCAAGAAGTCGAAGCGTCGTCCAGCCCACGCTTCATCCGCAATCACGAAACCAACAGCACCCCCGAACAGCAAATGGTTGGAGCTGCTCGGTACTGCCAAAGGTGCGATCGCATTTGCCACTGCCGCTGCGCAAGCTGTGCCTCATCCAGGTAATGGCCTGGAGAGTCTTCGCAACATGCATCTCTTCAAGTCACTATATCAACGCCATTACCTCATTCGCAAAGCTTGGATGACGGAAGAAAGCCAGCCTCAACATCTTGCGTTTCGCGCTCACCACAGGCATGTGGTTACTTGCCTCTTGTTTGATGGTGACAAGATTCTCACCGGCAGTGATGATACCAAGATCAACGTCTATGACACCAAGACAGGTGCTCTTCGTAACCGCCTCGAAGGTCACGAAGGCGGTGTGTGGGCGCTGCAGTACGAGGGTGATACTCTCGTCTCAGGATCCACCGACCGCAGCGTGAGAGTTTGGGACATCAAAAGCGGCAAGTGTCTGCAGACATTCCAAGGTCACACGTCCACTGTGAGGTGTTTGGTTATTTTGAAGCCTGTGCAGATCGACACAGAGCCTGACGGCACCCCAGTTATGATGCCAAAGGAGCCTCTTATCATCACCGGTTCTCGTGACTCGACTCTTCGGGTGTGGAAGTTACCGCAGCCAGGCGACCGCCAAATATTCCAGGCTGGTCCTCCGGCAAATGACCGAGACAACCCATACTTCTTGCGAACCCTCTCCGGCCACCATAACTCGGTGCGCGCAATTGCTGCTCACGGCGACACACTCATATCCGGATCGTACGATTGCACTGTCCGCGTGTGGAAGATTTCCACAGGCGAGCTTGTTCATCGTCTTCAGGGTCACTCTCAGAAAGTGTACAGTGTTGTCTTGGACCATGCCCGTGGGCGTTGCATTTCCGGTTCGATGGACAACCTTGTTAAAGTGTGGGATCTTGCCTCCGGAGCTTGCCTTTTCACCCTAGAGGGACACACTTCCTTGGTCGGCCTTCTCGACCTCAGCCATGATCGCCTTGTGTCTGCCGCTGCGGATAGCACTCTTCGCATTTGGGACCCGGAAAACGGCACCTGCAAATCTACTCTATCCGCCCACACGGGCGCCATCACCTGCTTCCAGCATGATGGGCAAAAGGTCATCTCTGGCTCTGATCGTACATTGAAGATGTGGAACGTGAAGACGGGAGAATGCGTGCGGGATTTGCTCACAGACCTGAGCGGTGTGTGGCAGGTGCGTTTCGATGAGCGACGCTGTGTAGCAGCTGTTCAGCGGAACTCACTCACATATATCGAGGTACGTCTTTGGATCGTGACTCTCACCTTTTGCATTGCTAACTTCATGCCAGGTCCTCGACTTTGGTGCCTCTCGCGATGGCGTTCCCGAGAGTCAGCGCGGCCGTCGCGTTGTCGTTGACTGCCGCGGCAACGAGATTGAAGACGTCGACACCAGCTCTATCGAYCAGGATGCTGCTGCTGCTGCGTAGGATGCTTTCCAGTAGGCCACGCCTGCATTGAAGCTTCATCGAGTTTCACTACTGCAGCATACGCCAACAACGACGGTGGCGGCAAACGAACTTAGGGAGCCTCATGATTCTTATGACAGAGCGCAGCGTTTACAGCGTGGGCATTTGCAGGAGTCCTTGTTCAGGAATTGGTAATGAGATGAAGATTTTACAGCATGGCGTATCGGACGGTGATCACCAGTAGCCTCTTGTGGAGTTTGTGCTATATTCATGAGAGCAGGACAGGCTTGTTCCTACGCCTGCCTCGACGTGCAAAATGGCGATCAATGACATGCGTTGTATCTTATTAGCGACTAGATTAGATGGACGATTGTGCTTTTTAGGAGTATTGGATGCTTTTAGCGGTGTTCGATTCCTCGGATTTTGTTCTATGTGGGTATCATAATGGTCTGGTGTGATCGTGCAAATGTTTTCAGTCAGCGACTTAGTTCTCCTTTGGCATCCTCTTGTTCCGCTTCCTCCATAACTGCACGCCTGCGTCTATCTCAGCAGAGCTCACCCCATTTCTCACCAACTGCATTACAACGCCCAACTCTTCTGTATTCTTATTACGGCTCTCATCATCGAAGAACAACATCTCTTCGTATGGCAGCCCACTTTTCTTATGTAAACTCTTGAAATGGGTGATCTTGTTGCCAGGATAGATCTCCTGGTAACAGAAAATGGTCAGTAACTTTCAAGAGCAGAAAGCAGACTCGGCTCCGTGCTCATACCATATGATCAAACATGCTGATCGCCGTCCTTGCCGCCGACCCTTCATCTTGCGAGTCCCTCGGTATCCTCAACAGCGAAAGCAAACTCCTCGCAAGTTCCGGTGCTGAAGTCCTCGAAGCAGCTCCCAGAACGATGCCATGTGCTTTGATATGCGAGAGTATCGGAGCAACTTCATTGTAGAATCCACATTCCTCGCCGTAATGATCTTTGGCTGTGAGACCTGTGGGAGAAGCTTTAAAAGGTCCCGAGACGTGTGTGTCGACCCAAAAGGGCCAGAGGGTGTAGTCTAGGTCGAAGACCATGAAACTGGGGAGGGGAAGGCCATCGGTGAATGTTGAGGGTGGTGGGAGGGAGGAGGCGGGAAGGGTTATGGGTGTTTGGTTGTCTTCGCCGGTAGTATCCGATTCGTGAGTGCGGCTGAACCGCCCCATGACTATGGCTGTTGTGAGGGCGAGGAAAGCGAGGATGATCCAGGAGAGGCGATGAGATTTTGGCCTTGGCGGGGATTTGGAAGCCACAATTGTAGAGAAGTTCAAGACGGTTGAGTACACAAGGTATGGGCGTATCGGGATTCGTTCTGGTATGGGTGGACCTCTAATGGGTGGTGAAGGTTGTAGCTGTTGTTCACATGTCGAAGTTTTGGCAATTCACTTGGAATGACGTAGATCTGGCGTAGGACTCGGAGAAGCTTATTATAGGAATGTCCGGAACTCGCTCCGGCTACATACCAACAGCACCACCACTATAGTGTTGAATCGCCACCTGCGGTGCTCGGTTCGTGCTCAGCCCAAAAGCCCACCTCACGCATGCGAATGACGGAACATGAATCGCTAAGTCTAACAGCAGAATCAATCCGGTTTCTCCATGCAAGTTTCGCAGAACATTGTCTATACATGTAAGTGATAGAGGTCAGCGAAGCTTGCATGACCAAAGGTTTAAGAGACGGGCAATTGAAGCTTGCCGACTCTGATTGTTGTGGAGTCGACGACGACGCTCGCAAATAGGTAACTGTAAGTGCAAATAGAAGCAGCCTCGCGGAGAGTCAAGTATCTCGTCGGACGGCTGCAGTTTCGAGAATCTCCTTATCCGGGTCACTTAGAGAGCGCTAGTGCCTATAGCAGAAAGCATCGCAATGACGGTGAAGTGATGGGATCAGGCGCCTGCCGCGGGGTCTACATGTAATGTAAAACACACGCAATGATGGCATGCATGAATGTGTAGACAAAGGAACATCGTCGGGAGCAAAGTCCGATGTCGTCATTATAACCGCTATACTCAACATCCCGGACAATGACAGGAACAAAACAATAAACCTCATCAACCTACCTCTCTCCGAAAGAGCCCCAACTTCATGTCATTACTCGCCCGATCAGTCAATACTCGAAGCTTCACCATTGCCCGTAGAGCCCCATCCGCAACTGTCAATCTGACCAGAAAAGTCAACATGTCTTCTCCTTCCCAATTCGGCGAGCTCAAGATCGAGAACACATCAATCAAGACCGCCCCTGGTGTGGAGCTTTCGCAGAGGCAACAAACCCTCCTTGGATCAGTCCTGGACTTGTTTGCTGGCCGCCCCTCTCTGGCTAAGCTTCAACTCTGGACCGACGACGCCACATTCGAAGACCCCATTACGATTGCTAAGGGACGGAAACAGTACGCATATAACGTCTATTGCTTGCATTGTCTCTGAATGAGCTACTGACTGTGTCAATCAGGTACGARCCGCAGTGGTAAGTGAAGGACAAAAGGCATCCCATGCTGGTATTGAAAATTAAGGCCAGCGAGGATACCTCTACGCACCGAAGCCCTGAAATAATTCTCTGCTCGCCCAGGATATCTCAGACACTGCTGACCCTTTGCCCTTTGCTTTTAGGTATGGTCTACAATCCGCTTTCTCRGAAATTGAGCGAAAGAGCCATGAAGTGACCAGCGCTGGAAACCCAATTGAGATGGACATGACCACCAGATATGTGGTAAAGGGTATCAATGTTGAGAAAGTCATAGTCAGCAAGATCCTTGTCTACCTCGATGACGCGGGGGAGAAAATCGTAAAGGTCGAAGACAAGTGGAACGGAAACATGCCAACCTCCGCAATTGCGAATGTAAGTTCTTCCTTGCAGTACCTCAGTCCTTTTTGGTGGTTGCGATACTCCGAGGGCTGGGCCTGGTGGTTATGGAGTTTCACTTGGGAGACGGCCGTATGGAGGGTGAGAGAGCCTCTCTTGCCCCTGAAGCGTTGCTCATCAGACTCCGGCTGACTGACTCGTTCTCAGGCTTTCCGCAGACTGAATGCCAACTCGGTTCCACTCATGATCAGCGTGCCAAAGAACGCTGAGGAGGATGCAAAGAGGGGCAACTAGATGTCCGCTTCGTTCAGTGTATAAACACCTGTGCTCACTAAATTTCAATTCCATTTTTTGATACTCATCCTTATTTCTGAGGCCTTTTGAGACATACCCGCTGCCTTCAATTCAAGAGGTTGTGAATGTTCGATCTGCTCGGACCTGGTGCTTCTTCACGGTCATCCTGGGGTCGTGGATGGCCGGCTTTGGCGACGCTTAGGATCTCTTCTTCCATTCCAGTCAGGACTCCAACTTTGATCCCAGCAGCCTCAAGCCTGGCCCTACCACTATTCGTAGCAACCAAGTCTTTCGGCTCGCCAACACCGCAGATGACCGTGCTGATCGTCTGCTTTCCCTCGGCCGTCTTCAAGGCAAGAATGCGGTCCACGCATGGCAGATTGCCCACACTGCGCTGATTGCAAGGCTCCATGGTGGTATACAGCAGGATGTCACCGTTCATGCGGCTGCCCAGACTTTCGACATCGCAGTCAAGACTTTCCGCGAGTTTGATGAAGCAACATTGCTCGGCGTGGGTGTTCCCTTCACATTCGAGGGTGTAGCCCGTGGCTAGAATGGACGGCGGAGTAATGCTTGTTGCTGCGCGGAGCAGAAGAGCACCCACACAGTAGTTGGTTGGTTTCGGAGGTGACTTCCGAGCTTCCTCAAGAGCAACTCTCATGTAGTGGCTAGCGACTTGGTGTACTGCTGGGATTTGGAGCATCGATGAGGTGTATTCATTTGACTCGTGGCCGACCTCTGGCTGCTCGTCATCTTCGATGATTATGCCATGCTGCTGAGCGATATTTGAGGATGTCATATCGCTGAGAGCACCTTCCTTTACCATCACATGCTTGGGTGTAGCAAGTAAACTTTGTTTGTAAAGTGAAGGACACGACGGGAACATTTTATCCAGAATCAGCGCCGACATCGCCCTCGGCCTCGGCAGAGCGAAAAACTCCTGGGACAATTATCCACCTGCACGAATGAAGCCTGTTTGTCTGCTAAATTGTACAATTGAGGTCAAAGACCAGTGGCGCGTAACACAATGAGCCATGTAAGGACTGAGTGAATGTTTTGATGAAGCAGCAACGCTAACGCGTTGATGGACAGGGTGATGCAGAGACACCCTGGGTAGTCTCACTGCTCGCAGGCGGCATTGCCGGAGCAGTTGAAGGTGCCGTCACAGTAAGGACGAGATCTTCAGCTCCTTGGAGGATGCTCACAGTATGCTGATCAAAAACTATCTTAGTACCCGTTTGAATTTGCCAAAACTCGAGTACAGCTTCGCGAGCAGAAGGGCAAACCAACACCCAAGAACCCCTTTAAAGTTGTATATGGAGTGTACGCCAATGAGGGAATTGGGGCATTGTAGGTATACCGTAATGCATCCGATGGTCGTCGCAGAGTCTCTCTGCTAGACATACTCCCAGCAGCATCGAGCAGATGTCAGGGGTTGGACGACTAGATGAAGCCCAACATCCAGCAAACTGACACGTCTATCCAGATACAAAGGATGTATGCCTCTAGTCATAGGCTCTGTAGGCAAAGATGGAATCCGCTTCCTCTCCTTCGACACCATTAAGAACTCCTTCAAAGATCCCGAAACAGGCACACTCTCTCCAATACGCAATTTGTTAGCAGGAATGGCCTCGGGAGTCGTCGCATCCATCACATGCGTGACGCCCTCGGAACGGATCAAAACCGCTCTGATCGACGATGCAAGGAACGAGAAAAGATACAAATCAGCAACTCACTGTGTGAAAACCATCTTGCTTGAAGATGGAACCCTGGGTCTCTATAGAGGTTTCGCGGGAACAACCCTCAAACAGGCCGGCGCCACCGCTTTCCGAATGGGAACCTACAATATCCTCAAGGACTTTGAAAAGACGCGGGACATTCCTCAATCCACGCTCACGAATTTTGCAAACGGGTCCGTTGCTGGCATCGTTACGACTCTGGCAACCCAGCCTTTCGACACGATCAAGACGAGATGTCAGAGTTCCAAGGGGGCGAGTACGGTCGAAGCGTGGAAATCCATCATTGCCGATTATGGTGTGAAAGGGTTCTGGAAGGGGACGACGATGAGGTTGGGTCGCACGGTGTTCAGTGGAGGGATTCTGTTCACGACGTATGAGTGGGYGGCAGCAATCTTGAATCCGATGTTTATCAAGAAGGACGCGGTGTGATGAGACCGCAAGGATGTGGGCGGCGGTCACTGAGCAAGATGAGTGCTGTAGTTGCATGAAATGTACAACGACTCGACTCAATATTTGCCGCCACTTCAGTAGGCGTGTGAAATGGAGGCATATTGGTGTCATGTCAATGTCCGCCTTCTCAACAACCAAAAGGGACTGTTGCCGGTGAAGTCAGCCATCTGAATTGACAGCCCGCCATCTTGTTGTGTAGATGCCATAAAATGATTTGCTGCCACGAGACTGCTCGGTTTCGTGGCCAAGATGACTTTCTATGTACACGACTAAGTATCACTTCGCGATCCTCCTGGTATTATGTGCCACGCTATGCAATCGCTGGGTATGAGTCGCCAAGCGCAAGAAACACGTCAAAAAAGGAGCCACCATCATTTCAGTCACCGCCCTTCTGCCCTTTCTGCGTCTTCTCGTCCTCCTTCTCTTCATCTTCCTCGTTGTCTTCCTTTCCCCTCTTCTTCTTTCTCTCTCTCTGCAGGGCTTTTCTGACTTTCTCATCGCCCTCATCCTTCGTCTCATCCCATTCCACATCATACTCTTCGGCGACCATCTTAATCTCACGTCGGAGTCTGTTTCCCTCTTCGATCAACATCTCCCAAGCTGGCAAATCGAAGCCCTTCGCTTTGTAAAGCGTAGCTTGCCGCCTTGACACTGTCAGGTTCATGGCGCTCTTATAGCTGACTTCCCTGTTGTGGTATAGGAACCACAAGTATCCTCCGATCAGACCTGATAGCCCTACTAGGTATGTAACAGGCTCCATGACATCCCAGCCCAGATCCGTCATGAAAGTTGCGTAGTACACGGCCCCCCACCAGCCTAGCAGTCCTGCGAAACCGAGCCGCGCAACATTCTTGGCGCCGCTGTGGGCTAATCGGTCGCAATCCTCTTTGACGTCCGCCATGGTGGAGATGCGCTCCGCGACTTTCCGGAGACGCATTCGGAGGTAGAACGTTCGATCAGAGAAGGAAGGGACGCCAACGTAGATTGGTTCCGGGGCACCTTCGATTTCTACCGCGAACTCTTTGCCCCGAGCTGCATCACGAATGAAGTCTCCGATTTCGGTGCTAGGGCTCCAGCGAACAAAGTTGGTATAATCTGGATCCTTGACGGTACGCTGATCTTTCTCGACCTGATCCTCTTTGACCTCCTTCTTGCCGCCTGAGATCTTGCCCGTCCGTTCCCGTTTGCCAGCCACCATAGTCTCGTCCGCTCCCTCGCCTGCGATGTCTTCGTCAACCACCACATCTTCGACGTCATGTCCAGTCGTTTCCTCCATGCTGTCCTCTGCGCGAAACACAACATCGGGCGCCCGTTCCCGACCTTTGCTCTCGTCCCAGAGAAACGGCAGTTCGCTTTGAATCAATCGTTCGAGATAGCTTAGCGGTTGCTGTGGATGAACGAGCAGGGCTAGAGGTTCGATGTCTTTGCGGTCTGCGTTCCTGTCCCGCGTGCTCAAGGGCAGTACTAGCTTCAACATTCGCGAAGGTGTCGTGAGGAGTTTGCCCTTCGTCATTGCACCTGCAGACCGGAGGCGGTGGACGGGAGACACATCACTACCCTCACGCATCCAGGGCGAGCGTGCCTGCATCTCTTTGCTCTTGTTCTCAACGCGAGAGTAGTGATCTTGCTCCTCGGGGGTGACATTTTGGCTGAGCTCCGTGGCGGGTCGACTGAAGGAGCTGTCCGTTGCGGATATGGTATTGAAGGGTTCCTTGCGCTCTCGTGGGAAGCGCTGTATGCGAGAGGTAGCGAACGTTCGATTTGATCGCGTGCATGGGAGGTGGGAGACGCGCGTGGAGGGCCGGGCAGCGGGAGCAGCTTGGACAATCAAGCGAGACAGAAAGGGCTCCATTCTGGTAAGGTTCCCAGGTGTGCGACCGGCGCACAACATCGCGTGGAATGAACTAGGACATGGGGATGAGAAGAAGACACGCAGGGAATAAGAAGAATCAAGTATTCTGTGCCCAGCCTTGCATGGGATAGGCTCGTCGTGTTGTTAGAGCTCGCGGCGCCGATCAAGAAATGACGTATTGGGAGCTCATCTCCGGGAGACAGCCCGGCGCGGCACGATTGTGAGATAGCGGTATAGCAGATCTCCATCGTACAACGACGACTCTAACTGTCAAGTTCTTAAGCATGTACATTATGTAAAGTGTCCAACCGGAACAAGAAGATGACCACCCTTTTACGCCATGCTAATGCCTGCACACGCCGTGCGACCTGCACATCATCCGTCATCCTCCATCCAGTACCTGCCCGGAATGCGCTCATCTCCGCATCAACAACAGCCCTCCAACAACCTGTAGTCCAACGACTACCAGCAGCAGTCTCAGCCATCCAAGAGCCTGCTTCATCACAGCATTTGCAGGGAGGATCAATATAGTTCCACAAGCTGCTGCCTGCGTAGCTGGTAAGTTGGGCCCTTTCGCATACAACGTCGAGCAATATGATTGCCCATACAGCGGTGTCTCGCCGGACCCCTGCGTTGTAGCATATGCGCCATATGCCCCTCCTCCATATTGCGGTGCTTGTGTCGTGTATGATGGTGGAACATGTTCTTGCGCGCCGCCTGGTTGTTGGGGATTTCCTATGCAAGTTTGTCCCTGGGGACAACACGCTACTACGCTATTTCTCCACGAGCATACTTGCTCTGAAGGGCAGCAGCTGAAAGGCATTAGCCATGTGCCTTGTCTGGGAAAGGCTTGTGAGACTCACAAATATGGTTGCTGGATATTCGTGCAGCTGACTGGATTGTCAGCTGGACACTGCGCTGGGACAGCGTTGGTGGCCGATTGTTGAGGGTTTGGAAAGCTTCCCACGCCCGCGGCGTTTGGGACTCCATTGACGATTTGCAAGGCGCCGGTGAATTGTATGTTCTGTGCTGCAGATAGTTGGGCGAGAATGAGCGCTATGGGCCATATGGAGGAAAGTGATGAACTTTTGCGTGGGCTGGTCCTCCACGCCATAGGMATGATTCGTTATCGGAGTCTTGTCCTGTTTGGCGGTCGATGGTGCAAAGGTCAAATGCTGCAACGCTTGTGCAATACAAGCAGATTTCTCGGATGATTGAAGACGTCAACCTTGAAAGCCGAAGAAGAGAAATGTGTGTTAGTGAGATAGGAAGTGATCAAGGTTGGCAACTGTCAGAAGGGAACCATGTGGACGAAGATGTGTGCGATAGCAATAGAGATGCAAAAGCGGGCTGGCCTCCCAACCACTGCCCAAAAAACTCACCGCTGACCGAAATCCGGCAGAGCGTGCAGGATTGTCCAAAGCTTCCAGTCTGGTCCGTTGACCTCGTGTCATGCAAACGCATCGTTGTCAAGGTCAGCCTCGCCTCAAAGATCGGGGACGAAGCGTTGCAACCCGCCGCCCACCTCCGCGCCTGGGCGCTGAGCAGTGAGGAATCAGGATGCATCTGATCCCGGGCATGCCCTTGCGAGGGTCATCGCAGCAAATGTGTCTGCACGTTCCATCGCTGTTCACTGTTCTTCCTGCTTGACTCGTTCGCGAGGTGCGAGAAAGACGAGAACAGCATCAACTGGTTGCGGGGGAGCTTGAAAGACGGACGGGAATAGAGTTTGTTAGTTGCCGGACGGCTGATATATAGCGCCGTCTCAGATCTGGTGGCCTAAACGGCTTTCGATAACTCCTACCCTCCTCGTTGTCTAGGTATACCACATGCTTTATGATTACGAAGCTGCCTTCAACGCAATCTGTCCCCGCTGCCTGAGCTCGCCGTTGTCCAACACCCGCCTCTCACCTCCGGCAACTGCGAGGTCTGCAAGAGCAGCTCCCAAACTCTCCAGCGGTATGTAATGCGTCGTAACCAGTCTGATGATGGACTCTCCGTTTGTGACCAAAGCAGGCTTTGTGACATACGACGTCCACTGCTTGCTGGTATCACTCTTCTCAAGGTCAAGAATATTCGTTTCGACCTCTCCCTGCATGCCATTAGGCTCGTTGCTACGGGTTAAGGAAGATGCTCGCACTTACCCGCATACGCCTCATTTCACCCAAGAACCATAGCGTCTTGCTCTTATCCGCCTCCACCAGCGAGCCAMTTACCAAGACGAAGCGAAACTGCTGTCCCTCCTTCAGGGTAGACTTGAGAGCTTTCACGGCGGCCATTGTGTAGTCCATGTGGACTTCGCGACCAGAAGTCGGCGTACCCAGCGCCCTACAAAATCTTTAGTGGTATACAGCAATCCGAGAATATTGACACTCCCTACCATATACACGCATCCGCTCCGGCGAGCTACTTCAGGACTTCCGGTTCGTAGTTGAGGAAATCCTTGACAATCGCTACATTCAGCTTCGCGTGCTCGACACCCAGTTTTCGGCGCGAAATGGCGACAACAGACGTTACAGCTGGGAGAGCAAGCAGACGCTGTAGTGCTCCACCTCCGATTTTGCCGGTCGCACCCGCGACAATGACCTTCATTGCGATTGTGTTGTTTGCTTGAGGCCAACACTTTGGATTGTATCTTGCTGAAGAGGTGAGACTGTCTATTCAAGACGTAGGTAAGCAACATCTTATCTCCGCAGGATGCAGCTCATTCCTGCGATCGACAAGTGCAACCTCGGCTTTTGGAAAGGCAGCTTCGCATGTTGCAACCTGTRCAATCGTTGCATAAAGCCATGCTCCTGGTCAGTATTCTCATGATCCGTACCTTAGTCCTGAGATGGCCGTTATGACCATCGTCAAGAGGTTGTTGGAAGGAGCAGAGCAATAACCGTCTTCGCCTCCGCTTTCGCACGCCCTGTTGTAAGATAGCATGAGTTGAAACACTTCAAGTCGGCGTTATCAACCACATATCATGCCCACCTGCAACGATATGTTGATAGTATGGCACGAACTGTTCGGCCAAGTTCCACTGTGGAGAGGCKAGCCGAACCGCAGTACAGTCGTTCGCCCCCACAAGCCTCGCAAGTGCTCACTAGATACTTGCATATCCTTTCCGACATCCTTATCTAGCAGACATCGAACACCCATCAAGCATGTCATCTAATACGCAAACAACACTGCTTGAAAAGCTATCCCTAATTCCTCTCCTTGGCCAGACCGTTGCATGGATCTTCATCCGTTCGATAACAGCACCTTTCCGCAATGGCCAGAAAGCCAACAAACCTCTCAAGGATATCTTGTTCGCCGGCCTGCGCTTCTTATCCGAGAACATTAGTGAGTATTGGGAAGTCTCTGCGGAGGCTACCGTGTTGATACTTGAGACTCGCTGATGTCCCTACAGCCGCTGCTCAAGAAGCATGGACCAATCGCAATAACTCCACAGAGAAGGAGTATTTGGCTTTTGCGAAGAAAACCCAGATGGAGCCAGTGATAATAGGCCTTGATTCCGGATTGAAGCTCTGCTGGGTCGGGCCCAAAGATGCTAAAAATATCATGTTGTACCTGCACGGTGGCGGATTCGTCGGGGCTGCTTCGCCAGGTCATCTCCAATGGGCGGCAGAACTTCAAAAAACCTGCTCAAAAGATACGAGCTTCASCGTTGTGTTCGCGGCGTATACTCTCACCACCCCTACTGGTGGAAGATATCCGGTCCAGCTCCGAGAAGCTGCTGATGCTCTCCATTGGCTTATTGAGAAGCATGGCAAGAAGCCCAGCGAGATCATTCTTGGAGGGGTGAGTTGCATGATCTTGATCTTCGAAGCGTTTGTTGACGAGACCTTACTGCAGGACTCCGCAGGTGGCAACCTTTGCCTCGCACTGCTGAGCCATATGTTGCACCCACATCCAGAGGCTATCAAGATTGATTTGGAAGAACCTCTTCAATCTGCCGTTCTGATTAGCCCTTGGGTGTCTTTTGATATCGAGGACAGCTATAGAAGAAATGCTCACAGCGACTTTCTCACTCCAAAGTCGTTGCAGCGATGGTCTTCCATGTATAAACGTGAGTTCAATTCTGGACTGCGAGGCTGCAAACGTGAATATCATCGAACGAATCGCCACGCGAGGATTTGATGTTCACCGTCATGACCGGACAGATCTCATCACAAAAGCGACAGAATGGTGCCTTCCAGCGGTAATCCTTATTATTGATAGAGAGCGGCACACTTGGTTTCACTGTTCCTCGGACGCCAGATACGACTCCATGCTGATGAAAGTTTCTACAGACACATCTGTGCCCGACAACTTCAACGAGCCGATTCGGGCTGATGAGCAGTGGTTTTCCGGTCTTGATAACATCGTCAAGGTATGTACCACGATTCGAAACGAGGTGTGATGACTTGTCCACGGATGCAAACTGACTCTGGCAGGACATTCTAATTTTGGCTGGAGGAGCTGAGGTCTTCGTCGATTCGATCCAGAAGTTCACCAAGACAGTGCAATCGGTCCACCCACGAGCCGAGCTGGTAGTTCAAAACGGAGCATCACATGTCGATCTTATCATTGAGATGTTGTTGGGGTACGGTAAAGGTAAGGACGCGGTCCTGATTGAGGAATGGATTTCAGAGCGGATCATGAGTCTGCAAAGATAGCCTGGCGGGCGATATTCAAAGTCATTGGACATTCCCGCGATGTCAGGTCTCTGGCTACCATATTCGCATCTGCACAACTTCTCTCAGTAAAACTCAGCGCTCTGCCATCGAGATCAACCATGACACTGATGTCTTCTTTCTATCTTGTAGCGCCACCGCTTCGTGCATGACAAATAGCCAGTTCGATCTGGTCAAATCCACACTGGGCAGCCAGTCGAGCAGACCACGATTCCATTAAGCTCCCACCAATGCTAATGCGTGCAACCATGGAGTGTAACCCACTCAGTGTTCGTGATCTTGAGGTTGGCTAAGGACTTGTCGCCGATGAGAGGTTGACATGAGTATCCAAGTTGATTGTGGTAGGTGAACACACTCGATTTCATGCAGTTCGGCAAATTGCGTCCAAAAAACCGCCGGGAAGTCTTGCTCAGACAGCATGGAGTGTCACGTTATCCATCCAATGGCGGTGGCAGCGTGCCTATTCATAGCATAATACTGCGACGCGATTCGTTCTCCCAGGTAGCTGCTCCGTAGTCTGGTCTCTATGTTATTCCACGTTCTTGCGGCTCCCGAGTCATTCGACTTCAGCTAGCTTGTGCGACGACGTGCTGGAAATCGATCGCGATCAGAGAGCAGCGCCAAGCATCCAGTCCGGTTTTGTTGTCCGTCGTTGAAGACAATATCTCAACCATCTGGCACGTCAGCGTTGCAGCACCATTGCAGAGCCTCGTTCTATTCCTCGATGTCCTAGAAGAGATGCACGAGCATAAATTGACTGTGCGGTATTAATGAGAGGCTTGTTGACGATGTGTTTGAATCATTTGCGCGCGAGATCTGCCCAAAAAGGATGTAAAGAAGATGAAGGGGATTGAACCCGGTCCATCTCCGCGGAGCAAACGGATTGGAATTGGCTCGCCGTAACCACCCCGCCACAAAGCCCTTCCCTCCGGCCCACACCCAGACGTGCTGCAGCGGGAGATCGTGCAGAGGGTCGCGCGGGTTGGTCGAGCCTGCAATGGGAGAAATGTGTCGGCGTCTCAACAACTCCGTCGAGGTATCAGCATCAAAACGCTGCACAGATACGGCGACTAAAGAGATGATTCTCGAGCAGCATTGAACCAGTGAACTTACGGATGCAGTAGATATGGCGCTTCTCTTCAAAGTGGGCCTGCTAAGGCCATATCCCCAGTCCGAAAAAGTCCAAAAAAAATCCAGAAGAGAAATCCAAAAAGAATAATTCAATTGTTTTACATATGTGATCTCGGCTGGCGTACACCAACTCGAGGATCACAGCGGGTAAGCGGACAGGGCTAACCCTCTGATAACCGGTGAACCCCGCGTCGGCCGTCATGGCTCTCTCTACATGATGCAAGTGAAATTTGAAATGAATATATTACTTACCAACCGTTCTACCGAAGTAGGTGCGAGGAAGACTTGGAGATTTGGATGGCCGGAGACTGACAGATGACTGTGGACCCTGGCTTGCGGGACCTGCCAGCGAGGGCGGGATCTTCCAGCGAGGGCGGGACCACATCAGGATAGGCACCAATCCCGGTAGCAGACCCGAAGACACCGCACAAGGCTAGCCAAAGAGGTTTGGATGCTCAGAGACACCAAACATTGTCCGGAACGGTATGGGATCATCGCGGGGAAGGCCATGCGGAGACCGCGCGGGACAAGTCGAGTGGTGTTCCAATGCGGCCAACACGTCGACAACACTGGATGGAGAAAGGCGTCCCAGCTTCAAACATTGCAGACACACAACTGGATAGGCCGGAAGAGCGTGTCCATCTGCATGTGCCTACATCGCCGTACAAGATGGCATGAGCAACGGCTATTGCGGACGTTTCCAGATTTCCCAGGGTTCCAGATCAAGACAACGACGACTTAACATAAGCCGAGCACTGCCCACCAGCTCACAGATGGGAACTCGGGCCATTGTGATGGCCTGGGTGCGAGGGTGGGTGCGAGGGGTGTATCCGGTCGTCGTATCATCTCGATACTCCCAAGGCCAAGGGCTGGAGACTGCCGACTGTCAAATGGCGAACAGACCAGCCACTGAGCATTGCTTTGTCGGATCGAAGCCTCCATTTGGACCATGCTGCCTCGCGAGTGGTTATGGGCCACTCTTTGCCAATACGCTCCATGTGTTGGTTACTGGCTCTGGCTTAGGTCCATGAAATCCGAGACGGCATACGTGCTCGTGCCCTGGATAATCCCTGACCAGAACCGAGTAGCTGATGCGTGGTTGTGGTCCGGAGCTTTAGGATAACGGTCAACGTTTTGACCGGACTGATACAATTGAAGACCCTATCCATGTTAGCAGGCCTTACGCCTGAAATTGCACATTTGAGTGGCGTGGAATGAACGCTCCTTGGTTGTTGTGACCGCCAAGACACGTGAAGGACGATCTCGTGCCACGGTGGATGATCAATGCCGTATGGGGCTGCTGGACTTTCTTTAAGACCATGTGAAGACCACACCATCTTCCAAGGAACTCTCCAGTGTTTTGGCGTTCACCACATGTTAAATGCATGTACGGGTGCGCCGGACGGTGCGGGAATTGTGAATGCTGAGGCAGGTGAGGTCGACGTGAATTTCACTTTGTCGGCACGACCCGAAGACCCATGGTGCCCAGGCCCCACGGACTCTGGCCTGTGATGCTCCTTACTTCCTTATGCGTCTCTGCCTTCCTTCACCTCACAAACGAACAATATCCATGCGCTGATTGTTACGTTGCGGAGGCAGGAGCTTGTCGCCATGCTTCATGAGATCAAGCATGAGGGGACAACGGATCCGTACCTTATTCTTCACCCGGGTACCTACGTCAATATGACCCCATCGATGTGTAAAGWAGGTCCAACGACTCGTCATCTCAGTAACTTATGCCTCACTTGCTTGCAGCGTCCCGCCAGCATATCCCATGCTTTGTCTCGGCAAACGACCGGGTATCGCTCAGCAGTTCAAAATCACCACCACCACCATGTCTCACCCACAGCCTTTGAGCTATTCAGCGGCATTGGGCCAAGGCGCCTCCTCTTCGCAGCCGAACACGGCTTCTCGCAAAGAAGTTCAACCTTCTGCACCTGTCAGCCGCCAACCCGAGCCAGTACGCCCCGCAAAGCGTTCGCCATCGCCCTCTCATGTGCCTCGAACTAGCGCGACAGAAGACGATGTATTTGTCTTGACACTCCTGACCGACCGCGCACATCACGACCGTATGACTGCGCTGAGAAAGAAATACTTCCCTTCAAAGATCAACAAGCTTGCCGCACACTTGACTCTGTTTCACGCATTGCCGGGAAGTAAGCTGGAAAGTAGCATTTTGCCTACCATTAAAGAGCTTGCCGGTCAGACTGCCCCGTTCCATGTCCGAGCAGAGTCTCCTTTTCGCATGAAAAAGGGCTTTGCAGTCTCGATATCTGAGGGTGGCAAGCAGGGTGGTGAAATACACAGAGCACTGCAGGGCCCATGGAAAGCCGAAGGGTTCCTCAGCGACCAGGACGCTGGTGGTGCACGACTCCACTACACTTTGATGAACAAGGTGGATGATGAAAACGCCGTCTCGAGTGCATATCAAGAGCTGGTCGAGAATTGGCGTGGTGATGGAGGCATGGTGGAGGGTCTCGCTCTTTGGAGATACGAGCGAGGGTATTGGAAATGGGTGAGGAAGTTCGACTTCGATCATGCATGACTGTTCGATTTCCGTCAAGCGACTAGCAACTCTGGTGATGGGGAGAGATACAGCGGCTTTGGCAATAACACGAGCATTGAAAGGGGCCGCCCATGGACGAGACTGGAAAACTCCGAGGCGTCCGTTGGACAGGCTTGTCGACCGCTGCGAGAGGAATGACAGGACGCCTGGTTCCGAGCCCTGGACAAGCGTGGTCGATGTGCAGGTTGCGTCCCATAGACGAACATTGGATCTGGCCGCGCGGCATACCTCATTCAAATGTGATGCAGCAACAGATCCTAAGCTCACTTGCAAGAAGGCAGAGAGCCAACTTCATCCTTCTTCCGGATTTGGCGTTTTGCGTCCGTCTTTGCAATGGCCGCGGCTGTCTTCGCGGCCTCTTCGCGGCTAGGTTTTCGCGTCGATCACCACGAGGTTGGCAGTCGGCTCGGTCCACGCCAAGCGCCCTTGATGTTTCACCAGTGAGCCTAGCAGTTGGAATCGCCGGGGCCACATGGCCAAGCCCCAGGTCAATGGAAAAAACCCAAGGAAGAATTACGCTGCTTCGGTCGGCCGACATCACGGACGGTTCGAAGCAAGACATCGCACCAATAGCGGGCTCTCGCCATGCCATAGTACGTCCTCGGGAGGCAGTTCCCGCCGAAAACTACGTCTCAACCTAGTGGACACTGTTCTTGTAGAGGACTACATATAACATCCAGTGAAGTTCCAGCGAGCAGTTTTAAAACGTACCCTTAGACTAATCGTTCAAACGCCTTTTTCGATCACTTCAAACAATGCATTGGACTTTGGCCATCTCGGCTCTGGCTGCCGCCGCCCTCGCGATGCCTCAAAGGCGACAAGAGGAGAGCACCAGCGACATACGTACCCTCACCTACAATGAAACCGTCGTCTTCCACCATAACCTCCACCGTGCCAACCATTCGTCTGTCAACATCACCTGGGACGAAGACCTTGCCAGCACCGCACAAAAGATTGCGGACATTTGCAACTTTGAACACAACATGTAAGTTGAATGAATCTCTCCCTCTATTCGTATCACTCTAACCCAAGTGCAGGACGGTAGATGGTGGAAATTACGGACAAAACTTGGCTGTGGGTATGCCAGCTGAGAATATATCCTACGTTATTTCCGACCTGTTTTACAACTTGGAGGCGCCATTATTCGCGGATAACTACAACATGGCACAGCCACCAATAGAAGACTCCTTCGCCTGGGGTCACTTTACACAGCTCGTCTGGAATTCTACCACACGAGTCGGCTGCGCCACACAACACTGCACGAGCGGAGTGGAAAATGCTATCGGCATATCACCTCATCTCACAGTCTGCAACTACAAAAGTGCTGGTGAGTTCCTTACAGAGCATCTTTTCGATTTCATCGATCAAAGCTAACCTTTTTTGGGCAGGCAATGTCCAATCCCAGTACGCTAGTAACATTGGCGAGCCCCTCGGCCACCCAATCGCAACTTGGGCGAACAGCACTGGTGTCCCAGCCTGTGAGCTTCTCGATTGTACCACCACTCCGGCGCAGAATGAATCGTGATTAATGATTACCACAAAGAATGAACAAGACTTGAATTACAAATCTCGCGAATTTCACATCCGACTCCCTGACTTTCTCAAGACATCGACGGTGATTCGATTGAATTTGATCAAGACTCGGTAAAAGCGTGGGCTGACCGGCAAGAGCCTTATTCCGATCACTTTACAAATTACAAGGTCTCTCTATGTCGTCAGTCCAAGCATTGCCAATCTCGGCATCTTTCTGGGCATCGCAAGTGTTCATCTGTACGCAGCATCCAAATTCGACAACCAGCCCGTTCCGTTCGGATCCGCACAATTTTCGAAGCCGTGCATGGCACCATACGATACCAGGTACAGCCGCTTGCTCAGGGTGATGAAGACCTCCTTGTGGGCTGGTGTCTTTTTCATGTGCATCACTCGAGCAGCAAGAAGCGCTACTTCCAAGCTATGCTGTGGGTTCTCGGGCGCGCCTGCAAGATCGAAGACGAGTTCTCCTYTGGAACCTTCACGTGCGAAGCCTAGATCCATGAACAACGAAACAATTGTTTGCTCAGCCTTGGTCATGTTCGTGAGCAAGTGATCTTCCGCCAAGAAACGTCCGAGATCGATCAAAGGAAGATGCGGGATGCCTTGGTAGGCTGGACCGCTGTATGTCGAACGAAGTGATTGCAAACGTCGCTTTGCCTCCTTGAGATCTCCGGGTCCCAAGGGCTTGCCATTGGCAGATATTCCATCGAGAAACGCGTCTGCTTCGTCCACGAGCTGCTTACGATCCGCCGATGCAGCATCAGCTTGACATCTCTTGCATGAGCACTCAAAGTTCCACATGCTTGTGAGCGCCTTGCGTTGCTGGTATTCTTGGGAGGTATTCAGATAGGCGATGAAGAGCTCTTCACCTTTCTTGATGGGTTTCACAGCCCTTACGACCATCATGTCGCCGATGTGTGAGCGATGAACGTTGGACAGACAGCTGTGGTTGAAGAGGGAGGCTSGGGTCCAGATCGCCTCGGAACCTTCAGTATCTTGCGGACCACTTCGCTTTCGCTGCTCCATACCATGCCATGTGCTGACGGAGTTGAATCTGAATGCATTGCATCCTACCATATCTCGGACTTGCTTGCTAAGAACCAGTTAAAATCGTACGAAGTGTTGGGCATGGCAAGCGTACGGAAAACTGAATTGGCCTGGATGTCTAGCAGGCGCATCCACCCCATCTGTCAGATTGTAGAATTCATCTTTCCTAGCCGGGCTGTACCTAAAAGGGAAGGAGAAAGGTTAGCGATTTCCTAGACAGTACCGGTATGGCTCATGGCCCGATCAGACATCCCCGAAATACCCTGCATGGCTTCTGCCCTTTGATTTACTTACTTCAGCAGCTGCACGACTTTCGACGAGAGATCAGGGAACTGGTCAGACAAGATCTCTGCTGGGAACTGGACAGCAAAAGCTTTCTCGCAGAGAACGAGATCTCCCATGTGAAAGTCTTTGGTGGCGAAAAGGCCTCGTCCGCAGTTTGGAGTGATACCGATATTGGTGTTGGAGATAAAGCTGGCGTGATCCAACTCTCTATTCATCGGATTCTGGATCAGCTCCTCGAGCATCTTCTCAAAGTCGTATGATCCCTCCGTTTCCTCTGCCAATCGACCTTGAATACACCCCAGCATACCAGCACTACCTTCCGTGGGCTCGATCTTCTCCGCCGCCTGGACATACTCGGATGCTTTCTTGAATGAGCGCATGCCATAGAATCCCTGCCCGGCGGTGAGAAACGCGAGGCGTCGATTCCTGATGCTCTCTTCGCCGTCGTGTTCGGTCAGACATGCAAGCGCTGCAATCGAATCATCGACGGCCAATTCGAAGCGAGAGAGATTGAGATTGGCTTGCGCGCGCTGATTCAGGAGCGTGGATTGCGATAGCTTGTCTTCCTCTTCGAGACGAATGGCCAAGCACTGGTCGTACAGATCGACAGCTCGTTCGAAGTCGCGAGAATCAGCAGCCGCGAAGGCTTTTCCCTGAAGGTCTCTCAAGTGCTGTTGCTCCGAGTCCATTTGAGGGATCAGAAGTTTGCGAAAGTAGCGGCATGCTTGTGGAAAGTACATCGTTGAGTTATGTAAGGGCGTGTGATTGCTCGCAGCGTGTGCTAAAAGCATGGCTTGCTCGAGAAGCGGATGTTGTGTTTGCGCGCTGCTGAGTTGGAGTTATTCTAGCAGCAAACAAAGCGGGTCATGGAAGATGGGAGAGAGAAATTTCAGGTGTTGACATCACTGTTTCATTCACTTGACATTCGCTCAAACAACTAGGGTATGATTACTTTTCGCCAAGTGATCTTCCAAACGACCAGATGGCTTCACAAGCTGCTCCATCGATGCTCCGCGAAAGACATTCTGAGGCCCAATCTAAGTGAACCTCCCGTGATATCCATATGTCGTCCCGTATCCAATGCGGTACAGTTCCTCCGCCAACGCCTCCAGCTGATTGCCCACCTTTGAGTTGCCCTCTTTGAAATATCCGGCTGCAATGTAAGTGGCAGCATGGATGCCAGTAACGTCGGGACGACAAAATGGTCGAACAATGGAGACGCGATCTTTCTTGATCGTCAACTCGATACCCTGGTCCCGCAGAACAGTGAGTCCGGCTTCGCGGACTTTCTTCTCCTGGCCTGTGAGTATGTAGGCCATACAGAGCCAATGATCGAGATCGTGAAGACCAAGGCGTGGAAGATCTTTGAATAGTGTGCTGTCGTAGCTATTGGCCACCTGAGCGCGGTATTTCTCTGCTCTAGCAATCATTCCAGCCTTGGGAGGATTGGTCGGGGAGAGCTGGTTGGTTTCCGTCAAAGTCTTGGCTCTCTTGATCATGGCGATACGAATACGTCTCAGCACATCGGGAGTGGCGCGCTCTGCAACACACAGTCGACAGCTACATGTGAAGTTCCAGCATTGCTTCAAATCGTTTTGAAACTTCGCATTGTCGTCGYCTGGATTCTTGTACCTCTGTAAAATCTCCTCGTCCTTGGCAATATCCTTCGTGGCGTGCACAATCATCATGTCGCCGRTGAAAGCTCGTTGAGCATTCCCAATACAGTCGTGATTCATGAAAGCGGCCGTCACCCAGGCTCCGGTCGAGCCGCGGGTGACCTTCTCATCGTACTCCGCCTGTGCCATTGTGGTCGTTGGAGGGCAGCCGAAGCCGTTGAACTCCAGGGCCGCTTGGACTTGAAATGTGTCCACTGGCACAAGGCCGTCCACGAGTGCGCTACCGGCCCTCCGAGCGTAACCACCGTCACATAGGGTGAGGAAGCGCTCTGTATGCTTTGTGCTGTGAAGCATCTTGTGAACCGTCGCGACTAGTCTGGTAAAGTGTGTACCACAGCTGGCACTATCTCGATTGAGGTTGATGATGACGGTCTGCTCTGTGCCTTGGTCTTGTTCATATGCCACTGCGAAAGCCTTCTCGCACAACACAAGCTCACCGGCGCTGATCGCGACCTTTGCAAAAAGACCATTGCCTCCTGTCTTGCTGCTACGTGGCTCAACTTTGGCGTCGAAATCGGCATGATCCAGTCGGGTATGATATACATGCACCGACTTGACCATCTGTTGGAAGTTGTATTCGCCTTTTACTTGCTCTTGGAGGCGGTCCTGGGTTCGTGCGAACTCCCGGGTTGCATCGTTGTTGCTGGGAGCTGCTTGGATCGCCTTGCTGAAGCTGTCCGCCGCCTTTGAGAAGTCACCAAGTTCATATGCGGCACACCCAGCACGATAGAGGGCCTTGACATTGTTCTCCAGCGCTTTCGGCAAATCTTCCGGCATAATCGATGCCTCCGCGTCAGTAAGGGCCGCTTCGAAGCGGTGGAGATTGAAATTCGCAACAGCTCGATTTCGATGGAGGTCAAACTTCACGACACAATCTCGCTCATCTATGCAGGCACCCAGCCCTGCGGTATAGAGCGCGACTGCTTCGCGGTAGACCTTTTCTCTAAACGCTTGATTGCCTTTGACCTTCCACGCCAWGGCATTTTGGTGGCGATCTGGAGATGGGGAGCGTAGCGCAGATGGAGCTCTACCATCGTTCTCTTGAAGGAGAACCAAGTCCGAAGGGTGTTCGATACGAACAATCACCCCTCCATCCATGGTGACTTTGTAATATGGCTGCTTGATGGCGAGGATGGCATTCTCGGGGAGAACCATTTCTGGCGTAAGACCAATCTCGAAATTGTACACCGCGATCCTGTCCACGTCGCCCGTGGAATCGACAATGGCGCCTTGTACGGCCTGGAGACGAAGAGGGGTACCGAACACGCGAGCAAATAAAACCTTCCCAAAGTGGTTCTCCTCCAGGCGTAGCTCATCGATTGTGATCGGTGTCAGATCCGTCAGGGGTATGGTGCAAGGTGCATATGAGTATCCGACCACGGTTTGCCGCACTGCGTACATGCCATTGGATTCCGCTGCCTTCACCGCCGCCGCCTGGCTGGGCGAAAAGCTGGCCTCGAGCTGTGATCGCGTCGGTCGGTTGTATGCGCGCTGACCTTTTCTGGCAATAGCGGTGTTGAAGAGATCCTTCTGACGTTTCAATAGGTCCTCGCGCTGCTCGGCGATGGCGTCCGGATACATGATGGTAGTGATGGAAGTTGCGGTGGCAAGTTTTGCGACGATGTTTGGCGGAGGAAGTGAAGCGAAGCTGTCAAGTCAAGGCAGCGTTTGAGCGGCGGTCCCTCCAGCAAACAGTGCTCCCGAGAACTAGCTGGGAGATATCTTTCTCGGGGCTGTCGATATGAGGATTCTCTATCGGTACAGGACATCTTCAGTCAACAGTCATGCCCACAGTGTCTTGAGACCTCGCTCTTTGCAGGCTCGACGATTCTAGGCCTGCTAGAACCATCGCGACTAGCACAGTGGCCCGTTGCTCAACCAAGCGAGCAGTTCAGAATGCTGCTTTTGTTGGCGATTTCTCATATCGACAGCTCTGCTCTTTCTCAGCGGGTCGGGTTCCAGATCATGCACGACAGCTCAGTCTGCAGGCGCCTAATATGGCATGCCGCTAGAGAATTCGAGAAAGGCCTGCCATGCACAAGCCCGAAACGAGTTGAGCGCTTCAAGCGTGCCCACCTCGTGTGCTATCGGGCATGGTCGAGCTACACGTCCGAGTGGTAGCAACCAGAGATCATTCTGCTAGGTGTTCAGCCTTTTCCAGGTGAATGAACTCCAATAAATCGCCTCTGCGTGGAGCAGCTGAAGTGGAGGCACCTTCCCTTGCCGCGAAATGATTTACTCCTGTGCCATCAATCCTATGCATTGAGGAAAGCTGTCCAAGCAACTTGACTCAATGGGACTCTCGCTACCATCTACTTCTTGTCTATCCACGGAGTGGCTCTCGCAAGACGGTCCACTGAGCCTCACTGTTTTCAGCCTGTCAGCAGCGATGAAGGAGTGCCCACGGGCTTGTGAAGGACAGACAATGTCTCGTTTTGAATTTTCCCTATTCTTCGGTAGTACTACATAATGCACATATCGTAAGATCTTCTTCTCCACTTCTACCTCGTCTTGACCTTGTTCTCGGCTGGTTTGGAGTACAGCCACAAAGCAACGAAAATTACCCATCCTCCCACAGTCACCCAAATACCACTGATCCATGGCCATGCGGCAGAAATGACAAAGGATCTTGGCCACTCGTCGTGTGCGAAATGCCTCACCGTGACTGTTCTCTTCTCCTCCACATTGGTCAAGAAAGGTCTCCTGTACTCCACGAAGAAGTTGAAGATTCCGTGTTGATCTGGCAGCTTGAAGTCCGCCTCGTACAGACCTGGGGTGTTGGACTGAAGGTTGATTCTGTGGAATGGCGAAAGCATGCTGAACTCCAGTTGAACGTCATCATCCGCTGGGGGGTGGAAGGGAACCCAATGATCCATATCCCACTCGCTCATMTGGATGGAGTAGTGCACATCATTCTTGATGCGATAGATCTCGGGGTTAATGTCCACGTTGAAGCCTGCGGTTGTGGTATTCTTCAAGCCCTTCTGGGCACCCTCATTGAGATAGTGCTTCACCTCATCAACCTTGAGAACACCCAACTCTTTGAAGGTCCAGGCAGACACCTTCTCCGCGAACGCTCGGTTGGAGGTCGTGACGGCTGTGGACTTGCCGTGAGGCGTTTGCACGGTTGCGTCGAACCATTTGTCCTCCAGGGCTTCCGAGGATCCGAGCACGGTGAAACGGGCAGAGTTGCGGGCCTGGAAGGTAGACACAAGAGCGATCTGCCAGCCAGTAGCAACCACCTCCTCCACAGCATCCGCCTCTTCCTTTGGATTGTAAATGTACGAAGTGCTGTGTGCCTTGACCGCCGGAGCTAGCAGAGGAGAGGCATTGCCTAGCATCTGACCCACGGCGCGTGGAAACGCAATCAGTCCATCGGTGGCGAAGAAGTTGACAACCCCTGCCTTAATTGCAGATGGAGAGGGGGTGAGAAGAACATCGTGCGCCTCCGCAGCAGACTTGATATCGTAGTTGAAGTGGTCCACGACCAGGCTGTTTCGGTCTGCGGGTAGGTGAATGTCCATCTCGAGTAGGAGGCTGCTCAACGAGCTCGGCACCGCCTGTGCGCCTGAGAGCGCCAGCAAGACATTGCTTCCGGCATTGATGAAATCGACGAGGAGATTTGGTGTAAGCGCAGGTCCCAGGCCCTTGGACTTTACGGGCAGCAGGAGCAGGTGTGAGTAGGCGGGTGCGCCATGTGCGAAGAGAGAGAGAGATGGTGTTTTAGGAGATGCGTATGTTATTTGAAAGCCTCTTGCTGTAGGAAGGATGGGTCAGTACACGGGAGGGAAGACGGTAAGGTATCGTTTGCATGCCAGCTTACCCTCCAGATCGCTCCAAAAGTGCGAGTACTTGCTCTTGTCGGCGTCATCCTCAATCACAACGAGCAGTTTGCTGCCCTGCGTACTGAGCGCGGCAATGCAAGAGATCAGGCCAAGGAACAGGCCAAGCAGTGGTAACCTCATGGTGGTGGTGGTGGGTGAATGTCCGTAACGTCACAAGGGAGACTGACTGCCGGCACGCATTGGGGCACGCAACGTAGCTTCAGCTTGCCAAGCCAAGCTTCGAGCGCGGAGAAGAGGCCGCGCTTGTGGTCGACTTCACCTCTGCCAACCGGCCATCGTGCTCAAACATCCCCACATTCACACCATGGCGCCCGTGCAATTCTGGTCAACGCCGCTCACATACCTCCACTGGGCGGCACGGAGAAAGCCCGCGATTTTCTGGTCCTTCATCGTTGGCGGGATGGGTCCGATCACAGTTGTATGTCAATGGCATCCCCGCCCGGCATTGCAGACTATCGTCACGGCCAAGGACGAGTTCTTATACTGACTTGAATCCAGCTTGTTGTTCCTCCAATTCGTGAATACCTTGGCGATGGACCACGAAGGGCGATTCCGTTGACGTACCCGAGTGAGTCGCTTTGAGGACGCGCCTAGCGCAAAGGCCAGTATACTGACAAGTTTCCCGTACGACAGTTCCCAAAGGTCCACGAAACATTCCAACGGGATACGATGATTGAGTGGTGAGGAGAGGCAGACTGAGCTGTGCGGTGACGGTGTTCGTGCAGAAGAGCAGTGCTCGCGGAAGCAAGTTAGGGCACGTGGAAGAATGGAAGAAGCAGCCGGCGTTTGTGGTGCTCAGTTCCAATCTGGCAGAAGCGCTGAGGATCGTCGAAGAAGATGGTGTACATACCGAGAAAACGCCAAAAAATATACCCAAAACAACACACGGACTGGAGCACTTCAGAGCACCTTGCACCATGGCATCATGCTACAACCGACAGCAGCAGCCAGCCACTGATGGCTCCTCGGGGTCGATATGTGGCTTTCCATCTCCGCCTTTCCTCGCGGAGCTAGCCAGCTCGGTCTATACAAGGGAAGCACGCGCAACGGTACCTCACAGATCGATTAACAACGATATCGGTCCCATTTATGGGCATTATGTTGTGCTCGGTAAGCGGCGTTCATTGCAAGTCACGCCAGCGATGATCTAGCAGCGGTCTGTTCCTCGAATCTGGCTATCATTTCTCAGCGAAATCCGAAATAAGACATCGCTTGCTTGGTTGGTCATCATCTCCCAAACTCTGTCATGCATGTTCTACCTTTCAGTAGTTTCAAGCATGTTAATGAGCCACGATCAGGTCGACGTAGACATGGCAAGTCTGGCTCGTTTGTGTAAGCGATCAATCCATGGGATGTTCTCAGTATCCTGAGGGCTGTCACCTATTGCTGGAAGAATATATGCATGCCTACTGGTTGGAGTCCTGGTTGTGTATTATGCAATGTGTTTGTGTAATAGGTGTCAGTACTCTCAATATAGTTGAGAGCCTTCCGACACCTCCCTTCTCCACTCCCCTGACTGTCGCGGGGTAAGGGTTAGGGTTGGGGTAGTGCGATATTCTGGAATCGGTCGGTCATGTAGCACCACACTCTTATATATATATATATATATATATGTGTGTGTGTGTGCGTATATACACATACATATCGCCCGGGTCGTCAATGTGCGGGTTGAGAGTCAGAATGTCGAATCTCGTCAACGTGGACATATCTTACACTCAACTTTCTACTGCGCTACAACTATCGAGAGCTGCAGCTCGATGTTGATAGTTGAGATGTCAGAGCTCCAATCTCTTCACTCAACGTTAGCAACGACATCAAAATGTCGCATTCTTCAACCAGCGCCTTGGTGACATGTATGCCCACGCAAAAGGCGGACAGACCTCGATACAATCGCGAGCAGTTGGAAAAGTACTTCCAGCGAATCCAGCTTCCTGAAAAATATCTTTCCTCGCCAGTTCTCCGCGATGCCACGCTCGCAACATCTCGAGAACATGGCCTTCCCCTATTGAAAGCCCTCTACCGACACCATCTAGCCAGCGTGCGGTTCGAGAATCTAGAGCTCCATTATTCGGCCCACATGAAGATATCGTTACACATGGATGACTTGTACGCCAAATTTGTAGAACGGGGGCTGGAATTCGGAAGAGGAGGCAGATGTATGGAGAACAACGGCTTCTTCGGAACAGCTCTGAGGAGTATAGGATACGATGTGAGAAATTGTGCTGGTCGCGTGAGCAGAATGCAGTCTCCCGATCCCGATGTCCGAGAGCGATATGGAGATACGTATGATCCGTGGAACCACATGCTCAACCTTGTTAAGCTGGACAGTGTCTGGTACGTGGTAGACGTTGGTATGGGGGCCATGGGCCCCAATATCGTATACCCGTTGCAAGATGGATTGGAGGCTGTAGCCATGCCACCGAGACGCATCCGTCTGCAGAAACGAATCATTCCGGAACACTCTGCGAGATCTGATGCAGATGCGCAGAAGCTATGGTGCTATGACRTTTGCAGGCAACCCGATGTGCCGGAACAGGAACGAGTATGGACTCCGTCGTATTGCTTCACCGAGACGGAGTTTCTTCCTCAGGATTACGAGATGATGTCTTGGTTTACTTCGACGAATCCAAAGTCTTTCTTCACATATAGCGTCCTGTGTACGAAACTACTACTGGATGACGAACAGGAAAACATCATTGGCGATATCACCTTGTTCAATGATAAGATGCGTAAGACGGTATACGGTCAGCGTGAGGACGCAACAGAGCTCAAAACTGAAGGGGAGAGGATCCGGGCGTTGAGAGACGCTCTCGATGTACATCTGAGAGAGGAAGAGATTAATGGTATCCCACTGGAACGGAGACTAGGGTAGTGGTGGGCATCTCCCGACAATACATGTTGCGACCACCATAAAACAAGAAAGTGTATAGACATGGAATGGCGGACTCGCAAACCTCACTCAAACTGCCCGCTACAATGATCCCAGTTGAGTTGAGCATCCTAGTGCCGTGCAGACCGGCAATCTGCGGACCAGTGCAACACTATCCATGAAGCATGCACATCAAAGTGGATCACAATCAAAGCAGTTCGGAAGTACCGAACGATCGGGCTGTGGGGTGAAACAGCCATGTCGTTTGGCGGTGCTGTGTGAAAATACGATTTGACACGACATAAGATCCTGGTCGTGTCAACTGGGAAGGAATCCATCCTGACATAGTTCAACATCGCACAGCTGTACCATGCTGGCGCAGATGAAGTGGTCGAACCATTACCTGTGCTATTGCGTTCCGGTATTATTCGGGGTGAGATTATCATCATAGGTGTACTGTTGCTCCCAACCAACCACCGGTTCTACAAAACAAGTTCATGCTCTTCGAATACCCTGGAAACGCGTGAAAAAATCTTCCCTGTTGAACTGAATAGACTTTGTGGATCATCGTTGCGATCGCCCAACCTTGCACGAGGCGCGTCTATGCCACGCTTTGTCGCTGACGACCGGATGATCTTCTTAAATGTGGATCCTCGTCGTCGTCGTAGCCACCTGAAAGATGGTGTCAGTTTCCAGCGGCGATATAACCCCCATGGACACGAACAAGCGCACTCACGATAATGACAAAAGCAGGTGTACTGCAAAGACTTCACAATCCGCTGCCACAAGCTTCGCGGGCGTTCTTCTACCTCACAACGCCAGCATTTTGTTCGCTGCATGCGATGATGCCATGTTCCTCGCTCGTTGCGTCGGTGTACAAGCTAGGCACGCCCGGGCATTGTCAATGAGGTTCGAGCGCTTGGAAGAGCAATAGACCGTCCACGTGGACCCGAAGTGGGGATTGTAGTAAACGTTGTGGCACCATTTGGTGCCGTCGCAAAAGTAGTTGTCGTCGGTAGTCGGTCAATGTGTTGCACAGGGGCTATCGAAGCTCTAGCTTGTGTGGATATTGACGGGCCAACCAAAGCGTAGTCCTGAGCTGATATCAATGGTGCTGGAACAGGAGTCGAAGTGCCGTCGACATACGCTGTTGTATCATATGCATTGGGCGCCAAGTGCGGATGCTTCTTTTGCAACGAACGTAGCTTTGTGAGCTTATGCTTACAAAGTTGACGAGGCTCATCAGCATTTCTAAAGATGGCTTTCCGGTTCTCAGTGCCCTGTAGCTGCGCGCACATGACTGGGCTGCCTTGAGCGATTGCACCAAGCCTTGTGCTAAACCGTAGTGCCCCATTCGATACCGCACGTTGGCTCTCTGTGCGGCGCTGCGGCTCGTCGATCGATCTGTCTAGATCCAGTCTGCTACCTTCAGCCATGGATTCTCCTGCTTGGTCAATAGAATGCAAAGAAACGCTGTCCGGATCATAAATAGGGGTTCCAGAATGCCGATATCTCGCCCGACTTTCGCCTCGCACAGCAACGTTTGACGTTTCGGACTCGTTGGAGTTTGTCGCAGCGTGTTGCCTCCTCGATTTCATCTGAACTTGTTCGGAAACCTTGCTCCGACCAGGCGCGGGAAACAGAGACCAGGAAGATCGCTTCTGTGGCTGGGCTCGTTGTTGATTGGGCTTTTGCTCCGGCGGAGACGGGAAACTCTCGAAGAGTTCCGATGTTCGCGTTGTGCCGATGTCAGGACTCTGGCTGGATTGTCTCTGGATGCTCTCACAGGGTTGGGTGGAGCGAATGTGGACAGGTACAGCAGCTGAGCGCATGCCTGCTCGAGCTGATGCTCTGCGCGCCGAGAGAGGCACCGCGTTCTGGCCTGCAGATTTCAAAGCCTGCAGTGAGTTTGCAAGGGCAGATGGCGCACTGTTCGCAGACTCTTGAAGCGTGTGAGAGAGTCCACCCCCAGGGTGATGGACGGTTGCATTGAGCTTGTAGGGAGTGGATGTACTCTCGATTGGCGCGGGCGCAGCTCCACAGATGTCTGCGATCGGAACAAAAGAAAAGGGATGCGACTCGAGATCCTCATAACGTCGAGTGAACTGACCACTAGTAGGTGGTCTCCAGAATCTGCTTCCAGTCCTGACAGCCCTATCGAATGTGGTTGTCCGTTCACCTCGCAAGACTTCTTTGAGCTTCGGCCGCGATGGGGGACGGCGCAGGTATTCCAGCAAGAGATCACGCCTTGATGTTCTCACTGTGAGTTGACGGACGGCCAGCTGATCGTGATCTATCTCACCGGGCCACCTTGGTAGACCCGTCGGTGTTGTCATACGTCTAGGTGGTTGGAATGGAGGCTCTACTGCCAGAGCAAGGGCTGATGCGTGATGACGACTCGGACTCTGCGATTCCGAAACGGCTCCGCTTGACGGCTCGATGGAGGTGTCGCTCTTACGTATACTCATGTGGGCAATGTTGTCGTCGGCTGAATAACAACGCCGCCGCGACATTCTTGAGTGACGAGCTTGAGCCGTTTCTGCGGATAGCTTGGGTTGCAGCGAGAACACCCGCCGCTGCAACTCCCATCTTGACGGCGTCGTCTTAAGGCTTGGAACGCTCCTTTGCTCCATGATGGTGAAAAGCCTCGTTCCAACATGTTTTGCCGGGTCTAGTTGTATTCCATCTCCTGCCCCTTGGAAGCTTTGCGACTTGTGCAGATCATCTTCCGTCTCAGTCTCGGAAGACAAAGACCACCCTCGAGCTTGGAGGGATGGCGACAAGGGTGCAGCATCGTAGAGCGAACTGTGCTCACTAGGGATTCCTTCGGATGAGCTCAAATGGTTGAATTGCGAAAGGCGTCGGGTCGACTGTTTGCGTGGAAGAGACCGACGTGCGACTTCACCTGCCGGGAAATGGCTCATGACTGCGATGTAAACTGGTATAGGCTATCGCTGTGTCAATGTGACCATGTTGTTGTCGTCATGAAAGTGAAAGTAGGACAACGAATGAAAAACATGCAGCAATTTGAGGAAAGACWCGATCGATGCACTTGCCTTGCAGATGTCGTCCAGCAAGAATGAGCAGTCGCAGCTAGTGTCGACTCTGCGAAAGCCACGACTAGGCTTTCCTTCGTCGCCAGCTTGAACCTCTCGGGATTCCGAACATCGATATCGTCGCCAAACGAAATCCTGATAGTGATTAGGTCTCGGGGATAAATGCGGCAACATGTGTTACAGACACGCATCTGAGATGGCAGTCATCTGCCACTGAACAAAGATCTGCGAGTGTCACTCGGGTTGAGACGGTCTTTCGCAAGTTGATTGAGTGAAATCCAGCCACCGTAGGCCCTCACACAAATGCAGTCACTCGTCGTATGACTGGAGGAGACGTGGTGAGAGGGCTGACCTCATCGCAATCGCAAAATATAGAGGTTTGACCGCATCCAGGACTGACACCGCTTCCGCCGTGTTCACCCGACCTCAAGAATGGATCTGGCCGATTTTGAGCATGGGGAATGCAGGAGACACGTCACGCATACTGCATGGCAACGCTCCAGCAGGGTGCTCAGACGCCGCGTGTCTCAGCGAAATCAAGAAACGCTGCGCAAAGAAGTTGCCGACTCGTCAGACTGACAGCTATTGAGAATGCAAACGTCAAACGATTGCCATTCTGAGAAAGCTCGCTGCCTGGCATGAATCTTGGAATGTAGGAATCCGAACAGAGACAGAATAGCAGCTCGCTCCCACGCACAACACACCCTGTTGAGAGTAGGCGTCGTACTATTGAAATCCCGAACGATTGGTAGCGCGATATCGCGAGAAGGCTGGGCGTCGGTGATCATCCACTACGGTAATACATCGCCGGTGAGCACTTTCGTCGTGCAGACCAAACATAGCAGACCCGACGCGCGCGGTGATGGACCCGAGGAAGCCGATTCCATGCAAGCCAGTTGATCCGGAACATCTTGTTGGATGCCAGGTTCCAAGCTCGCGGTACGCTGTATAATGTGCCTGGATGTGCAACAGGAATGGATGCCGCTGGGACAGACCGACTGAATTTGCACGGGATGGGATCACCGGCGACTTTCTGTGCCTGAGCAATCGAGTTTGGGAGACTGCGCAATCCCAATGTTGTCGAGTACTGTACATGGCCMAATTTTGGAGACTGGAACAGGCATTCTGCTCTTTCTCGATGTGGCTGACTCCAGTTTTTCTCGACGGCGAATGCTGGCCCGCGGCAAATGATAGCCCGTCGCGTCGCTGGATCTCATGACACCCCATAGTGCTCCGGAAAGCTCTCACAAACTGGGAGTGTAGCTCCGCTTTCACGCATGGTAGTTCCTGCAGTGAGTTCAAAGTGTGAGACCTCGACGAAGCTACTACGTCGTGATCGACAGGAAGCATGCTTTTTAATACATGGCAGTGCCGCGCTGTCGGTATTCGAGTTCCCAAAGCAACATATTGGCATGCCACCGCTGCTCAAAAAAGACCGGAAGCACTGTGTCTTTTCCTGAGCACTTCGGAACACCCTGGTAAGAACGGTTCTGCGGTGCGACCCAGTCTCTGACCCCACGTGGAGGCAGGCCGATGTCATTCTCCATACCAGGCTATTCTGGTGAAGTGGTCGTGGTGATGATGAGCGGCGCCGCGGCGCCTTTGACAGCGCTCCACCGTACAGGGATCCCAAATTCAGGTCCCAGGGCAGGTCTTGTGGGCCGGCGTGCCTAGCGGCCGGAGGGATCGTGCGACAGGCGGGCAGACGCGGTGCTGGGAAGCGGTGCGAAGGGCAAGCTCAGGTCTCCTGGTTGATTTTACATTGTAGCCATTTGACTTTGCGACGTCGCTGTTTGGCGTCAGAGTTTCTGTATGGTGCGGCATCTCGCGGAGTCAGCATCTAACTTAATGAAACATGTGTCGGTAAGCTAAAGCCAAAGTTAAACTTCCGCTGCACAGCAGATCGCCTCAGGATTTTAGCACCGAGCCAGGGGCACCGGCGCACTGCAAGGCAACTGCCAACCACAGGAGCCTCGTGAGCGAGGGCCAAAGGTCAGTCCCTCGCTTGTCATCGTGCCCTGAATCGTGATCGTCTTGCTTCTGGGACCGCGATGTTTGGGCCGGATGGCTCCACCTCCACGATTCATGGGTCCATCCAGTTCGCTCACGCACACGAAAACCGCCACGATGCGGATGCTTTCACTGGCCGGGCCCTCGGGGTCCTCGAGGCAAACTTGCCGATTGATGCAAAGCAGCTGGCCGTGCATTGGTCGATGGGGCTCTGCCGGCAGGGATAAGGTCCAGCAGCCGTAGTCCATCGTATAGCGATACTGCATGCGTGCTGGCCTGTTCTCCGGGAGTAGCCCTGCCTTGCCCACGTACGTACCCGGATTGCGAGGGGGGCATCGGAATTAATTGTTGCCTCACCGCAGAACGCTCCTCTTGGCTGAACCGCCTGACCTCTGCAAGAGAAGCATCATCATACGCAGGACCTTCGAGTGCGATGGGGTCGAATCGCCGAGCAAACTTGTTGCAATGCTCGCTTTGGGCCTGTGGATCGTCCCCACAGGGCGGATCATAAGTAGGTGTCTGCGGACCAGTTTATAATGGCGTGCAGCATCTGCACATATGCGTTAAGCTCAGTAGTGCGTGGAGCACATCTGCCACAACGGCTGCAGGCAAACGCTAGCGGGTACTGCTTGCCTGACTCTGCTGCACCCACGCAGCTGGGACCGGATGCTGGTATGATAGTCCATGCTAATGCTAATCAGTGCCTTGGCCTGTCGAGGTCAAAGCTTGGGGAGTATTACCACCTATAATGGCTGGGCTGCCATGATGCTTTCCCTATATACTTCAACTCTCCCCTCACCATCACACTTGAATCCTCCGCTCCATCCACAGTCACATCGATAGCCCTCCGTAAACCCGCCTCATTCACAACGAATCTGTCAAGTCACCACCATCGGTCGACCGTCCGCGTAACACAGCACCACATCACCAAATGGCACCGCCCAGACAGGCCTTGGCTCAGAGCGAGTCGAAAGCCAGATTTTTCGAACGATTGGGCTTGGATGAGCGCAATGAATTCCACCGCAGAGTATATTCAATGATGAAGGTAAGCACAAGACATCTTCTCCCTCCAGCACGTAGTCTGACAGTGAGTAGGAAGAAGCAGTAGAGGGACGAAGACGCATGACTGAAAGTCAAGATGTTCTGGTACCAGCACTTCGAGGAAACACATCTGTCGGACCACCGTACAGCAATGCTCAAATCAGCGAAACAGTCACACACCGTGAAATCCTTCGAATCTATCGGATGGCACGGCCAGAGACCAGAGTGGTATACGATCTTGGCCGTGACGTTGACCGTGTCGAGGAGGAGAATTGGGTCATCCGGTGGATGCTGTGGCATGTATTCCGCTACCGGGACAGTCGCAACAAGAACCGGAGAACAACATCTCCGAGTCCAGAACGATCAAGGTGCTCTCAACCTGTGAACTTGGTGTCGATCGCCGCTACCACCGCCTCTCGCTGTAAGTACATTCTCATGATGAAACTAGTTCTGGCGATACGGTATACCTGACAATCTTTGCAGGTGCAGCGAGCAGCACGAATGCCCACCGACAAAGCTACTATTGGGATCCCGTCCGCGGCACATGGTGTAGCAGATAGTCTGCGATACTTGGACACCTGTTGGAGGGCCATTCGTCTGGCATTGCGACCCCGAGAGCTGTTGCCCACGTGCGAATCCTTCTCAAGACGACTCCCGTCTGCTGTGCTGGAGCCGGTCAAGATGCGCTATCCCGCGCTACGAGGCTGTGCTGGTGGAACATCCAGTACAATCGGCGGCTTTAGCAGGACAGACACCTTGGCTCCCGTCGACGGGTTCTATCAACGAAGCGAAAGGTCTGACGGCTAGCACCAGGATCAAATCGAGGCTGGCGTCCCTAGTTCACATGTCGACGTCGACGATGTGCTCTCTACGCTCATCTGGATGTCGGTCCGAGGAGGCCGACGGCAATATTGCCTGTGCTGTGGGTCGACGTCGACGGCCGAGACTCCGTGCGTCTTTTCTGAGCGGCTGTGACGTTCGATGTCTGGCGCAAGGCGTTTAGGAAGATCGCCGGGGAACGGCAGATCATCAGCTGCGGGCTTAGGCCCGGGCTAGTGAGCTTCCAAGAAATGAATTCGTCACAGGATTTGTTGGTTATGCTTTGGCTCCGCTCGACGTGGTTGTTGTGTTTGACACACCGGATATAGCATTTACACTTTCCTCGCGGTAGAGCGTCTGCGGCATCAATGTACGATATATAGTAATACTCAGCGATGTAGCATAATCAACCACTTTATCGAGTTCACCCAAACTTGCACACATGGCATAGCTAGATACTTGCGAGCATTAGTGACACAACGATCACACGACTTTGTTTCACTTATTTTCAGAATCTCAGCATGCAGAATCAAAGAGCCGAGCATGTCGCAAGCGGATCCATCATCCTTCGACTCCAAAACCCTTGCAAGCGTGGACCGCCGAACGCCACACAGCGCTGCGGATATCGTCCCCATTGGATATTCCCGCCCCGCAAGTCCACAGTGTGCACACCTGCATGTGCGTAACATATCCGACCAAGCCGACCTTTCTTTCACCTTCCGCAATATCGAAAGCTCCACAAGCAATGAGCATTGGTCGGCAGGCTTGTGAACCGCATGCGACGATGCGTACCCAGCTTTCATGCTGCTTCGCCCGGATCGCGTGTGATCGATGATATCCAGTCTCGCTGTAAARGAATGCTCGTGTGTTCGTGGGAGCGTGGATGTCCAAATTACTCATCGACCMAGCCTTGGTACACACGAAAGTGCAGCGCAAGGCAGTCTTGATGCTTGTCAGCTTCCGAATTCTCGAAGATTCTGACACCTACCTCCTGTGATTATGACATCTTAGGTTGTTTCGATAACAACGACGACGCCAGACATGCTTCGGCGAAAATCGCAGAGATTTGACCATTGCTGGGTTTGAACTTTTGTGTAGAGGTTGAAGAAGCCGATGATTGGACGATGGCATACATTTAAGCCTTCCCGCATAATGCATTAACAACAACCACGCACTGTGGCACTGTGGCGCTGTTCGCCTGCCAGCAAATGGTGGTTGAGAAATATTGAGGCTTGTCGCTACCGAACGCACACGACCTAGCTTTCGAAAGCTCCAACGTTCGAGACCTTCAAGATCTGCGGAACAAGCGCCGAATCCCAAGAGGAAGTATACCGTAGGATCGAACTTCTCGCATCGCCTGTTGTTCGATCGCCCCGTGCGTTCGGGAATAACAATGCGGAAGCTGCTTCAGGATATCCATTACCAGCATCAATGTAGTCTATGCTGCTAGATCGCATCAGGTCTTTGGCGCAAACAAATCCCGCCAAAATTCCTTCCAACCATATTGTGGCTTTCGTTCATCGTACACATGACTGGCCTTGTCCATAGAAAACTTATCGAGCACCCCGCCAGGGCGATGGCCAATGACCTCGATGCCTTTGATCTTAGGAGTGAGAGCCCTCTCCCGGATAGTTGCAGCGACCTGTGGTGCAACGTCGGCATAGCACTTTTGCAGTTCCCGCTCTACACTGAAGTACGGCTTGAAATCAAACGAATTAGAGACATAATTCCATTAGCTCCGTGGTTGGGCAATCATCCCTCACCTTCTTAGCAAGATCTGGCGCCATTAAATTGTAACTCCTGGTAAGTCCATTAAGCTCCTTCACGGCCAGTTCATGGTATGGTCGCTCGGTTTGGAGCCATTGTGGGTCACGGAAAGCTGGCACTGTCGGTCGTCTTGGTGAAGTAGGAGGAATTGCCTGCGAGCAGCTCGGCTGTTCTTTGGACACTATCACCTGTTCTGGTGGCTTCAAGCTTCCATTCTCGTCGAAGGTATCTTCCACGATCTTAATTTCTTCTTCTGTTGTTGCAGAATTTGCAGAGTTCCCTAGCTTCGGCTCAGTAGTAATCGTGATTTGAGTCAGGTTACCTTCTGTATTGACGGCATTGAACTGCTCAACTTGCTTCTTGGATGGGTTCTCAAGAGATTCAGCGAATGCGTACTCCTCGGCGAGTTTGATTTTGCTCTCGAGTGTGCCACCGCGGCTTGATATGACCCTGGAAGAATCAGCACACGATAACATGCACCACGACGTGCAGCTCGACATGCTGAGCTACAGCATCACTGACCTCGCAACATGTCGCTTCCAATCGTTTCTAAGTCTTTTACGGAATGTAGACGCTGCCGATGCAACCTCTTGCTCTAGGAGGATGTTAGAATTGGTCAATATGCTTTTTTGATGAGGGAGACATCCGCTTTTCCACCCACGGAGGCAGTATGTCCTGTCTCTGGATGATTCCATTCAGGAAATATTCCTGGCAAGGTGTCAGATCGTGAACTCACAACCAGCGAGCAACCAGGCATACCGTCGTATCAATAAAAGGACTGCTTGCGTTGTAATCGCGCTCAATTTTCTTGCCACGCGGTAGATTCTTGAACTTGCCCCTCGCAATAGCATCCTCGATTCTTTCATTAGCCAGAGCTGCGATTCCAGACAATGAAGCTGGTACAGAACGAGCTCCAGACTGGAAGCGAGCTTTCATCTCCTGCCGGAACTTGTCCCTCTCTTCCTCTGTAAGTCCCTCGGCCTCTTCGTTGGTGAGGGTGTATATAGACGATCTCTCCTTTGCACTTGCGAGCTTCACCCCAATGTTGACCTTCTTACTCGGTCTTCCAGTATCAACCTTCTTCGGGACACGTGCCGTAGTTCTCTGTGCACCATGCAGCGGCCTATGGGCATCATGAAGCATTCGAGAAGAGGCGTCTTCCACGCGCTCGGTCCCAGACCATGGCCGCGCAGCGGCCAATTCCCTCTCAAACTTGCCTGCACTGGTGGGCATATCCGCTTGCGCAATGGCACTAGCATTCTCGCTCCTAAAAGCTGCCTTTGCTATCTTCTCTTCCAGCTCTTTCTTCAGAGTCTCGCTGAACTCGAAGCCGGCCTCTTGCACGGCTTTGCGAGCACTTCTTCCTCCGGTTTGAATATTTTCTTCTGTCATCTCTTGAAGTCTGCGTGACATCGCACCTCCATGGCTCGATTCATCAGAGGGGTTCCTTTCGCCATTGTCGCTGGCTGGAATGGGTGGCGTTGGYGTCTCCGAGCTCGAAGCATTGCGGACATTCGTCTGGTGACGCAGTCCTGCATTTTTCGTGACTGGAAGGGGTCTTAGGCAGCGGCTGCAGACCAGCGAGACAGAGCTTCTGATTCCGTGCATACAGGTGTGTTAAAGTGTGTGAAGTTTGGAACAGTGGACGCCACAGTCCATGTCGTGGGCGCCACGCGCTAACGGTGCCTTACTAACGACCTCGGGAGTAGGTACCGAACACATTACTTCGATTTGATCTGCCCAAACTCCGATAGCAAGAGCTGTGTACCTGGATAATGTTTGATTTCAGCTCAGGCACCCGTCGTGATCAAGATTTGTCGTTGCCCATCGCGTTGGTCCGACACCGTCAACTCGGAGAGACGAAGACGAAGACGGAGCTCTCCGAACCATTCACGGTTCAACATTTGCGGAGAATACTCCGAGATCACGGACCTCACGTCATGCCGGAAGCGATTCAAACAACCACATTTCGGAGGCCTCCCCGGGGCCCGAAGATCACTTGCAGCAGCCTGCAGCTCCGACTGTGAAGAAGACCATAAAGCTTCTTCCCTGCCTCACCGCCTCGAGAGTAACGTTCAGTGTGCAGTGGAGACATGGCATGGTACACGTCGCCAAGCACGATGGCGATTTTCCATCATTATGCCTCATCACACCGCCCCCGCACGAAAGCTCACCACGGAATGATTTGATCTCCAATCCAGTCGATTCGAACATTCATGTGCAAACCCCTCCCTGCGGTTTCCGGCAAATCCGGCGAACCTCCAAGGTTTTGCGACCAGCGATAAGCGAACCCTTAGATTCTAGTCCCTTACAGCTCATCTTGGCTCCTAATCTCGCAGATCGATGTTGCGGTATACCCTCGCGTTGCTTTTGCGCTTGCGCACAGGACACGATGATATTCTAGATCACCACAAGATAGATTGCTTGCATTATCTTGAGTTCAACTGGTCTCACGGTGTGTTGCGTTGAAACTTTGCGCGATTCGGCTAATTAGGAGGGGAGGAAGTGCTGGTTGCCCAACGCCTGTTCGCATCCCATATGATACACTGGTATACAGGGGTGCGAGTCATGGCTGTGAAGCGCACACGACCTCGCCAGATGTGCCTGCCGAATCTGGGGATCTTCGATCGTCAGCTGCCGGCATGACTGACTGACTCGAACCCTTCGCGGAACATTAGGTTGACTTTCAACCTCAAACTTCGAGCTATTGTCGGTACCAAGAAGTGCCCGAGTCATGGTGGAATTAGGGCATTCTTCCATGCACCGCACGATGTGTTGGAAATGATCGGCGTGACGACGTGAAACTGCGGAGCACGATGCAAAGTAGAGTAACGCCAAGACGCATGTCGGCGGGCTCTGGAGTCTGGAGGACGCGTATTTCAACCAAGCCTGAACTGACTAGCCACGGAACAACCCCCGACTCGCAGTCTTTGATATGGATGTAGGGGTATATGTGCCAAACATCAAAGGGAAAATAAAGTAATCGAGCTCCGCGGACACCGCCTGTGCCGCCACGAATTGCTACGCAAAGCTTGACACACCAAAATTGTGGATATCTGTGATGATATTGTCAGTGATCCGGAGCAACAGCATTGTCCCCTTTCGGCAAGAAGGTTCCACTCTCGTGCTGGCGACGTCGCTCCAGGCTTGCTAGCTTTGTCGTAATAATCGGCGAGACTTGGTTGTTTCGGGAGACAGATGTTCTATCGGACTATCACCGCCTCGCCAGAGATCAACATATCGTGCAATGGCCACCGGCACATCTCAAGCAAGCTCTCCGCTAACGACTTCCAACCATGCACGCTTTCGGCCCTTTCACTGCCTCGTCGGGACCCAGATACTGACGATTCGCGTTCTCCCCACATCACCAAGGCTCGGCGACATCGAAGGCGTTGGCCTACCTGCAAAGCTTTATGTTATTCAACGCAATAATCAAGTCTCTGCAAGGCTGCTCGTTCTGGTGCTTAAGACTACCGGTGCAAGAGCGTTGTCATCGACTCATTACAAGGAGAGCCGGCAAGCTTCAAATTCAATTTCCCCGTCCCCTGCACCGCCCTCGTTTTCTCTGATGAATCCAGCCTGAAAGTTGCCGTGTTCGGTTCCCTTTCACAGAATAGTACCAAACCCAAATGTCTGCTTTATGCTCCTCACGTAATACTCGTCCCAGTTCTTTTTGGTGCTCTCCTCCTGACCCACGGGCACTCCATCCCAGCTGACGCGCATGACAGTAACAGCATCGACATCGTTCTGCTCGAAACGAATGCTCAACGTACTGAAATGTCCCGCGGGCCACTGTGCCAATCTCCACTTCTGCTCCACTAACGTGGGCTTCTCCAGCCTCGTGTACTCTCCACTAACATTTCCTCCAAATATCTCAAACTTGCCCCCCTCTTTCGCACCATCGAATCGCTTGGGAACTCCGCGAGTAAATGCACTTATCCGGTCTTGGGAGGTGAATGTTTCGAAGAGCTGCTCGGCTGTGGTGCGGAATTCCTGTGTATCCGAGAGGGATGTTGTGTTGATCTTCTTTCCGTTCGCCTCGCCTGTTACTGTGCTTGTTGTAGTGCTAGAGCCCTTATTGACGCCGGAGTTTTGGAGGGTTCGTACGGGAGTGAAGCTCGCTGAGGGGTTGGTACCGGGCGCGTGTTGAATGTCTTTGCCATGCTCCGTGATCAGTGCTGGCCCGATCTTACGGAGACGGGTGCGAAGCTCAGGGGTGATAGATTTGCGGACGAGGTCTTTCGCGGGTTCCTTCGCTATCGTTGCAGAGTGTATCTCGATGTCGAACTGCGCTTCGTCAGCTGGTGGACCGAATGGTTCTATCATTGGTCAAGGGCCGGCGAGATTGAAGGTTGCCGACTCTCCTTCCAGGGTATCGACAACAACGCTGTTGATCAGGCAGATATTGAGCACAAAAAAGCAGCCTGCGGAGAGTTTCGAGAAACTCTCCTCTAATGATATCGGCGCAATCGTCCTGTCGTTGGTGCAGAAAGTTGTTACAGAAAAGGCAACATGTTTCTGTGCTGCAGGCAGAGCGACAACCTTCAATGTCACCGGTTCTTGGGTATGGGTATGACTTACCACAAACTCATCATGGTCCGTATCATGCGCGACCTCTGGGATAGTAATTGTTCCGCTAACGTCCTGCTTCCCATCTCGCTCCTCCTCCGTTCCATCATCGTTCTCGTGCTTTTCCTTGACAGGCACGCTACCCGTCCACTCAAGTTGTAGCCGCACATCAAAAATGGTAATGACCTTGCCCTTGCGCTGCGAGACATCTACATCGCCTTCCATGCTGAGGACCTTGTTGATTTCGACGTGAACATCCCCTTCGGTCGCAGAGAGACCAACGAGGTCTTTCGTCAGGTATTCTTGTGTCCAGGCCGAGACATCTTTGTTGACCCAATGCCAGTTGTTCGGGTTGTGGAGGACCATGTTGGGCTTGTGTTGTCTGCACGCCAACGTCAGCAAGTCCTTCAGAATAGTCTCGAATGGTTAATTGAATGCCCCCCAGTGAGGTCACATAGTGGCCTTCCCGGTGACGAAATTACTCTGCTCCCGTTACTACCGGCCTCCTCCTTTGCCAGATTCCCTCAAAGTTGAGTACGACAATGCGACTTACCAATTCTTCTTGATAGAGCTTGTGAGTAGTGGAGGATGGGCGTGGAAGTGAAGATATTGGAGTCCAAACGACGAGGAAGTCGCAGATGGAATGCTCGAGAAGGAGCAGTTCTGCCGATGATCTGCCGGCGGGGAAGGATCGGATTCGTTCAGTCTCTCACGTGCTGTCACATGCCAAAAAGTCATAAATCGCCTGTCTCTTTGTGCGTGGCTTCAACTTTGGGTACTTGATGCAATCAGCTTTGTGAAATGATAGATGCTACGCTCGAATGGTACTGTTTGTTCATGGAGGATATCACAAGTTGCTGAGGATCTCGCACTACCCCAACCCTAACCCTGGTTGTTGTATCAGCGTCGACCGCGACGGCATGTAAACTAGAAAGTTCTTTGTTTTACCAGTATTGCTAAATCATAGAGGTTTGGAGATTCATTTGAGTTCAGAGGGCCTGAATGCACGGTATCCCTGCCCTGATCGTTCCAACGCACCCAAAAAGGGCCTGTCCCATACTGACAATGCTGCACTTGATCCACCAAGTTTATCAATGTCCCACGCACGAACGGCTTGAAACGAGAACGTCACAATGGGAGGATTCTCATCGCTCATAGACGAGCATATCATTATCCACAATAACCAGTAATATGAACATGATGGATACAAGTACCAAACCCCTGTAGCGTTGGATATGCATCCCGTCTCATGACGACCTATCCCATCATACACATCCAAGTATACTGTATGCTTCTACACCGTATTCACAAGATCCTTCGAACCCTCTTCTTCGCCGGACTACCCATTCCCATCACCTCATCCCTTTTGACACTAACATCTCCGTTCTCCTTGAACAACACCTGCGCCCTTGCACTGCCCTTCTTCGCCGGGCTCGCAGCAATTCCTATCGCGGGAGGTGCCATGACGGGAGCAGCATCCATCGAACTCTTGAAGTCCAGTTTAGGTACCGCAGATGCAGGCGCCGCTCTAGCCCTCTTCTTCGGCGGAGAAGCAATGAGTGAATTCTCCTTCCCAACAGCAGCAGACGCAGTCAGCGAGCTCGCGGGAGCGGGCAATTTGCTCGAAGGTGCTCTTTTACGGCTGATAGGCGCTTTCTTGGAGGCAGACACTGGAGCAGCCTCTGTGGCATCATTCAAGCCGTCTGGAAGGAGGGATTTGGCGGCGCCAGGAAGCTTTGCTGGAGTTGCTATCCGAGAGCTGCGCTTCGTGGCTTTTGATGGTTTTGCGACTACTCCAGCAGGAGCGACTGCCGGCGCAACAGCTTCTTCTGAAGCCCCGATGGATCCCGATGAAGAGGCCGTTGGGCGGGGAGTCCTCAGACGTCTAAGTTTCGCGGGTTTGCTGGGTGTGTTGCTTGGGGGTGGCGCACTCGATTCTTCAGCGATGTTCAGCTCATCACTCAACATGGACATTTCCGGTTCGTTGGCACCTTCATGGAACGACTCCAAAGTTTCCGCCCACTTCACTGCTCTTCTCCCGGCCTTGACAGGGACTTCCACATCCATGTGATCCTCGTCATCCTGAGGCCCGAGCTCGTCTGCTCGGGCGAGCCTCTCCGCCGCAAGTCGAGTGAGGCGCGTAGGAGGAAGGACAGCACCGCTCTTGTTCTTCTTCGTGTTATTCCTCGTCATTCGAGCAGTATCATGTGTCTCATCCTTCTTCAACACGACGACAGGGTCCGCGGGGCGGATGGAGATGCACTTCGGCCCTGCAGGGAGGACTTGCGGACCCTTCTTCTTGACCCTTCCACTCTTTCGCGATGCTCTTTGCTTGTCAGGAGTAGCGTTCAATGCAAGCTCGTCTTCGTCTTGGTCAATCACAGACTTGCGATCCGTTTGAGCGGCATCAGCAAGACTGACAGCGAGAAATTGCTTGCGCGGAGATGGGCTGTTAGGATCCAAGTCGGCTAGCACGTCTCCCGCTGTCGTCTTCGCGAGTGGCGCAGGACTAGCGAGAGCCTGTCGCACAGATGTTGAGTCTCTTCTGTTCTCCATTGATTCTCGCTTGGCAGTGGTTGAGCCGTCCTTTGAAGTCTTACTTTCAGCAGCACGATTGAGAAATGCCTGCAGAAGAGCCGTATCATCAGAAATACGAGGCTGCTTAGGCCTCCGAGGTGACATTTGCGGCTCTTCTGGTGGTGCAGACGAGGATCTCGTGGGCTGAGGAAGAGGGGTCGGGTTGTCGATATCCATGGAGTCATCAAGCGCAGCGCCGAACGATGGTGAGCTCTGAAGCTCCACTGATGTTGTATACACTGGCAGCTTGATCGGGGTGAATGCGACCAGGTGAGGGCGTGAAGATGAGGGGAGGATCCCGCTTCTCCGTACAGGGCTGGTAGACTGTCTGCGTGGCGATCTTCGAAGTTCGAAGACCGGTTGTGATTCCGTGGTGTATTCCACAGTACTTGTTTCGGTATCGATCGGGAAGGTTGGTGCAGCATGGTCGGACATCACCATCGGCTCAGACTGCAATTGCTCCTCAGACGATGGCAAGACCTCCGATGCGGGATTGATCTCGAATGTGCCACTGTCTTCCCCTCCAATCTCGGCATGCTTCGGCCATTCTTCCTCTTCAACATCTTCCCACGCATTGTCGTCGTGAGCAGCATCACCCGAGACTTCCTCGCCATGAACAGCTAGGGAGTCCTTCGAGAGGACGCCCAATTCAATGTCTGAATCTTCCTCATCCAGCGCTGCTGCAAGATCCGCTCCTGATACCTCGTCGGAAGGCACAATGACGAGCTCGCTGGCCTCCTTCGAAGGTTGAGAAGTATTATCGTGCGTCTCATCCACCACATGAGATTCGGCCTCGTCAACATTGCCCGGCGAGCGCGCGTCTTGGACGATGTCAGACTCAGCGGAAGTGGGAACCACAGCAGGATGTTGAGCAGCAAAGTTGACTGGGAGCGTCCTCCTGCGATTTGCGTTGGAAAGCCTGACTTGGTTGATTGTTCTCCGTTGGCGCTCCTTGACAGGGGAGACGAATCCTTCTGGCATGGGGCCGAATTGCGAAGTCTGCTTCAATACTGATTTGAGTTGAGGTACCGGTGAGGTCTGTTCAGTTTGTTCAGCTGGCGGCGCAAGTCGGGAAATTTGGATCTCAGGATTGGCTCGCTCGGCAAGAGGCATGTCGGTATGAGTTGATGGTGCTGAGTCAGTGAACGTCTCTTCGGTGTCCATATCCTCAACGGGCGAATGCAAGCTTTCGTCCAGGGCATGCTCTCCGTCGCTGTGATGCGCCGGCTTTGTAGCTCCTTCCGATCCTCCAATCGTCTCAGCGAGATGCATCAGCGTAGCATCCCAGACTGTCTCCTCAGTCATGCTCTCGTCATCCCAGTTCTCATTCTCCACCTCCGCCTCGCCCTCCTCTGGATCCAGTTCCAGAATCGTGCCATCCTCATGCTCAATCTCCACGCGCAACACCTCTTCTCGAGATGTGACATCACTGCCCTCCTGAAATGCCCCAAGTGCCTCAACCTGCTCCGCAGCGTCCTCTCCAAGCTCGAGTAACGCCTCTTCCCTGTTGCTGCGGGTGACAATTCTCCTATTTCGCGGACTGCCTCTCACATCCCAATCGCGTACCACCTGCTCGCCCGCTGCTCCACGCATCTTCTTGACTGCCCTGAGAGGACTCTCAGGTCTGATCGTCGCGCCACCTCCACCAGAGGCGAACAGTGACGATGCCGGTGCGGACACGCCTCCAGTGCGCTTCCATACTTTACCCACCTTCAGGCGCCGACGCGTGAAGGGTGACTGTGGTCGGCGTTCCCAAGCATGCTGCACCTTTGTGACTGCGAGGTTGGCGGGAGCCAGTAATGCTGCGTCCTTGGAGTCCCATTGCGCCCATGTGGTAGATGCGGTGTGTGTGGGTGAGGTCGAGGTTGTTGATTCTGCTTGGGAAGGTGCTTTTGGATCTGTGCTGTTTAGCGATACAGTCGCCGGAGCGGAATGCTCTTCCATGTCGGCGGTGTTGGTATGGAAGAGTGTAAAGTCCTGTGTCGGAGCAAAGTAGAAGTGGGATGTCGCGTCGCGGATGATCACCAAAACAAAGCTTCGGCGCTTGGGACAACAGTTGCGTCGGACCTGATTCCGCTGATGAAGCAACTTCCATACTGCACCTACTAGAACGTGCGAATCTTGTGGTATCTGGTTGAACAAGCATTTCCGCCAATTGTCACTTGCGTCTCCATCAAAATCCATTCCAGAACAATCCAAGATGGTCGCCGGCAAGACGAACCCCGCGCAACTCGCCCGCTCCGCCGCCTCCACATCCGCCGCCCCCAAACTTCCTCCACTCCCGAAACTGCGCGTGCGCAAGCCTGATCGCGCTGATGCCAATCCCTGTGTGGCTGTCATGAGCTCAATGCTGGGTGGGTCTAGTTCAGGCAAGATACGGACATGTCAAGACTGATATGGCTGGAACGACAGGTTGCTGGGCATCTCAGGGCTACACCACAGCGGGTTGCGCCGTTCTTGAACAACAACTCCGAGTTTGCATGGATGCKAGGGTATGGCATCGCACTGGACTGGCAGATGATGCAGAATTGACGACTGACAATGTCATTCTAGAAAGCGGGCCAGACGAAGAAGAGCACCATCAACCACCATCTCTCGCGATTCTACCCCCAGATCATTGGGCCCCACAAACGGAAGTAAGAGACGGGGATGGGATAAAACTTGTAAAAAAGATGTGGCGGGAAGAGAGACACAATCACCATTAGCGATCATTTGCAGGCGTTGGGAGGGTTGGGAACCTGTCAGGAGATATCTCTGCAGGTCTATGTACAGTCGAATCAACAAGGAGTCACAACAAGGAGCAGCAACCACGACATGGATATCGCTTGCGGCATCTGCTGTTGAGATCTTTGCGCGAGGATGCAGCCCGCACAAACCAAGATGACCGTTGTTCGTAGGATTTGATACCCCTGTTGGCCCTTCACCGAGCGACAGACTCTGAACTCGCAGATCTGACGCAAGTGGCCATTTGGACAAGCTGTCCCAAGATCGCAGCATCTAACAAGCGAGCCTCATCTGGTTCGAGGACCMGTCAATCCCTCCTTGGGCTTTCGTATGCACAATGCTTGCACCCCAACCCTCTGACATCCATTAATAGCTGTTCGACGCGCAAATATCGCATCCTACCCTCTTGCTCCGCGCCATGCTCCGCTGCATGTCACCAGAGGGATCCTGGTATGAATGGAATTCTGGGGTTCACCTGACGTTGCCTGCGCTTCAGCAGCGAATATAGCATACCAGCTCTCGGCCCCAAGCAATCTCCCGAAGACTTGGGTCTGGCACGAGACAGCTGCCTTGGTACCAAGAGGGATGGCTGGAGACAGACCTGTGTCTGGAATTCGCTTCCCAAGTCGCTTGACTGGCTGATCAACGTTCTATACCACCGCCCTGTCAAGGGTCAGATTCAAGTTGAACTCCACCTCAAATTAGGGCGTTAGGTCGAACAGGTTGCGGATCGCTCGGATCATCTTCGTGTCAATCACCAGATTGGCTACCGAGTGATCGGACACGCCATTCTCCCAGCAGCGTGCCGCTGTAAGTTGGTCCTGAGCATGAGTACAACCTTGCGAGCTCCACGCATCTGCTCTTTGCCAACAAGATGGCGGTAGACTTTGAGGATGCTTTCAGATATCGCAGGACGGAACTTCCATCTAGGAGACACTGGTGCAAGGATCGTGACTGGGTTCATACGGTAGTACATCTATTCCATTCCCCTAACCTAACAGCTAGACCCATTCGCCGCATCGCATCGGTACTCATACAGAACATCCGTACTAGACCCAACATGCGAACAAGTCTTCCTCTGCTCATCACCACATTTCTTCTCCTTATGGCAGAAAGCGACGATATTCTCAAAGCCCGGGGTGAATGAGACATCCAGCTTCTGATTGTCGGTCGTWGAGACGCGGAAGTAGAAGGTTGTTCTGTCCGGTTGAGTGCACACGTTGCCGCCTTTCAGTTGAAAGGGTTTGCCGCCAGCCTCGTTGCCCGGGCAAAGTGGATCGACCTAGGACATCATTAGCTAGTGTTTTCTATGGTTCGTTGTTGGAGTGGCTCAACTAACGAAGAAGCCATTCTCCACGGAACGTTTCCCAAGAGCTTTACAGTCCTCCTTCTCGTCCCCACGGATGATGTAGGTGTCCTTTCTGACCGTTGGCCTTGAACAAGTTCCCATGCCAACGCATATGGCGTTTGGGGTGGTAAGGATTCGTCCAACCCAAAATTCGGCTGTAGAGAGGCCTGCAAGAGCCGATAAGACTGCGATCGAGAGCTTCATCGTGAAGGAGTAAGGGATGAGGATGAGATGGATATTGATGAGATGGATATTGATGAGATGGATATTGATGAGATGGATATTGATGAGATGGATGTTGATGAGATGGATGTTGATGAGATGGATGTTGATGAGATGGATGTTGATGAGATGGATGTTGATGAGATGGATGTTGATGAGATGAGCCAAGGTTGAAGTAGGAGTACTGTGTTTATATATGCCTTGTATACTGGGATGATCGTTATAAGCTTGGTTGCTAGTTGATCCTTCGAAGTTCAAAAAACCATCCTTCAGAGTAGAACTTAGGCGCAGAGCATCGAGTGATGGCCGGCGACTGGTCGTCGATGGGATGCAAAGTGGCTTACATTCTGCATTGTTGATAGGCCAAATGATTATGAGACACTTCCGCTTCTGTACTAGGTATCAAAGTTGTCACGCACGCGAAGGAAGTAGGCGAAGGAAGGCGACCAGTAAGCCACAGTATGAAAGATGCTTCGCGTACTATGTCGTCTAGGGTTGTTCCTTACTGTAGAGTGCAATCCGATAAACACGGAAAGTCTCCAAATAATCGATAAGTGCGCGCGTGGAGCTTGACGGGCTACATACCATCGATGAATGAAGTATTGGAGGTTATGGTTTGTCGTCAGTCATGAGATTTGAAGCAGTCTACGGAAATTGGGTATCGTAAGAAGATAGACACCGMCCTGCTAGAACTTCTTCCTAGCAACAACTCCGAGGCCTTTGCTCCCACTGTGTGTTCCCTTTCCGAGTGTGTCTGTCCAGAGAAGCACAGCTCAACCCACACCGTCACAACCCAGCGTTAAAATCTCCATTTCCCGCTTCATTTCCTGCATTCAGTATGAGGTGGCCCAAAGATGATCTCTTGTCTCGACCGTGAGCTGTCGATATGGGATGATTCGGAAATTTGTTCTGCATGATGCTTGCTCTCGTCAACCGCATCGTTTGACTGCTGGTTCACATCCATTCGCATTTGATGCGCACCGGCAGGACCAGTAACTGGGCTTGTGCTGCAAGTAATTGAACTTTGATAGTTTGTATGTGTTGGATCGGTGGAGAAGCAGTTGAAGGGGTGCATTCCTTTACCGCCGTCTGCATCGCAACAGACAGCTGCTGCATGAACTGCTCGCGCGAACGGTCGACGTCCCAAATGGCGTTGAGCCAAGCACAGGGCGCCCCTGGGTGCGAATGGCCCAATGTGAAGTGGACTTCGAACCTTGTCTCCATGGAGAACAAGCTTCGGACCTTGAGCACCAGTTTGCGGTCCATTTCGTACGTTCCCCCAATACCGCGCACAGCATCTTTGCGGGCCTCGATCTTGAGCTTGACTTGGCGGATCTCGGAGAACTGATCTTTGCCGATCAGGCGTCGGAAAGCGTTGACTCTACTGCGCACTTCCCAGCGCGGGAATTTCTTTGCCTCGGACGATGCAGTCGGGGTCGTTGTCATGATCGTAAGCGGATTGAGATGGTAGTACATCTTGCGCGTCTCTTGTCGAATCTCGCGGCAAGTCTGTGTAAGCGCGATGGATGGGAGGCTGGCTGTGGCTCGGTCGAATGACTGATCCATTGTGTCGTCGCTGCAGTCAAGGGCAATGCCTCCGGAAGTGGTGAAGACGTGTTCGTAGATTTGGTTGCGCAGCTCCGGCGCCAGTAGCCCGAACAGCGAGTTCTCCATGGCGCAAAGGTGGGACGTTGGTTTTGCTGATGAAGATGTCGAAGAAAAAGTCGAGGTCGAGCTCGAAGTAAAGAAGAGGTTGAGAAGGGCGGGCTACGGTGCGCGATGACGGCAAAGGCGCTAGTATGTATTAGCGCAGCCTGAGTGAATGAAATGCCAAGTCCAGAAAGTTCCACGCTCAGAGAAATCGTTATAAGAGCAATCCCACAGCGCGCAATTCAAAAATGAGAAATTGCTGCGGTAGATTCGGAGAAGTTTTTGGTCTCCTAATACGTCCAATGTCTCTAGAACCCCTGGAAGCCTCAGTAGCAGCGGAGTCGGTGATCGAATGATAGAAAGACACAGTCCTGTTTGAATTTCCAGTCTCGCCAAATCTAAATAGTGTTGAATGAGCGTTCGGACGGCGTCCATTCAACATAGAAGTCGAGGAAATGGCTCTTTGCGATGGGACCGGCCCTCCGTGGTCGTAGATCAACACTGCTGATTGTGAATTCACCAGGCGGCCCCAACGAAAAGCTTAATCCGGAAGCGACATCCCGTAAAGATGCTCGACGGGTTCTCTACACTCTAGAGGCAAAGTGAGAATGCTTGACGCCAGCCTCTGACATTGCAACACCACCCCGTTAAAGACATCTGAGTTGTTGCGCTGAAAGTTGGGAGTGATGCGGCGGCTGTAGGCCCATAGCAATGGCCATCGAGCATGTCTATCCCCGTAGTATTGGAGGCAGCCTTTTTGAGGATCTGGGTTATCGGCAGTTGATTCCATAGGGGTCTGAACGGTTGCCCTCGAGAACGCGGTAGGCAGATTCCGGATCAAAGCCCAGTCTCCGCCAATAACCATGTGAGTGCATGCTCTCTTCACGTGTCCCTCAATTAGATCTCCAGCCACATAGAAGGCCCGCGAGCGATGGAACAGCATAAGGCAGACCTCTATGATCAAGCCTACTGGCTCGAGTCCCAAACAGGTATGGAAGTCAATGTCGACGCTATTCACACGAAAACCTTAGCAATACTGGTCCATGATCATGCACCACTGATCCGAGCAAGCGAGGGTGGCGATAGGATCGATTATACAGCTTATGGACAAATCGAGAGGCGTCTCGACGCATCAAAGTTGCGCAGCGTCTCTCCTCGGATGACTCGGTTGACCCCTGTCAGGCCCGTAACGGGTTGAGAGTACCATGTCCTTCCTGTTGGCCGGAGAGAGCCGGTCAAGGTCAGGGCCATGTCGAGGTCTGCAGGATCTCTGCTCCTTATCGAAGGTGCAGACGATTCGGTCAGTGGTATTGCTTTGCCTTCACGAATGGAGGACTGCAGTATTGCTTCACGGTGGAGGTGCAAGTCTCGCCTCGTAGTGTGTTATCGACCACGCTAGAAAGAGAGACGTGCGAAATGCGAAATTGAATTTTATGGCTGCGTCCGGGCTGGCAATCAGAATCGCGCTTTGCACAGGAGGGCCAGATGGAACAAGGCGTCGAATTCAACCATTTTCTTGTGTAATGCTCAGCTGAAATAGTGTCATCGTATAGACCGTTCTTACATAGTCTAATGACAGTTCCAGGCGTAAAACGTCGACGTCTATTGTGACACTTCATCGTCAAAAGTCAACACCTCTTCGTAGTCGACTCGGGTGGATTCCGCTCGCCTCTATCGGCGTTGTCTCCTCCGCCTTGGCCTCGACATTTGCACCGGTGCCTTCTTTGCCGGCCTTTAATCTTTCTTTCTTCTCCTTCTTCTCCTTTTCTTTCCTCTCAAGCTCCGCTCGTCGCTGTCGCTGCTCCYCCAGTCTCGTGTTCTTGACTTTAATCTTCTCCATCCTGCCCTCCGTCTTTCCGCCTCCACCCGCTGTCAGCTCCACATTGATCTTTCTTGTGTGATCTTTAGGCTTGCGCCCGTTGTATCCCACACTGGTAGATCCCCCAGCCTCAGCTTTTGCCTTGCTTGCTGCGGCCGTCTTGTCATCGATGACATCTGGGTCGAATGTGGAGTGGTGGAACAGCTTCAAGCAAGTCTTCATGCGATCATAGTTCTCGAACTCCAGGAAAGCGAAGCCCTTGCTTTTCTTTGTGCCAGGTTCTGTCCGGTGTCGCAGGTTGAAGGGTTGGAGTGATTTGAAATGTTGTTGGAGCGCAGCGTCGGTGGTTTTGTAGGGTAGATTGCCGATGAAAAGTATGAACTTTGATTTCGTCTTTGGAGCATCTGCTGCTGGCTTCTCTGCTCCGTCCTCTGTCTTTCCCTCGCCTGCGGTTGTGTTCTTCTTCTTTTTCCGCGATTTTTTCGGCCGTGCGACTACCGCTGCACCATCTGTGACTTTCTCGCCCTTATCCGCTCCAGYAACAGACTCTCCATCTCCGTCTACAGCATCCTCTGCCTTGCGCTTCTTCGTTTTTGACTTCTTTGAGACTTCTGCATCCTTTGCTGGCGCATCCTCCGCACCATCTTGGGCGTCATCAAGCTTGCGCTTCTTCGTCTTGCCAGGTTGGCGACGTTCAGCATCACGCTGGGCTTTGCGCTCCTTTCGAGAGACTGCATCTGCTTCCGTGGTCGACATTCTGGGTGAGCGATGAAATAGTTCGATGTCGGACGTCGGTCGGATTCGCGTCCCAGAAATCGTTTGATGCAGGGTCTGACTCGGCCCGCCGGCCCGAGCTCCGATAACACGGCACCTTACGCTATAGGGAAGGTGCCTCTCCTAAGTTACGTCCATCTTAACGGTCACACCATAAACATGAAATTTCCACACTGTGTTCGTTCTTAAGTCTCTCGTCGCTGAACATCTGAAACTTGCCGCACCAAAGCAGCATTCAAAGTTGGATTGTACTCAGCTGAGACCCGAGGGGAGACTGTACATCGCAATCAAGGAGCTATAGCGGCCGCGGAAAAGTGACATTTTGCTGACCCAACACATACCCTTGATAAAGACGCAGGAATATGCCTCCCCCAGCAAGCCCACCTCAAAATGACACCCCAGGCGTCACAGCAACAGAGACAACTCCCTTACTCGCCCCCGAAGCAGTCTCTACAACAGAGCAGAATGGCGACCTTCATTCGAACCACATCGAACACGATCCTGAAGACGAGAAGATGCCATATATCCAAATCCTCCTTCTATGCTACGCCTCCTTGGCAGAACCCGTGGCATATTTTGCCATATTCCCCTTTATCAATGCCATGATTCAATCCACAGGAGGCATCCCGGAAAGCTCGGTAGGCTTCTACTCCGGCCTGATCGAATCGCTCTTCTCTCTAGTCCAAATGGTACTCATGATCTTCTACGGCCGAATGTCAGATCGACTTGGCAGGAAGCCGATCCTTGTCTTCTCCCTCTGCGGTGTGAGTGTCGCAACCGCGCTGTTTGGCATGAGCCGTACTTTATGGCAGATGGTCATGTTCCGCTGCTTGTCTGGGGTCTTCGCGGGGAGTGTCGTGACGATTCGGACGATGCTGAGTGAGAATACGGGAAAGAAGACGCAAGGTAGAGCTTTCGCCTGGTACATGTTCACCAGAAACCTGGGCATCTTTCTCGGACCTTTGGTGGGAGGTGGGCTTGCCAGTCCAGCTGAGCAATTCCCGGGGACTTTTGGCAACGTCCAATTCTTCAAGGATTACCCATATGCACTGCCCACATTTGTAGCCGGAGCCATCTGTATGACAGGCACCCTGACCAGCTTATTCTTTCTCAAAGAGGTATGTCCGAGTCTATACACCGTACTCTCATGGAAACTGACATCATCCCAGACGCTTCACCGCACAGCTGGAGACTCAGATACTCCTGCCGAGCCACCGCTCTCAACAATTCAAGTCCTCCGCTCTCCTGGTGTACCCATGGTACTCTACATCTTCGGCCATGTCATGCTCCTAGCCCTAGCCTTCACCGCTGTCTCCCCAGTCTTCCAATTCACCTCAATCGCTCACGGTGGGCTCTCTTTCTCTCCTCGCCAGATATCCCTTTTCCTCGCACTAGGCGGCTTCTCCCAGGCCCTCTGGATGCTCATCGCGTTTCCATACTTACAATCCCGCATCGGCACCGGTTCCCTCCTTCGCATATGCGCCGCCTCCTGGCCTAGCTTTATGGCCATTTACCCAATATTGAATGAGCTCCTACGACGGGACTTGTGGACGGCGTTCTGGATCGTGGCGCCAATTGGAATCGTACTTGGAAGTGGGGTTGCGATGGCGTTTGCCTGTGTTCAGCTGGCACTGAATGATATTTCGCCCAGTAAGCAGGTCTTGGGTACAGTGAACGCTCTGGCATTGACGGTCAACTCTGGTGTGCGAGCGATAGCGCCGGCTGCTTTCACGACCATCTACGCCGTGGGAGTCAAATGGGGATGGGCGGATGGACATCTCGCTTGGATAATSCTGGTTTTCATTGCTCTGGGTTTGAGCTGGGCTGCGTGGAATTTACCAGAGCGAGCGGAAGGAAGGCCTTAAGGGAAGAAAAGTGCGGAGGATGAGTAGCTTTGCCTGGAATACCCTCAAAGGCCCAATTGCAATGTCGACCGTGATATTTGCAATTTAACGTGTTCCGCGAACCTTTTCCTGGTCTTCGAGGGACGTAAAATGATCGAGGTGTCAAGTATGTGGCTTGCCTCATCGATGATGTCCCATCGCAAGCCAACATTTTCGCAACGTCGGCAGCACCTCACTTTGAGTGCGAGCTCTCAGCATTTGAGTTCTTGATCGAAGCTTTTGATCCAGGAAGAAGTCCGTGTCACATGCTCCGTAAAGATCAATCCAAATCAATGGGCGGGATTTTTCACGACTTCCTGATTTCGTCTTTCCCAGTTTGGCCATGCTTGTCAAGCTTAATTTTTGCTGCCACGAATGGATCGACCGACAGTTACTCTGATGGTGGACTGACGCCCATGTCATCGTCCAGACCAGATCCTCATGCCTGCTTCGTCCCGCTCTCTCACTAGCTTTGAAATTGTTTTAGATATCTTCCGTATCTTTTCCATCTGAATTCCAAATCTCCAGCCAGTGTATTTCAGCTGCAACATCTGCGGGACCGTCCGTCTGAGGACTGGCGGCTGTCTCGCCGCGAAGGGGCTCCGCAGATTACCAAATAAGCCCCGATACAACCACATAGTACCTTCAGTACTTTGCATGTATTCTTGATGATATAGACCCTCTCGATTCTTGATGTCGTTTCGCGAGCCAACTCCGGATCAAAGTGTCTTGGAAGCGTAGATGGTGGCAATGCCGAGTCCAACTCGAACAGTCTCTTTTTCAAGGCAGGCCTCGTCATAAAAGATCGTGGTCGCTGCGTCTCACTGGCAATGTTGGGTGAACCTGCGCCCTCAAGTAGAATGCGGTTATYTTCCAGGCGGSATTGCTATTCTAGCGCCTCTCCCTATTTTGAGAATGTGGTAGTATTGAGACTTGACGGAGTCCACAGACCGGTCCAATTTCACAGCGATTTCAGTCCAAGCTGTACCAGTCGATCTCATGCTCATCAGACATTCCTGCTCTGCTTTCGTCCAGAATCTCGGTTCATTGTCAGGACCTCCTTTACGTAGCCTAGCACAGATCGTTGCCCTTGTTCGCCCGAGTACGATACTGATGTCAAGAGTGGAGATGCCAGCAGCAGCCATTTCGATGGCGGTTCTAGCGTCTTCTTTACTCCATCGTCCTTTCGGCTGATCCCGCGCGATTTTATGGTACCTTGAACTCACAGCCACGGAGGTCCTGCCCATCTGCTCAGCGATCTGGGCCCAGGTGGGCCGAGGCATGGTGTTTTCACGAAGACGCCGAAGAGTCTCGTCATCGCTCAGTTTCCATTCGGACAGCGGATGGAGCGATCTGGGATAAGCGCCACGAAATCGCTGAGTTGACAGGAAGTCCTTCAATGACTTCATGTCCACAGACCGCCTTGGACGGCCGGCTTGCGTTTCGAATGTTGCGCCCCTTTTGAATTTGYCAACGCGATCTTGAACGCTTCTCCTACTTCGATCCAGAGACCTTACGATTTGTGCGAGGTGGGTTCCTTGATTCCAAAGCTCGGCGAGGCGCTCGCATTCTGTCCTACTCCATGCTCGGGGATGTCCCCGTGGTTCGTTGAACTTGTTGCGGATCTTGTAAAGTTTTTGGCTCACGCTTTGGCGTGTCCGGCCGAGTATACCAGCTATGAATGCTTCATGGTGGCCCTGTGATTTGAGTGCCAGGGCCTTTTCTTGTTCTTCTTTGGTCCAAGGTGTGTAAGATTGGTGGCGAAGGAATTGAAAATGCACATGGACATTGGAGCGCCTAAGCAATGGGCTCAAGAGGCTTCCCGCCCACAGGCGTGGGGTCATGCTCTGGGGTGATGGAGTACCTGGCTCTCCTGCTACTCGAGCGACGTCGTCTCGTTCTTACGGAAAGGAAAGGACGGTGCCCGTCTTGGAAGATTGTACACACATGTAAGGTGGTAGGTAGGTAGTTTGAGTCCCGCGCGTAACGGGCCGGGCGGGCCGTCATAGCTCCGGTCCGCCCCAGCCCCGGTCGAGCTGCTTTGCCTTGCCATGGAATGAATCGGGCATCGAAGCATGGCAGCGCGGAGAGCAACATGTTTGGGAGCAAAATGACAATATCACCGCAGTTGTCATTCATCGTCCCTCGGCCTCTTCATCCGTGACCATTAGCCGTAGCGCTCTCTCGCGTCGGATGGACGGCATCACCCTCTCTCAGCATGACCTGATCAAGCAATGGTCCACATGGCCCAGTTCATGGAAGCCATGGCGCTTGCAACAACACGCCCGCATCGTCACCGGACAATGCCGTCGCCGGCCGGAAATCTGCAATGTCCWCCGCCGCTCTGCCATTTGTGCTTTCTGGGCCGTGGGATTGCTCAATCTGCCCATTTATTCCTTCATCACCGCCCTCTCAATACGTCGAGTGCATCGTACCATGGCCGCCTGGGAGTCCTGGTCTGTAGACACCATATCTGGCCGGTTATTGTCTCATTCTTTGGAGTCCGTAGGCTTCAAGAGATGGTTCTGCCAGACCCATCAACAATCAATGTGGCGCAACGTGGATCTGCCAAAATGGGTTCCGTTGTTTGGTATACGAAGCTCCAGTCTCGCCGAAGAGCAGTACTGGACCATCATCACTTCCAATTTCGCACACGTGAATCCGGCTCACCTCGCGGGCAACATGGTCTGTCTTTGGCAATTTGCCCCTGTATGCGCCGACATTCCTGGCCTCAACTGGATGCATGTCTGTGCAGTCACGCTGATCGCTTGCTTGTCTTCCTCCATGGCTTCACTTGCTCAGATCGCTTATTTTCCATCCCCGGACAAGGAGTGGGTCCCAAGTCAAGCAATTTCACTCGGATTCAGCGGCATCAACATGGCATTTCTTGGTATCGCGGCGATGGGCTCGCCGAAAAGACCCATAAGTCACCACCCCATACCGATTCCTGTTCCCTGCTGGGCGGTTTGTGGTGTTGCCGTGCTCATGGATATTCAAGGCATTCTGCACATAATGGGTGTTGTGGGAAGAGCACCATGGTCTCCAAAGATGGAAAACATAGGCCACCTTACGCACTTGGCTGGCTTTGGAACTGGAGCACTGTACTACTGGTTGATATTGAGACATCGGCCTTGTATGCCAACTCAGTTGGAAATAGTACCGGACGAATCTTGACGAATAGACATACTACAGCCTCCACATCCATACATGGTATCATCTGTGGGGGAGTCACGGCGCTACATCGAGTAGACAATTCACACGTCTTGAGCGAACCAAGAGTGACTAGGCTACTGGCCTTCTTATTCTTGTGCTTATAGCTACCTGTTCGCGAGCATCGTCGTCGATTCACAACAAGCAAAGCCGGCAACCTTCAATTTCACCGGCTCTTGGGGATTGGACGGAGACATGCGGCCCTCATCTGCTGCTTATCGCCCAGGTCTGCTTTCCCGCTAACGATACCGAGTGGCAAGTGCTGGCCGATTTCCCCCTCTAGCTGTCGTACATTCCAAGGCCTGTCTTACTCTACACATCTGTCGTGATTTTTCCGTTTTGCTTCGAGTCAGCCACTTCTCTTATCCTCTCCAGCAGTTCTGCGACGGTGAAAGGTTTGGGCATCACTGCGTCGAATCCCGCCAGCATGGCTCGTTCCACTTGCTCCCGGCGAACATTCGCTGTGATGGCTATCACGGGGACACTTCGCKTGATGTGTCCATCTTTTTCCAACTGCCGTATCTGCTGGCAGCATTCCAGGCCGTTCATGACTGGCATCTCCCAATCAAGCAAAATGACATCCACTTTGATGGATGCATGATGACTGGATGTCCTCACCCACATGTCTGATGTTTCGAGAAGCTGAAGAGCTTCCTTGCCATGGTTGGCAACGGTCACTGTGCATTTCGCGAAGCGGAGCTGTTTGGCTAGAATCCTCTGATTGATCAAATTCTGCATCTCGTTAGCTGCGATAATTCAGTACGGTAAGCAGAGCTGTCCATAGGAGGTATGTTCAACATGTCGAGGGTCTTGAGGTCCCATCGCATCGATTGTGAAACTGTTCGCTCGACACAGCCTCTACATCCCCTCTAGTAGAATCACTCGCCAGACTGTCGAGAGACCTTGTTCAAGGGCCAAGCTGGTAGAAGAAACCTCATGCTGACAGCTCTGATGATAAAGGGTACTGTAATACTCACATCCTCAACCAACAGCAAGTTGAACTTGCTTGGATCCGGTTCCGTGTGTGGCCGTGTCRATATCTCAGGCACTGCTTCACTCAACTCAGGGTTCAGAGCAAGTGCCGGAAGGCCTGATCTGTCGGTTGATCGCCGTGGCAATTGTGGTGGTATGAGCCGTCGCGGGCTCCCTTTTGATGGCTGCTGGGCACGTCTTGTTTCGATATAGAATCCAAAGGCCGACCCTTGTCCTAGACATGATGCAACACCAATGCCGCCGTCCTGTTTCTCAACCAGTTTTTGACAAATGTAGAGTCCTATACCACTGCCACCATACTCTATGTGGGTACGTGGATTTGCTTGGGAGAAGCGTTTGAAGAGCTTCTTCTTCTCTTCTGAGGTCATTCCAGGTCCGAAATCTTCCACGGAGAACCATAGATAAAGCGGCTTCTCCCCAGCGCTGCAAGGCGGCAGAATGCTGTTCTCCAGATGATCGCTTCGGCAGGTGCTCCATTCCAGCCGTCCGAAAGCAGTGTGTAGCACAGGCGTCTGGCCTTCCGAAGCACCGTATCTCACGCAAATCTTGCGAGACGGCCGGTTCACGGTGAACTTGATYGCCTGGAAATCAGTGTCAGAAGTGTCGCTTAAGTGGTAAGCAAGGTACGGACATTTCCCACGAGATTTATGAGCACTTGCGCCTGGATCTAAGAGTCAGCAATCAGAATCTTCCGCCGTCCCCTGGTGATGATTTGCTCACCAGTCGAGAAGGATCTAATAGTGCGTGGGATATGCCAAGCTCATCACATGATGAATCTTGCACTGGCTCGATCGAGACGCCGTTCATCTTCACCTCGCCGGAAAACATTCGGAGAGTAGTGTGAACGACTGAGATGGGAGACGTGGAGAGTGGCGAGAAGGATAGCATGTCGGATTCAAGACGGGACAGGATCAACACGTCGTCTATAATGCGCTTCTGATCGATGTGGTGTGTTAGAGTCTCTTTCAACACCCCCTGGCTCAAATAACCCACCTGATGAGCGGCACACGCAAGAATGGTGTTTGCCGAGTCCACGTTGGATTTGACAATGGCCAAGTAGTCTGCCGGGTCCTCGTGATGTTCCTTCATGCTTTGGGAGATCCCGTCCGCTAGTTGTAGTATGGCCGTCAAGGGGTTGCGCATTTCATGACTGGTCGTATCGATGAACTCCTACAAGACGTCAGTCACGAGCAAGGTTATGGTCAGGGAAGAGCCGATCCAACCTCTTGTTGACGCTTGGCATTCAAAGCCGTGGCAGCAACCTGTGCTTGCACTGACTCAGCCCATTTCTGATGAGATATATCTAGAATGTAGGTCATGACCAGCTTGACCGTACCGCTCTCCCCGAATAGCGGAAAGGACGAAGTCAAAATCCACGCCGAGCATTCTTCTGCACCCGCAGTGGGTGGCGTGAATGCTCTTCGAAGACGAATTTCCCGTTCAATTCGTGGAGACCCATCCAGTAATCTAATCATGWCGGCCTCGACTATAGCACCTCCACCCGGATGCAACGCCTGGAAGAAGTCCTACCGTTTGGAGTTAGCAGAGAGGCTCGACTTTCCTTGCAACTAGCGTCTCACACTCATGTCCGGTCTTGTCCGATCGTGACCGGTGATTTCATAGAACTGATCATTCGCAAACTGAATCCTGCGATCTTGGCCGAACTGGCAAAAGCCGACTGGTGCATATTTTGCCATGTGCTGCAGCTTGCTCTCACTGTTCATTGCTCGCTGCTCAAGTATTCTTTCTCTTGCTTTGAACTGTTCGGCAGAGATGGAAGCAGCCCATTTCGCTTCTATCTGTCGGGCCATGTCGATGATACTGCTTTCGGTGGAATGATCGTACAGTCTCCGAGGATTGTTTCCCWCCACGATGAAGCCGAGAAGATTCCCTCCGCTGGACAGGGACCGGATGGTGACGTCCATCGAAGGCTCACCATAGCCGCACCAGGAGATCCTATCAAGCGGACCCACAGAGCCAAGGCTACCATCAGACTGGCTGAGAATAATTGGCGTGCCCGTCTCTCGGGCTTTCTGAAAGTGCTTAACAAATCCACTCCGGTCTCTCTCCAGATTTGCCTCTTGAGGTGCACATGGATCGTCGTCTTCGACACCTATTCTTCCAACACAGTGCAGATTCGGCTCATCGTCAGTTTCTGTCTCGACGTGAGAGTACAGCAAGCACATTGTTATGTCGTTGGGGTTCCGTTTAAGCGCCGCAATGACAAGGGTAATGGTTTCGTAGACCGAATTCGTTGGCACGGCTGCAATTTCCTCAACGACCAGCCGACGTCGCTCATGAAGGATCCTGTCAGTGCTCTCGTAGACGGTATTGTAAAAGCCTCCGATGGTACCGTCATCACACCGCAGAGGGATGAACTGTCCGATCCAGTAGGTTTCCTCCGGAAAACCTCTCTTTCGCTCGGGGAAGAGGAGTATGTTGTCTACATCGACTGTTTGAGCAGATGCGGCAGCATGATCAAACACTCCCTTCATCTGGGGCCACAACTCTGGGAAGCCATCTTGGAAACCCTTACCTAGAAGCAGCGGGAGGAAGGGTCAGCTTTATCACAACATTCGGTCAGATCTACACTTCACAGATGCGTAGAGGTCTCSTCGTGGGCATTGTCTTTCAACATCCACGTGGGATGCCTTGTGCCCTTTACTGTAAGGTACTCACCAACAAGGCCTGGATGCGCCTTCCCCGCAGTCACTGCAAATTTGTCATTGTATCTGTAGCGCCGTTAGTAGCTTGTTCTTTCCACGCCTGATGGAACGTCGTACATGGCAATCTTGTCCTCGCCCCAATACACGCAGGCCGCTCTGCTGTCTGTGAATACCATGAAGACATAGTTCCGCAGTGATAATGGCCAGTCGGAGATGGGTCCGAGTGGAGTGGATGCATAGTCCGCCTTTCTGAACAAATCGACATGGTTGGTATGTGKCAGGGCATCCGACCAGCAGGGTGGATGTGCGGGGGGGATCAGGGATGTGTCGGAAGCTGTGTCTTCGTCCTGCATGGCGGCCTTGCCACAGCGGCCACAAAAGAGGTACGGATTGGGAGGGACACCATCGGCTAATCTCCGCATCCAAGGACAGACATTGCACGTGTGAGTGAATGTGACGGCGCGTGACTTTTGATAGTGCACGTCAGTTAGGGATTGAGACAACGGTGCGAAGTTATCGGCTTAAGATTCTTCTAGCGTGACGAAGCCCCACATTTAGCCGAATGCGCGGATTACGGCGCGTTTTTAAGAACAACTCTGCAACAATCCTTTTAGGCGATAGTGCGACGCTAGTATTATAGGGTATTAGAACCTCGGTAATTAAAGGTATATTCCGTACAATAAGTAATAAGTAGCATAATTTAATATGCGTGTACAATGTCCTCGCTTTCCTTCTTTAAAGTAAAGTAATAATAGTCTACGATACCTAAGTAATAATAGTAAGGATAAAGTAAAGGTATAATAGCATTACGCGGGCAGCTATATAACTCTTTATATAAATAAGTAAGATCTCTAAAAAAGCAGTAGAATAAAGACCTGCTGCTCTTTTAGCGACTCTTATTAACACCTAAATACTAATATTAATACCTACTACTCCTACTACTATACTACCCCTTTACTACTTACCTATATCCTCCTCCCTCCTCTATACTACCCGTATAAAAGCCTAAGAAGGCGAAGAAGCCTAAGTTGCTATACCTATAGCTAGGTTATATTAATACTACGAAATACTAGAGGCCTAGAACTTTCCCTAAGGATCCGGATAATAATAGCGAATACGGATATTTTAAGTAGAACTTTATAAGAGTATAAGCTAGGAATTTAACACTTTAAGAGTAGCGCTAACCCGTATAATAGCTTAAGAAAATAGGATTCTCCCTTAACCGCGAGTAGAGGGAGATAATAGCTAAGCCTACTACTAAGCACGTCGAGATCTATAATAGCTTTACTAATAGGATCGATAATATCCGAGACCGTCCGAACTACATCGACGCCTTTCTAGTTACGAGCCGGTCTATAT